CGCGACCTAGTTGACGCGTTCAAAAAGGACCAGGGGATCGTTTTTTAAAAGGGGAAGGTGCAACAGTTGAACTTTCGATCAGAGTAGCTTTAGATAAATAGACACACACTACCATAATAAAGTGCTCCAATCAATTGATCAACCAAAACGCGATTTTGACCCTTTTTTTGAAATGCTCATTCATCAATGTTCCGACCGGCCCTCAGATTCCTGTGATTCATTCTCTTGATTCGTAACTTCATTCATCGCCACTTGCCTTTTTTTGCATGGACCGACATCGGATCATCGCTAGAATTGAAATGCCGATGTTGGTTGATCAGTTAATTGATTAATTGCATCATTATTTTCTTTTCAAAGTGCGGAGGTCTTTTTATGTTCTATCTACCTTCAGACTTCAATGACGTACTTCTACAATCCTATATGACCTTCTATCAAAGTTTGTAGCTCCTACCCAAAGTCTTTTGTGTATGACCTATATGCATGACGTTACATGGGTTTAGCACGTGTTTAGCTATTTTTTTAATACCACAAGCTCAATACACTTTCTACAGATAAATTGAAAGCAGTTACATACAAAGAACATTAGGTGGAATCTTAAAATCTTTAATGCGCGAAACCAGTCGTTCTCAATAGAGTGTAATATCATCACAATGTGTGAAATCGTGCTAGAGCCGTGTAATAAAATTTACTTTTACGATATCTTCTATAAATGAATAAAAGTCCCGCAAGTTTCCTATTTCCTAGGTCGCACACCATGTCCTCTGTATTGAACTGCTTTCAATTTATCTGTAGAAAGTGTATTGAGCTTGTGGTATTAAAAAAATAGCTAAACACGTGCTGAACCCATGTAACGTCATGCATATAGGTCATACACAAAAGACTTTGGGTAGGAGCTACAAACTTTGATAGAAGGTCATATAGGATTGTAGAAGTACGTCATTGAAGTCTGAAGGTAGATAGAACATAAAAAGACCTCCGCACTTTGAAAAGAAAATAATGATGCAATTAATCAATTAACTGATCAACCAACATCGGCATTTCAATTCTAGCGATGATCCGATGTCGGTCCATGCAAAAAAAGGCAAGTGGCGATGAATGAAGTTACGAATCAAGAGAATGAATCACAGGAATCTGAGGGCCGGTCGGAACATTGATGAATGAGCATTTCAAAAAAAGGGTCAAAATCGCGTTTTGGTTGATCAATTGATTGGAGCACTTTACATTTACATCTCTTACTTCCACTCCTCTTAAAGTTGCATGAGGATACAAGTGCTTTAGATGATCACATACAAGAAGTACTATCCTTAATCTCACAGTGAGGGTTACAGTTTAATAGTAGTTGGACACATTCAAGAGATTGGTGTGCAAAAAATAAGAAGACTGTTGTTTGGAGAATAGGTTGGTGTTTAGCAGGATAGTTATGCAAGGGATGTTACAGTGGTTGTTTTACATGGTGGATATTATATATACACTCTCCTTTAATGGTCGCTGTAGATATTGTCAAGGTCAGCAGAGATGTAACATATACTATATTACAATTTGGACTTGAAAGGCCTTCATACAACAATGCAACACACTCAACAACAAAAACAACACCATTCTTTGCCAACCTCGGTTACCATCCGAAATTCACCATCACCATCCCAAGAGTCTCAAAGGATAATGTCCCGGCCCAGGAACGCATCCAGGCCCTAAAGAACCTCTATGCGGAGATGCAACTCAATATCCACACCTGTCAAGAAAGCAGACCAAGCAATAGAATGAAGTAGATAAAGATAACCTTGATCAAGGGCTAGGAAATGAGTATGATGAATAGGTTAAGGCGTATGTTATTAGCGATACCAAGTAAAGAGCTATAGATTTACTATCTAAGGCCCTTTTATATTTGTTAGGGCGAAGTTACAAGAGCAAGCTCTTGTCTCGTGACAACCTCCCCCTCTAGGGCCGAGTTCCAAGTGGCCTTTGGCTGGGTTTGTGAGGGTGTTGCAGATGGAACTCGCGAACAAGGCGGCCCCTTCATGTGCAGAGGATATAAAAAGGCATATAAAAAATATCCAAAGTCCAAGGAACGGAGTGTTGACTTCCATAACTGGCATATCTCTTTATAGTGGGCAACAGAACACAGAATAAAATAGCAATAGACAGCACAAGAATTTTTAAAATGTAATCTCTCCCCTGTATTTCACGACAAAGATACAGTTGGGAATACAAGTGCTTTAGATGATCACATACAAGAACTACTCTGTCGAATCTTGCAGTGAGGGTTACAGGTTAATAGTAGATGGACATATTCAAGAGTTTGGTGTGCGAAAAATAAGAAGACTTTGTTGTTTGGAGAATAGGTTGGTGTTTAGTAGGATAGTTAAACAAAAAATGTTACAATGGTTGTCTTATATGCTTGGTATCATATATACATTCTCCTCTAATGGACGCGGTGGATATCGTCAAGATCTGCAGAGATGTAACAAACACCATATGATAATTTGGACTTGAAAGGCCTCCAAGGTCCGGGGAATTCTTGACACAGGCGGCCGGTTCCCAGGCTCGTTCGGATACGGGGTAGCCTCTCCAATGTATATAGTATTCATGGTTGTTGCGCCTGATCCGTAAATCCAAAATGGCCTCAACCTCGTACTCCTCATCTCCGGAGACGACAAGCGGAGGAGGTCGTTTTGGGGCTCGACCGGGGATCGTATCTGGATGCGCACGCTCAAGTAAGTTTACATGAAAGACAGGATGTAGGGAGGCCTTTCAGGTCCAAGTTATCATATGGTGTTTGTTACATCTCTGTAGATCTCGACAATATCCATAGCGACTATGGGATGAGAATGTATATATGATACCAAGCATATAAGACAACCATTGTAACATTTTTTGTTCAACTATCCTACTAAACACCAACCTATTCTCCAAACAACAAAGTCTTCTTATTTTTCGCACACCACACTCTTGAATATGTCCATCTACTATTAACCTGTAACCCTCACTGCAAGATTCGCCAGAGTAGTTCTTGTATGTCATCATCTAAAGCACTTGTACTCTCAACTGTATCTTTGGGGCGAAATACAGGGGAGAGATTACATTTTAAAAAAACATGTGCTATCTATTGCTATTTTATTCTGTGTTCTGTTGCCCACTATGAAGAGATATGTCAGTTATGGAAGTAAACACTCCGTTCCTTGGGCTTTGGATATTTTTTATATGCCTTTTTATATCCTCTGCACATGAAGGGGCCGCTACCGAATAAAATATAAAAATATATTTGTATTCTCAACTATGTGCTTGCTATATGATAGATACCATCCTACATGCTGTTGTGTATGCAGTTAAGTATAAGCCTTTTTAAAAAATTGTTATTGTTGGTTAACGTCATGACAATCCAATACATAAATATTATTATGGATCTAACAAAACACTTCCAACAACTGCTTGATGACCATTGGACTTTCCTCAACGCTGGATGGCCAACAATTACACCACGTAATAATCATCGTACTGTAAGCAAGGAAATTGGGTATATGCCAGAAATAAAAGAAACCCTAAATCGACGCCTTGGTCCTATTCCAGTGTACTTCTTTCTTGTTGACATCTGGCCAAAGGTTAAGTATCCTGGTCCATACAAAGAAGTGGAGAAAGGTCTTTTAATGCTCTATCATCTTGTCAAAGGACTGTCTATGGAAGCAATGGAACCACACATGCCAAAAAGTAGTTTTCATGCAATGCACTCTGTGTTTTATAAGAAAGAATATACTTTGCACAACAAGTACATCACCAACTGTATTGCAACAATGTTCTCCACAATTAAAATACGCCTTTTGTCTGCAAAGGAAAAGAATCCTCCATTATTTAAGCATGTTACATTGCATCTTGATGGTCATGATACAAGAGCAATATACAAAGGTGAGAGTAGTGCTGATATGTACTCTTACAAGCTGAAAAAGTCAGGATTACGCACACAGGTAGCAATGGATTGTAATGGCATGGCTTTATTTGTCTCCAAATCTGCATCTTGCAAGAACAATGCTGATGGAACAATGCTGCTAACGATGAAGTTGGACAAGAGAGTGCATGAGATGGATTGCATTGCTCTCGATAGAGGGTATCCACAGTTCTTAAGGAGGCTTATAGATGAGTCTGATATTCTTAGAGTCCAAAATTTCGCTCATCCATACCGTAAACAGAAGAACAAGGAACTTACACAGGAAGAAGCGTTATACAATACCACCTTTGGTAGTTTCCGCTCGCAGATGGAATCTCTGTTTGCAGACCTTGGTTCCACATTTGAGAAACACAACAACCGTACTCCTGTGTTGGTGGATAAGAAACAAACATATAATTTGCAGTTGAAGTTATCTTTATTACTCTTAAACATGAAAAAGATGGTTGCTTTGTTGAAGATTTCTGCAGAACCAATTCATACAGCTTGGCTTCGCGAAGGCTTCGAGTATCCGACGACAGAGAACGACGTTGAGCAACCAATGGGATATGTTGATGTTGGTGCGCTAGGAGGCCTTTCAAGTCCAAATTATCATATGGTGTTTGTTACATCTCTGCAGATCTTGACGATATCCACCGCGTCCATTAGAGGAGAATGTATATATGATACCAAGCATATAAGACAACCATTGTAGCATTTTTTGTTTAACTATCCTACTAAACACCAACCTATTCTCCAAACAACAAAGTCTTCTTATTTTTCGCACACCAAACTCTTGAATATGTCCATCTACTATTAACCTGTAACCCTCACTGCAAGATTCGACAGAGTAGTTCTTGTATGTGATCATCTAAAGCACTTGTATTCCCAACTGTATCTTTGTCGTGAAATACAGGGGAGAGATTACATTTTAAAAATTCTTGTGCTGTCTATTGCTATTTTATTCTGTGTTCTGTTGCCCACTATGAAGAGATATGCCAGTTATGGAAGTCAACACTCCGTTCCTTGGACTTTGGATATTTTTTATATGCCTTTTTATATCCTCTGCACATGAAGGGGCCGCCTAGTGGAGGATGGAAATACCATGGCAGAACTCCAGAGCAAATTTCTTGGTATTAAACTTCATGGTGATGTTAATGTTGATGAGGACACACCAATGGATCAAGCAGTAATAATGCAACCCGGCCTTTCCATTGAGCTTAGAAGTACGAATCGACAAATGGATGTTAATGGTAATCTGTAGACTTATTGCAGGTTTTTAAAAGAATAGACATACATGGCCTATTTAGTCAGCTTTAAGATACGGTATTAACTGCCAAGACGCTAATATGCACCGGTATCTATTATTAAAAGCCATGGTATTATTGTAGTAGATCGGATGCTATTCTATGCTATTCTACAGCATTCCTTTTTATTTAACAAAGAGGATAAACACATGTACAAACCTACGTCATAAAATAATACTACATTCTTAACCATTTTTAAACCCCGTCTTTAATGCCAAGCAGTCTTAATAAGCAAGATCTACGTCATACGAGGAACACTACATTATTAACCACTTAGATGCCTTTTTAAAACTCTTTTGTTACTAAGCGCCAAGCAGTGCTAATAAGCAAGCGCTATTACTGTCCATTGTGGCAGTGTTCCTGAATTAGTATAAATAAAGGAGTCCACTTCCCTCTTGCTTAATCTTTATCTAGTAACCAACCAACAATTATCCATATCTATACAACCATCCATACCTATACAACCATCTTTTATTGCAATTCTTTATATCAGTGTACTAAGCAGCTGCAATCTACCACACATAAACTGAATGAAAAATATAGCGTACCTTGGAGTAAGTGAGAAAGAAGATGGGGGTTCGTTTATTACTAAGTCTAGGGTTTAAATACTAAGGGACACTGCCCTTAATTATCTCACTGAGTACGCTTCTTGATAATGTACAGTCACGAAAATGCGACAGCTTTCCTCTCCCTTTGAAGAACGAATTATGAGTTCTTGGATTTCAAAGGCATGTAGTGGATGGACATAATTTATGTCTTACTTCGATTGCGGGCCCGCCTGCGTTTACGCCTTGGCGGCAATAATGATTCTTCTTCTTCATGTTGTTCTTCGTCTTGTTGTTCTTCTTGTTCATCATCAGAATCTGCAGGGGAATCGGCTGTTATCAGAGGATTTGGCTGTTCATTAATGTTTTCTTTATCTTTCCAGTAGGAAGTAAGAGAAGATCGTTCAACAAAGTTCTCTTCTGGTTCCCAGGTGTTGAGCTTGTTGGAATAGTTTTTCCATTTGACGAAATATTCTTTCTTCGTACTGTCATGTGTATGTTGCCTATGTGCTACCACTTTTTCCACCTCATAGGTGTCTGATTCATCGGCGTCGTCAAGGACCAGTTTGAGTTGAGATGGTGCGTATGATCTTTCTAAAATAGCGCCAGTTCCATCTTTAAGGATATATGCGCCACCCGCGTTGCGGTTGACTACTGTGTATGGTCCTTCATATCTTGGTGATAATTTTTCGCCGAGAATTGGATCAAGTGTCATCACTTTGGCTCCATCGGGGAACTCGTTGAGTAATACTGTACGATTGAACCTCTCTATCATTCTCTTTTGAGTGTTCTCTGTATTTTCTTTGATTGCTGGAAAGACTGTTTTGGTCATGTACTCAAGTCGTTCAAGAAGTTTATCTTGTGTTAATGGATTGTTTTTCTCATCACAGAAGTGGCTGAAACCGTTGTTTTGACGTGCAAAGAAGAGTGAAAATGGAGATGAGTTGTGTAGTGATACAATGCGTGTGTTCATCGATAATTGAATGAAAGGAAGGTGTTCGTCCCACATATGCCCCTCCTCGAGAACTTGTTTTCTGATCATTTGTACGGCTGTTTTGACATGGTTTTCGGCCACACCATTGCCGCGAGGGTGGTAAGGGGTAATAAGACGATGGTCGATGCACATTTTTGTGGTCAAAAGTTTTGTAATTGTATTGACGAATTCTCCACCATTGTCAGATTGAAGTATTTTAGGAAAGCCGATTAAACAGAACAATTCCCATAGCGCAGTGGCTACAGTTAGACCTTTTTTGTTTGGCAAGGCGCGCAAGAAAACAAATCGCGTGCAAACATCAACAACTACAAGTAGTCGGACGTTTTTGTTCTTTGTCAACGGAAGCGGACCTGCCAGATCAATGGCTATGTGTTCTCCTGGAAGTTGAGCATTGATGGCTTTCATAGGATGGTATCCTTTTCGTGCAATATTGAATCGTTGACATTCTCGGCATCGTTTGATAAAATCGACACATTCTTGTGACAGATGAGGCCAAGTAAGTCCTTGTTCATGAATAGAATTGACCATTGCGTTTGCTCCAATATGTCCCATTGCATGGGTTGTAAACAATATATTGTTTCTTTTAACTGGATCTACTTCTTTGCGTTCAGTTTCTTTATCTTGGATTAGATGCATGTAGGAAATAATTTTCTTTTGATCAGCTTTAGCTGTATTTTTATTTGTGATTTCAATTGGATATAGGCGTGATAGGGCATCGGGTAATACGTTAAGAATGCCTGGGCGATAGTGCACCGTGAAAGTATAGTTTAAGATTGTTTCTTGCCAGTTGGTGAGCATTGAGTTGAGCTCAGGTTGAGTATGGATGTATACAAGTGAACGATGATCGGTATATAAGTCAAAGTGTCTTCCCCAGAGGTAGTAGTGAAAACGATTGAGTGCAAAGACAATCGCTAACAATTCTCTATGCGTTGCTGAATATCTGCGTTCACGATCTTGCAAAGATCGCGACATGAATGATATATAGTTGATAGTGTCTGGGTACTTTGGACCCTTTGGAAGTTGATAGAGTACAGCGCCAATCCCGACGTTAGAAGCATCGGTGGCTACATAGAAAGGTTGACTGAAGTCTGGGAAGGACAAGACAGGGGCTATGAGCAAGATATTTCGTAGTGCATCAAAGGCGCGCTTCTGCTCATCATTCATTACGAAAGAGTCGGTTCGACTGCGAAGTGCATCCAGAGGTGCTGCGACCGTACTGAAGTTTGGAACATATTCACGGAAAAAATTACACGTTCCGAGGTAAGATTGGATTTGTTTGGCGCAAGTGGCATATTCCACCTTGTGCATGTTCACAAGCTTCTTGGTGTCAACACTCTTGCCATGGAGACCCACAAGGAATCCAAGGAGTGAGATCTGTGTGCTGAAGAAGTTGCATTTATCGCGGTTGATAATTAATTTTGCCTCGTTGAGACGTTTAATTACAATCTTTACGTGTTCAGCGTGCTCTTTTCTCGAACGTGAAAATATAACGATGTCATCAATAAAGTTGCATACAAACGGTAGATCACCGAGGATCCGGTTCATTCCACGCTGAAATAGACTCGACAGAGGCTTCAAACCAAATGGTGCTTTTTTGAACATGTATTGAGTACCCTTATGCATGAATGCCGTGAGAGGTTGGTCCTCTTCGTGGATTGGTAGTCTGTGGTATGCTTGTGTGAGATCGATCGTGGTGTACACAGCGTTGCCTGATAGGCGGTTGAGAATATCTGGTATAAGTGGCAATGGATAATTGTCGTCTGGTAGGTGTTTGTTTAAGGGTCTTGGATCAAGACACACACGCCATAGTGTTTTGTTTCCTTCTGCATCTTTCTTTGCTGCTAGCGTTAATGAATTGTTATGGACGTTGCCTACAGGGGCTAGTTTGATTACATCGTCATCCTTCCATTTCCTGATTGCTTCATCGAAAATAGGAATTTGTTTTTCTGCAAATGGACGCGGTCGTCTAAAAAGCACAGTGCCTTCAGGTACAGGAAGAAATACCTTCATTTCCGGAACGGGACAATGACTGGTGACGGGAACTTGTTTATTCTCCTTTAGTACACCTTCAATAGCCTTGAGGAAGGTTTCTTTTTCTTTGATATATTGTTTTGTTTTTTCCTGACTTGGAATTTTTCCTGGTATGAGTGAAGGTTTGTGGTCCGGATCTGGATCTGGAAGAGTTGTAGCATCCGCTCCTGGGTCAGGTAGTCCGGTTATGCCCAGTCCAAATCGGTGGAAGAGATCGATTCCAATTGTGAATGGATATTGCTGATCTATGACCTCCAGTGGTGCTGACACATAGTGAATTCCAACCTGTAGTTCGATGTTATCTGTTCTTCCAGTTCTTGGGATTGTGATTGACTGATCAACGAGCGTGATGACTCCATCGACTGGGTTGATGTTCACTTTGTGTTTTTCTGCTATGTCCCGACGAATGCAAGAGTCTGTGGCTCCTGTGTCAACTAGTGCTTCGTACTTCTCTCCTTCGAATGTGATGGTAGTGAGAACTCTTTTTTCTCTGTCGGAGATGTTGGGTGCTTGTAGTGCTCGCAAAGTGATTGTTTTATTGTTTGTTGAATTGTAGAAGCTAAGCGAATCCATTTTCCCTAGCAGTTCCTGTAAAAGGGTGTCCTCAAGTCGTATCGCCCGAATGTTATTGTATAATTGTGTTGATCCTGGTAGAATGGATGATGAGGCGACAGTGATGCTTGGGTTGTTTGTGCTTGCTTGCTTTGATAGTTGTTGTTGGTTGCGGAGGTGAAGTGCTTGTTTTATTGTAAACTTATGGGCACGCGAAAGAGAAATTAGTTCCGGCTCTTCTTCGGTGGCTTTGTTGTTTGTTGTATGACTGCTTAATGCAAATTCCTCTTTCTTTGCGTTCTGAATTGATTGACATTCCTTTATTTCTCCCCCCTTTTCAACATCTAAACGCATATCCAAACAAGGGCTTGGCACTGACACCGTTGTGGCAGGCGTGGGGTTTGTACGTACTCGTTGTATGACAGGAATGCGATTAACACCAGTAGCATTATTTTTGATTGTTATGGCACATTGTGTATGTTGTGTATTCAGTTCTATATTGTCTATGTTGTTTATGTTGCTAATGCTATTGTTTATGTTTTTAGTGTCGAGGGACTCGACCAAGTGGCTCATAATGTCCGTCTTGTCTGCGTGATCATTAGGATTGCTGGTTGCCTGCGGGTTATTTGCAGAGAGAAGGGTATGTCAGTGTTATTATTGCTTTGATTAAATGTTAATTCAGCATAATTATTTAGTTTCATTGCATTTATGGTGATGGTAGATTGCTTACCTTGAGTACCGTTCTGCTGTTGTTCTTGACGCATTCTTGTGCGGCAGTCTGCATAGGTGTGACCCCTGTTGCTGCAGAATGTGCAGAATCGGCAGTCCTTGGTTTCGTGCGAGTTATTCCAGCTGCAGCCTTGGCAGAACTTCATGCCTGCTCGAGGAGGTTGCCCGGGTGCTTGCCCAAAAGGGGGCTGACTGTTGCTGCGTCCCATGGGGTTCATTCTCCCTTGTCCTCGGCCTCGGAAAGTTCCTCTGAGTGCTCCGCGAGATGCTCCGCGTGATCCTCGAACTCCATTTGTGAAGGTGTTGTGCCGTGGCCCAAAAGACTGCTGCTGCTGTTGCAATTGATCCTGAGATCGTCCCACTGCCCGAGGTTGATCGATTGCATCCTCAGGTCCCGTTAATGTGCTCATCAGTGCACATAGGGTATTGATCGATTTAAAGGCTGTGGCGTCTGGGTTCTTTATCTGATGCTTAAAGAGCAGGAAATCGTACTCCATCCCCGGGATCGACCTCCCGAGTTGATGAAGGATGATGTCGTTATCGTCTTGGATTCCATTCACTCGTGCATGCCGAAGGATACGAGCGGAATAACGGTTATACGTCTCGCCCATATTGCGTCCCATGTCTGCCATGTTCCGCATGTTCTCCAAACGTTCCTCTTTGGTGAGGCAGATGCTGAGGAATACCTTCTCCGCCATGTCCCAACCGATGTTTCCTTCGATGGCGGCGAATCGACGTTGTAGCTCTTGTTGATAATGGTCGTCGTTAGTGAGGACGATGAGATACCGATGACACTCGTTTTCGAAGGTATCCATGCCGAGACGTGTTTTGAGATGGGTTGCGAAGCGCTCGAGAAAGACTCTGGTCTCATTGGTTTCATAGGCTGTGGCTGGATTCAACGAGAATCTGGGCATGTCGGGTGTTGGTTTGATGGCCGCTTGTTGGGTCATTGATGTTGCGACTACCGCCGTTGGGGTGTTGTTGGCAATTGTTGCGGTCGCTGCTGTTGGCGTTAATATGGTGGAGTGTGCTGAGATGGTGGACCCTGGGTGCTTCTTTATCCTGAGCTCATACAGCGATGACTCCAGTTGCTTGATCAATTGTGCATTGTCTTTCTCCTTGTCTTTGTTGATAGCAATTTGTTGCTGATAGTGTTGGAGCAGGTGCTGAGGTGGTCGTCCTGCCAGAAGGGTCGACATGTACACAATCTGTTCGGATAGAGCGATGTTCTCCGCTTTGAGACTGGCTAGCGTGTTGGTTGCGACTTCGCGGAAGTTGGATGGTGGTGTGTCGGGATATAGATCGGTGACACCAGTATCCGAGTCGACTTCCATTTCTTGGTCTCCTACATCGGAATCGTTATCCTCGGCGTTCTTGTCCTGCCATGTTGTTCCGACCGGTGCAAGTAATGCATCTGGCTCAGTGCCGCCAGCGGAAGAGTTGATCGACGTTGTCGGTTCCATGACTTCAGCGGTGGAAGATGTAGCTCCTTCCGTGATGGGGTCGTTAGGCGTTACAATAGTGCCGATGGCGATGGCTGCTGCTGTTGGTGCCATGATGGTGGTGGTTCGAGGTCGTTTGCCATTGCTCTTTGCTATTTTTCCCATAGTTGATTCATTTCTGTTTTTTGAATGGGGTAGCATAATGAGCAATTAGTCTTTTTTGATTCAAGATCACGTTATGACAATGATCTTTCTTTTGTTCTTCCGATCTCTCTTGTTATAAATCTGGTCCGTTGGACTCTACTACACTATAATCGTTCGTGTGTTATTCAAGAGAGTGCTTTGGTTCCGTGTTATAGATACCGCGCTTGTTGATGGACGTTGTCCTAGCGCTTTGATGGATTGAGTGGTTTGGATGGATGGATGTAATGTGTGATACTTCGAATAAACGATACCCTTGAATCTTCACTTAAAAAAAATGAAAAATATAGCGTACCTTGGAGTAAGTGAGAAAGAAGATGGGGGTTCGTTTATTACTAAGTCTAGGGTTTAAATACTAAGGGACACTGCCCTTAATTATCTCACTGAGTACGCTTCTTGATAATGTACAGTCACGAAAATGCGACAGGCAGTGGTGGAGCGGGACGGAGTGCTGGAAGATTTGTTGCCGGAACGGGTCACTGCATAGCCGTACTGTCGGTTGTCGATGTCGATAGCCAATTGTGAAAACTCGGCAAAGGTAGGTGGCTTGGGGTAGTTTGCCATGGCTTCTTGAACAGACTCCTTCAAGCCGAGGCGGAACTGTGAAATCATTGCACTATCATTTCATGCTGTATCCGCTGCAAGGTTGACGAAACGGTTTGTATAGTCGATGGTAGAACCGCGCTGTCTAAGTTGACGGAGTTGAGTTTCTGCTAGGACGTGAGCATTGGAGACTCCAAAGTTCTTACTCATAAGAGCAAAGAACTGATACAGGTTAGAAATACATGCGGGTCTCTCCTCGACAGGCAACTTGAAGGACGGAATGTATCTCTGCATGTACTTGAACGCTGCAGTATCACCGAGGCGCGAGATAGCCAGCACAATGCGGTCGTGGTCGTTCGGATAGAGGGTCTCGTTTGCAACGAAGAAGAGTTCCAGCTGAGCCTGAAACCCTTTCCAATCTTTACGCTTGCCGGAGAAGACTGCGGGGGGTGCTACTTTTGGCCTCGAAGGGGAGCTATTGCTGGAGTGAGGTATAGTTGATTGGAAGATGGCACTCACTGTGTTGGTGACATCGGTCTTGTGATCATAAAATAGTTTGCCTAGTTCTGCGCGAGTGATGGGTGGTAATTGTGACGTCATCTTCTGGACGTTGGATTCAAGGCTGAGTAATCGAAGGTTGAGGTTGACGGTCAGGCTTGTGAAGAAATCTTCGTTTGAAAGAATGAAGTCCAGCATATCACGGTACTTCTGAACAGTCTCCTCGAGTTCGGTGACTTTGGCTTGCAAGGGAGCGACCGTCTGAACTACTTGTTCAAGTGTGGCTACTCGGTCCATCAGTGCTTGGAAGCGCGCGTTGGTTGTAAGGATCTCACTATCGGGTAGCATTGTGGCTGATATGGAAAGTGAAGAGTTGTTGTAGTTTCTGAGGGTAGTGGGTTGTGTACAGAAGATGGTAGTAAAAGAGGAAAGAACTTGAAGAAGATAGGGCTTGGTTTTGTTGTGGAAAAGGCATTTTTTTTTTTTTTTTTTTTTTTTTTTGGAGCGCTGAAGTATATCAATAGAAAACAGACAAAGTTTGATCCAAGGTTCTTTAGGTGTATGACTTGGTATCGTCAAGAAAGCAAACCAAGCAATAGAATAAAGTAGATAAAGAGAACCTTGATCAAGGGCTAGGAAATGAGTATGATGAATAGGTTAAGGCGTATGTTATTGGCGATACCAAGTAAAGAGCTATAGATTTACTATCTAAGGCCCTTTTATATTTGTTAGGGCGAAGTCACAAGAGCAAGCTCTTGTCTCGTGACAACACCGCCATCGAACAGCATACCAGAAACTTCGACACCAAGGCCCAACCACAATCCAACTTGCAAGTAGGAGATCTTGTATGGCTAGACGCCCGGAACCTCCAAACGAACAGACCATGCAAGAAGCTCGACCATAAGCGCGTGGGCCCTTACCGTATTCTCGAAAAATTGGCACTCGATCCTTCCGTCTCGATTTACCACCAACGACCAAGCTACATCCTGTCTTTCATGTAAACCTACTTGAGCGTGCGCATCCAGATACGATCCCCGGTCGAGCCCCAAAACGACCTCCTCCGCTTGTCGTCTCCGGCGATGAGGAGTACGAGGTTGAGGCCATTTTGGATTCACGGATCAGGCGCAACCACCATGAATACTATATACATTGGAGAGGCTACCCCGTATCCGAACGAGCCTGGGAACCGGCCGCCTGTGTCAAGAATTCCCCGGACCTTGTTCGCGAGTTCCATCTGCAACACCCTCACAAACCCAGCCAAAGGCCTCTTAGAACTCGGCCCTAGAGGGGGAGGTTGTCACGAGACAAGAGCTTGCTCTTGTAACTTCGCCCTAACAAATATAAAAGGGCCTTAGATAGTAAATCTATAGCTCTTTACTTGGTATCGCCAATAACATACGCCTTAACCTATTCATCATACTCATTTCCTAGCCCTTGATCAAGGTTATCTTTATCTACTTTATTCTATTGCTTGGTCTGCTTTCTTGACACTGAGGATGAATCTGCGGCTGACGAAGTTGTGCCTACCAAGAAGAAATCTTCCAAGAATAGACAAACTCCCGCGACCAATCCAGACGATGAAGTTGCTGAACATACAATTACCATCAAGGAAAATACATCTGCAATAGATATTACTTCTCCTGATGATATTCCTTTGCTCAGCAACATTAACTGGGTTTCTCATCCAAAAGACTTGACTTACCAGTATGCAACTAACTACGCAATAAATGGTTTGTATATTGTGCGAATCTGTGGCAGACCTACTGTTGTTGAGTTGGCCACACCAAATAAGTTGTTGGGCAAAGGAAAACAACATAGAATGGATGTTTTGGATTGGTCCATCTTATCCCATGAGATTAAGCGAAGTGGATTTCTCATGGCAACTACAATTGGACAAAGATAAGCCAATAGTTCCCAAAACGCCTGCGAATGAGATTATAGTTCCCGCGCCTCCCAAGAAGAAGATGGAAAAAATGGAGATTGTTGACAAGAGCACGATTAAGTGGGAAAAGTTTGACAAGAAATTGGAGTACGCGACGAATCTTCTTGTAAATGGGAAACATATTCTCAAGAAAAGAAAGCAAGGTGTCGCTGTTGGCCTCGTGACCAACGAGCACATACAGTCAGAGCATGTAGTCTTTGACAGACTGAGCTTAAGCGAGAGAGAACAGATCTTTTCCATGGGATTTATCTGTGACCTCGAATACATGGGCGATTTTTCACGTACACGTCACACGGAAATGGTTTTTTAAAACATCCAACTCTCTGTCAACGACCTGTGTACCATTCGAGTTGACGTATACAATCCGAATTTGCAAGAGAGATACAATATAAATAGGCACCAAGCAAGATGCGATTTTTTAAAAACTAGTCTCCTATCTGCATTTCATGGCAAAGATGCAACATAGTAAGAACAAGTTTTGGACTATCATCGCCAAGGATTACTGCCCTTAATTTCGATGCGAAGGATGCGATCTGGTGATGGACATGTACATTCAGGAGAGATCTATGCAAAAACCTATGGTACATTTCTGTTTGGAAAAGTTGGCGTTGATTGGTAGGATTATTACGCCCGGAATATTACAATGGTTAGCATACGTAATTGCTGTTATACAAATACTCTTGTCTGATTGTCACCATGAACCTCATCAAGAAGGACATAGATGTGGAAGATGTCACGTCGTACTTTGGATCTGAATGGTCTCCATACTTGCACATCTCTTAAGACTGCTGCATCGTCAAGAAAGGGTTCAGGAAATATCACTTCTTCGACAAGCTGCTCCAACATGCTTCTATTAAGACTCTTGATCATCCTTTCTGTCGACAGAAAAGGCGCGAATATTCCAGTGATAGCTCTATGTTTAAACGAACAGAACCTACAATGAATATCAAGAAATGTATTAATGCACTGCAAAAACTTATAGCTATTGGCACTTACATTATATCCGCGATCTCGGACTTCTTAATCTGGTTGTCTATCAGAGCTTGAACACATGTCTTCTGGTAATCTTGGAACAAGCATGCCACGCAGCAGCCATTGATCTTCCACTGCGAGCCAATAAAAATGGCGTGAGTTAAAGGCACATTCTAATATGCGTTACACAACATAGTCATCGTTGCCCGGTATACTAACCTCGCACTCCTTATGGCATGCTTGTTCTATATTGGCCAGAAGGTCTGCCTTTTCATTTTCGTCAACGTCAGATGAGTCATTCGACTCTGGTTCTGCTGCTACTGAGGGCTGATCCGAGGACGAGGTGACTGGTTCTGCTGCTGGGGACCGGCCCGACGACGAGACTACTGCTGCTGTCGTTGGCATGGACGTATCCGAGGAAGTGGAGGCCTGAGAGAAATGATCCGGGACTTCAGTCTCGTCCAAGTCAGAGATCTTGTTATGCACCATTACAAGTAGACTTTCTCAACTGTCGAATCGAATCGAATATGAGTTTCAATCGTATTCGACATCAGTCGAATAAGGACCCCATTCGATCCGACTTTTATTCGATTCGGCCTTATTAAAATCGAATAAAAGTCGAATCGAGTCGAATAAAAGTCGAATCGAATCGAATCGGAGCACTATTTGAATTCGAAAAAATCGAATCGAATTGAATCGAATGCCGAATGTCGAATATTCTTGAGAAAGTCTAATTACAAGGCTATCGCCTAGTATAGAAAATGTTCAACGCTATTTAGTACTCAGATTTTCATAAGCTTAGTTGTAGTCATGTTGCTAGATCTGTTAATACTCACCATTGTTGTTTGAAGAGGAGCTAGATGATGCAGACACGTTGATGCTCTTGGCCATATCGTTGCGTGTTCGTGTGGCATTTCGATGAAGGGACTGATCTGCATAGGGCTCGAAGCCTTCGACCAGAGTTGCCGCGGTTCTGATTTGCGAGGATTGTTTTCGCCGGTCGAGCCAGAATTGCGGCGCATGATTGACCTTCCAAGTTTCAAAACTGCGCAAGAGGTTCTTTTTGGCATTCGCATTCAGATTGCTGCTCTCGACCATCCGTAGGTATCTCTGGTGTGCGTGCTTCTTGTCGTTGAGAGTAAATGCGTCGAAGAATGCATTTGGGGATCGGTCCACTGCAGTATTAATCCAAGAGATTTCAGATGCTTCTTCTGTGGAGGATTGCGAAACCGTCCATTCCTGAGCCGTTGTGATAGGTGAAAGAGCTGGGGCTTCAGGCCGTTGGCGCATAGAGACCGACAATAATATATTTAACGGAAGAAAGGGTGATAATCAATCTACTTCAGTGCATTGGACGAAGCAATGCGTTTGCACAAATGAAACGGGTAGATCTGTATACCAACAAGCGCACACGGCCCAAAGAGTGTTTCAACTTTGGTTACCCCAAACCACTCATGATGAGGGGGCCAAGGAGGAAAAATCATCAATTGGCTGGTGTGGTTTTCACAGGCTGCTTTAATGATAAAACATCAAACAAGCAGGTAGCGTTGCACACAGAGAAAAGTCTTCATGCCAACAAGCGCACACGGCCCAAAGAGTGTTTCAACTTTGGTTACCCCAAACCACTCATGATGAGGGGGCCAAGGAGGAAAAATCATCAATTGGCTGGTGTGGTTTTCACAGGCTGCTTTAATGATAAAACATCAAACAAGCAGGTAGCGTTGCACACAGAGAAAAGTCTTCATGCCAACAAGCGCACACGGCCCAAAGAGTGTTTCAACTTTGGTTACCCCAAACCACTCATGATGAGGGGGCCAAGGAGGAAAAATCATCAATTGGCTGGTGTGGTTTTCACAGGCTGCTTTAATGATAAAACATCAAACAAGCAGGTAGCGTTGCACACAGAGAAAAGTCTTCATGCCAACAAGCGCACACGGCCCAAAGAGTGTTTCAACTTTGGTTACCCCAAACCACTCATGATGAGGGGGCCAAGGAGGAAAAATCATCAATTGGCTGGTGTGGTTTTCACAGGCTGCTTTAATGATAAAACATCAAACAAGCAGGTAGCGTTGCACACAGAGAAAAGTCTTCATGCCAACAAGCGCACACGGCCCAAAGAGTGTTTCAACTTTGGTTACCCCAAACCACTCATGATGAGGGGGCCAAGGAGGAAAAATCACCAATTGGCTGGTGTGGTTTTCACAGGCTGCTTTAATGATAAAACATCAAACAAGCAGGTAGCGTTGCACACAGAGAAAAGTCTTCATGCCAACAAGCGCACACGGCCCAACGAGTGTTTCAACTTTGGTTACCCCAAACCACTCATGATGAGGGGGCCAAGGAGGAAAAATCATCAATTGGCTGGTGTGGTTTTCACAGGCTGCTTCAATGATAAAACATCAAATAAGCAGGTAGCGTTGCACATGTCCTACACCGCATCTGAGTGCATGAAGAATCATATGGAGAACAGTTTACCTTCTGAGGGATTACGTAGGCGGTGAGGGAGGGAAGAAAGCGAGAGAGAGAGATTACAAGTTAAACGTCATCAAATATTAAAAAACGTTAATTCCTTGCCCGATAGGATATAACTGAAAGTCTATGTCAGCTTTGCCAACTAAAAAGGGGTCTTCAAGCTGCACGTCTTTGACTTTTTGTTCATGAGCTCGCCAATCATGCGCCCATTGTTGCGGAGCTCTTCCTCTGCATCCTCAAAGTCTCTCTTCCTCTGCTCCTTCCGCCGGTGACTTGTCTCCTCCTCCCTTCTGGCCCTCTCGTATTCGAGTTGGGTGTAAGCCTGTTGGTTAAGCTCTGCTAGTTGGTCACTGAGTGAGTCTTGCTCGAAAATGCCGGTGTCATTGTTGTTGTGGATGTTGTTGTTGTTGATGTTGCCGTTGGGACCATCGTTGAGTTCGTCTGTCCAAGGGCAGTACAAAATTCCGTTCTTTACCTGGAAACCGATCCGCGACCAAATGTTGAGCCCCATCTTGAATGGCTTTCGAAACGCTGGCAGTCCAAAGGAGCTTACGGTCGTCTACTGCGGGACGGGATTAAGCATGAAAACTTTCCATTGGCAGGTTGTGGTTTCTGGAGTCGTTATTAGCAGTAAGGGTTGGCTAGGTAGACATGAATAATGAAGCCTTGTTCATCATGCCAAGTTGACTAGGTGGACACGGATCCAATCTTGATCAGCTGGTAAATTTAGATTGGGCTTGGCTGTCTCTCTAAGTGCAAAGGATATAAAAAGTATAAAAAAAAAATATCCAAAAGCCCAAGGAATCCACTGTTGACTTCCAAAGTACGCAAGAGAGCTTAGGGCGAGATAACAACAGACAGCACATTATTTGCAGTGAGGGGTACAGTTTAATAGTAGATGGTCACATTCAAGAGATAAGTTTGCGAAAAAAAAGAGTGAAGGTGACTTGTAGGATAATTACGCGAGGAATGTTACAGTGGTTGTTTTACATGGTTGATATCATACATACACTCTCCTCTAATAGTCGCGGTGGATATCGTCAAGATTTGCAGAGATGTAATAAACACCTTGTTATAATTTGGAGTTGAAAGGCCTCCTTGGTGGAAATGTATGGTAAAATTTTGATGTGTGTGAGGTTGAGTAGGTGGGCTTGGATGCTGAAGGCCTAACCAGTGTGTCAGGTCGGTTAGGCGGGCATGGATCCTCTGCTCTTTGATCAACGGGTCAAGTTGGCTAGGTGGACTTTGGATGGTGATGATTCTACCAATGTGTCTTGTTGCTAGGTGGTTATGGATCTTTGCCTATTTGTCAGCGGGCGAGGTTAGTTAGGTGGACGTGAGCCCCCTCATCTTGACCAAGGTTCAAGCCGGTTCGAGTAGCAGTGGATTCTTGACCAGGGTATCAACTTAGCTGAGTGATCGTGGGTCCTGTTATCTTGAAGAGCGTGTCAAGTTGGGAAGGTGGACGAAAATCATGTTTGAGTCTTGGTCAGTAGTGCTGGGGGGAGGCGTGGTTGGTAAGCTCTAGAGGGTTGGGTTAGGATTGCTAGGATCGTTGATCCTGACTCGGTAGCTCTGACCAGTGTGTAGATTAGGCTAAGCAGTCATGGATTCTGAAATCCTGACCATTGCGTCGAGTTGTTTAGGGGGGATGGATGGACAAGTCTTAGGCTCCAAGTTGGATATGTCTGGTTGATCCTGTAGTCTTGATCAGCGCGTCAAATAGTCCAAGCGGACATGAATTTTGTAATCCGGACCAGCATGTCAGGCTAGCTCCGTGGACGTGGATCCTGACATCTTACAGGGTGTAATGTTGGGAGTGGATGTGGATGGTGAAGTCTTGACCAGCGCAGCAACGTGTCAACTTGGCTGGGTTGTCGAATATCGCGTAGTCTTCCCTTTCTCCTGTTCCACATCCTTGTTTCATTCTCTGAGCGTCCCCCAACGGCTGCCGGCTTGTCAACAGAGGCGTCAGCTGTTAAAAAGGTGCCCTCTCGCTCTCTGAGTAATTCACACAGCCACTTGTTTCTATGCACTCCGCCTTCAATTTGGTTATCGGCCTTCCTTCACTCTATTTCACATCCTCACACTCTACACCTTTTTTTTGTCCATCAACCTCAAAGAAAAAAGTTCCGGTAATCTTCCCCGTCACCCAGCGAAAGCAGTGCTGATTACTTCAAGGAGGAACAGTCAGCAAATAATGATATGTTGTCGCGCGTCAAAGGTGCGTGGTCTTTCACCCACCCACGCACACCTCCCTCCACCACGTTCACAAACACCATTTACCCTTGCGTCATTAGCTATGCACACCTGCAGGCGATTGGACAGCTACGAAATAGAAAAGGATAATGTAAGAGAGAGGAGAGACAACTTTCATAGCCAGCTAGAACCTGTTGTAGTTGTGCGACCAAGTGCTCCTTCTCATAAACATTCACACGTGCCTTTTTTTCAACTTGCGCACAACGACTCTTGTTGTTACGGTAACGGTAAGACAGTGGAGACAAACGATCAGGAGTGGGCCTAAGTTTGAGACCCTTCATTCGGCGTTAACAGGAGGCGAGCGTGGGATTATTTCGCGACTGGCCAAGGTCATCTCAGGAGAGGCCATGCAGGACAGCAGTCCTTCGATCGGCCCGATCTTTATGCTCGCCAAGGACCACATGCCTATCGGCGTCTTCTTGGCTGATTTTATCCCCGCCAAACGATTGGGTTCTGAGTGTGGAGGGCGTGATGGTATGTTCGATTCAGTGTGTATTTAAGAGTGTAGGCAAGGCAAAGCGAGAAAGATTCGAGACTGACACGGTGAGCAACATTATGAGGACTGTGTGGTTATTGATAAGTTTTTATTGAGGTTGAAGCATTGTGAAGGTCCCGCTCATGAAGCTCCTGCGCTTTGTTTAGCTGTTGCTGACAACGAGCTGAAGGAACTATTGTTTTCAACAATAGTCGTATCAAATATGACCAAACAAAAAAAATGACGTGTTAGTGTACTAGAGTTGACGGAAGAAAGGACGAAAGGTAAGATAGCAATGCAGTTAATCGTAAATAAACGGTACCTGCTCATAGGAGATGGTGGCAAAACCCCTGCGGTCAGCGTCGATGCGCTGGAAGCTGTCGGTCAAGGACTTGACGGTGACGGCAATCTGGACAAAGTTGTCAAACGAAACATCGCCGGTTCCTGAAGCATTTTTGCCTGTAGAGTATTAGTTGTCACCCAATTATCAAATCAATACTTTTCTTCTTGAGACATGTCTACGTCAGCTGTTAAAAATCGCAAATCGTCAAAAAGGGGAGTATATATACCTCGCTTGTCGTATTTCTTGATGATGAGGCGGAGGAAAGGGTCCGAGAGGTTGTAGCCGAACGAGTGCATGGCTGTCTTGAGCTCATTAAAGTCAATGAAGCCGCTCTTGTCCTTGTCGAATGCCTGGAAGCAAGTGCGCCAGTCCTCAATGTACTTCCACAATCCAGCAAACTCGGGGAATGTAATCAAACCCGAGTTGTCTATTTGGTGAATACGAAGTGCAGTCAGTATGTATAGCTGGACGAATCGAGTCTTTTAGAGCGTACTAGTACGCGCCAAAGTCATGGCAATTGTAGCTAGCTTACCGGCGTCGAACATGTTCATCATCAAGCGGACAGTCTCGAGGTTGAAGGGGCTCCAGTCACCTATTACGCGAAGAGTCATACAACAAGCATTGGTTAGCTTCTCTTGTACGAAGTATTATAAGAATGAGCCGATAACAAGTGGTGACAAGGCTTTCATTCCTGTCCGTAGTGGTGTCGACATCAAAAAAGCCATTAACAGTCTAAAATCTTTTGCGAGGGCTGCCAGGTGGTCGTCCAGGAGTCGTTTTTTCGTCGTATATTGTTGTGTCTGCTGTCTGCATCTGGTGATATCGCGTCCTTTCTTCTCTCTTTGAGTTTTGCTTGTGTGGCGGGAATATTTTTGATCCCCAACCAAGCCGTGAGAGCAAATCTGAATCGCGGCAAGCAAGTCGAGCGTCGACAAGTGAGGAGAACAACATACCGTTGATGAGAGCCTTCTGCAACTCCTCAGTGCTAAGCTGGCCAGAGTGGTCGCTGTCGACCAAGTTGAACCAGTGCCTGTAGAACCGCCAATAGCAAAAAGATAGAAAGGAGTAAGGGGTCGTCAGCATCTTGTAGAGGGCGCACTTTGGTTCTCGTTTCGCTGTTCATGTGTCGGGTGTTCTTGTTCACTGTACGCGACGCAGCAGAAAAAGCACGCCATCCATTCCCAAGGGTCTCGCACGCGACTGCTTGCTTACCTGAGGGTGGCCTCGGGGGTTTGAGCAGGGGCTACAAGTGAAAAAACGAAAGGGAGTGTGTTAGTTTGAAGCGATGCTTTTCTTCTTGTCATTCCCTTCTCTCGAATTGAGTGAATGAGTGGAGGCCCTGTTATTGTTGTTCTCCTCTTTTCTATACTGCGCTCGTTGCTTGTCTGTTAACTGGCAGTAAGTTCGGTCGAAGGTGATGAGTGGCGAGTGGTGAGCACGAGGAAAACGGAAAGAGAGGAGAGGATGGGGATTACCTGCTGGGGGTGGGGGAGGAGCAGCTTGCTGGGGAGGGTATCCTTGCTGTTGACCGTACTGTTGCTGCTGACCGTACGGTTGCTGCTGCTGCTGGCCGTAGTTGTACTGGTTGTAAGCCATGCTGTCGAGTTGTTGTTGTCGGTCTTGGTGGGGAGGGAAAGGATGAGGGATGAAGAAGAGAGAAAAGAAAAAACACAAAAGCAGTGTGTCTGTACCTAAGGTTTTAATTCGGAGTGAACTGATGGCAAGTAAAAGTGGCGCGTCACTCTCGACGGCGGTGTCGTGTCGTCAAACAAACCGTAACGAATAAGGCAGTGTGACCACAACACACACCGATATTACATTATTATTTTCACAAATATTTAGTTCAATTGAATAGAAGGGTCACTCCTTTGTTGGCAATGCCCAGAATAGCATAGCCATTGGTAGGATGCATGGTTGTTATTTTGTATTATTGCTCCTTCCTCTAGCCGTACCACTTGCCCTTCTCCTGTGCCTCCCTCGAGACACGGGTCGGGATCAACGTCCTGCGAATATCATACACCTCAATCAAATGCTATTTTACAGGGATAAAAAAAGAATGAAAAACAGAGATCAATGGGTATTAAGCTCTTAAGCAACCAATGCAAACATTTCCTTGAATTGATGAATTGATGAAAAATGTAGCAAGAACAATAGGTGCCAGCAACTTACGCGCCAGGTAGCCATGTCAATCTCGAGAACCATCTGCTTCTTCAACAGTCCACCCTGATAATCCTCCGCAGTAGGTACTTCCGTCAACTCTACCATCGGCTGAACGTTGGCTCCTTCTGCCGGAACCCACGGTTCACCGTCCTCATCCACATCTCCCAGGTTGGGATCCGCCATGTCCACCTCCAAGATACTCGCCTTGCCATCTCGCACCAAGAACGACAAGTAAAAGATATTCTCGACCGTCTGCCCAAACGACTCTGGATTGATCACCAGCTCAAACAAGTTCACCTTGCGGTTTAGTTCCTCCAGAATGTTGTTGACTTGCATTACATTCTTGGTCGTCTCGTTCTCCTGCCGCGCAATATCTTCCTCTCGCAGTTCCTGTGGTTTTCTCATCGCCTTTGGATCCCGAACAACCCTTGTCCTTTGTGCCATCGTCCTCGTCTTGTGTTCCACCGCCATCGGACCCAGCCTATGCAATCGATTGTTATGAAAACATGAATTAATATGGCAATGTTTGTTCAACGTGCAGACAAAAACAGAAAGAATGGCATCAGTATGACATGCAAGAGGTAAAACGATGCTTTCATTGTAACGACAGACCGCGTTGAACATGACCAAAAGTACTTACATGAAGTCCATGGTAGGAACTTTGCGGGACCACTTCATGGCAATCTTTCCAACCTTTGTCCAATCCATCGCCTGCTGTTCATTGTCAATCTCGTGTCCGCCCATCTTGCTGATAAGCCGAGTGACATACTCGTTCTCGTCGAATCCTCCTTGTCCCATGCGAAGCTGCTTTGCCTTTTGTACTCCTAGATCCGCTGCATTCACCAAGACTCTGGCATCCATGGTCGCCTCATTGGTGCCGAACACTAACACGCGTATGAAAATACAAACGGGAATGCCATATCAGCAACCTAAATAGAGTAGACCTATCTCAAAGATCTCCATCATCACAGTATATCCAAAGAGATATCTCTTACCCTTCTTGAAGAGTTCATTTGCCTTTTCAACGTTTTCCAGTAGGCCGTTGTTTGTAGGATTCATGAGCTCTTTTCGGTTGGCTAGCGAGGAGAAGCGCAGACGATATATGACAGCAAGTCACTGGTTGGTTAATAGAAGCTACGTTCCAGGAAGCATGACTCATTACGATTGCTGTTCTTTCTCTCATACCTTCGGTGGTTGCGATGAGTGACCGGTACCCCTGTCTGACCTGCCGCTTTTCGAGCTTTATCCTCTCCTTTTCCTCTCTCTTTTTGGCTTCCTCCTTCTCATCTAAGACCCTAGACTGGTCGACTTCCATCCTGTTTTGATCCATCTTTAGCACAGTATTCTTGTTCTTGGTAATAAATTTTCCTTGCTTTATATCGTGTCCTTTGTTGATGAGACAGACGTGTCCGTGTCCAATGAACTTTTGCTGATGATTGCTGATGATGACCGAACAAGAGAGTGTGTTTGTGTTTTGGTGGCGACCAGGTCCAACTCTACTCTTTTCGTGCCAACGTTAAAATTCAGTGGCGTCTCAATGACGCAGTCACACAGAGAAAACAACTTGATGTTCAAGACAAACCATCCTTTGCAACACTCACCAACTCTATGGACGCATTGCCGACAGAACTTTTGCTCGCCATCATCGACTGCCTGGACCTCGACCAGGGCAGCATCGCAGCCTGCAATCGCATCAACAGACTATGGCATACCCTCACACACCAACGCCTTTACAAACAACCACGACTCGATCGACGGTTAGCACTCGAGGCCTTTGTCATCACAATCGGCGCAGTATCTGTCCCAGTGGTCGCGGACGAGTTTATACTTCACAGCTTGACAGGACGAACAGTTCACTCTCACAACCAGGAACAACAGGACAGCTCTATCTCTGACGACGTCCTCCGGATATTCCAGTATACTCAGTTCCCGTCATCATACTCGTTGCCTTCCTCTTTGACCGCCACCCGCAGACATCCAGGACGGCTGGTCGAGACGATCGACCTGTCAATGCTACCTCATCGCTGGGAGACTGTTCATATCGGGCATATCCAAGGAGTCGTTCAAGGATGCTCGCACTTGTCATCGCTCGATCTCAGCGACTGCAGCCAATTACGTGACAATGCTGTCCAGTCGATTGCAGAGGCATTGGGACCCAGGAATTTACGGTCGCTCATCTTGTCTGGATGCACCAGGATCACAGATGTGGCTGTCTTGTCTATCTGCGCACACGCTGTGGGATTGGAGAACTTGGAGCTCTCGAAATGCGATCGTCTGTCTGACATATCAATCCTCGAACTTGGATCTGCTGTCATTCAACCCACGCAAGTTCATCTGTCTGGATCTAGGTACTCTGGAGATGCGACTGAGGCAGAAGCGCTGCGGCTTCAAGGAACATCGCAGACGATACGCAGTTTGGATCTGTCGCATTGTACAAGAATCACGGATAGAGGAATCCAGGGATTGAGACAGGGCGCGGTCGGATTGACGTTGCTGAACCTGGAAGGGTGTTATGGCGTTCTTGGAAGTGTTAATGATCTGGAGGCGAATGAATGGGAGGATTTTGAGGACGAAGATGACGTTGAGCTTGACAGTGACCTTGACGTCGAAAGGTACTGAGCCCAGCCTAACACAAATAAATAGCAAAACGAAACGAAGGAAGAAAGCAATTTTTCTCACGGTCACGACATTTTTTTTCCTTTTTTTCCTTTTTGTGGGTTGTGATCTGTCGGAAGGAGATCAACGACAGCCAAGCCAGCCAAGAACCTGACATCGTCAATAGAGAGTAGTAGCGATGATAGGGATGGCAAGGTCAGCGATGCCAATGGATGGTGAGTAGCAGAAGAAGAAGAGCGCGAGAAGAAACAAAAGTCGGAAAGAGTAGGAGCGAACGAGAAGATTGGCCTTTGATCACTTTAAGATGAACTATCGGTTGTCTTGGGGTGTGCGGTGCTCCTTTCTCTCCTTCTCTCTTTCCCTTTTTCTCTTTTTCTCTTTTTCTCTTTTTCTCTTTTTCTCTTTTTCTCTTTTTCTCTTTTTCTCTTTTCTCTCCTTCCTCCTTTGCATTGTCACTTCACTCTCTTCCTCTCTCTTCTCTCTTGACCTAACTCGCCACCACACCTTCCCCCTTTGAATCTGATTCCCTCGCTCAGGAGTGGATGACACACCTCCAATTGCAGGGGATGATGACCCACAGTCTGCACCATCACCTTCCTCACACTCCTGACCCACCTCCCTTTCCAACCACGACTACCACAACTGCAGCTGACAACGCGTCTCCCGCCTCCTACTTATACCCCCCCCTCACTACCACAGCTCAACAGCGCTCCACCCTACAGAGAGACCCTGCCCTCAATAAGACTCCGATCCAAATCAACTTTCCTACTCCAGCACCAGCAGCAGCTCCTCCACACCAACGACAAAAGTCCGACCCTTCTCTCTCTGCTCTCTCCAACACCAACAACCCTTTTCCAGCAGAAACTACAGCCAACGAACAAGCAGAGCCAGGATCGATTGCTCTAGCTAACACAACCTGTCCTCCAAGACCCAGTCAACTGCAGCAGTCCTCTCCTTCGTCTTCCTCCTCTGCCTTGATCATCCCAGAACTCGCTCAAGAAGTATGCTCCTACCTTGACCGCCAAACCCTCGTCCGCGCTTGTCGTATCTCGAAACAGTTCCTCGCCTGCTGTGGTCCCCTCCTCTGGGCAGATATCCCCGAACAAGCATGGTCGAACGAGTACTTTCGTTCGCACTGGCATCTTCACGCTTCACGGATACGGACCCTTTGTTGTGCGCCTGTTGGTGTCGATTTGCCAACTGTTAGTTTGTATTGTCGTGATCTCGTCTCTCTTGATGTGTCAAGGATCTCAGGAGGAGAAGGAGAGCGTATCCGTGTTAACAATCACGATATGCAACTCCAAACGGAACAACAGAAGCGTCCCCGTGCTCAGGAACAGACCCGGGTCGGTTGTCCCTCTCCCTCCCATAGTCGATTGTCGTCCTGCAACGCCGTCATCAACAAACAAACCAGCAGCCGAGATCTCCTCTCCCACAACTCAATCAGCAACGATTTCAACAGCAGTAACAGCACAGTGAGCCAGGCCGAGTGTGATCGGACCACACACAGTGCATTCCTTCTGCTGGCAGAGGGTTTAGTCAAGGTCCTGCAGGCCAACAAGAATCTAGAATGTCTCCAGTTTAAGCCCCACGGTCGGATGCCCTCCTCTCTCCTCAAGGCCTTGGCACAGCTGGATCGACTCCGCCTTCTCTCCCTCAACGGCTGGGAAGAGTTTCAAGAGTACTCACTTCAATTGATTCTTGAGTCCTGCCCGCGCCTCTCGCACCTCTCCCTGGGAGAGAACGACTTCACACGGTTCACGCTCGAATCTTTTAGTAACGAGTACTCGACTGCGGTGGCTCCAGGAGATTTTGGAGTAGGCAAGGTGGAAGGGCCTGTTGTAAAACTGGAACGGTATGATGACCCGATCAAAGGTGGAAATGGATCGTCGGTACGCTATGTGGATCAGGATCTGTTGGATATTCACAGCAAACGGCCCGTCCTCTACCGTCCGTTATCCTCTTCATCTTTGTCAGCACCCGGCCTTACTCTGGAATATATCCATCCCCACAGCGATCACCCTAAGCCGTCCTACCAAAACAAGAGCCACCATAACGTAAAGACAACACCCCTCGGCAGTTGTCTCCAAAGCCTCTCGCTCCATCAATCAGGACTCCGCCAGGACTTTCTCGTGAACCTGACGCGACAGTGCCCTGGACTTGAACATCTCTCATTACTCGATGGATGGGGGTTCTACCCTTCCTCCCGGTTCGCAACTATCCTGTCCGAGTCCTGCCCGAACTTGCAACGGCTCGAATTCCGTCAACAGGCGTTGGATCTCCAGGACGAGTTCTTTGTCTCCTTATGTGCACAGTTTCCGGGTCTGCAGTGGATCCATGCGGGCAAGACTGGGTTCAGCCAAGGCGGATTGGAGGCTGTCAGACTGTCGTGTCATTCGATCGTTAGTCTGGACTTGGACGGCGCTCGTGGAATCCAGAGTCCGTCGTTGGATTTGCTGTTAAGGACATGTGGGTCTCTAAGGAGTCTTAGGGCCGAGGGCGTAGTTCTTAATGGCAGAGATTTGGTCAAGGATTCGAGGTGGGCGTGTCGAAGACTGGAGACCCTGGTTATTCAGATCGAGATCTGGGCTGCACCAGCTGGAGGACGATCCGAAAGTGTTGAAGAGGTACGGGAGCGCGTCTATGGTCATCTATCTGATCTCACTCGACTTCAAGTTCTGGGTTTGGGAGGTGGTCACCGTGTCAGTGGGTCAACCGCTGGAGTGGATTTGACATTAGGGAGCGGACTTGCCAAGCTAGCTAGTTTACATTGTCTGGAGGAGCTGCATATCCGATCACTGTTCCGCGCAATCCAGGTGGACGACATGGCATGGATGGTAGAGAACTGGCCGAGGTTTCGGAGGTTAGAGGTTGGGAAGAGTCCCGCGTTTGCCAGGAACAGGGGCGGGGACAATACTAATAAAGCCATCGAATGGCTGGCCCAGACGAGGCCAGGAATAGACATCCGTATTTTATAGATAAATGCACTTCTGATTATTTATTAAAGAGATCTACCAGATGCGGATATGTTTGTGGATACGGTGCACTGCCTGGATTAGCTCCATGTCAACATTACTGTCCAGCAGGATTCCCATCGACTTTAACCGCGGCCAATGGGCCAGCATCCAGACGACCTCAGGAGCCCGGACGGCATGATTCAACCCCTTGATATCCAGTCTCTCCAGCCGATTCAATGTCGACAGCGTCGATAGTCCTGTCAATAGTGACATCTCCAGAATGTTGACACCGCGATCCTTAGATCCTGCCCCCAGATGCAATGACTTTAGTTTGTCCAGCCGAGCGAGTTGTTGGTAGATCCTTTCTCGTATCTGAGCCGGCTCACCAGCAGCATAGTGGGCTCGTTTCGGCAACAGAATCTCGAGGCAGAGAAAGACTAGATGGCGACAGACCCAAACATCCTGAGCCTCCATGTCTCTCGGATTGAAATCGACCCCTCGTGCGTCCAGATACTCCAACCTGGGACACTGTGTCAACACTGCCAAGACCGACCGACTCTCAATGGATGTAGAGAACCCAATGTCGAGTACTTCTAGTGAAGAAGCACTGTTCTGTAATAAGACCTGGATATCCGCGTTCGTGAGACTGGAGTTTGTTGCTCGGAGTTCCTTGAGGCATGGGAAGTTTGTAAACAGGGTCGTGAAAAAGTCGTCCGTGATAGATTGGTTCGTAAAGTTGACGTGTCGCAAGGATGGGGCCGCCTTTGCCAGGGTGGTGATGAATTCGCTTGTGAGACGAATTCCGTAACATCCTTGCATAGAGAGACTCTCCAGTTCCGGACACCTTGACACAAGGTTGAGCACCACTCCCTCGTGCAAAATTGCCGACCCGTCCAAAATCAGTGTCCGGACCTTGAACATCGACCTCGTCTTTGACAACGGCTGCTGTGTCGATACTGTTCCCGCTCCTGTTCCGGCATCTGGCAAGGGAGCATCCAAGCGGAGGTTGTCGAGTTGAAACGGATACAGTGAGTTGTAGCCCAAGGAGAGGGTCTCGATATGCGGACAGGCCTCAAGAAGCGCCACGATAGCCTCCTGATGAATACCCTCCCAATGCTGCAAGTACAGCTCCTTCAACTCCGTCATCCTCTCAACCTTGCCCGCAACCACCTGGAAAAGCGCTCTATCCAACCTCAGCCTCAAACTCAACAGCCCTTCTGCATTATTCTCTAGAATCTCTTCCAGAATCTGAGCATTCAAAAATCGAAGCTGCTCACTATCCAAATGTGTAAGAGATTGGCATTCCCGCGTGGCGAGGACTTGGATCTGAGATTTGGCGGCACAGGTGACCTTGCGGAGGAGGTGAGCGTTCCTGCAAAGGCCTTGGTAGATCCCTTCAAAGACCCAGTCGTCTGCCCCAAAGGAAGCCCAGATCTGGGATTGGCAGTAGAGGGGGAGGGACAAAGCGCTGGTGCTGCAGACAAGGGCGCCTTCGAGGAGGGAGGAGGGAGGGAGGAAACTGTAGATGTGTTGCCAGAGTTCGAGCGGGAGGTTCAAATAAGATGGAGTTGTTGCAGGTGCGGATGCATCGTTACATCCTGTTGATTCAACGACTGTGGCAACCATTTTTTGATCGTGGTTGGGGTTACTTTTTGCAGCTGCTGATCTCTTGATCTTCTGATTCCAGAAATGAGGGTCTGGGTTGATCAAAAGGGAAGAAAATGAATGGCAGCCAAGACACTTTCAATAGAATAGGAGTGAAGTGAGGTCGGTTTGTAAGCAAAAAAATACCTGAAGGCAAAACGTTTCTCCGCTCCTTCCTGGGCCAGTCTCAACTTCCGGTATTGATCAGTCCTGAATCGCTTTGAAATCGACGACGAAGTAAGAGAATCAGCCAGAGAGTGGTAGAGACGCGTTCTGCATGGCAGCATGCCCATATTCACCTACAAGCAACATACAAAGTCCTTTTGGCGAATGTGACATTTAGGGTTAGTGGTGGATCACTCCTGGCACGCGTTGTTTGGCCACTGATCCACTGATCACTTCAATGATTTATTAGGCACAGCAGTCGATGTGAAGATTAGGGTGGGATAGCTGTAACGCGACCATGTCGAACTCGTTGCTAGAAGATACAAAGTCTAGGTGCTGAAGTGACGGGGACGCTTTAATGATCTCAACAATCTCATTCGTCTTCATGCTGGACCCACGACGATACGCCCCCGTCCGTCTTCTATTCGCGATCTGAAGTCTCTGGACGTACGGAAAACAAAGATCCTCATCCAAACGACCACCATCACAAACAACAACAGCACCAGCAGCAGGCTCTGAATTTTTTACAAGGCGAACGAAAAAAAAAAAAAAAAGAAAAGAGAAGAAAAGAAAAGAAAGGACTCTCCGCTTCGTGAAATGAGGACGGTTGAGCAGCGCCGGTTGCTCTTCCTTTCAATCAGGTTTTGTTTTCGAAACAAGGACACAACTTGAATTTGATCCAACAACGTACAATTATTAAAGGCTATGGTAAAATGTCTATGGAAGAACAAAGAACAAAAAAACAAAACAAGGCAGAAACAAAAAAAACCTACAGCTAGATACCGTCGGTTGTGACAAGCTTGATCATGGTCTCGACAACAGGGTTCTCAGAAATACTCAAGTCCGGGTTGGCAATCTTGGCCTGAAGAAGAGCATCCAGCAACTTCTTCAGCTGGTTGACCAGTACGCCAATTCTTGCAAACGCCCTCAGCTTGATAAACCCATCTCCAATCTCCAGTCCGCGACCTAAGTGATCAACCTGCACTTGTCCTCCAAACAGTAACAGCCCATACATCGGCACCATCGTTGCATCGTGCACAAAGATCTTGCTTGTCTCCAGCTTGGAAAAGTACACTAAGAAAGGAACTTGGTACTGGTTGGCCTGGAACAGGATCGAGGACGGATGCAGGAAAACACGACCGTCGTCCTTGGTAAACATGCGGATCTCCTTGGTCACCGTGTCGCGCTCGACCGCGCCAGCAATCATCTTGTCAAACTTGGCGTCGGGCATCTTGACCTTGATCACATTCGGGTATAATCCAGACAAGATAATGGCCTTGACCAACGCCATATTGTCCGAATGCATATTATCAGCCTCCGCGGAACATCTCTCTGACCGGCGACGGCTCCTGCTGTTGCCATTATCTCTGGAAGTGAACCCAATCGAGTCCAAGACTTCGAGATACTGCGACTTGAGGTTCTGTATCTCAAAGAGCGTGTTGGTCGACAGGAAGTTCTCCTCACAGTACGACTTGAGCTCCGATCGTCCTGCGCCATTGTCTCGGAGTTTCTCCCAGGTGTCGTACGCCTTCCACGCAGTCAACAAGTCGGATTTTGCTGTCGCAAACTGTTCCTTCTTGGTCTGCGCTTCATTTCGCTTGTCCATGGGCGATACAAAGGGGCTTTTGACACTCATACAAGAGGCCACCACCAAGATCGGCTCCAGGCATCTGAACACAGCTCCAAAAATCAACATCTTGGCAACACGCAAATCCGCAGGGATATCCGCCATGTGCTTTCCGAGAGGTGTCAGCTCACCCGTTGTTCCATCAAGGGCATTGAGGTCCTCCAGGGTCTTGAGTGCGGTTTGGATAGCTGCCAAAGAAGGAGGCGTAAGGGCCTTGCCGAGGAAGGCTTCTACGTTCTTTTCTTCCATAGCCTTGACGGACAGACAAAGTTGCTCCAGAGGGATACGCAAGATTTCAGGGTCCTGCTGAGGCGCCAATTTAAGCGACTGCTTCCTCGTGAAGAGCTTGTAGACAATACCAGGACGGGTACGGCCAGCACGACCCTTACGCTGGCGGGTAGACGCAAATGACGTCCAGGTCTCCACCAGTTTGGTCATGTTGTTTTCCATCCTGGTCTCCTTGACACGTCCCGAATCAATTACATACACCACTCCGTCACTATCGATCGAGTATTAGTTAATTCATTCAGAAAAGGTCATTTCTCGTAAGTAAATTGAACGTCAATGTGCCACGTGCCAATGAAGCCTGGAAGTTGTGTGAGAGTTGATTAAAAAGGACAACTTACATGGTGATACTGGTTTCGGCAACGTTGGTCGCAACCACAATCTTGCGGACACCCTTGCGGACAGGCGCAAAGATGCTGTTCTGCTCCTTGGGGGTCAGGGCGGCGTGAAGGGGCATAATGTCCAATGTTTGAACGACTGATCTTGAAAACACCGTCAGGGCATCGATCGCTCTTTTAATCTCCATGACACCTAGTTTTGTGAAGCGAAAGAGAACATTAGGAAAAGGTATGATATCACAAATGCCAACTCGTTACAATGCCAAAAATAAGGTTGTACCTGGTAAGAAGATGAGGATGGCTCCGTCGACGCTTCCAGCGGGTTCCTTGCGCTTCAAGATATCGCCGACACTGGCAACAATGAGGTCATAGTCGATGCGCTCGGCGTACAGCTCCATGGTCTTGACTTTGGCAATGGTCTCCTCGTTCAATCCCTCTTTTTCGTATTCGGCTTTGGTCCTTTCCCACTCTTCCTCCATGGCCTCGGTCATTTTGGTGCGCTTCACGTTTGTGCCCTTATAGTCGGGCTTGTGGCCAGTGCGGGCAACGATCTGCTCCATGTAGAGCTCTTCGACCGGGTGAGTGAATCCTGGGATCTCATAGACAGGGCAGCCGTCAAAGTAGGCAGAAAAGAACTCGCTGTTGATCGTGGCCGACATGAGAATTAGCTTCAGGTCCTTGCGCTTGCGGACCAGCTCCCGGAGGAGGATGAGCAAAAAGTCCGAGTCGACGGAACGCTCGTGCACCTCGTCCACCATGACGTGAGTGACATTCTGGAGTGTGGGATCCGAATGCAAGCGGCGCAAGAGGATACCGGTGGTACAGAACAGCAGTTTGGTGTTCCTGCTCGACTTGTTCTCTCCGCGAATGGCATATCCGACCTGCTGCCCAGTGTCTGTCGACCGCTCAACAGCGACACGCTCAGCAACACCGATAGCGGCAATACGACGAGGCTGTGTGCAAACAATGTTGGCATGCTCTCCAATGGCCTCCTGAATCCAACTGTCGAGGATGAACTGAGGCACCTGGGTTGTCTTTCCGCATCCAGTCTCTCCGCACACAATCACGACAGAGTTACCCTTGACGGCCTTCACCAACTGTTCCTTGAAACTCCACGCAGGAAGCTTGGCGCGAGCCATCTGCAGTGCCTGAAAAGAAATGTCGCTGGCGAGCAACTTTTCGTAGTCCTTGAGCATGGCCATCGAACCAGGGCTGTTAGGTTTGATATTGAGGGGACGAATACCGCGCTTCTTGCCGCCCTTGGCGCCAGGTGCACCGTTGAGGCTCAGTTTAGAACCAACAGCCTTGACCAAAAGGGAGTCGCCATCCTCTGCCTGCAACGCCAAGGACTCCTGATTTTCCTCCTCCTGTGAAAGGTCGACTGTAATCAAGCCTTCGGTTAGCTGAACCAAACTGGGAGGGTTGTCCAAGATATCCCGCAAGTTCTCCTGGATCCACTCGACGACATCGTACACGATGGGGCCACCCATCGCCATGACCATGGTCCTGTAGGCGAACTGCATGGTCTTTTGGATAATGCTGAGACGGAGGTATGAGGGCAGATCGGGCTCGTGGATGATGAAGAGTGGTGGTTGGTTGAAGGGATAGGTCGAGGTCGAGGATATCCGGATCTCGAGTTCAATTTTAGGAGCGTTCTTTGTGTTGTGGAGGGTCGTCTCTAGCTTGATCTTGGCGCAGCTCTCATCGTCGCGCTGGAAACGATCGTCGTAGATACTCTCCAACGCCAGCATCTCGTCGTCTCGGAGCTCCTTCAACTGTTCGGGCGACTCTGGTTCCATGGGGATATCCTGTACCATATCGTCTGGGATATGTCCTTTGGGGAATGCAAGTCGCTTGAAGAGCTCCTCCATGGCCCTGTCCTCGTCTCCACCGACCATGTCATAGATCTGTCCGCATGTTGCGGAGGTGAATCCAATAGCTGAAAGGCGCTTGATGGCATACTCGCGACCCAGCGAGGCAGAGGTGTGGTTGATGGTGGTGATGGTTGGGTTGTAATTTGACTGAAGGAAGCTGGCAGGCAGATCATCCTCTGGAACGTGAAGGCCTAGAATTATTGAAGTGCTTGCTGGTGTTAATGCGACCTTTTCTTTGCGGACATCATTAAGGGCAAAAATAATGCCGTGCACCGCATGAGAAAGTGACTTACAGAGCCAGTCGAGGGCAGACGGTTGGTCGTTGCAGTACTGAAGAGCCTCGGCAACGTGGCGATCCCGGAATCCCATACGCGTGAGTGTCTTGGAAAGGGCAGTGTTGTACATTGGTTCTCCTTGTGTTCCATACTCCTCGATGTACTATATAGGTCGTTACGAAAAGTATAAAAGGTCAACAATATACCCACTTCCAGCGTGCCGCAACAAGGAAGCATTACCTGCACCAAAGAAAAAAAACTTACAGTTTGGTAGAGCTCGCCTGCCATTTGCTTCTTGACAACATCCTCGACTTCGGCGCGCATCTCCTGGTTCATGTGAACCATAGGCAGCTTGTCCCAGTTCTTTTGGCTACGGTCATCTTTGCCTCCTATCCCTCCTCCAAGTGCGGATCGACTAGCGTACTCACTGGGGCCATGGTGAGTCGGGATGTCGTCGTCATCCCTCTTGGCGTTGCTTGCTGCCCTAACCTTGGCCTGATCCTGCAGGGCCTGTTGATGACTCTGCTGCTGGAGCTGCAGTTTGGCGGCTTGGCTGATGAATGGGTCGGGGAGGTAGAGGTGTTGTTCGCTAGGACCTGCCTTGTTCTTTTCGTCGTCGAGTCGGGTCCAGAGGTCGCGAGGGCCTGGCGGGAGGACCATGACCATGTTTTTGTGGCTGTTGACTCTGTGCAGAGCGTAAGTTGCTCCGTAATGGCGTGCCTCGACAGCCGTCGGTTTAAGGACATCCTTGGGTGTGAAGGATGTTGTTTCGATCTGTCCTGTCTTTTTGTTCCGTTTGCCCAGTACAATCGTGCACACAAACCCCCGCGGTGTCCGTTTCTAATCATCAGGAATGAAAACATTAGTGTCTGTTTGATATGTATCGCTCCCTTACGGAACATACCTTCCATCACGAAGGATGAACGTGGTCGTGTTCGCTTGTCTTGTTTCGTTTACAGCATATGCATCTTCTATCACCTCGTTGACTTACGACGTCAAAGGTGGGTTTCTCCCAGTCGTGCTTTTGACAGTGCTCGTGCAGGAGGGATGAAGGCGTCTTTCCGGTCCAGCCAGGAAAGATTGCGCGTGCTGGCTCGGGTGTTGGAGGAGCCTCCTGAAGAGCACCTTTACCACCTTTTCCTGACGCTACTTTTGCCGGCGCACTCTCCGCTTGTGACGCCGACTTGCCTATTTAATTGTTTATTGACAACAAGAATTCTGTTAGTATTTTGTGATCATGCCGTCATCATTCATCTTGTTGTTCATTGATCTGTTGGTGGCGAGTGAGGTGTCAACATACTCTTTTTGGAGTTGTTTTTTGACATTCACAGCGTAGGGATGTATTCGGTTGTCTGATGAAGGAGAGAATGTGATGAGAGAATGAAAGACAGGAGGGGAAGTGTGTGTTGAAAGAGTAAGGGTGTGTACAAAGTAGATCTTTTATTTTTCTTCTTAAGAATGTAGGGTGACTGTCTGGTTGGAAAGAGCTGAACAACCGGACCAAATGGAGCCAGGAAAATGAAAATGAGCGCTTGTCCAAATAAAACTTTTTCTTGCAACTCGTTGGGGATGTTTATCGCTGTCATTATCTCTCTGATTCTGCTTCTGCTTACTTTCTTTCTTTTTTCACTCTACAGTAGTCGCTTTGGAGTTGTAACTGTCCATGGGGTCCATGGGGCCGAAGGATCAATGGAGCAAACACATAGAATAACGCAGGCAAAGGCACATAAGTAAGGGACTATAGGATGCACGCTTGATCCCCGACGTGAAGACGGACCACTTGACAGATCTGGACCCTTTTCGAGGGTGAGAATGGCGAGGCACAGGGTGGGTTGAGCGCATGCCAATTGAAGAAGAAGGAATGGGAGAACGGACTATAGGGATCGATGACGAGAGGGTGCAGGAAGAGAGAGACATGGAGATGTAACCTTCGGTCGATTCTGAGCACAGAACGCGGAAACGTGGGGTGGCGTGTTGCTCTCGTCTTTTCTGTGAAGGATGAGGAAAAAGGGTGCCCTGTACCTCTATGAGGATGGAGATGATGGCGTATTTGTTTGTGGTGAACACTTGACCTAGATCTACAAATGAGGGGGTGAACGGACCAGGGTTCATTCTCCGGGTGAGGTCCCTTATAACCCTTGTCGATTTTTCTTTTCTTTTTCTAGAGAAGGTATTTTTAGCAATGGATCGTCTGGCTGGGTGTGTTCTTGTTGTTGTGCAGGATGGTGGACCTAAAAATAATGGAATCGAGAAGGGAACAAAGAACAAAGGCTGGAGTGTCTTGTCTTGGCTGGTCCCTTTTTTTTTGTTTCGTTTCTCCCTCGGTAAAAGACGAGGTTATCGATCTGTGTGATTTTTCCAATACCCACGAGAGAGTAGGGAATGGAGAAAAGAGAAAAGAGAAAGACGCTGTTGTCTGTAGGAGATGGCGGTAATGAATCATTTTAATCGACAATTCATTTTTTTTCAGGCACCAGGGACTGTGATACAATAATGATCATCATTCAACGGACGGTCTTGGTTTTTGCAATCAATCAATCAATCAGTCAATTGGCATATTTCACACTATTACAATAATATCGCTTCTTTTCTTTTCTTTTCATTTCTTCCCTTCCCTTTCCTTCTTTACTTCTTTCCTACATCTCACTCTCTTCACCTTCTTCACTCTCTTCGCTCCCTTCGCTCCTTCTCCTTCTCCTTCTCCTTCTCCTTCTCCTTCTCCTTCCCCTTCTCCTCCTCACCTCCACTCTCTCTTTCACCTGCTTGTCTACTACCCTCTCAAATATACCCACTGCACACAATGCCTCCCTCTCCAGCACTCCTCGACAACCAGGTACATACACTACATAACCTTGACTCACTCCTGTTCCTTCATCACAAACACCACCTTCCAACTACAATCACTTTCTCATTCAACGACAACCGTCACTGATCATCATCTCAACAACAATAAGTTAATCTCAGAAAAGAGAAAAGAGAAAAGAGAAAGAAATACAACAAACAACAGCAACAACTCTCTTTCCTCTCCGCACTCAACCTGTTTCTATTTCCCGCCACTTTTTATTCGAAAACAACCACCAGCAGTTGTTGTCTTATTATTGTTATTATTGAAAGACAACACAGTCGCCCCGACCTGGCTGTTGTAGTGCTAATTGAACGAACGAGCAAAAGACCGACAGAGTCGTTCTACAGAAGGTCCCAGCTCAAATGGCAATATACCATTACATCGCGCAGGACACAGGAGACAGGGCACATAAGACAAAAAAAACTAAGAAGATAGTTCTCAACAACCAAAAGAAAGACAAGAAAAGAAACGGCTGGACATGAAAACTAATGATGCTATCGTTCCCTTATGCTTAATATGTGTGCTATTGTTACTTTGAGTAGGAATCATCATTACCATCAGGGGTAACATCCGTGCCCTCCTCGCCTATAGTCTGCGGATCATTGCCTGAACATACCTCCGATATGACACCTATCCACACCCCCAAGGCCGCTGCTGCCGAGACACCTTTATCATCATCGTCATCATCACCGACACCAACATCAGCTGTATCGCCCACACAGGAAGATATTATAAAACTCGACGACAATGATGACGACTACACCTTCTACATGGACAACAGCCCCTGTCAAGTCTCCAAAACCGCCCAAAACAGCGAACTCGCAGGAGAAGAAGACGACGACGACGACAAAGAAGACGAAGAGGCAACCATATCGACAGTCTATCCTCACAAGACCAATAGCAGCAGCTCGCTGGCGACTGTTGCTGAAAGCGCCATGGAGAAGCTCGTCGGTATCGCCATGATGGTTCCCGATGCCCTCATTACCGCCGACGACGATAAAGACGACAATAGCCTCCGTCAGTACCGCGACTCTCGCCACCCTCCGGAACATGCCGAGAGTGAAGTCTACCTAGAGGATAATGAGTTGGAGACAGGGGGCCATGCGACCAATGTACAACAACAAGATCAGCCGGCACAACTGACGAATCAAGGCAATACAGCACTGTCAGCAGAGTCAACAACAACAACAACAACAACAACAACAACAACAACAACAACAACAAAAGACGAGAGCGCCGACATCCCTGCCTCACTCGCCACTTCCTCGTCTGCCTCTTCCATCATCAGCGCAGACTCGAATTCTTCGTCTGACACCCAGACCATTGGCGCCTCAAAGGACATCTTGACGGAGGGTCAGGCATTTGCCTATGTGGGACTGTGCTTGGTGACCTCCAACACGTTGTTCCAGGCACTCGAGGGGACTGAGACTGCCCACGCCAAGCAATCCCTCGAGAGCTTTGTCTCCAAGCTCATCAACCGCCTCTACAAACATCTCGACATCGATGCCAACAGTAAGTTTTTGACTTTTTCTTTATAGTTTATTGTTATTGGATGTAATATTTTCAAAGAGCGCCTTGTTTTTTTGCCAATCTTTTCCCTTTTTCCCTTGTTCGAGATGGATGGGATCCTTGGATCCTTCCATTCAGCCATATTACCCACATATTGGCATTTTACATTCTCTGTTATTTTGTTGAGCATTTTATTCCTTTCTCCTCATGCTACTCCCTTTTTTCCCACTCTATGCATTGAGGTGTGAATGAGGGTGGTTCATTTGCGTGCTCATTTTTTTTTTTCAAATATCCCGAAATGAAAATACGGGATAAACCTTGAGCATCCATCCTACTCATCCACCTTGTCCAAACTCTGCCTCCACGAGGAAGGGAGCCCGCCTGTTCCAATTGTCTTCCTCTTTGTGGATTGGATGCCAGTCCTTTGTTCCGTTTTGCATCGCCCCTTCTGCCATCGCAAAGCGATCGCCCTTTTCATCCCATCTCCTCGAATTACCCGCTATTGGCTGTTGCCTTTTGTTCCTCGTCACTTTCTCACGCCACGCCACTCACCAAACCGCGTTTTCTTTTTTCCACCTTAACAATAGCCCAACGGACCATTGCGCAATTGCCCCAAATGATGCTTCAGCCAGAGGACTTGCTGGAATCGTTTGTTGCCGACGGAACACAAAGGGTTGTATCATCCCAGCAGGTGGATCAGGCTGGCCTATCCATCAGCCGCTCTTCAACCTCGACAACCTCCCTCCACTCCCGCAGCCCCTCCAGCTCAAGTCTCAATGGTATCTACAAGGCCCAGCAGCCACCACAGGAAACGACCAATGGGACGCCCGTTGTCGGATACGACAGCAGCACCGGCAGTGTATCAGCAACTTCAACTTCTCCTATCGCAAGCGTACCTCGGGAATCTATTTCGTCGCAGATGAGCATGCCCTCTCTTTGCGCCGCCCCACAAGAAACGTTGTCGACAGAGCCGACGCTTGTGGAGGAAAACCAAACAGTGGAGCCTACAACGACTGCATTGAGCCAGTCAACGACGCTTGTTGATGAGTTTCCTTTTGCCCCAACGACAACAGCACGGGTATCAACGAGCAACCAAAAGGCTATTACCGTCGACTTGCGCTGGACGCTGATTGCTGATCTCTTCTTGATCTCTATCTCGGACTCTGTCTACGATTCCCGGGCTCGAGTCCTCCTCAAGACGGTCGGAAAGCACTTGGGCCTGGACTGGGACGAGATTGTGCTCTTTGAAAAGGGGGTCATGAAGCAACTGCAGCAGCAGCAGGCAACCACCAGCGACGGACTCTTGAAACCCGACATCAAATCTAGAAACGACGAGTCACGGAAACGCAGGATGATCATGATGGGTCTGGCCACTGTCGGTGGGGGACTGGTCCTGGGACTTTCAGCAGGTCTGTTTGCTCCCGTTATTGGGGCCGGCATAGGAGCTGCTTTGGCCGGAGCACACATCACTGGAGCGACAGCAACGGCGGCCTCGGCGTTCTTGGCGGGCAGTGGTGGTATTGCGGTGATTACCAGCGGAGCAGCTGTGACGGGGTCAGGATTGGCGATGAAGAAGATGGCCAGGAGGACAGCAGGAATTGACACGTTCGAGTTTTTGACCATCCACGATCATAAGAGGGCTAATGTCATCTTGACCATCTCGGGATGGCTTGACATTGGAGACGAGGATGCTTCCCTTCCCTTCTCGACTCTGGATCCAATCAACGGAGATCAATTTGCCCTCTTCTGGGAACCAGAGATGCTCATGCAGCGTACGTTTCGCAAGTCCTTGTCGCAAAATACCATGACGATATCAGAAGGCGCGAGACCGACTAACATTTGCTATACCTTTCACCGATGTAATAGTGGGCAATGCACTGGGATTGTTGGCGACGGAGGTGATTACATTGACGGCGCAGGAGATCTTGAAGCACACGTTGCTCCAAGCACTACTCTCGGCTCTGGCATGGCCCATGGCGCTGACAAGGCTGGGTTATCTGATCGACAACCCCTGGAGTATCGCATTGGACCGCGCCAAGCTTGCCGGCCTTGTCTTGGCAGATTCACTCCTCATGCGGTCCTACCTCGGCTTCCGACCCGTCACTCTTGTTAGTCATCTATTTTTTCTTGTTGTGTATGTGTACCCATGCCATTGTTTTTTGCGGAGCAAATTATTTATTAACCTCCTCATGTGTGGACTTGTTGAACATCATATAATAGGTGGGATACAGCTTGGGTGCCCGTGTGATCTTTTACTGCTTACTGGAATTGGGACGCCTGGACGCATTTGGAATCGTTGAGGACGCTTATCTTTTTGGCGCGCCCATCACGGCCTCCGATAACCAATGGCGCCAGGCACGCAGCGCTGTCGCCGGCGATTTCGTCAATGGTTACCTCCGTAACGACTGGGTCCTCGGCTTTCTATTCCGCGCCACCACAGGAGGACTTGGCACCGTCGCCGGACTGCGACCCATCAAGAACGTCCCCGGTCTGACCAACATGGACTTGACAACCCATGTCGAGGGCCACCTGGACTACCGCGTCAAAATCCCCGTGTTGATGAAACTCATGGGTCTGAAGATCACCTCAGAATCCTTCCTTGACAAGGAGGAAGCCATCCTGCACCAAAGGACTCTCAAGATCAACCCGAATGAGACCCTGAAGGCTCCAAAACCGATGATGCCGTCCAAGGCCGAGTTGGCGAAATCCGGAGCCTTGACCGAGAATGAAAAGATGCAGCTCGAGGTTGCCTTCCGACGACAGGCACCCTTGGCCAAGATACCCGACCTGGATTCGATCAAGGGTCTGACACCGGAAGAGAAGGAGGCTCTGAGGGAGGCGCTTTCGAGTGCACAGGCTGCTCAAGGCTCTCAATCACCTATTGCTGAGACGGACTTCCGGCGACGGTAGGAGGTAGCCATTGTCATTGTGAATTTCGTGTCTACTTGCGACTTCACGTCCTGGACGCTGTGACCATTTGCAAATAGGACACATAATAAACCCGGCCCTTTTTCTGTATCATATCATCTTTAAAGCATCTGGTTGTACCTTCCTACAGAGATTACATTGCAAAATGCGTCTATTGTATTGTATTATTACTCAAAGAAGGTAATGACTTTGACCTTGGGGATCAAACGCTCTAAAAACCGAGCAGGGTTGAACTGCTTCGGATTAACATCAGGTGTGATTTGGATGTGGAGATGTGTGAGCGATGGAAACGCAGCTATGAAAAGTCGAATCTCGCACAGCTCCAGTGGTCGGGTGGTTTCCTTTCGTTCCGGATCTCCTCCAGATATCTCGTGGACGCCTGTCAGCTTTAGAACCTGGACGGTTGGAAATGAAAATTCCATTTTTGGTTTCGGTGCATTCCTGTTCCCATTGTTCTGTCGAGTGTCGCCTGTTGTCCTGCTTCCAATAGAAGCGAGCTCTGAAGCAGAGGGCGGGTAGGATACGAGGTCTCGGAGGTGTTGAATTGAGATCTGAAGTGTTCTTAAACCACTGAATTCCTGGAGTCGGGCGAAGAACTGAACCGCCAGGGGCTTGTCGAGGAATGGCACGTCGGAGACGTGAAGTTGTCGCAACGTATCCTGGCATCGAATGGGCAGCAGCAACAAATCAATTGACAACAGCCCCTCCAAAACTTGCTGAGAAGAGAAGGAAAGGTCCACGTCCTGCACAGGCCTATCATGGTCGACATGTAGTTTTTCGATTTGCAACGCCTCCAGGTGGGCCAACCCCTGCGTCAAGGCGTCCACCAAGAGTTTGTCTGACTGATTCAGCCGTCCTATGATCAGGAGCGACTTTAACGGATGTGGAGTGCCGTGCTTTTGTTCGTGCTGTTGCAGGACTGACCCCAAGGTCGATAGGTCTGGATCTGACCTGAAAAGCTGAGAATGCATCTCCAGAGTGTGAAGTTGAGGGAAAAACGCGATCAAATCCGGAATTGTGGGCGATCCTGTGTTGATGTCCTGGAGATGGATTCGTAGGGTACGGAGGCTACAACAATATGTCGAGAGTGTTGACCATGTATCGATGGGGATGTCCTGCCATAGTCCTCGCATGTCCAGCTCTTCCAAGTAAAGCATCTTCCTTATAATCTGCTGGAATGTTGGGATGTCGAGTATCTCTGGTTTGAAATCCAGACGGCGAAGTTGGTATTCCTTGGGGGAGAGTGATTGTTGAGGGGTAGGCTGTTGATCCTTGGTGGTGTCGCCCGCATCTTGGTCAATGGGCGCTCGGATACGTCTAGCATGGACTTCAGGAAGACTCCCAGGTGTAGTATCCTTCCTCAGCAGCTCAAAAGATCTTCTAAGCCATCGCTCAAAAGCACCCTTTGGTCGGGGTGGATTGTACCAGGTCTCATACGTGACACGATACCAAAAGTGAAATGTCCTCAATGTCGGACAGCACTCAAGGAAACTCGCAAAAAGGGCTGGAGTGGTGTAGGTTGACTCGTATGACTTGGTAATATGAGTGCGGACAGTTAGTTCTTCGAGGCGAGGCAGCTGCGACAGGCTCCAAAAAAAGGAGGGATCGAAGTGCGAGAGGTCAAAGTCGATATGAAGGGTTTTCAAGGGCGCTGACCGGAGACTAATAAAAAATCGTTCGAGGGTTGCATAGGTGGACCAAAAGGAGTCGTTGCGGGCGTAGAGCATAACGCTTGTCAAGTTTGGACAGGTGTTTGCGATGAGCCTCAAGTCTTTGTTGATGATAGTGCCACACACAAGATGATGGACGTGTACACCGTACCGTTGGAGGAGAATGGTCTTACTGGGCCTTGTTTCTGGCCAGACGCGAAAAGACCTCCACCGAAACGGGGCCAAGTGCCTATGAGAAAGGTCGAAATGACATCAGGGTTAACAGGGTGCCAAACATAAAGAAGCTTTTAAATGACAGGGTTCCTTACCTCTCCCAGTGGTGACAGACAAGGCTGAATTTCTCTATTGGGACGCAGTAAGAGTCCAATAGGTCCAGTACCCGCTCTAGTACAGCTGAGATGGCAATGGCTCTGCCGCAGGCTGAAATGGTGTTATTGCTGTTTGCTGGCATGTGCCGTTGTGTGTTCATCTGAAAGTGGAAGTGGAGGTTATGAATGTGGCTAGGACAGGGATGGGACAGAGGCGGGATGGAAGTGAATCTTTTTTAAAAAAGTGGATGAAGGCCGAAAGGAAGATGAATGCAGGGAAAAGGAAAAGGAAAAGAAAGAGGGACAAAAGAGGCGGTTGGCAGGAAAGGAGAGTGAGAGTCAACAAAAGGGTGAATGGAAGAAAAGAAAAGAAGGATAGCTAGGCAGTGCTAATTAATCTGTAAAATAGGGTGTCCTATGGAGCAATAGCAATAGTCGGCGAGGAAGAGGGGACTCCTCCTCTGATGATCACAATTTAAGACCAAGGAGGTTGGTGGCGTTTTGGCCACTATATCGGGTACTTCATCCGTTTTGACGTTCTCAAACTGCCTCCAACGCACAAAAAAACATTCTTTCAAGGCGATATGCAAAAGGAGGAAAGAGATAGGATTGATGCCTACATTTGGTTAAGTTAGGGCAAGGGCAGACAATCAAAATCGACTAAGACGAAAAAAGTGAAGAAAAGGCAGAAGAAGGGGAGAGAGGGTGAGGTATGAAGCGCATGATAGACACAAACACAAACAAAAAAAACAATGGGTGACCAGGGTATGCATGCCCTGGCTTGACAATGAAAGGGCAAGGGCAAGGGGAGGAGGTGAGGAGAGGGAAAGTTGTTCCAATGGCGACAGACGGTGGGTGCGTGATATCAGCTTCGATACAAATGTGGCCAAAGACGAAGTGTTAGCTTCTATGCCTTTGTTAAAGAGCAGCGCCAGGTGTGAAAGAAGAGATGAGTATAGAAAAGTGATTGAGAGGGAACGAGAGTTGGTTCGTGTGTATGTTATCACCCCGAACGAACGTGAATGATGCCGCTGCAGCTGCTGACACATGCTCTTTAGCAAAAGAACAAAGAGGACAACGAGTAAGCGAGAACACGCGCCACCAAAAGTCCAAGCTGGCAACCCAAACAGTGATATCTCATCCTGGCACATTTCCTTTTTGAGACAATCGGTCTCGGACACTCTGATCAAATGGATCGAAGGGACCAAGGAGCGACGACGGATGTGAAACTGATTGAAGAGAAAAGAAAGAAGTGTCAGATGTGAGCCCAGGTCGGACGTCTTTTTCCTTCTCTTTGATTCTTTGTATGTCTGTGCTTGGGCTGACGAGAGGACTGATGTACCCTGGCTCAGTTGGCTCAAAAGAAAGAGCGAGAAAGAGGAGAAAGTTTTGGCGGCAACCTGATCCAGTTCGAAAGTCGAGTGGTAGCTGTCATTAAATAGCAGGAGGGAAACATAGTACAAAAGGGTGAACACAAGGGAGTCAGGGAAAGGCAAGGCATCAACAAGACGAGTGCAAGGAGTGACATGATTAAAGAGAGAGGGAGGGAGAGAGAGAGAGAGTTAGTGTGTACAGAAGGGCAAAAAAAAAAAGAGAAGGCGAAACTCCGCAACAACATGAGCGGACGAAAGGAAGAAAGAGTGCGCTGAACGGATCGAAAGGTATTGCTAAATAGTTACACACATCAGCAACAGCATTGCAATGGGGAGGACATGTCAGTCAGTCAGCAAGTCAGTCAGTCATGGTGGTCATGCCTCCCCCTGCAAGTCGCCTACCCCTGGTATGATATATACACCTCATTCCTCATGCTCGTATGTCAATTGTCCCCGTTAGATGGATCGGATGCCCTTTTTTTTTCCTTGGTCTATCGTGGTCAATTGGAGCTTCTCTCGACGCTCTTTCAGCGTTGTTTTCGTTTGAGTATAACGACGGGGCACGAGGTTCCTGTTCTTATTGACCGTTCAGCCTCTTTCTTTTTCTTTTTCTTTTTCTTTTTCTTTTTCTTTTCGTTCCCTAACATTGTCCACATATCCACCTTTCCTTTTCTTTCCTTAACATTGTCCTCCTTTCCTTTCTCTCCTTCACCCTTACTTCTCTCCACCCTCTCCTTTTTTTCTTTCTGTGGGTGTTGTTGTTGCTGTTCGTCATCGTCGTTGTTGTTCGCTGCTCTCATTTTTTTTACCTTTTCTTATTTCCTTGTTCATCTTTTGTTGTTCCTGCTCACCCCACCTTGCTTTCTTTTTCCTCTTCACTCACTCCCCTCAAAGTTCACACCTCTTCACTCTCCTTCCTCTCTCCTCTCCTTCCTCACTTGGAGTGTGTGTGTGTGCTCAGCAGTCAGTCAACTCCCTTCCCTTCCTTCACTCGCTCCTACTTTTACACTCTCACTCTCACTCTCACTCTCACTGCACTGACTGCATTTCCTCTCTCGCCCACTCTCTCCTTCTTCAATCCATCTAACCAACTGCTACCCCTGATTAACAAAAGAGCGAAAGAGAAAAAGAGACATGCCCGCCATGTTGTCGACTGTCTCGCTGATCGACCCCACCACCCTCAACCCATCCTTCTCGGGTCCAGACACGAGTCGTATGGGTCGACCCGCCGTCATCATCACCAGGGGTGACCAACAGACTGCTGTTGACCAGTTCCAGCTCCTTCTTACAAACGCCAAGGCATATCGACTGCAGATGCTTGCCCTCTCCAAGGCAGCGGCTTCCTTTGGTTATGCCCTCGAGAAAATCGCACACTCCAAGGCCTCTGTCCGCGACCCTACCAACGTCTGTATGTCGTCTTTCTTTTCTTTATTACACGCAATACGCCCAGGCGCAGCATTGGACATCAACAGCAAAGAATAGCCAATGGATTCGACTTTTTTCCCCGTCTGTTGCTTCACTGCAGCATTGAGGCATACATCATATACGATATCAACAAAGACAATGCGAACGACAACCAATGGGATCGACCTTTCTGTATATGCTGCCACGCTGAGGAGGAAAAAAAACGAGAACTGCATAGGGGAGCGCGATATCAATGAAAACTGTAGAATAACCAATGGGATCGACTTTTATCCGAATGCACTCTCCTTCCGTCTCTTCCATAGGCTCGAGTCTGCAGGCAGCCGCAGGTCTCCATTACCTCATGTCGAACCACCATCAGATCCTGGTAACTTACTCATCTTTGTTCGAGCCCGCTTCTTTTTTGCTGTTGTCATACCTTCTTTGTTTTTTTGCTCACTGGCCTCGCTGGCTTGCCTGCTCACACTCGGACAACAACAACGCCAGCACGCAGTAACGCGAGCAATGAAGAAAGAGCAAACTCGTCATTTTATCTGTGCCCAGATCAACAAACTGACCGACTGACAAGAATGTTACGACCTGGCTCTGACTCTAATCACCGACAACTCAATTCTTTGGGGTTGTGTTTCTGCAATAGAGCGACACACTGTACAAGCAGTTTGAGATCCCGTTGCTGCAGCACCTGGACACACACAAGGCCAACATCGAGGCCAGCGAGGCACAGTACGAGCGATCGATGCGGGACATGAGCCAAAAGATCAAAGAAACCGAGGCCACCTCGCTCCAGAATGGACGGAAGCGACAACGAGGCAAGTTGCACTTGGTCTTTCTTGTTGTTTGTTTTTTTTCTTGTTTGTTTTTGTTTTCTTTTTTCACCTTCTTACCAGTCGTAGACATATTTCCCGATCACCTTATCCCCATTGCTATGTGTCTGCTGGGCGGGAGTGGGAAATGGGAATGGGAAGAAGGACATCCAATGGGTTGCCGGATGATTATTTTCTTAACCAATGTCTGCTTATGTGATCCGACCCTCCCTTTTTTTTTGTTCCTGGGCCTGACCAGCCATATAACAAATGGGCGTTATGTATGATATGTGTGGAGAAAAAGAGGAAATGGCTTGTTTGGGTATTGGGGCATGCAGGCACCATGGAAGATACAAACGAAAAAGAGACATCCGCGGCGTTTTTGCTTTTTCTTATCCTTTGTAACTTTTGTCATCGTCATCCCCATCGGCCTATTACATACGCTGCACAAACATCCACCCGTCTTCTTCTACTTCTTTGTGTAAAAGTACCTTTTCAATGTCCAGCCCAATTTTATACCTCAGCAAACAAAACAAAAAAAGAGCTGTTGTTGTTGGTTCAAACGCATGGGTTTGGAGTGAGGGAACACAAAGTCAGGCCATATCTCCTCTCCTCTCTCCCTCACACTCCCTGCCAGCCTGCTTTTGTTGTCGATTCGAATACGAGCAAGAAAGGCGCAGATGTATACAAACCACTCTGTCCGTGTTGGCTACTTGTACATTGTACTATGTGCAAGAGAGAACAAATTCCCTTTCTCGCCCACGTACTAACCTGGGCAATCATGCATTTTGTCCAGCTGAAGGGGTTGTCAGTTGTTGTGCACTCCTTCACTGAATATTTGACTAATGTGTGTTCATCGACGTGGCTGTTGTATCAGATGGGTCCACAGAAGAGGAAAATGGGATCGAGTCTATCTTTTCATTGTTCTCGTTCATAATTGTTGTTGTCGTTTGTCTGGTTGGTTGTTGTGGTAACACACTTTTCGTTTGTTCTCCTTTTCGAGGCATCTTCTTCCACCCACTTGTTATCTCAATGGTATCAAGAAAGGAAAGGGAGAGAGAGGTGCATGGCCCATGGTCGGTTGTGTGTATGTTTTGGGTGTTTGTGTTTTGTTTGTTGGCGTGGTCTATGCAATTGCGAGTCTCTATTCGCCCATTTCTCTGCTAAAAGACAGTCGATTGGACCATGGCAACCACACCTCTGTCCACTTAGCGCCATTTCCTTGACCCTTGGTGCCACTCCCCCATTTCCCACAGCCATTGTGCCATTGTTCCTTGCTCCCTTCTTCGCAGGACGGCCACCTCTCAAACGTCATTGACCCTCCTTTTTTAATTCGTTCAACCCCTTCTCTTTGCACTATTAATACACACCTCAACAGCACGCGTTGCATTGTCACCAGTCCTACATCACGACTCCTCTCGCTTTTGTTACAAACAAGAACAAAAGGACCTGCCCCTCCCTTCCCTCTGTTCACTCTCCTCTCTGTCTTTTCTCCCAAAAGCCCTGACTCCTTTTTCAGACACACGCCTCTCTGTTGTTTGTTGCGCTCTGTTCGTTTGCCTCTCGTCCTCCTCGTCCTCCTCCTTCCTTGCTCTCTTTCGAAAAAAAAAACCAACCCTTCTGGAATATGCACGCCTCCACGACTCGATACAGAGAAGCAAACACGCAAACACGCAAACACAAAAAAAAAGACGCAAAAACCACAGCGACAACAACTGTCCCCTTTCCACACACTCCAATCCCCCTACTCCCAGCCTCTCTCGTCTCTGCGCTATTTTTCATACCCTGTGCTTCGTTGAACAAAGAGACTAACATATACGCCCCTTTTTATGGCATCGTTTGTCGATAATAGACCTGCTGCAGTTCCGACAGGCGTTGACGACGTTGACAATGCAGGTGGACGAACTGGAGAGGATCAAGCTGGGATATTATTTCAGCAATCTGGAGAGCGAGCAAGCAAACTTGCAATTGATCTTGCAGAAGACCTCGACGATTGTTCGTGCCGAAGTCGATATCTATGAGCGGATTGCCAACAAGGGTCTCAACGATACTATCCTCGAACCCGTACGTGATCTTTGCTGTTTAGCATCGGGTGAAAGAATGACTCCTTCTTTTGGACCATTGTTTTCGCGTTTCGCAATTTGCACAAAAGAACGATGACCATGTTATCCTAACAAAACGCCCATTTGATTTTATTGATACTCTTATAGATGACGACGCAGGGTCCAGATCCTTACTGCACTTACGCGACGACGGATGAGTTCTCGTCCATCTTTTCAATTCTGCCGCCGACACCGATCATCCCCACAGGAGCAGCAGGAGGTAGCGGATCAACAGGCACGAGCACGCCACAACCAGATCCCATTATGACCACCTTTTATGGATACCATGAGGCAAACCCGTTCTCGACTGCCAGGAATCAGACCGGCACCAGGGATAGACATCTGTTCGGGGAGGCATCCTCAGTTGATTCCAAGGAGTCGATTATGGATAAGGCTGTGGGTGTTGTTGTTCCTCCTACCGTTGGTGGTAGTGTGGCGGGTGCCAAGGCCCCTGCTGCGGGCGCGACAACTACTACCACGACGACATCATCGACAACGGTTGTGATAGAGTCAAAGACCAAGGATGTCGCGTCTACTTCGACCGGTGCTACTGCCATTACTCAGGAGTCTACAAAGTCTTCTGCTCAGACCTCCATTTCGACTGTCACTGCTTCTAAGGACTCCAAGAAGGGAGCTTCAAATGAGAAGACTGTCCAGGCACTGGCGATCGTCGAGGAAGAAAAGAGTATTTCAGGCAGCAAAAAATCCTCAGGCGATGGAGTAACCTCTGAACTTGCGAACGGTCGCGTCGATGAGGGGACTGGCAGCGTCAGCAATGGAACCGAGAACAACAACAGCAGCAACCAGGAGAACGGAGTCAATATGCGTCGGGGACAACAACATCACCGCCACAGATCATTCTCGAAGCAGTCGGAAGAGAACGCGTCCTCGGCCACATCAGTATCAGGAGCAACGGTAACAGCAGCAGCAGTATCAGCGGCGGTAGTGGCGGCGTCGAGCCCTACCGACCAAGCATCGTCTATCCCCTCGTACTCTCTCCGGTCGCGGTCTGGATCGCGTTCACATCTGCTTTTGGCTTCGACACCCGATTCACCGCCCGTTCGGGGGATGATCCACATTGCAGGAGATTCTGAGTTGTTGAACAACAGGGATTTCTCATTCTCGTATGAGCCCTCAGAGTTGTTGGGACAGCGCGATGCCCAGCATCACCACCACCAATACAGACAGAACCCGTTTGATGGGATGATGGAGGAGGATGAGGGCGGATTCGGCACGTCAGCACCGTCAAGCAATGGACGGAGACCGTCCCTGTCTAACCACCGCACAGCGACGGGGGGATCTAGTTCTGCAGCATCGTCGCTGGGAGGATCTGGGGGTCATCAACCTATGCGGTCCCAATCCAGCGGCCATGTTGCGTCAGGAATTGGGAGCACGGGCCATTTGTTGCATGGACTCCGACATACCTCGAGCGACGGCCAGCTGAGTCATAGTTCGTCGTCTAACTTGAGCAGTCTCGGAAGCACACATAGTTATTCGGCAGGCAGTCTACATCATCGTCGGAGTACCGGCCGGATTAAGACCTCTTTCAACGGTGACCATTACCAGGTCGGATACAACCACCACACTGAGGATAGCATGTCGCCCGAGGCTATGGCATTGGGCACCAGTCTGGACGACCCCTCTGCATCCTTCATGTCATGGCGGAAAGTGTCGTCTGCAGGTCTGTTGGGATTGGGAGGCGCGGCCACGGAGGCATTTGGTGGACGGGGCGGGTTCGAGGACGGCATGCCAGCCTTCTTTGCGGACGATGCCGACGATTTGGACCAGGCCGATAATGTCTCGGTAACTGGGTCTGTGTCGACCTTTGCAGGAGGAGTCCGTAGGAGTGGGATAACTGTTGGACGGAGTCGAAGCCGGCCAGAGAGTGGCAGCGATCAGGATACGACGGGACAAGGACAGGGACAGGATTCGAACGATGCGGATTCGTCGATCATTCAAATGGCGGATGGGTCTAGCAAGAACGTCAGTTCTACGAATTTCCACGAGATCATTGTCTAAACCTGTTACCTTTACTGAGAGATGAGAAGAGGGATATATACACAAAACAACACCTTTCAAAATTGTACATTAAACCATACCGACCCCTTTCAATTATCATTGGTTTTTTTTCTTGTTGTTTGCTTTGTGAGAAATGCTTATGGTTATGTTTATCTGTTGTTTACTTTGTTTATTTTTGCTGTGTTGACAAAGAAATAATATCGGAAGACGGAAGAATTAATAGCCAGTGGCAGCAGGAGGACCTAGGGGACCATGTTGTGCATGTTGTTGTCCATAATAGTACCCGTTCCCATAGGGCGTCTGTCCCAAAGTCTCGTCGAAATACAATGACCCGGATCCGGAAACCCTCGATCCTGCAAGACTGCTCTGAACACTCTCCATGCCTCCGGTTCCAAAATACCTCCGTGCTTCCATGACAGACGACCCGTAGTCGAGAGGGAGACCATAGGAGTGGGTGCGGGAGAAGGAGATGGCCGTGGCTTCGTCAAGTTCGGAACCGGGGGAGTAAGTAGGTGGGAGAGCAAGAATTCCGCCGTGTTGGGCCGAGATGTGGAATGCGGCGGGCCACTTGTCGCGGTCTGCTGGGTTCATGTTTGTCCATGGCCATTCAAGAGATTCAGGAGTTCCCTCTGGTCCGTTAGCAGCGGGTGTTGTTGAGGGAAGCTGGGTCATAGTTGAGGCGGTGGCGATGGAATTGTCGGACGAGGGGAAGGGTAGCGAGGGTGTGAGGAGGACTCCTGGCAGTTGGTGGAGGGTGTTTGTGGTGGGATCCATCCAGATCTCGTTCACGACTGTGAAGGAAGGAAAAGGCGAGGGCTTGTTGCTGGGTCCTCCTACTGTGGTCGAGCCGGGAGTAGTGAGGACTTGGTACTTGGGGCGGCGGAGCGTTCCATTATTGTTGGTGTTGTTAGGTTGCGAGGAGGAGGGATCTGAGGAAGAGGAATCGTTGGTATCGGCAGAGGCGGGGGTGAGGGAGAGGAGGGTAGCATGGGAGAGTTTGGGCGATTGCTTGATCTGGGGGACGACCAAGGGTGGGGCAACCAAGGAGAGTGAAGAGCGGGAGCCGAGTTTCCTCAAGACTGGGGATGGACAAGGTGAAGAAGAGGTGGTAGAAGCCGATGTTGCAGATCCATTGGTCTCTGACCGGTGGCGGGTGATTGTTGAGGACGACGAGGAAGATGTCGCGGTTGTCGAGCGGTGGTCGTCTTCCAAAGGTGTAGAAGGTGGTGTTGGTTTGGAAGATGTGAAAGGGATCAAGAGATCCATGAGGGAGTTACGGCGACTGGTTCCTGCTCCTGCGTTAGTATTGTAGTTGAGGGGAGCACTTTCGACAGTGGGAGTGCGGGAGTGGTTAGGTGTGGTCGTCAGGGAGTTTGAATTGGACCCAGCCCCTGCTGCTCCCGTTACGGACGCTGATGACGAAGAGGCTGAAGAATTAGAGGAAGAGGACCGGAAGAGGTCTCGAAGGGATTGGATACGGAGGTTGGAGGATGAGGCGGAGGGGTGGCGCGGAAAGGATTCGATGCTCGAGACACGGACGACTTGTTGATGTGGATGTGGTCGGGTTTGTGTCTGGGGTGAATTTGTTTGAGTGGGTGGCAATGGCGGGAGAGTGGTCGTGGATGCGGATGCAATGTCGGAGATTGAGTTTCGATGTGGTCTTTCTGAAGAGAGGGCGGAATGTCCGAGAGAAGAGGACGATGTAGTTTTTCTCCCGTTGTTCGCAGGAGGAGTAGCAAGAGAAGATCCATCGACGCTGTTCCTGGATGAGGGGGAGAGGTACATCCGGGCCTTGCTGGCCATAATGTCGACAAGACTACCCATCGAATGTCTCCGTGAGTTGTTATTGATATGATCGTTGTTCTGGTCCATGATCCTCGAGAAGAGCTCCTGTGCGGGTGAGGAGCAAGTCGAAGGGGTTCCTGGTCGGTCCATAACTGAAAGGGAGTCGAACGAGGGTTTTGTTCGGAGGCTGTTAGTTCTGCCGCTGGGGGTAGGGGTTACCGAACGATCATCATGGTCGTCGGCGTCGGTGGACGATCCTGCGGCGATGCTGTATTGTCCAAGAGGGGAGGGACTTCGCTGCTGCCAACGGGCCAAGAGAGAGGAAGCGTGGCTGTTGTCATCTCCTTCTTGTTCCAGCAGTGTGGTCGTGGTCTCGTACGACAACAGCGATGCAGCGAGTATACTGGGCGTCGATTCCTTGTTGTCCTCCATCGAAGGGGTGATTGTTGAATTTGACATAGCAGATGCGGATGAGGACATGGGGTGTTGGCCAATGAAGGAAGCAGCCTCTGCGACAACGACACGGCTCGTGGCGAGGAATTGGACGGGGTTGACAGCTGCTACGGCCGGGGCAGTAACGAACAGCCCAGCATATGAGGAAGAGGAAGATGATCTCGAGGCAGGTGGTAAGTGCGAGGGGATGGAGGGAGAGGAAGAGGAGTGCGATGATGATCCTGTAAGGGCCTCGGTGGACAAGAACTTGCGGATCAAGGCAGGTGAGGTCTCGAGTGGTGGGGCGGGCAAGAGTGCAAATTGCCATGTCTTGCCGACCGTCGGCGCTGGTGCAGTAGCGGTTGTTTTCCTGCTGGGTCCACCCTCCGCTGAAGGGGTAGTAGAGGTAAGAGATCTATCAAGGGAGCTGGCGATATACCCATGCTCCCCATCACGGTCGTGCACGCCCTCCATCCCGTGCTCGCCATCCAAGTGGTCGTGGTCGCAATCGTCCTTTCCGATAGGATGGCACACGTTTACTGTCCTGCTGTTACTGTTGCTGCTGCTACTGTCGACGGTGTCACAGGGGCTTGTGCTGTTATTGCTCTCTTTGAAGGCAGCAGATGCATATTTAGCAGCAGAAGCAAGGCATACGACTGCCGAAGGTGAGCGACCCCTTGCATGGTTGCTGGCGCCGTTCTTGACCACGGATGGGTCATAGGTCTCCCTCCGTGGCGGCTGATTCAACGCTGTCGCAGACACATACGCAGAAAGTAAAGGAGGCGGTTCATCCAGTCCACTGTTGTTACTGTTGCGTGAAGCGGGAGAGCTGTTGTTGGAGGGAAGGAGGGATTGTCGTCGGGCGACAGATTTGGAGGGCGGAGGCGTGTAGGTCGAGGACCAAGCGCCGACCCATCGAGGCCGTTGGTCTGTACCACCACCGTTCTTGGGAGAGTCGGCCCCACCGTTGGTCGAAAAGGACGAGACGCTTCGGGCGATCGATGGGCTTCTTGATCCTGCTCTTCCTTCTTTCTGTGGCGACGGCGAAGACGACGTGTTGCTCTTGGGAGAAGAAGGCGAAGAAGGAGAAGAAGGAGAAGAAGGAGAAGAAGGAGGTTCGTCGAACAGTCGGCGGACAGAGGGACGGGCTCGTCCACTGCTGAAGGCGGAAGACGATGTGACAACTGCTGCGCCAGAGGGAGATGTCCTACCATCGATGATGCTGCTATGGTTATGGCTGTGATGGTGGTGAGGCCGCCGTTGGAGGCAGGCTGGGCACTTGTTGCGGTTGAACAGGTCAGGTGAAGGAGTTGATCTGGACGGGGAGAGAGATGGCGAAGGTTTGATTGCTGCTGTTGTTGTTGCTGTTGTTGTAAGGGGGTCCCCGATCGCATGGATTTTGGTTGGTTGGGATGGGTTCGAGGAGAGGGTAAGGGGAAAGGAAAAGGTTGAGCGGGTAAAAAGAAAGAGTAATTGTGGACCAAGTAGGCGAGTGAGAAAAGAGAGAAAGAGAGACAGACCAGATGGTTAGATGGCGAGATGGATATGGATGATGTGCGATGGTATGGGCGGGTGCAGAAGATATTTTCGATGTGCGAATGAGAAGCCGAATAGCCCATTGGGTCAAGACACCAGAAAAGCAAGATGGTCTGATGGGCGCAGAAGTCTGATAGAGAGATGGATGAACACCTTCACCTCTCTTCAAAGGCACGCGAGAGATGGCAGATATCTCGTTTTGCGATGAGGGCATTTTCACATGAAGCCATTGCTCGAAGAAGAACAAGTTAGATGAAAGTATTTACCTTGGTTAGGGGTATCGACAAGCCCTGGAACTCTCTTTTGGCGCGAGATGCTCGCATTGGAAGCACGGGAGGAAGGACGAGAATAAGTGCTCATGATATAATGGTTGTACTGGTACTACTAGGGGGTATGTATATGAGGGTATGGTGGTACTAAAGAAAGAGAGAGCAAGAAGGAGGAGTGAAAAGGACTGTGCTCTATTGCAACTTGGGTATAGGTATGTGGGGTTTTGATAGTTGACCACGCAAAAAAGGGTGCAAATGATAAAGGAAGGGAAGTATGACGACGAGGGAGGAAAGTGAAGAGAGAGAGAGAAAAGAAAGGTGAGGAAGTGGAGAAAAAAAAAGAGAAGGAGGAGGGAGGAGGGAGGGTATTTGAAGGAACTGACGAGGATTCAGGACCAGGGCCAGACTTGAGATGTGAAGAACCCCAAAAAAAAAAATGAGAGAAAGGGAGGAGGATGAATAAAAGAAAGAAAAGAAGTTAGAAAGAGAAAAGAGCAGCCGAGTGGAAGAAGAAGGAAAAAAAAGGAGGGAATTGGAGAAGGGGGAATGAAGTTGGAAAGGTGTGTATGTGGACGGTGGTATGTGGTATCTTCATGGTGGTATGAAGGAGGTGGGACAAGCAAATAAAAAACAACGATGATGTCGAATGTTGATATGTTCAATTCTAGGGGGGACAAAGCGTTCCCCTTCTTCGCCAGACAGACAGATATGTCATTTGCCTGGCAGGAAGTGGCAAGTGGCAAGGCAGCATGTCAAACCATGCCATTCATCCCTCCATTCATTTTTATTCATAGATACATACATATAAGTCATTCCATCAGTGGTTAAAGAAAGAAATCAAACCATTGCCATTCATCACCACACACAGACAACAAAACACAAAGTGGAACAAACAAGGTCGAGCGATTGAAATAAGCATCACTGATCACTGATGGGGCGGGTTTCGTACGCGGTGAACCGTGCGAGGACAACTATGGGAGAAGCAATAAACACATTCGCTCATACCTGGAGAGGATAGACAAAAGCAAACAACGCGTCTGTCACAAACAGAGGAAAAACAAGGGTTCAAAGGAAAGGAGGTAACAAAGAAAAGCGGTGTAGAAGTTGGTTGTCGAAGGGACTGATAGACAACGAGAATAATGATGATGAGACTCGACAGGGATAGTAATACCCCCCAAATAGATAGAGGAAAAGAGACAAGCGAGAAGAAGAAGAAGAAAGAGAACGAGGGGTCTATCAATGTTGTGCAAAGGGGAGAAGTTTGGGCCAGTTTGACAAGAACAAAAATTAGACAAGAGAGAGAGAGAAAGATGTAGAAGAGACAGAAAAGCAGGGTACAACCCTTACTGGTTTCAATATAAATGAACATCGTCCACGGACTAACAAAAAAAATGAACATGTTGCCTCATCCAAAATGTCGGTCAAAGGTCAAGCCCCATGGCTCACACCCATGCCCAACAGACCAAACAGCAAGAGCAATGCTAAATTGGGTCTCATCAAACCTCATGGTCCATCAAAAGGCAAGTTCACGGACTGCCCTCTCATCATTTTACAGCCGCTAATGGGTTACATATAGCTAAAGGGCAAAAACAACCGACAGCACCAAAGGGAGGTTATTATGCTTCGACAAACCATCGTCTGCAAGCACAAGCACAAGCACAATATCCGTTGCTCCATTTGCTTCCTCTTTTACGTCTCATTGTCTCTGCCTTCTCTCGCATTGTTGGCCCGTGTTGTAGGTTACCCTTTATTATGCCTCATCCTAATCGTTATTGCAAGCATTACCCCAATTGTTTTATGTTCCGTTGCAATGTGCCGTACAACAGTACAGCGATAAGGACAACTGTAGCAAATAGTACTCTCCTTTGGATGAACTAAATCTTGATCCTCTTCGATCTCAGAAGGACATTTCTGCTTGCACGCAACACGTATTTTCTCTCAAGCCATCATCATCCTTCATACTCCTCCTCTTCACCCTTTTGCCATACTCTCTACCACCTTGTTGCCATTTATTCCTTGTTGTATTGTCTGTGTCAATCGCTGATTCGGTCATTAATTGTTGTTATTTTGCATCCCGAGGAGGGCTGACAAAAACGCAGTAGAGAATCAAGCGGCGCAAAAGAGAAGAGAAGAGACGTGTGTATACTAGAAGAGTACAGTACTCTTTCCAAGAGAGACAGAAAGGGTATTGACATTACACATCATCGCAAATAGAGGGCGCGGTATACTTTATTACATATCCTGTAATGTTGGAAACCGGACGAGGAAGGAAGGAAGGAAGGTTCATTCACTCGTTCATTGTATGAAATATAAGATAGGGCATTGGTTGTGGCAACATGGATAAGTCAACATGTGGTTGTTGTTACACACTTCCGTGGTGTGTTTGGGTCGGCGCTTGAATATACGAGGGTGACATGGTGGATATGGACCACAAGTGCTGTTTTCCTTGCTATCGTTTTCTTCCCGTTTTGCTCTCTTTTTCTATCCTTCCCTTGCAATTTGACCACCACCTTCTTGCTTGCACTCAGAGGGACGGATGTGAAAAAGAGTTGTGGATCTCGCAACAAAAAATAGTGCATAAAGATGGCAAAGAAGAGGTTTTTTTTAGACTAGCATCGCGAAACCGATTACGTCTTTGTGCCTACCTTGTCACCAATACAACAAACAAGAATCGGGATATGCACGAATGCATGCAAACAATGCAAAAAAACAAACAAACTCGGAGCCATCCCACATCTTCATCCATAACATTGGTAGACTGTCGTTCATTCAATTGGGTATCGGCGACCTTGTGCTACTTTTGTGGGAGTGCAAGCAGAGTTATGTAAGAGGACCTTGTGAGAAACACAAAGAAGAGGAATCTTCTTCCTTCTAGTTAGAGGAAAGGAAACTCGTTCTTCATCCTCAGCCTTATCCTTCCCGTCCTCTGGGTTTAATGAGTACAAGAAGGCGTGTATATTGCACTTTTTCGTTGTTTAAACGACAGACGGTATCTTGACTCAACTGACGCGACTTGAAAATGACACTGGCAAAACTTGATCCTGATCCTTGACGCGACTTGAGCCAGATACGACTCGACTTGTCCGATGAACGAGAAAAAGGGTCCGCCATTCCATTCAGAAAAGAAACTGCGCTTGGACCAATTTACTAGCTCAGCTAGCCCCAGCTACCTCATCTTTGCTTATCCTTACGACTTACGTCCTTTTGTCGGTCTTCCTCTTTTGCCTTTTTGTGTTCCCTTTCAAGTCGTGACTTTTTCGGTCTAGTCTTTTCCCTCCTGTTCTTCTTTCCCCAGTGCTTCTTGTCATCATTTTGCCCTCTCTCCCTCACCATGTCCTTGTGAATCCCCTGGTGTCTGTGTGCGTTTGTTGTTGTTTATGTCAAAAGAAAATGCCAACCCGCGTCATCATCACTTTTTTTTGTTCTTGAAACTCAGACAAAAAAACATAGCGTCCTTCTCCAGCTTGTTATATTTTTTAGGGCCGATTGTCCGAGCACAACTTTTTTTTTTGTGGAAAGTTGACAGGGGAGAGCAATGAGCACAAAAAAATAAGGGGGAATGGGGGGAGAACAATAATCAAAAACTGCTTTCTTGTTGGTTGGAGCCCGCAAGTAGGAGCAAGTACGCTTTCGTCAGGACTGGTGCGCACAGGGGAGGGGGAGGAAGAGGTGGAGAATGGAATATTGAAAAACGCTCAGGCCTGATGAGCACAACACAAACACTTCCTTTCTTCGTCTTCTCCCCTGCCCTTCTTCTCTGCCTTGCTAGCCCTGCCCTGGATTTTGCCAGCTCATGCAGGAGGTTCGTCGGAAAGAAAAGTGGAGAAACAACTACAACCTAAACAAACAAGCAAGTGAGATCATATCTGAGCGAAAAAGGGGATATTGCGCTGGGTAGGAAAACAAGAAGGAAGATTCTCATTATGCACTAGGAAAGAGTCTGGGGGGTTTATTGCTTTCCTAGGCCGGAAGGGAAAAAAATTAGGTCCGAGAACGTACTTCGAGCTTACTCAAAGTCATCAATGTCGTCGTCGTCATCAGCGATCTCCTGGATGTGTCTGGTGTATTTTCGTCGACTGTCTTTGTTGTTATCCAGACCAACAAAGTCGCCTTCAACAGCATCGACAAAGTTATCGTTACTATCATTGTCGCTGTCATCCCCTTCCTCGTCGTCGTCCGAGACGGCAATGATCAACTTGCGATACTTTGCGGATGGACCCTTCGCTGTGGAGGAGGTAGCACCAGTTAATCCGCCGCCGCTCAGTATCCGTCTCTTGTTCGTGGACCGATTCACGACAGGTGCGGAATCATCTTCCTCCTCGTCCAAGTTGGTCATCTGATCGTCATCCTCATCCAAAATAAGTTGAATATCACTCTCCGAAAAGTCATCACCTTCAAAGCTGCTCTTGACGGACAATGAAGATGACGACGCGGCCTTCTTCTTCTTATTGTTGTTGGCGCCAGCTCTTCCAATCGATCCTCCTCCTTCTGACGGTGTTCGTACTTTCGTCACTTTGACTGGGATTTCCTCTGCACTCCTCGACGGATCCCGACCAAACTCCACCTTGACGGACGGCAACGACATTGACGGTTGTTTCGTCATAAATGGGCTTGACCTTGGTCCGTTCACAATGTACCTATCGTCCCGTTCCAAACGTGACACCCGAAAAAAACCACATTGATCTTGTTAGTGCGAAATCGCGGGTGGGTGATTATGAAGAGGAGGCGGCTAATCTCATTTGAAGCCTTTGACGTCCGATATTAGAGAGAAGTGAATAAGTCATGCATTAAACTTACGCGAGAGTCGAGTAGGCCGTGAAATGAAAGTCTTCTCGAAGATACCCACCCACAATAAGATGACTGATGATCCTTTCGTAATCCTAAACAATGCAAACAACACCAAAGAGAGCGTCGTCAGATATCGTCGTGTCACCTCAACGAGCATTGTGGGACAGAAAGGTAAAAATAAAAGCTTACGTCCTTGTTGGCGCGCTTGGAAGCAACTTCAGTGTTGTATTCCTCACGAACAAGCTTTGCGATAGAGCGGGATGCACCGATACCTCGCCATGCTTCGACAAGTTTGTTCAGGGTCACGCGGTCCTTTGCGTCCTTGAGACGATTGAGTAGTAGACAGAGAGCCCGAACGTCAGCCCTAACATCTTCCGTCTCTACATCCTGTCCGGCCAAGACGCAGTTGTCGCAGAAGCCGCAGGGTGGTAACCGGGTCGAAAGGTGCTTTGAAAAGTGGACATCAAAGAGCTGGTGTCGGCATGACCTGACGTCCTGCGCATATTGGATCATGCTGTAGACTGCATAAAGATACAGTGGTTCTGGTTAGTTTCGCGCTCTCTATTATGTCATATTCGGCAGTTATTTGGTGGCAAAAATGTCCAGCCATGCAACTCACCATTGGCGAGACCCTCGGGCTCGGTGACACAGAGTGTTGACAGACGAGAGGCGTCCTGGTCACGGTAGAGTAGTAAACAATCTGCCGGCAGTCCGTCACGTCCAGCGCGACCGGATTCCTGATAGTACCCTAGTAAAAGCAAGCAAACCAAAGGACGTGAAATTGTCAGTCTAATTAAAACTCTTTTGAGCCACATATGAATACCGAACCTAAGAGAAGGTACAAACCTTCAAGAGATTTTGACATGCAGGCGTGGATGACGAATCGGACGTTGGGGTGATTGATGCCGAGTCCAAAAGCGATGGTGGCACAGACAACTTGGATACGGCCGTTTCTCCAGTATTCATGAATAAGCTCCTTCTTGTCGTCCTCAATATCTGCATGGTAGGCACTGGTTGCGATGTGCCCACCGCTGGCCTCCGCAATACCGGATGCAAACACGTGAGTGTCCTTCTTGGAGAGACAGTACAGAATACCACTGCCTTCTCTGTGATGAGTCCGAATGTAGTCAGCGAGGAACTGGAACGTTTCCTGATTGGCACTGGGCCGAGTCATCACTTTGTAAGCGAGGTTGGGTCTGAAGAGCGGAGTGTCAAAGAGCAGAGTTCCGTTGTTTGAACGGCCGATAGGTCCCATGTTGAGTGTCGAAAGCACCGACTCGATAACGCTCGGAGGTGCGGTTGCTGTCAGAGCCATGATGGGTGAGTTGGGGAAGAGGACGCGAAGGATCCCGAGTTTCTTGTAGTCTGGTCGGAAATCGTGTCCAAGGTTGGAGCAGCAGTGACATTCGTCCACGACAATCCGGGCGAGACGACCATTGGCATAGACCTTTTCGAGGTGATTCATAAACCGCTTGGACTTGCTGATTTTTTCCGGTGTGACATAGACTAGATTGAGAACGGGGCCAGAGTGATTGAGGGTATCCTGGGTGCTGGTCTTGGACGGTGCAGCGTTTTTGGATCTTTTGTTGGTTGCTTTAGGTGCCACTGGTCCGAGCATGGCGTCCATGATACGCTTCGTCTCCTCAGAAGTCGTGTATGAAGTCAACATGCCGACGCCGATCCCCGCCTCCTCCAGATGAAATGCTTGGTCTCGAATAAGTGACAGTAGTGGTGATATGACCAGAGTGATTCCTGTGCCTATCAAAGCTGGCAGCTGGTAACAGAGCGACTTGCCACCGCCTAATACATGTCATTTATCATGCACACGAGGAAGGTAATGTCTCGCTTTATTAATATGTTCTCTGACGCATTCTACGTCCGGACTGTGATACACACGGTATACGGTACCTGTGGGCATGAGGACGAAGGTGTCGCGGCTGTCTAGGGACGCGTTCATGACGTCAAGCTGTTTGTCTCTCCATTGTGTGATATTCCAATGCTTCGCGGCAAGTTGCTTGAGTTCTACTGACCAACCAAAGTCTTCGCGACCATAGTCCCTTTCTGGCGCTGCAAGCTGAGCAGGAGCAGAGTTGATGGAGATGTTAGCTAGGAGGCTGTCGCGGTACTCTTCGAGTTCTATGCGGCGACACTTGAGGGTTGTGATTTGTTCTTCGATTGCGTCTAGTTCGAGGTCGATGGCGTCTATTTCGTCCTGGGTTGACATTGTTTGTTGGAGATGGTGGCGTTCTTGTGTTGCCGTGTGTTTATCGAATAGGGTTGATAGATCCCTTGTTCGAGTTGATCCGTGTGTTGTTGGTGCTTGTACTCTCGGAGGTGTGTTCTTGTTTTAGGAAGTGAGTGTCTATGGGCCAGTTTCCATGTCGATTCGATTAGAGTGCCGTTTGTCTCCCGCTTGTCACAAGGTTTATGCTGAGAAGAACAAACAATAACAATATTAGGATATTAGGAGAGTGTGAAACGAACAACACACACACTTTCTCCCTTTGGGCCATCCCGGCCAGCTCAGCCAGCCTGGTCACGTTTTGTGCCTTCAATTTTTTGTATGGAGTCGTCTTCGCACACTCCCACCACCACAGTCGTTCAAGAAGGAAAGATCCAAGTCGAGTAGACTTGTTGGATCCAAAAGCAGCCAAGAGGGTCTGCAACTTTGCCCTGTCAGGGATTACACGATCAACACACACACGACTTTCTTTTTTCTTCTTTTTTTTTTTTTCTCTTCATCAATCCCTCTCTTTTCCTTCTTTCTTCTTTCATCAAAAGTATTCTCTCCCGCTCTTCCCTCCCTCCTTACCTTACCTTACTTTACCTTACCTTTGCCTCACCCTCTTCCCTCTCGACGACAACCAGCAAAAACAAGACCCTTCTCTACATGGTCAAGAACACCGCAAAACGGGAAAAGAGTCGCGCTTGGACACCCTCCACCTTCACATCCGACGGACACGGACAGGGTCATTCCTCTCCTCTCCAGGCCATCAGCGAGCACGCCATGGACGAGGACCTCATCGATACTACCCCTATTGCTCCTGGTATCACTATCATCCACTCCGCCCTCTCTACAGACAACAACAACAACAACAACAGCAACAACAACAAGAGCCACAGTGGCGATATCAATGGAAGCAGCGGTGAAAGCGACGATCACAAAGACGACGGCGACGATGAAGATGAAGACGACGTAGACAGCCACGGCAACGACGATAACGACGACGACGACGATCGCGATGATAATCGCCATGACAGCGAGGACGACAGCAGCAGCTCAAGCCAGGACCACGAAACCTCCGACGATAGCGACGAGAGCATCGATGCCAACTCGGACGAGAGCGTCCTCCGACGACTCAGCCAACGGATCGATGCCCCCAAGCGCAACCGCTCAGGATCAATCGGCAACAAGGCCAAGAAGGTCGCCGTCGGCCTCTCAACCTCGTCCTCAAACTCATCATCCAAGATCGTCTCGGCCACACCCAACAAAAAGATCACCAAAAAGTCAAAGGTCTCGGTCAAGCCTAAATCCAGCAAGGGTTCATTGAGCAGCGCAGCAGCCCGTCAAGCCACAGAGGACGCCAAGTTAGAAGCAGCCAAGCCCATCGTCAGTCGGTTCCTCGAACTCGAAAACACAAAACTCAACGACAAGCTGCTTCAGGTCTTCATGATCAACGGTAAGTTTTTTTTGTCCACATCACACGCATAATATTCCTTGTGCCTGTACCAACTGCTCAATTGCTTCGCTTCGTTTGCAAATGAAACAATGCTGACATGGCCAATTTATCATGCATCTATCCGTGGTAGGCATGCTTCCGTTTGTCATCGAGTGCATCACCCGTCTGGACCCAGAGATCGCAAAAGAGTTGAACGAGGACATGGACGGTGACGAGACCAATCAGGAATCAAAGTTCATGACCCGACTCAAGTACAGCAGGAGAAAGCGGGACTATGCCGACATCAACGTCATGAAAAAGTCATACACCACCATGAACTTTCTCACTCGCAGCGACGTCTACAACGAGTTCATCCTCAGCAGCGGTCACCAAGTCATTGGTAGGTTTATAATTGAATCGCTGGCGCATTGTACTGGATCAGGAGCATTTTGTTACTGTTTGGCCACATTCCAGTGCCTAACAACCTTTATCTTCCCGTCGCCCTCTCTGGATCGTGCATACTATGGTTTGATTAGTCAAGGAGTTGTTCAAGATCTTCAGACCAGAGTCCAACGGCAATTTTTACCATTTTCAAAAGGTGTTCGAGACCATCCTCAAAAAGTTCAGGTCCCACACTATGCTGACCCTGTTTGAGGATGTTGACCCGGCGACAGGACAAGCCAAGACTCCTCTGGTTCTTGAAATGCTGCCATTTCTGGATCAGGCGCCGGTTGCTCTCTCGATGATCAAGGTCCTCTTCCCCGCCTATACCTACGGCTTTGCGGAGAGAGTTCAGGACTTTTATCGCGTCCTTCAGCGTGGACACTTTATGGAGATGCTTCTCACCATGGTTACCCTGGCCGATGGTAAGCACAACATATAATGGTGTCTTTGGCATTTATGTTTCAATGACTCCACCAACTTATCATTTATACATCTCATTTGATAGATCCAACTCCCAGCATGGGCGATTTTGTTGTTTCCCTTCTGGACGAAGCGACGCGGGCAAAGGACGCCAAAATATTTTTCTCATGCCTGCGCGATGATCCCATCTGGGCAGAGCGCCTTGTTCAAGGGGTCCTGTCCGACTCGCCAGTGAGACGACACAGTTGCATTGAGATCATTTACTCCATACTTGTCCGCAGGTAAATATTTCCCTGCCGTGCGGAAAAACTCAATCTGCGAAAGCGACCCTTCAAAATTTGCTGACACTGTTTTTATTACCATCTTGAAACATAGTATCCAATTGCCATTCCAGGATATGTTCGCAAACAGTATCTACATTACGGAAAAGTCATACGACAGGGTTGATTCTTATCTGGAGCAAATTGCCAACGGGTTTAGCAAGCACCTCGACGCGCATATTCCCAGTCTCTGCAATACTTTCGTCGGATCCAAAAATGCAGGAGAAGTGTAAGGCGCCGCCCATTTCTCACTACTCTCAGGCATCGTTTCATTACTCTGGCAATACATCACAACATGATTGCTAATATTCTTTGTTTCGCCGGTTGTTCTGAATAGTGTGGAGTTGCCAGGATACACAGTTCCAAAATCATTCACAGTGGCTCGACTCTGGCTTTTGGACTCAATATACCACTGCTTGAACGATGTCAAGGACAACCCATCTCTTTTGGAGTCGATCCCAGCCAGCTTTTGGTCAACTCTTGTCGATAGCTTTATCCAGTTCCGGTATGTATCTTCGCCTCAATCAGGATGTATATTTACGTATTCTCCCAGCCTGTACGTTGTCACACTTGTTTACTTACATTAACCTAATTGCCGACATTAGGTTCAACAATGCGTTCCATGTGCATTTTTACAAGATGTTCAGGGTGGTCCTCTATTCGGAGCAGGCCTCAGTATACGACCAGTTCTTCATACAGACAGACTTTATTAAGCGTTTGATTGAACATTACTTGGACGCTGAGGAACCAACGGGATCCAGGGGGTATATCATTTTGATTTTGAACTGTCTCCGTCTCTTGGCGGACGTGGAGCAGCGAGCCGCAGAAACAAAGGATGAGAACGCCATGGAAGAGGAAGTCGAAGAAGGAAGGATCTCCGAGACTTACTGGACGGACATCCTCAGGGACCACGCGGTGTGGAAAGAATTTGCACCTACCCTTCGTCATGCGACCTTGAAGCAGACCCGGGATACCCTGTGCAATATGGATCCCAACCTGCGGTTCCAGTTTGCTCCCCTCCAATCAAGGCATTCCACCGAATCCCCCATGACTAAGCGCCACATCGGTATTCCTGGCGTATCTGCTCGTGGCACCGAAGGCATCGATCTCGGATCTCAATGTAAGTTTTCAAATATGTTGGGCGTCTCTTGGTCATTTATTTATTTTAATAGAATCGCAGTATCTCATTCATCAAACTTTGTTTGACCATGTAGACGGAAACTCGCTTGGATTTGGGGTGCCGATGAAGTACGACCCTGCGGCAGATGAGGAAGAGCTTGAAAAGCAGGAACAGCAGAAGGAGTTGGAAGTCCAGAAGGCACTCGCCAACATGATGCCGAGCGTGGACTGGAAGTTGATCCCTCCTCAGCGAGTGCTTGACGCGATGAGGGTGGCAAACGCGGCCAGCAAAGCAGCTGGGAGTAGGCACAAGTCAGCAGCAAATGCGTCGTCAGAAACGAATGGCACCAAGGCGGGCGAGGGTGCATCGTCTGTAGGAAATACAACGGGAACTGAAGGGACGACGACAGAAGGGACGACGACCAAGTCCAAAAAGAAAAAGAAGAACAAGAAGAAACGGCCGAGTAGCAGCGCCGCAGCTGGTGATACCAGCGGCGATGATGATGAAGCGGGACATTCCGATAGTTCGACATCATCAACTAACGGCTCGATTTCGTCAGACATGTCTTCCGAAGACAGCTCTGATGGCGGACATGAGAAGGATAGTGGGACTGAGGGAGATGATACGTCGGAGGATGAGAGCCGACAAAAGGACGAGTCGGACAGTAATAGCACGACAGGAGTGACAGAGACCGAAGAGGAGCTGTTAAAGCGACGGAGAGAGAAGAAGCGGGAGAGGAAGCGGAAAAACAAGATGAACAAGAAAAACCGCTTCGCTAACGAGTCCTCCCAGGCTGATGCCAGGTATATTTTCAAGATCCCTTTTATTAGTTGAAGCTTGGTATTTCATTGATCGTTGAGCTAATCCTTTCTTTCTTCTTTGGTTGTGGACGAATAGCGGCGACGCGATGGATCTGTGGGGCTGAAGCGACTTTTGTTACCGTTGCCCGACTAATCAACAATACAAATAAACAATAATGACATCCAGCATTTCTCTTTATGACCTGCCTGTAGTTATTTTGACTGGATTGTTTATGTACAGTATATGTACCTCTTTCTCTGCCACTCGAACAAGTAAGCTGATTACAATTTGGAATAAGGGAAGGAGACACAAATGGTCTCCCGGACGTCCATTTTACGGGTATCGTGAACCTCCGCGAAGTCAACGCAACAAGAGGATCGATATAATGGAATTGATAGCACATGCTGTTTTCGAAAGCAAAATGCCGCTCTTAACTGGAGTTTGCAAGCTGTACTGGATTGATCTGACATGATAAGCGCGTTGAAAAGAACGAAGATCTGCCCAGCACCAGAGACGATTTGAAATTCTGTTCCAGTGAAATATCGTCCTGACTATTGTAGACCCACGAAAGAGCATTTGTCAAAAAGTGAACAGTTTGTTCTTGCCAGCACTCTTAATGTTCACCGATGGAATATAAAGTAGAAAGTCGTGGCTGCAATTAAGGATGATCAAGACAGTGGCATGGTTGCAAACAGATCGACCATCGATAGTACAGTCTCCAGAGACAAGGCGAATGAACACAAACAAACGACAATGGTGTTTCCCAATTCCTATGGACAAAACATCCTGAGAACCAAGCAAGCTATTTTGGGGTTTTTTTTCAATCCTTTTTTTTATTTTTTCTTGTAGATAACATCTCAATAGCATCTGATCTCATCCACTCTTGACTCATGTTGCATCCCATAGTATCCTGACGATGTCCCGAGAAAAAACAAAGTAAACCTAACAAGATGATAACCAAGAAAGAGATAACATCTGTTAGTCAATCTTTCCTTCAACAGTAAACTCAAATAGAAAGAGGAAGAGGAAGGAAAGGTGAGGGAATATTTGTTTCAAACACTAAGAAAATCCACCGAGGTTTGACTCCTGTGCCTTTCACCCGAAGGCAAAAGGAAAAGGAGGGGTTGGTGAGATCTTCAACTCTCATGAAACGGCATCCCACACATTCGCAAGCGTCTTAAAACAAGTCGCAGAGCAGGCGGTAGGAATTTAATTTTCCACATTTGTAACGAGCAAGTGACCAGATGGGTTGTTGACCTCAACAAAGTTGAAGAAAACGGCAACATATGCTCTGACTTAAAAGTGGGTCTTTTTTGGGGAAGGAATGGGGGATAATGGGATGAGGTAGGGAGGGGTATGTGAGGGAGTAGGAGGAGTGAGGAGGCTTACCTGATGATGAAAAGACGGGTGATACACGGACGCGAGAGAGGGTGAAGAATGGGTGGAGGTGAAGTAGGGAAGAGGGAGAGGGTGAAAGAAAGAACAAACAAGAGACGCGAAAAAGTTTTTCTCTTTATGGTTTAAATTCGATCTGGATGACATAGAAGAATCAGATCCAATCGCGCCTGCAACAGCCAATGGATCGTACGATTGATCGCCACTAAAATCGGACTCTCATTTGTCCATTCACTGTCACTGCAAGCAGAGCTACTTCGTATTTCTTTTCTCACGACTCGCTCCTTTTCTTGCTTGTCCTTCACTCATCTCTCTTTTCTTCAACAGCCTCATCAACACTCATCCACACACACTCACCCACAATGACTTCCACAGACAGAACAACGTAAAAAAAAGCACCCTTGCTCATCACTTCGGACACTTGGCTGCAGCAGCAAGCCTTACTTTAGCACAGGAAAAAGTAACCAAACGCACTCCCCCCCCCCTCCCTTCAAACCAATAGTATCGTCTCGGCGCCAGGAAAGGTGCTGTTGGCCGGAGGATATCTTGTGCTGGACCCCGCATTCTCCGGTCTTGTCGTCGCTACTGACGCTCGCTTCTATACCCTGATCCGCCCCGGTCATCACTCTACCACCACAGAACCCTACAAGGTCGTCGTTCGATCCCCTCAATTCAATAACGCCACATGGACCTACTGGATCACCCTTCAAGGCACCACTATCGACTTTTCGCCCAGGTATAACCCTCTGTCTGTGCCGTCATTTTCATTATCGCGTGTTTTGTTTTCTACTTGTAATAGAATGCTTAATGATAATGGCCCTTTTCGATTTGTGACACGATAAATAGCAAGGAGGATGAATCAAGGAACACGTTTGTTGAATTGGCCTTGAACTACTCATTCGCGATGCTGGCTCACTTGGTCCCTGCAGAGACCTTGACCAAGACCCTGGAATCCGGACTCGAGATTGTAATTGCAGGAAACAACGACTTCTACTCTCAACGCAAAGAGGTAACCAACACAACTTGGAGGAGTGGCGTGTTCTCATTGTGCGAGCACAAAAATTATGGACTGACAATTTCCCGAAAGATTAAAAAGCCCAGACAGGAATGTTGCATGATCTGACCTTAAACTCTTTCTTTTCTTATCTTTTTTTCAAACCGATGATATAGCTCGAGACAAGAGGACTGGACCTCAACACAGAATCATTGACGCAGATCCCATTGTTCGCCTCGACTCATACAACACTCAGCAAAGTACACAAGACAGGACTTGGATCTTCTGCTGCTCTGATCACCTCATTGGTCGCCGCCATCTTTATCCACTTTGACGCCTCAAAACTCCAACAGGACCATACCACCAACACCCAGTTCCTCCACAACGTCGCTCAGTTTGTCCACTGTCTCGCTCAAGGAAAGGTCGGAAGTGGGTTTGATGTCTCGTCCGCTGTCTGGGGAAGCCATACTTACCGGAGGTTCAGCCCCGAGGTCCTTCAGTCTGTCATGCATCAGGACGCCATTCAGGACATCCCAGCCTTGTTGAAGATTGTTACACCCAAGGAAACTGCCTGGGACAATGTCGTTGTGCCATTCAAGTTGGCACCCAGACTACACCTCATGCTGGCAGATATCGATGCAGGAAGCCACACCCCAACCTTGGTCTCGAATGTCCTGAAATGGCGCAAGACCAAGCCTGAAGAGGCCAACGGTCTCTGGTCCCGTCTTGGAGGATCGAATGACAAGGTGGTTGAGCTGTTGAAGGAGCTGGATCAAGTTGCCAAGAGCCATACAGTGGCATATGATCGTTCGATCCAGAAGGCCAGCACTGTGACAGCATCTGCATGGGCAGGACTTGTGAACCAGACGATCACAAACGAGGATGCTACATTGGAGCTGCTTGTCAAGATCTACGCCGAGTTCTTGACAGTCCGTCGGTACCTCCGAGAGATGAGCGAACTCTCAGAGGTGCCAGTTGAACCCGAAGAGCAGACACGGTTGTTGGATGCATGCATGACGGTCCCTGGTGTTTTGATGGCTGGTGTCCCTGGTGCTGGAGGGTTTGACGCCATCTTTTGCATTGTGTTATCGGACGAGTCCAGGAAGGGTGTTGAGGGCGTCTGGTCTGGTTTCCAGGAGATGAGTGTTGGACCCTTGCTGTGCCAGGAGTCAGTCGAAGGAGGACTTGTTGTTGAGTTGGGACATGGACATGGCGATAATAAGCCACTCTCCGAACACACCCCTACCGTCCAGCGTCTCCTCCAGCTTTGATATCCCATCTACCATCCTTTTATCCTCACAGACTGTAATACAAGTATTTGAAAGCAGCGCAGTGCATATTTTGCTTTCTTTCCTGTGTTCAGTTCGGTAAACAACCGGCCACGGAGAACCTTGTCGCCCAAAGCGACTAACAATGCAGAATGTTCCTCCTTATGCCGTCATTTTCACTGGTAGAAGTTGACACCCTCCATGCGCCACTTCTTTTTGCATTATTTCTCCGACTGAACAAACGGCATCAAAAATGAACAACGGTTCAATTACTTTCTTCCGGTTGCGCAGTGTGCTTGTGACAAACCGGTGTTCTTGTTGATGTTGTTGTCCCTGAGACCTCACCCTCGTGTCTCTCTATCGCCCTCTCCCACCTCATGCCATGATCAACCCTAACAGCGTTTGCAAGAGCTAGAACGAGTTGCAATGCGAATGTCGACGGAGAAGTCAACCAGAGTAAGTCGGAACAGGTTGGGAGGTGATTATCAGGCTAGAATGAAATCCATATAAATCAGACCTTTCCATGGCATCTTTCACACCTTTTTTCCCCTTCCACCACTTTCCCACCCTACTGCCCCTTTTACCCATTGCTCCCCTTCCCTCTCTTTTTCCTCTTCGTCTTCTCGCATTGTGTATCCACATCCACACCCATCTCATCCTTTTCCCTTCTGCTTCCATTGTGTTTCTTTCCGGGTTAGATTTGTCCAGGGTGTCTCGTGCAATTTTTTATCCGACAACAAGGTTGGTGATACCCTCTCTTTTGTCTCTCCTGTTTTCCTATTTTTCCCCACATACAAGGCCTTTATACCTGGCGAGGGCTGTTAGATGACGGCTTTTTTACAACGTGGTATTTTTCACACTTGATGTTTGATCCAACGACAGGACCGATTTTATCGAGAGCTGACCCTTACCGAGAAAGAAAGGAGAGAGAAGGGGCAGAGAACGTGAGTGAGAGCGCAGTAAGGCATGGAAGAATAACAACAATACCCTGCGCCTTCCTGCGTTGCGCATACACAGACACCAGCAAGAGAGAGGGATTTATCACAAGAGACGAAGAAAGAGGGTGTAGGTAGATATCAGAGCGTGAAGGAAGAGATTCGTTTGTCTCTTTAGCAGACAAAGGACAGGATGTAATGACATGGATGGCACTGGCGGATGGATAGGCGGATATGTTTGTTGCATTATTATCCGTACAGACAGGAGGACAAGAGCGGGAAGGAAAAAGAGTATTCCCGCGCAGTCATCTCTCCGCATGGATTTTAAGTTCAAGAGGGATTAACAGGTTCACTTGGGATTAATGCCGTTCGGACCACCTTTGTCATCCACGATGTTCGAGTGGGAGGGGAGTGTCGGTGCTTTCTGGCGCACGATGACATGGAATTACCGATCCGCAGAAGGAATATTGAGCTTTCATTGTCGTCATTGTTGAAAAAGAGAATGAAGGATGTTGTGGTATTTAAGGACTGCAGGGAGTCGTTCCTTTGTCTTCATTCTCTTCCCCCCCCTCACCCTTACTAGTTTCCCTTTACCCAATTTCCTAATTCACAGCTCAATACCCACACTCTGCCTCTTTTCTCATAAACCCTCATCTCATTTGGTTTTCGCGTTCCTTTTCTCGCATAACAACAACCTTACTACTACTAGTCCAGAGTGACCGCGGATGAAGGACCCTATAAAAAACGCTCTTTCCCCAAAGGCAGACTTCGACTCTCCAGTCTTCTCCGCTTCGATCTCTCCTTCTCCCGCCTCCGCATTCTCGACCGCAACTGCCGCAACAACTTCAACGGCAACAACACCCTCATCCAACATGACCGACAACACTACCGACAGTACAGGTCTCCGTTCACGGATGCCCCTCCAACAACGCAACTCGTCCTACCGACGCAAAGCCAGTATCGACCCCACGACCAGTCAGCCCCATCACTACGACCATCGTCGCCACCAACTCCAAGACCCTACCTTCGGTCGATCACCCTCTCCACCTGAGGGAGCGCCCAAGTTTGACGACGAAGAATTAGACGACGATGCGAGTCAGCCTCTCTACCGGTACAACGAGGATGGGTTTTTGATCCCAGTCCAGAAGCAGAACGAGCAAACTTGGTCGTCATTCTTGATCCAGCACCAATTAGTCCTTTCGTGCTCGGTCATCCTCGCCGTCTTTGCATCCCACGTCCTCATTGTCTCGAAAGAGATCCGTGATGGTCATAATGTTGATCTGGTGAGCAGCTTGACAGCATTGATCCCTCCTCCCATCTGGAAGTCCCTCCCCGAAACCTGGACCCGTGCAGGAGCAGGAAGCCCCGCGATGATAAAAAAATGGAACCCCAAACTTGGCGCGTACAACCCGAACGACGCTTGGTCGTCACAGGCGATGGCTCTGCAGTACCAAACGGTGCTGTTTGACGAGGTGACAGGGCAGAAGCAGGTCGTGTACGGCAAGGGGTGGAACGATCTGTACATGGTCATGGTCTGGGTCATGATCTGGACTGCTATTCGTGAGTCGGTGATGACTTTTTTGTTGATCCCACTCGGTCGCCGTTTGGGGGTTGGTGAGCAAAAGAAGAAGCTGCAGCAAGGACAACAGTCGACCTCGGTATCGTCATCGACCAATCCATCGGTGCATACACAGGAGAAGAATGTAACAGGATCAACGCACGACGAAATGAAGGCGTTGAAGATGAAGCTCAGGAAGGAGGAGCATGCGCGCGAGGGCAAGCTGTTGCGCTTCGCTGAGCAAGGTACGATGGCAACCGTGCGAGCACGTGGGTTTGCTTGATCTGATTGTGGTAATGGACACAAAGAATTAACTAGTTCTTCTTTTTTTGCGCTTCTCCCTCGCTCTCTCGTAATGTAGGATGGCTCGTTATCTATGACGGATGCATGTGGACTTTTGGCATGGTAAGCAACCTTCTCATATCCCACACATCACCCTCCGCATATGTTGCTCTGCATGATTTTCAATTGCCCTTTGCCTTCCTTTTTCTGTTGGATGTAAATAGCGTTATATGACACTGACATTGTACATTACTTGATATCATAGTGCTTGTTGTACAACTCCACATACTGGTCAGACTCGACATTCTTCTGGCGCGACTACCCGAAGACTCAACTAGACGCAACCATGAAATGGTACTACCTCGTCCAATTCGCCTTCTGGGTCCAACAATTCCTCCTCGCAGTATTGGGTATCGAAAAACGCCGCAAGGATTTCCTTGAGTTCATGATCCACCACGTCATCACCTGTCTCCTCATCGGGTTCTCGTATTCGTTCAACTTGACATCTGTCGGACACGCCGTCCTATGTTCCATGGATTTCTCGGATATTGTCCTTGCCGCTTGCAAGATGCTCAAGTACTGTCAGAAGGACCAGATCGCCGATGTTGGGTTTGTCTTTTTTGTCGTCACCTGGATTTATACACGCCACATTTGGTTCGGACAAATCATTTTGGCAACGTACAAGGCACCTCAATTTGCGGCGATGGTCTGGGATCCGAGCAATGGGCTCTATTTCACGCCTGCGGTATTGAAGGGGTTCCAAGTGCTGTTGTGCGGACTGTATGCGGTCTTGGTATTCTGGCTGGCCATGATCTTCAAGATTGTGCTCAAGGTCTTAAAGGGTGAGAACAGCGAGGATGTCCGGAGTGAGGACGAGGAGGAGCCTGAGGAAGAAGTCGTTGAGGAGACGAAGAAAGTGGTCAAAGTCGAAGATGTGCCCAGGATGTCGATCCAGGTCTTGCGCGAGCGGACTGTTCGACAGTGAGTGGCAGGCCCTTCCCCCCTCCCCTCTTCCTGTTTTTTCTTCGTTCTTTTTTTTTTTCTTTTCAAAGTGGGAGATGTCTTTCTTGCCGACGGACCTTTCGCATTTTGCACATAGCACAACCAATTCATGTATCATAGCTCCTATCTACCGCTCTTAATATTAACCCAACTACTCTATTTCAATCGAAAAAGCGAGAAGCATATTGTTTACGACAGAACGAGTGGGAATAAATTTAAATCCCATATCTAAGGACCAATGTTACCATCATTGACCACAGGGGAAAGCACTCGGTGAAGCCGCTTTTCAAGACCAGCTTGAAGGAGCGTGCTCGCCAACTCGTTGTAAGGGCCATTAAAGGTGTTTATAAGACAAGATCAAGTTGATGATATAAATTAACATATCATGTCTATCACTATATACACACGATATTCAATTCTCGCAAAGCCCTCGACTCAAAATAAAGCATCCCTTCATTTGGCCAATATGATGTGTTATCGAGAAGAGGTTTACTTGACATCTACTGCAGCGAACGACAATGTTATGGCAGCCGCGACTCGCTAAAGCAGTGCAGAGTGTAGTGATTGCTGATTGCATTTGGGGATCATCTGTCACCTTAGCCATTTATTTCAGAATATATGTTGTACGTCACCTTGGGAATGGAGGGTCGTAGAAAAGGAAGTCAAGAGGAGAAAAGATAACGAGGATTGTGGATGGCCTGAGAGACGCGAAGCAAAGAGAGTCGCAAAAGGATAAAGAAGTAGAGCCGATGAAAGGCAGCGTAGATGTGGTGAAGAAATAGGGCGCGAGTGGTGCAACGGTGAGGAATGTAGAGAAGAGTGTGGGAATGGTGGTGAAAGAAGAAGTAAGGAGAATGAGCGTCTAAATTGCGTCACTGAAGCAATGTTCATCGAGGCTATGTGCAACAATCGCTGTCGCTCTTCACAACAGAAACGGAAGCAAATTACAAGGCTATCTACAAGTGATCTCTACTAAAACACCTTTACTTGCTTCCAATGCCGTTTTTCAAGTAGACAACACCACCTACATTCATCCCACGCACCTCCAAGGCAAGGAGGAGTAAGGCCTGTCTATGCACTCCCGTGCTTGGCGAGGGTAGTCAACCCTCTCACCGACCTGGATACGGGCCTGGTTCTTGAATCCGTAAAATCCGTAGCGTGTCTCCTTGTGGGTGGGACCAAGGATCTCTCGCAACGAGGTAGACGACAAACTCCATTCATTAATATTCCGTGCGGCAATGGGGAACTTTTATCTCCCTCTCTCATCTCGCTCTAGGGACCGACGAGACGACGTCTTAACACCAGCCTTGAAGTTTCCAAGCTTTCCATGCATGTTGCCGACCGGGGGTGGTAGGCGCCTTGGCAATACTGGCACCAACAATGGTCCTGCTCGAGAGCCCTGTCGGTATAATGGTTGGATGAATGAAGTGCCCCGATGTGTGGATGGAGAGTGGCGTGGCTGTTCTTGCATTCTCATTTTGTAGTGTAGTTTCAACACACAAAAAACTATCTACATGTAGAGAACGATTTCGAATGATGTTTAAAAGCCATGTTTGACTCCAAGTTTCTAAGTGGATTTATAGTACATGATCCCAGGTACATAGCTGTACAGTTTTCATAGAGATCGGAGTATAAATGGTCGAGAAAATAAGAAGTAAAGTCTGTCGGCACCTCAAAATAAGCGGTTGAAAGAATATCTCTTGATGTGCATCTCTATTTTGCTTGCTGTAGCCTGCTCTCACTTATGTGTTTCTGCGCAACGACGCTGAATGTACAGACAGATGAGAAAATAAGCATGGATAAGAAAGCCTCGAAGCAGAGAAGTTATATACGAGGAATGTTTCTATATTTTGCTATTCCTTGCAAGTCCTGCTCATACAAAGTCTCTGCCTTTCCAACAAGAGGCTGGTGGGCAAGATGAGAGCGCCCCTGCTCATGCGCTGCCGTAGATTCGCCTTGCTTACTGTTGCACCTTTTCCCTGTGGCAGTGGCTGCAGCAAGACCGGCAACTTGGGGGGGGGTGTAGGTGAAAACACTTAAGAACGAGAACAGAGCTATTCCCCGTTCAACCCAATACGGAGGAGAGCCTTGTATCGCGGGCAAGAGACGGGGACACCACGAGCAAGTAGCTGGCTCCTGTCTGCAAGGGGCATTCTTTGCAACGACCTTGTCCTTATCGAGTGCAGCAAGTCTGAGGAGGCGGAGCAAAAATCCAGTAACTATTTGTTTTTCGAGTGTACTTCGCTGCAAGGCAAGAATGGCTCATTCAGAGAGATATATACTTGTAATTGTCATTCATAAGTGCCTGCAAAGATAAAAAAAAAACAAACGAAAGCAGAGAAAGAACGGTCAGTTTGTGGTCAAAACAACGGAAAGTACACTCGAACAGGAACCATCATACATAATGGCGCCTGTTGTTCCTTTATTACTGCCTCTTGAGACCAGTAGACTTGATAAGGGGACGACAGTGACAGATGGGGCAAAACGCGCACTTCTCCCTCCACTGGAGCATTCATTAGGCTCGCGTTTTTATTATTAATTTCATTAAGGGAGTTACATCTGGTGAGGACGGGGACGTGTGGACGCGTGTGCAGCCTCGCTATCGATCACCTTGGTCAACAACTTCTTGGCCTCAGTCTGACTGGGTACAGGTCCCATCATCTCTCTCCGAACAACACCATACTTCCAGATCAAGTCCCTCGAATACCCTTTGCAGGCAAGCATCTCCTCCAGAATATTCCGTGCTGAGAGATACCCCTTCTCCTCCTCAAGCAACTCGACCATCTCTTGCAACGCGGCCTTGTCGTCCTTTTCCCGTTCGGCCTTTAGTTTGTCGGCTCTGATCTGCGCCAGCTGATGTGAGGTCGACATCGACTCAACCATCTCCCAGTCATCATACAGCGTCTTCCGTTCCTGTTCCTGTTCCTGTGACTTTTTGAGGGCAACTGCCTCACGGTCAGTCTCCTCAAAGTGTTCCTGAGTAATCCATCGGAGGACGTGTTCATCACGAAGGTTGGCGTAGATGAACTTTGTAGGAAACAGCGATGCATCATATCCAAGATCCCTCAACTGGCCACGGACACTTGGGCTGACCTTTTGGCGACCAATCTCTTCCAGCAACATGTTGAATCGATGGGCGTACATCTTTCCGACTCGAAGTTCCGGCAGGGGGTTCACTTGGGTTTGCCAGGGCTCGCGATCGTCCTGATGGCCTCGTCCTTGGTTGCCGCTGGTTGTTGATTTGCCCTTGTTGGATCGTAGCCTCTTGGGCGCACCAGACGAGATCCAGCGCCACGACGCACGGATATAGTCAATCTTGAATTCCAGTTGCGGCTGTGTTTGCTCTGCGTTGTCATCCTCGGCGGGTTCCTTCTTGGTGATGGTGTAGCGGATAATAAATTCGTCGTCACCGATAAAGTGGGTGCCTTCGGTGAGCACCAACTTGTACTGCTTCTTGGATGAGAGGACCTCATTTTCGACGGAATGAAACAGTCTCCGGGCTTCCTGTTCTCTTTGCTCTGTAGTCAATGTTGTTGGCGCTGCGGCAAAGGTGGACATGACGTATTGCGCCATATGGTTGAACCCCTGACGCACAGTCGCAGCTGGAGTAGGTGTTGCAGCAGGTGTTGGTGTAGAGCCAAAGAAGGACGAAAGGACGGGTTGGTTGGTGGGCATGGGCGGGATGGGACCACCGTTGGCGAGGTCCTGTTCCATGTACGTCTGGGAGGCACGGATAGATCCAGCCTGGGTGATGCTAGACCTCCTTGGACGCTGTTGAAGGGCTGTTGAGGAAGACTCGCTCGCCCTTTTCGTGCGACCGTTGAGCTGCATTTCCCAGTTGTTAAAATCGAGTCGTCCAAGGGTCGAGGTGTCAATATCAAGGTCGACTGTGGCGCTTTCACTCTGAGTGAACTCGAGGTAGTTGTGTTCCTTGTTGTAGCGGGCAAAGACGGCGGTAATGGGTTGGTGCTTGCGTTGGAGGGTGATGCTGATGAAGCATGCCAGGGGGTCTTGTTCCTGTTTGGAGCGGACTTCTTCGGTGGGGTTGGCGAAGGTGTTGCGGGCGGTGAGGGAGTCGTCGACGAGGTCACGGATACGCTTAGAGAGGGTGCGGATAGCGGCCAGTTCGTGGAGGGAGCAGAAACCACAGATATGCTGGAAGGCCTCTGCGGGAATGTCTTCGATGTCCAGTTTGCGAGGTGTCTTTGCTTTGATGATGTCCATGGTTGCAAGTTGATGTACGTTAAAAGGGACGGGTGAGATGGATACGCGTGTAAAAGAGGATGAAGTGTGAGGGTGGTGGAATGAAAAGAAGAGAAAGAAGAAGAGGATGGCTGGCGAAGTTGATGAGGAAAGAAGAAGAAAAAAAGACAGGGTCTGGGGGGTTGCTGTTAAAGGGAGAATAGAAAAGGATGAGGAGTGAGCACTTCGGCAAGTGGCAAGTGGCGAGTGTGTGCGTGTCTTCTTTGCCAATGGACTTCGGCAAGGACACGGCAAGGGAAATAGGCTAGAATTGAAAAGGGGAACCCCTGTCCGCCGCAAAGAAACCTTAAAAAATGAATCTACGTGGCAGAGAACAAGAACAGACACGACACAGATAGGAGATGCTACGTTGGGGATAGATGGGGCGGGCAGGCAGCTGGATATGACGTCGTTCTCAGACTTGCTCCTTGGCTGCAGTTGTCCACGTAAAAGTAAGCAACGCGCGAATTGGTGGCGTGTCACAAGAAAAGTGCAGGGTCGATGATACGTTTGCTCTCTTTGGTAGCATTCGGTACACATATGCGCTGTCGTTGTTTGTTATACACCTTCCCGGTAACAAAGGGAAGGAGAAGGAAGGGATAAGGGACGACCTGATGCCCCACTCATCCAAGATTCCAGGACCATGCCGGAATAGCTCTCTCTGCAGTCAACATAGACATAATAATAAACCACACGGCGTCAGGGCAAGGAGTATCGTAATAGGTTGGTTTGGCAGGTTTACCTTTTGACTATTAGTCCTCGTAGTCGATTGACACGGACAACATTCGAGGAGGCGTTGAGACAGGAGACAATGAGATGGCTATGAGTGTCCCTTCTTAACTCCTACCTACCTACGTCCTTTTCTTGAAAGAGCAAAAGTGAGAAGAGAAATAAAAAACGGAGTCAACCCTTCTTTTCTCCCAATTATCCATTCTAACCAATGGCTTGGTTGGGTACATGGTTCATGTCTGCCTTGAAGGCAAGTCGGACAACAAGTCCTATAAAAGAGGGATAGGAACAATGCCGTACCGGAAGAAGAAAAATGAAAAGTGCCTGTTTCGTATTTGTATTGTTGGTGTCCTTGGGTTGTTGATCCAATTCAGAAACATGGGGCCTGCATCCCCTCCATCCCTTGATCCTCCCTACCTCGTTAGTTGGCTAGTTGCTCTACGTGTCTTCAGTGTGCCCTGCACTTCTTTTGCTCCCAATGCTATTCTTACCATGTACCTCAATACATTCTACATTAGGGGAAGAAAGGGCTCCCTTGTTCTCAAATAATTGTACAGACACATACCCCCACTGCATAAACAATTACACAATTGCAGTGCTCCATCATCATTGGACATATCTCTCCGGGAAGAGGTCGCATGTATGATCGTCGCAGGCAATGTGTTTTTCGCTTCTGTCCAAGAGACAGGTACTGTACCAGAATACCGACAGATCCGCGCTTGACATACTCCTTTGCAATTGCTGTTGTTGTAGTTGTTGTTGTCACTAGTAGTTGTAGTAGTATCACAAGCTGCAAGAGTGCCAATTGAATACAGCAGCGAGGAAGCAATTGACAGTAGGGCATTGCACTCACTCCACATTCTGATCCACCCCACCAGTTGCTGTCCTTGTACTGTACAATTATTATTACCATTGACAACAAGAGTGAGTGAGTAGAGTGCCCCCTTGAAGTCAGTTGTCCTTCTCCCTTACACAAGACAGGCAGACCAATGGTCTGTTCAATGGGTTCCTTTCCTTATATCATACATGACACACATCATGTATGTGCATGTATGCGTGTGCCATGCCTTCCTTCTTTCTTCTCTTCCTCCTGGACACACACCCAACCCCTTCCACTTTCTCCCTTTTTGTCATTGCTCCTTTCTCTCTCTTCTCTTCCTGTTCTTTTGCTCTCCTTCTCTTCCTTCTTTCTTTCTTTACACTTATTCCTTTACCCACTCCTAATACCCACTCCTAATACCCACTCCTTTCCAGAGGCTTTCTAGGCTTTCTTTATTCCTTCGTTGAATCCACTACTACTACTACACTCTACTTGCCAATACCCTAGCCTCTTCCACTGCAACCACAAACCCACACTGCTACTACACATTCTTCCTTTCACCCTTTCTTCCGCCAACTAACGACCAATTGGACCTACTACACGACACATTATCACCCTCTATCACTCTTCACCCCTTTCTCTTTCACTGCCCACCTCCTTCGCTCATTCATTCAACAGCCAACAACAACAATCACGGCTTTTCATTCCACCAACCCTCTAGTTAAATCATGCCTTCGAATGGAGGAGGAGGAGGAGGAGGAGGAGGAGGAGGAGGAGGATCGATGTCGTTCTCGGACAGGTTCTTCAGGTAGGACAAGAAAACAGGCAAACCCTCTTTTTTTTTCGGGGGTTCTATGAACTTTGTCTTTTGACCTGACTGGCTGAGCAACAGCAACACAGAGAAAATAACTTTAGGACGTACAAGGATTGGTTGCTCCTGTGGACAAAGTGAATGCACTGACTAACACCCAGGAACACCTTTCATTCATTCCATTCTGTCATTTATTACATTTCACAGCTACGAAACGTTCAAGGTCCTGAGAGTGCGCGAGTAAGTATGCCTTCTTTCTAATTGTTATTGCTGTACTTCGACCATACTTTTTATTTTTTATTTTTTAATTGGGTTCACAGGCCATCTTTGTCCCATTGTCACACACCTTCTTCCCTCTCTCTCTCTCTTCCTTTCCTTCCTTTCCCATTTGCTATCTGTGTCCCTCTGTAGCCAATTCCTTTATTTCTACTTTTTTCCCCCCCTTTCTTTCTGTGTGGTTTGAACAACATGACATGATTGTTCAAGCTTGACTCGGATGAGCTTTTCAGAGGTGGTGCTTGTTGTTGGCCACGGGAGATGAGGGGTGAGAGAGAAAATCAAGAAATGTGTGTGTGTGTGTGTGTGAAGGTGGATTATTTTTAGCAAGCTCTGCACATATTACCATGGATGCAACATGATGATGATGGAGGGTATGTCTGAGGGTGTATAAAGGATGAGGCACGAGAGCAGCATTCATGAAAGTAGAGTTATATGAACGCAGGTACCGCTTCGAAAAGAAAGAAGTGAGCCGCAGAAGGGGTACGAGAGTATGAGAGTATGGGGGGATGTATGGTGTGGGGATGGGGATGGTAGTGAGCGAATTGATGAGCACCGCTTGAAGGTCTATTTGGGCATCGCGGAGAATAAGAGGAGACAAAGAGAGAGAGAGAGAGGGAGGCATTCAAGGGAGCCAAGCCAAGGGTGAAATGAGCAACACACTCTTTGACCTTATTTACCCAGGCATAGGCGCACGAGGGAGACAGACAACCAAGGATCTTGTGTCTCACAGTGTGTAACATCCATTGGCCACTAAAATATAACCCTTTGCTTTCTAACAAAAAGTCGCCGGCTAGGAGGCCTTTACAGACTGTTCCAGGCTACCATCCTCCTCTACATCACATCCTCCATCATCTATCAGCAACGATATCTCAAAACTGAAAACGTCATCAACGGTAAAACCTTTTCCTTCTTCTTCCGCTTCTTGTTGTTGATGGAATTGCCTTGCCTTGCCTGTACCTTGCATGTGTTGTTTACAAAATGCTTTGCTTGCTTACATTGCAGTAGTAGCCCTTATCTCACACAACTTGATTTGTACAATGGAACATAAATAGGAGCGGTCAGGGTCACTTTACAGGCGCCGGCAGATGGAATAGCAACATCAGCATACTGCAGACCATCAGCAGCAACAGCAGCATCCCCTCCATTACCGGGATCAACATCCCCATGTCTCTACTGGAGTTCAAACGACATTCTCTACGAGCCAGGCGTAGACGGAGCACTCATCACTACACGGGCACAAATTACACAGTACGGACCCTTCAACAACCAAACAAATGCCACTCCAACAAAGTGCGATGTCAATGCGCCCATCGCTGCGGGATGTGACCCGCACTCTGCTCCTACGACTTTGTTGTTGCCAACCTCGTTGGTGGCGGATATTGAGCGGTTCACGTTGATGCTGGAGCATTCTATTCGTGGGCAGGCGACGGGGCTGCAGATTCGGTCGGGAAATATGGAGGCGGGAGTGTTGCGTGATTCTGGATCGGGGGAAGTTTTGAAGTCGTTCACGGATCAGAGTCGATATGTCCCTGCTGCTGTTACTTCAACAGTCGATACAAAGGTGGCAAACGAATCAGTGACAGCATCAGCAACAGCGACAGTGGATGGCAGCAAGATGGTTCATTTGGCAGGAGACGTGATGACCGTAGGCGAGTTCTTGAAAGCCGCTGGCGTGAACCTGGACGATATATCGACTTCGCCATCAGCGTCTGTCAATGAGACTGTGCGGTCCTCGGGGATTGTTGTGATCGTGGTGATTCAGTATGCGGCCAAAGGCTGGAACCCCAACAAGATCAGCTACGAGTATCTGCCCAAGGCCATCCCTGACCAAGAGTACAAGGTTATTGAGACCATCCGCGACTTCCGCGGAGGCAATCGAGTCGAGATCAATCGGCATGGGTAAGCGTGCATAAGGGCAATTGCCAACATGACGCATTTGTTTCTTCTGTTTGTTTTCTCTTCCTCGGGTCTTTTTGGCGGGAATTTTTTCATATATATTGGTAAGAACCATACGGATCACCCTTCTGACCAGCTCACATCCATCTCTCTCGCCCCTTCCCCTTCTTTCAAAACTGCCTCACTATAGCATCCGAATCGTATTCTCACAAGCCGGCCAATTGGGTCAGTTCTCACTGATGACTCTGTTGACCAACCTCGTCGCAGCAGTGGCGCTCTTCAAGGTCGCCAACATCATTGTCGAACTTATGATGCTCCGTCTTCACCCTCAGAAGAAGATCTATACCCGCGCCAAGTTTGAGCACGCCAGGAATGATGTCCCACCACTGCAACGGGATGGTACCGGCAGTATCAGCGCTACTGGACCGAAGGAGTTGACGGCCGGTGAGGAACAGACTGGGACTGGGACTGGAAGCAATTCGAGTTTTAGGGGGCGACCTCAGCATGATGGACTGGACAGCGAGACGGTGTCACCTGGCTCGTCAGTTTCTGCATTGGGTGGTTCTGGAAAGACTGCAGGGCGGTCTGGTGGATTCGGTGAGTCGGCAGAGGGCTCTCGTCAAGCAGGATTCTCGCGTCGTGGCGGTATTGACGAAGAGGCCGCCTCTCGCAACCAACATGAGGAACTGGAGGACTTTTTGACATCCAGCGACGACAGCGGTGACAGTGATGCAGATGTCAAGAGAGAAAGACGGAGATCCTACGTTCAGGACTCGCTGACAAAATCCCAGAGCAGCTCTGTCGACCCCACACGGTCTCAGCTCCGTGTGGTTGTGTCGAGACAGAGCAATGACAACCTTTCAGGATACGGATCCAAGGATGCTTGTCACAGTGTAACAACACCCATCTCGACCAACGGAACTGTGGGTCGCCAGCACGGCAATCAGTTGACAAAGGCTGCATCCAGCAAGGCGACGGCGATGAGCGGTGTTGACTGGAACAGGAATGGCTCGAGTTCCGCACTCAGTGGTGGGGATGTTACCCCGGGTGTTGCCAGGACAACTACTACTATCCGCCCCACAGCAGCGTCCATTTATGGTCTTGGTCAAGGGTATGGTTCGATGACCTCTCGAGACTCGACGGATGAGATTGAGATTGAGACTCGGTTTGGACCTGTCCGGCCGAATGAGTACAAAGGGTTCAACCCTGGTGGGTTGTCGCTGACTGGAACTCCTCCACTGTCACCTTCCCCCTCACAGGCACGGTATGCAATTGGTGGATCGATGCGTCGTGGATCTGCGACCCCCGAGCGGTCGACTGTATATGGTGTCTCGACACCTAGCCCTATTCGAAGTGCAGAGCCCTTCTCGGCGTTCAGATCTCCGGCAACAATGCAGGCTACTTCGCCCAGTCCTGTCTTTTTCGGTCACCACCATCATTATAACCAAAGCGGTATGGATCGTCGTGGATCTGTTGCGGAGGACGATAGGGGAGGCAGCAGTCGTACCAAGAAGCATCCATCCGCCATGAAATCGACCGGTCTTGCGTCGCCCTCTTCGCCTCATGAGATGACAAGGACTCTCAAGTCTCGTCACTCTTCTGGATCGTTGTCGTCGCTGTCCAGTTCGTCGTCAATGTCGTCGTTGGCTTCTTTCTACGAGGGAGGTGATCTACAACGGAGTGTTACCCCTGGTGCGATGACCAGTTTTGGATTTTGTCAATCAGGCACAGGAGTTGGAGGAGGTGGAACTCGGTCATCAACTTCGACATGGTCGTATGGTCTCCCTGACAGTCCGCTCCGAGGGGAATGCAGTGGAGGAGAGAGACTTACAGGATTCACGACTCGATATACAACACCCCGCCATTGCTCCAAGAAGGACAGGTCTGCAGCTACCGGTGGCTCAGGAGGGCGTGAGCATAAGAAACGTCGGAAGGAGTACAGCCAAGCAACACTTGCTGGTGGTCGGTATGAGTCTCCGCTGCAGTCGAAATCAGAGGTGATCTTGACGAGGCCCATGTTTGGACTGGGTAGTTCGAGCAACATGTCGTCCTTCTCGTTGTCGTTGGCTGCTTCTACAGAGTCGCCTTCTCCCAAGGATGTCAAGGGCAAGCATGTTGATTCCAAGTGGTCTGTTGAGGGGAGCTCTTCTGTCCCAACTCCCACCGTTGCACCATCTACAACGACGGCGTTCAATGTGACGATGGCGCCCTTCCAGCTGCCCATGCCAGCCTACTTCAGCCAGGGACTGGGCTCGAAACTGGATCTGGAGGATGCACTTGCAGGATTCCCTTCCTCTTCGTCGTCAAGCTCGACTCCTGCTGCTACTTCAACAACACTCGGCGGAAAGCAACCACAGCGAGGAGGAAACATAAACAGTCTGCGCCGTACGTTGCGCTCTTCAGTGTCATCACCTTCGCTGTTGACGAGTCATCGGGATGCTACTTCTGCGATTGCTGCGACCTCGGGGTTGCCTGCGCAGGCTCAGCTGGCGTCGCATAGCGACCTCCCGCCCAAATCTGGAATCGTTGAGCCTTCTTTGATTTCGTCGTCTTCGTCATCTCCAAGGTCGAGCAGCGTGAGTGGACAGGATGCCACTGTCTTGTCGCAGTCGCTCTTTGACGCCTCTGTATCAAGTGCGACCGGTGCTCCTACTGTGCACTCCACAGTATCTGGTGACGAACGAACTGCAAGATCTCGTCTTTTAAACGCCGGATCTGTTGGTCACTTTGCACATACAACACCGGACCAAGGCGGCGACAACCGTAGTAACACTCCGAAAGTAGCGTCTTACACCAGCTTCCAGGGAACCACACCGGCGCTTGTCAGCGCTGTCTCCCACTTTTCGGGAACCTCTTCCTCTTCCTCTTCCTCCTCCTCGTTCGCGCCTTCTGACGCCAGATACCCATCTGCTCCTATGAGCGGCTCCAATGTAGCGAGAACGTCTGTAGAATACCCGTTCACCAGGATACCCTCTTCCAGTCCTGGAGCAACATCAACCACCACCGCCACCACCGCCCGTGCAGCGCCACTCCCCCTGCGCCCGATCCTTTCTACGTCTTCACAGTTACACAATCACCAACAGCACCCCCTGTCGCCTTACAGCCTCACCTTCCCCACGTCAACCACACCCATCCCAACCTCATCCTCCTCTTCCGCTCTTGGAGTAAGTGGAAGCAACCCGCAACAGTATTATACGAACCCGACGAGCACATTCTTCACAAGCCCGATTACATCCTCATGCGTGATGACGATCCCCGAAACGGGGGTCCGGGTGCTGGGGCCGACGATTACGATGATCACTGAGGATAATCGGAGGTTGGTGTTGAGGCGGAGTGCGACTTTGGTTTTGAATGAGGGTGTTGGTGAGGAGAAGGCTGCGAGGATGTAGGGTGGTTGAATGGATGGACAACGTTAGAGGCGAAGGTCAGGCGCATCATTTTGAAAAACTTCACACATTATTTAGACAGATATTTTTTCATATACCACCACTATTAACACACACACACACACACACGCTCAAAGATGCCCTCGAAGTATGGGTGATACATGGCACAGAGTGGTATTGTTTAATAGGGAGGTATCAATCAAAGAGACTGAACTCGGGTGGCAAGGCCAATGCTACAGGTGCTACCACTGGTGGTGGACTGGTCAATCCCGACAATAGTAATGAAGGCGCTAGGATCGAAGCCGCGGCTGCTGATGCAGTAGTCGATGAAGACGAAAGAGGGTAGTAAGCTGACATGATGGGTTGTGAACCAGAGTTGGCCATCTGACTGAGCGAGATCGACCCCGGAGGCGTCCTCGGTCTTCCTGTTCCATACACTACCGCATATCCTCCTGCCGCCTGTCCTTGTGCTTGTCCTTGACCTGCTCCTGCACTAGAGCTGGGAGTGGTAGAGGGAGTAGAGCGACCAGAAGTCTGGCGAGCACGTTCGCGTTCGAGGAGTGTCTGGTGGTTGATGGATGGTGGAGCACGGATGGCACCACAGGCTCGGCATTGACCTACACATCTGTAGCACCTGTCCTGGGATGCGTCGCAGACACGGCATTTCTCCAGTGTCCAGACTATGTTTGTGCATGCTGACTGTGTTGGCTGCGCTGCTTGTGGGGATGTGGGAGGGTCTTGTGGTGGTGGTGGTGGGGTTGACGTTGTAGTTGTTGTTGGCGGTGGTGGTGGTGGTGGCGGTGGCGGTGTTGACGCTGGGGTTTGGTTGTTTGGGGTAGCCCAATGCATCCCATTTCCTGCATACACGCCTTGATTCGTGGAGGCATCCAGACTTGGTTCATAGATGATCGAGCCTGGACACATCTTGATATCCAACACGACACCTCCTTGCACCTCTCCTCCAGATCCGTCTGCCAAAGTGCCATTAGGATCCCTCCTTTCAGCTTCAGCAGTTCCACCAACGGCACTAATAGTATCCAGAGTACTCTTAAACCCGACAACATCTTCTTCGGTCATGTAAGGATGGAAGATATCCCACTTGCGCAACTTGAGACTGTGTGGGAGAATATCTCCGTTGCGGAGCATATCCTTGAGAGTATGTGCGTCGGTTGTGAGGGAGGTTTGGTTGCGGCGGTAACGGGAGGAGAGGGTGTGGAGGTTTGGGAATTTGATCAACATGACGAGTGGCGAAGGGAAGTGCTGTGAGTCAGTTGAGTCCATGTATATCTATTGTGGATAGTGAAGGAAGACGAGTTAGATCCGAATGTCAATAACCACAATCAAACATAGCAACAATAAAAAAACAATTTCCTCCGTTTCGATCATTAGACATATACCTCGCGGACGAAATCGACGAGCCGGTTTTCTTTACGGAATCGGCGGAGGACGGCATAAATCTCTGAGATCAAAGTCCTGCTCCCGCCTCGCTCGCGGTCGCGGTCGTTCTCTGCATGCTTCAACCTATGCGTCGCTGCCGTTGAACCCGCCACTGCTGTCGTTGCAGTGGTGGCGGCCTTGGTGCCTTCGGATTCGTCAGATCCGGTTTCAGATTCAGATTCAGAACTCGAAGATTCAGAATCATCCCGCTGCCAGGATGGTTTCTTGGTCCTCACAGGTCGTTTATACCGAGACGGCCCCGCCACCGCCACTGTGCTCTCTGCCCCAGCTCCAGATCCTGCTACTGCCGCAGCGCTAAGCGTCGTGAAAGATGCCAATGCGGGATTGCTGGCAGAATACTCGGACAGGGGAATAAAACGAACACGCTGCCAGATCTCGGGGAGGTTAAGGAGGAGGTATCGGTGGTAGCGACAGGTGTCGAGGAAGCGAAAGATGGTGACAATGTCGAGGTAGCTGAAGACGTGAAGGATGAGTTCTGAGGGGAGTTTTGTGAATACTGACAGCTGGTTTATCGTAGCTGGTGGTGGTTGCTCTGTCGATTGGGTGTGGTGGTGTGTTGTGGGTGTGACCATTGCGGTGTTGTGCTGTGCTGCAGGCATGGCGGGTATGTGTGCTGTTCCCTGTCCTTGGTTGAAGCGTGTCCTTGGTATGTGGAGTGGAATGAGTTGTCCTTGATGAGTAATGGATGTGAAAAGGGAAGGAAAGAAAATGGACCCTCCTCTTCTCTTTTATCTTTCTTGACTTTGCTCAAAAAAAATTAAATGTTTGTCTGTTCATTTGTCAGCCCTAACAAAACGCCAGTCACATTGGAATGCTTCGCACACACCGAATTGAGCAGACGAACGATCGCACCACAGCTACTCGACAGAAGCAACTACCACATCCAAGGAAAGGCCTGCTATAGAGGGAGCCCTTGCTGCGCCAGGCGTCGGACATTGGCAAGAATGGCATGCAACTTCTTATACGCATGAACCCAATGCGAGATACCTGTTACTGCTGCAAAAGATGGTGTTGTTGGGAGAGTCTATGGCTGGAAAGAAAGTGGAGTTTGAAACAACCGGATAGTTCACGAAACAAGGAGTACATAGAAATGAGGTAGGAAAGAAAGAGGCTCCGTACGCGGGTGTGAATGTCGACCAGGCGGTTGTAGTACCGTTCATGAAAAGTTGTCATTGTTGCATGTCAAAACAAAGAGTGAATGCGTAAGTTGAATGTATGGTTGCTGTTTTAAAAAGAGATCTCGTTTCACTCCCCTTCCTCGTTGGACAAGACATCCGATATCCCATTCACCTGGACTGCAGTTCATCCGTGATTCCCTCTCTGTCTCTTTCTCTCACGCCAAGATCCATATCTACTTTTCATGTTTGCTTCTGGTATGCAATGGGGTTAGAAGAAAAGCATTGAGCAGCGATACCAACAAGTAAGGTTTCGCCGCTTGCGTACCATTGGGGTTTCCAGAAAATACTGCGTCATTGTTTTATTTACATCGTTCAAAACCGAATGAAGAGAAAGAAGCGAGGATGTGCTACCAAAGTGGGTATGGAAAGGATGAAGGGAAACAGTCTACCACTTGGGGGCGATATCCTGCTTGATCTGCTGAGCATGATGACCATCAACACCCTAATACTGCTGCGTCTGTTGATGCTACTAAGGCTTCTTGCTGTCCAAGAGATTCTTCTGGCGATGAATCTCCTCATCAATGTACCCAATAAAGTCCGTGTACTTGGGCTCCCATCCAAGGATCTCCGTGGCCTTGACAGCCCTTGACCTCGAGTTTCCTCCCAACAACACATTACTGCCCTCAGGCCAGTACGTCGTCTCCTCCTCGGGAGCAGTTCCGTTCACGGTACCCGAATCGTTGATCCCAATCCTCTGGAAGACCTTGGCGACTTCCTTGGCGACATCCCCATAGGCGAAATCGTCTCCCTCCTGGACGAAATAGTAGGCGTCCTCGTTCTTAGGAAGAGGGTATCCGAGCGGGTAGCCCTCATCGGCATCCTGAGGCTCTTGGACGGCACGTTCGAGGAGGGAGATGTAGAAGTGGGCAAGGTCGATGACATGGACCTTGGACCAGATGTTGAGGCCCTTTCCGATCTGCATCGCTTGTCCGTGCTTGAGCGAGTTGGCGACCAGTGCAGGGATCTGGATCGAGTTGTTGTTTCCGCGGCCGGTCCCGAAGCCCCAGATAGTGGGAGGTGCGACGATATAGGTGTCGATGACTCCCACCAAGGCTGGGTTGATGATTTCGACATCAACTACACGATGGAGCTGCGAGATCTCGAGAGTGTTGAGTTGAGCTACATCGTTGTCGTAATAGATCGTGTTACTCGCAAACTGGCCATTAGCACCATCCAGCAAGACACCAGTACCACTGGTATGGATCAAAATCGGACGGCGACGGCCCTCCTCCGAACGAGGGCGCCGGGAAAGACCACGGATAATAGCCTGGACAGAGGTGAGATGGTCGGCATCGGCAAGGTTGATGACAATATCGGCGTTGGCGGCCTCGTCCTCGATGATGGCGACGTCGTCGAGCGAGCCCAGAACGGGTTCGATCCCCTGGGGGCGGATGAGCTGGTCGGCCTTATCTTGCGAGCGAACGAGGGCGCGGAAGGTGTAACTGCGAGCAGTGTCTTCCTTCTTGAGAAGGAGGTCCAGGAATGTGGAGCCGATGTAGCCTGTAGCTCCCAAGACGAAAACGCGAAGAGCAGTCATTGTTTTAATAGATTGGTGGGTAAAAAGTTGCGTTGGAAAGAGAGAAAAGTTGAGCGTGGGAAGTGGAAGAAGGAAGAGGGTGGGAACTAAAAAAAAAAAGGAGGCGATGGTGATGATGAAAAGCACTGGAAGAGGTGCCCTTTTATATCCAAAGCAGTTGTCATTTATGCATCGACTTGCATTCGCCAATTCCGCCCAACGATGATCTCATTTCCTCCCTCTTCTCCTGCTCCACTTTCTATCCCTCTAACACAACCCACACATCCACAACGTTACCTCGCACAATTTGTCAACATCCTCAACGTTACTTTGCACAATTTGTCAGAATGCTGACTGAGCACAATGGGAGTGACACGCTTTGGTGACACGTTTTTCAGAGGTGACACGCTTTAGTGACACGCTTTAACGGCGATACGCTTTTTCTTCATTGCTGCGTTCGAAACTCTAACAAAGTGACAGCGTCCATCGTCCTTGTTGACGAGAAATATAGAACAAACAATACGATAGGACGAGTTTAAAAAAGATAAGGGCTCAACGAGAAAGAATAATCCTACCGACAAACAAGGATCCTTTTACACTCTCTCCGAGTAGAGAGGGAGTGGATGTATTTCTAAGCATCCTTTTTTTTTTTTTTCCTTTGTGTTCTTTTCCTTGTCTAGCAGGATAGGGAGGGAGGACGAGAGGTAAGCGGAGGAAGAATCAGCACCATAGTAGTCCCTAAGCCCGAAGAGTAGACACGTTTGATAGACGGATATATCTCATACCTCTTAGTCTTCATTTCCTGTCGGGTGAGAGAAAGGAAAGCACGGTGTTACGAATGAGGGAATACACTTTTGCTTTTATTTGTTTGCCACACAACTCACCCTCGAGGGTTTGTTGTTGCTGGTTGTTGTCGTCCAGTGGCAGTGGTCACCCCTTTCTACACCCCCGTCCACAACTGATTCAAAGCACCTCCTCCCTCCCTCCCCATATCAAACTCCAGATCCGCAGGCACTCCCTCACAGACAAGCTCAGTATCTTCCAACCCAAGGCAACAATCCAGCATCTTCGCACAGACGTAGATCAGGTTCTGGGCGTACTTGCTGACCGTTAACACCTGCTTTGTAATACCCCTCAGCTCCTTCAGCTTCTCCAGCCAAATCGACTTTATAGAAATCGAACAAGAGCGACACCCGATGGTTTTAGCGACATAAATGTGGCCAATTTTTTGAAATGTACAGTAATTCATTTTTTTCGACTCTTAAACGGAGACAAACGGTAAGCAAAGAGTCGACGGATCCATTTAATTGTAGCCGTGAATAGTTTCGATCCACGCTAACCTTTCCTTCGGGATGGGCTTGAACTGCTTCGGGAACCCGTCCTTCAACGCATCCAATGACCCCTCGCTGATCGACCCATCCTCCAAATGAAAGTACTCCAGCGCCGGCATCGCAGCAATGCTATATATCGCATGGGTGAACGTGGTCATGATGTGCGGACCAAATCCAGAACTCTTGACGATGAACTCGTCTAGCGACGGAAAGGAAAATTCTACAGTAGGAAGCGTCAGGTTGCTGTAGTTGCTACCATTGAAGTTGTTACAGCTGCTGCGACTGAACTGTTCCGCGATGGGCAGTCTTCCCTTCCACACATAGCGAGGAACGCGAAACGCGACAGGGACCCAGTCGTAGATATGTTTGGTCGAGACACATAGGGCTTGGAGATGAAGGAGATCCTGCAGACGGCGGAAAAATGTGCTTGTGATGTCGTTGGTCGCAATGATTGTTGAATGCATATCCAATCGTGTCAGCGTCTCCTTTGCTGTCTGCCAAGGGCTACGTAGATACTCTTTTGACATCTCGGTAAGAAAGCGGAATCCGTCGCTTCTATGGTAAGACGACTTTTCAAAGTATTGCTGAAACCTCCAAAGACTCCCAATAACCAGTGTCTCGACGCCAATTGACCGTGCAGACAAGATGCTCAATAGAATGGGAAGCGATGTTGTGTTGTCGCCTGTGAGGGAGAGTGTCTTTAAAGTGTGCCGAGTTCCGAATTTGTGTTCGTGTTCTGCGAGAGTCCGGTCGATGTTGGTTGTTGTCCAGTCTGTCCATTGCACCGCCTGAATGTGTATATACAGCGACTCGAGTTGAGGGAAATGTGTGATGAGAAGTAGGCTGTTGCCGATGAGAAGACTTGATTTTAGACCAGTCAGCCGAAGGATCCGAAGCGTAGGGCAACGGGATGAGAGGGCCGCCCAGGAGGGAGGATCTAGTGCAGTCAGTCCATCCCGCAGGCAAAGCTCGTCCAGTTGTGAGCAGCTCATGATGAGCTGAATGAACACGGGTATGTCGCCAGAGAGGCCACAGAGGTCGAGTCGACGGATATTGGTGTTGGTGCCTTGTTCCAGAGTAGATGGCTGATGTTGCTGCGGTTGCACAACTGATAACGTCAATGTTTGTCTGTTAGGCGTGATCTCGTTTCGTCCAATTGCTTCTTGAACAGTCGTGGGTGATCGTTGAGCCTTTGGCGCCAATGTTCTTTGAACGTTGGTTTTTAACCTCCTGAACAGAGGCAGAGGTGCACTCGGTTTCCATCGATCCAGTTTGAGAGATTGCAGCGCCGGACAACAACCAAGGATCTCTGCATGGAGTGCCGCCATATCGACAATCCCGTAAACCTGAAGACACAGATGGGCGAGATGGGGTAACCGAGACAGGGTCCAGAGGATCGAGACATTGAGAAGCGAGGCGTCGAGTTTGATCGAGACCGTTGTCAGACGGTCTTGCGTCCGGATAAATGTCTCGTCCAGCTGGTCATAGGGGACAGAGACGGAGTGTTGGTCCAGCGTCAGGTGTAATGTCTGTAGGTTTGTGTTGAAATGAGATATCGACTTGAGAACGCCCCTATCGACTCGGTGGCAGCTCAGGTCTCGGATAACGCTCCCATGAAGTCGGAGGTCCGCGACGATCTGTTTGTCGCATGTTTGTACGACGACCTTTTTCCATATATACGGCTCAAAGTAACTGTGTAATAGACATGATTCAAAGTATTATACGTCAATTCCACATATGAGGACCAACTCAACGAGGTTCAAAGACAGTATAGTGCTCTTGACAGAGATTAGTTTATACCTGTACCAACGTTGACAGACGGTTGCTAAAAGTCTCGAATAGGTGGGGTCATCAAAGTCCAGGTAGAGTAGTATCGACTCGAGTAGTTCCTGGATACTGAGCACCTTGTCACAGGGTAGAAGTGTCTGCCTGTTGAATGTGGTCATTGTTTGTCGAGGGGTGTTCTTGTAATGTGTCGATGCAATGAAGGATGAATGGGAGGGAAGAGGGAAAAGTGAAGTAAAGGAGGGGAGGACGAACGGGAGACGGAGAGGGGCGAGTGGGATCAAGGGTCGACTCTTTTTTTTTATCTTTTCGATTCATGAAGGGGAGAGTCCGAGCTCGTGAAAGCTGTCAATTATGCAACAAGAACATCTGTGTGCATAAACCCCAAGGGCTTATGCACATCTTGTTTCCTGTTGTTCTTCAACAGCAGCGAGAAGATATCAAGACCATTGCCAGCCCTGTCATCTTTCCAGGCACCATCACCAACACCATCCACCAGTTCTACAGTCTCAGTTAAGGATATCTGGAACCTAGCCATTTCGCCTACCTTTTTCGTTTGTCCGCCAGAGGAACCACCCCCCTGACTTTCTCCTGACTCCCCCACGCCATCCAAGCCCAACCATCATTTTCTCTATTTAGTTGAGGTGGAGACTTTCGCTTTCTTCTTCTTTCTTGTTCTCTTATTCTCTTTCACCCACAAGCACTCCTCTCCTCCCCTTCCTCACTTCCTTCCCACACAACAACATTTACTCCCTTTTCTCTCCCTTCGGTATACTCATGTTCCTCTCCTCCCTACGATGCCACATCACTGGCCCTATCCTTTCATTACATTCGGACAACGCAAGACAACACAACAACAACCAACACGGGACATCAAGTAATCCGACGGCCAAGAACGTCAAGGAAAGTTGACAATTCATAATTCAATCCCTTTGGGGCTCCATTTCCACACGACCCAACAGCAACAAAATTGGGAAACTTTTGTTTCTCTCACATTGATTTCAACATACTCCAATGCGAGCAAAACTGGTCACGAAACAAATATGAGGGAAGGCTGCACGACAACAACTCAAGTGCCTACGGTTGTGCATGAACGAGCAAAAGAGGATGTGTGTGTGTGTTGTATGAATTGTGGATTTGTACACCATGGTCCTTTTGGTCCTTTTGCATGTGCCCTCAGATGCCGCTTGCAACAAACACCGACTTACACTTGCCCCTTCCAGTTGGGTGATGGCACTTACCATCAACTTGCGCGATGATCGCCCAGTTTGGGGTATTGGTCGCTAACGTTTAGCTTAGTTATCGTAAAAAGTGGCATGCTCTTTCTTGAGTGAGTCGCACAGCACATATGGCTTGACATATCAGGTTATGCATATTATTTTACTCTGAGCAACGTTCAGATCAATTCGTACCCTTCGAGGGGACTTGGGGTGGTTGATACAAATGGGTGGACGGTGGTGTGAGGTATCGACTCGGGGATTATTGAGGTCCCGGGTACTGGGCGGCGTTATCCGCTGGGACAACCTACGAAACTTAACCACGAATGTTTTCTGTGTATTCTTGCTGGCAACAATAAAACGGAATTTTAGCCTGTCTACTTGGGATGGGTGTGCACCTTACCCCTTCAAACAGGTGTCAGCGAGAGGAACTTCAAATGAAAGTGGTGGATTCCTCTGCACCGTACCATGTTGGTTTGTTTTGGATATTGCCAGGTCTGGGCCAATATCACTAGCATCCTCGAGGTTCAATGCCTTTCGCCACCAACAGCAAACATCTGCACTTTTGCTAGTCTGCTCGTTGGATTATTAGACATCGTGTGTCATTCTTTCTTCCTTCTGTCTCTCTTTCTTTGGTGTATGTGTATGTGTTGCTGAGGGAGGGCCAAGGGCGATCGACCCTTCGCCGACACTCGTTCTTCGTAGTACGGCGCAGGAAAAAAGATGTAAAAACTAACTATTGCAACAATTAATTAGGATCGGTATTCCTTACTACGCGAAAGGAAAGAGCTTACACACTTATCATGGATCGACCCACACCATCCTTCTAGTGCTTCATCTCCGGACGAAGTGCCAACATCTTCTTCTGCAACTCTGCTGTCACCGCGTCTTCGGGGCACCAAGGTACAGATCATAATATATCCCAAGCATGATACCAGGCGAGGCCACGCCTTGGTCATCCATTCTAGTTCTGGTTCTTGGATCCTGTGATCGGCACCCATGAACCAAAGACTTTTAGGCTCTTCAGTGCGCCAGGGTGGTGCTGGCCCAATAAGATGGAGAACTCCATGGTTTCGAGGATGGGGCCGTTGTAGGCGAGGATTGTTCGGCTACTGTGTGGGTAGCGCTTGTACCCTGAAGTGTCGACTCCAAGATCGTCATTGTTGATGTATTCGTGTCCCAAGTCTAGGGTTGTCAGTTTGGTTTAGCTGGCGAGGCGGTCATAGACTTGATGGTGTTTCCCCAGGCATTGTCGGTGTTGGTCGCTGATCCTATGTTGCTCCTCTGAAAGCGATTTACGTCCTTTCTCCTCCAAGACTTCGACTGCTTCGGTACAGATCTCCTCCCCGTCTCATTTACAACATTTTTTGCATACATAACCAGAGCTACACGCTTGTCCATTTCCACTTCTTCGCCCTCTCTCCACACCTCCTCTCCTTCCTTCATTACACTTCCACAGAATGTCCTCAAACACCAATGCCGGCCAGTGCTGGAAGTTCCCTGCCTCGATCATCTCCAAGCGCACCTCGAACCCCATCCGTACCATCGTCTATCACATCAAGGTCAAGCCCAATGCCAAAAATTCGATGATATCCCTCACCCTCAGCGAGTCCACCCTTTTCGAAAACTTCAAGACCCACCAAACCTGAACCGACGCTGTCTCTAATCAGTTGCAATCCTGCAAGTCCGACGGTTTATCTATGCCCGTCAGGCTGTGGGCGACAAGGTTACTCATCCTGAGGCTCCTTTGGTCACGCAGGATGTGATTCTTACGAGTGGATGGGCGGGTGCGTTGGATATGTGTATTGGAGTTCTCTGAAACGACGGCGAGAACATCGTTTTACTTCGTCCTGCGTTCTCGCTTTACCAGACTTTGGCCAATTACAAGGGGGTTAAAGTTATGATGTCTTGATTATGGGTTTACTCTTGTCCGCGCTGCGATTGATATATTCCGGGGGAGTGGAACATTCACTCTACCCTTTTCGTTCAGGGGGGTGGATAGTCGTAATGTAGTCAAGTCTGGTCCGGTCCAGCTATAATAGAAGGACCAGACCAGGACACTAATACAACCCATTCATGACTCCTCTTGACTACTCTCTTCTCAAATATACGGCACATTCTTCACCTGGTCATCAAGATGCTGCAGGGCTTGGGCGCGTTTTCGAACGGTCGATCCTTGATCAAAAATAGGTGAAGCACGTTCATTTTTGTAGGAGACTGGTCATCGTGGTGCTGAAGGAGACACGGTCAAACAAAAAAAACATGCAGGGATGTTTGTTCACAGTATGGTCTTTGGTCGGTAACGAAGGGGAAATGGAGCTCTCACCCTCTGCTTTTTAGTCCGCCCGCTTCGATATTGTTTCACGCAATCCAAAAAAAATATTCTTCGACAGAGAGAAAAAGAAACGCACTTACGACCTTGTTCGTCTTTTTCCACTTTTTTATTCGTCACAATTCAAGTAACCTACAGCAAGCATTACTCATAGTTGGTATCAAGGCACACTTGGCGAAATGCCCCTCGGACAAAGGCGGCTGTCTCGGGTGAGATCGAGTTCTTGGCAAGCGAGAGGGTTTTGAGGGAGGGGGTTGTTGCGAGGAGGAACAGGATGTCGTTGAGGGAAAGGATGTCTGAAGCGTCTTGAACGGAGAGGGCTTCGGACCATTTTTGGGGGATGAAAAGGTTTTGGATGTGGGGTAAGCGGTAGTCGACAGTAGGGAGGAGTAGAATGTCACCTGGAGTGGTGGTAAGAGAAGGTGAGGATGATGTGGGCAAACTGGTGGTAGAGATGAGGTCCTTGAGGTGGTGATGAGAGGCGCGGAGGACACGCAGGGATTTGAAATCCTGTAGGCGCCTGAAGAACTTAACCGTCGTCGCCTTGTCGGGGAATTGCACTCCGTGCAGATCCAGCTTGACGAGAGTTCGAGCGACGACATCCCATGGCCGACTGAAATCCAACAGACTGCCCTCGGTGCTGATGTTGGGTGTCACTGCTTTGGCTTGGAGCCAAGGGGAAGGAGAGCTGAACGTGTATTCGATCTTCAGCTCTTCAAGATGGGTGAAAGATCGCGACGACAGGATACCCAGCACCTTGGGCAGCGATCCTGAGCCATGCCCCACGAGAGAGAGAGATTTCAACATGTGGCCCTGTTGCTCACCATCTTTCTTTTCTCCGTATGTGATCAAGGACGAGTCGAGGGATTGGAGGTCGAAATCCTGACGTGGGTAATCCTTGGCGTTGATGGTCTCTAGTCTCGGAAACATGGCGAGGAGTTCAGGGATGGAGAGGACGTCGTACTCGCGGTACTGGTATGAGTATCCAGAGATATTGAGAACCTTGAGGTTGGGGCAATGTGTTGCAAGGGAGGTCCAGGTATCGGCTTCGATGACGGACCAGCCAAGATGGATCCCGATCTCTTCCAGACGTGGGCACCGGGAAAATATCCGAGGCAGGACACTGGTGTCGGGCCTGAATCCATACAGGACCAATCGTCGGAGGTTCCATGTCTTGGGCTTCTCTTGTGCGCTATCCTGTGCTGTTGATGCTCGTTCGTAATAGTCGCCCTGCTTCTCCGACAGCCACCCAGATAATCTTGTTGCTGCAGTAGGTGAGATATGGCGACAACGAGCTAGGGCGTCCTGAGGAGTCACCGGTCCCCGCGTCGCCTCTGTCTCGACCTTTTCCTTGAGCCAGTTGCGGTACTCGAACGGATGGCGATGAATCGTCAACGCGTTGTAGTTGATTGTAAAACTCTCCAGCCTCGGGCAGCACTCCAACAGGTACAACGTAACCTCTTCCAGATACTGCAACGACTCCTCATCTCCGATACTCCCATTCGCATTGATCGTCAGGTCCCTCAGATATGGTAACTGACACAGACTCCAGAGCATCCTCGGTCGAAAGTCCAGCATATTCAGCGTGATCTCCACCTTCCTCAATCCCCGCCTTCCACACCCCTTCTCCCAGTCCTTCAGGTGCCACTGTTGGGACTTTGCAAGGTTGATAAAGATCAGCTCCAAAAAGTCGTACTGCATCCAAAAGGACTTCTCTCCAAACCCGAGATCGAGCTCTTCCAGGGAATGACAGTGTTGTACAAGGGAGGTGAGGATGGACTTGTCGACTTTGCTGCAGGAGAACTTCCGGACGCGATAGCCCTGTTCTTGGATGACCTGGGCAAATTCGTTATGAGTCTGGTTTGTTAATGAGATCGCACTCCAAAGGTACGGTGCAAAAAAGCTGTAGGAAGGGATGATGAAAAATGAATGGAGCAGGGTTAAGAAAATGTAGATAGACAGAGAACAAAGGGGTCAAAGCGGGTGATTTGTGTACCTGTTCCAGTGCCGACAGACGAGCATACATGATGCACCTTTAGGGTTCTTGTTGCTGTTGTTTGTTGTAGTTGTAGTGGTGGCGGTGTTTGAGAGTCCGGAAGGAATGAAAGAGTATAGGAGGTCCCTGAGCTCGGGGATGGCGAGCACTCGGTTGCAGGGTGCAAAGGCATTCGTCCTTGTCAACTTGTCGGTGTCCTTCCTCTTCTTGACGGGTTGGCAGGTCCAGAACATTATTAGTTGTTGCTGTTGTGTCTTTGATGAAGTGGGAGGGAAGGTGAGTGTGGTGAGAAGGGTGGAAGTATAGGAGGGAAGGATAAAGAGCGAATTGCGTAAGAGAAAGAAAGAACGGAAGGGATGAATGAGGTGATGTGAAAGAAGAGAGAGAGGGAAGGAGAGTGAATCCCACGCAACCCTTTGATTAAGGGTGGTCTACTCGCCAGGGATGGAAAGAAAAAGAGAGGCCATGGGTGGCCATGCATTCTTGGAGGGAAAGGTGAGGTTATGCGTGCTTTTTCTTGATATTCTACGAAGAAACGAAAAGAGCACGATGGATCGCATGAAAAACATGTCTCTACTTCAAACCCTTCGCAGTGCCTTGTGCATGCCTTTGTCGATTATCCATCCATTCCTTGCCATTCTCCCCTATTAACCGTCAGTTTGTCTCTCAAAAATGGAAAGGGGCAAGGGCTCCACCGTTGTTTTCCTTTTGCATGTTTCATCCCCTCCTTTTTTCTTGACTGCATCTGCCTTGCAAACGCCTTGGGAGATAGAGTTGTTTTTGTGTGATTTTTCGTCAGGGACACAGGATACTTAAGCAGCGAGATAGAGAGCAGAATGGAGATTAAACTTTCTGTCGAACATCATTGTTTTAAGGTAGTCAGAAGAGTGAGTGCCGTGGCTCGCTCCTACCCCTTCCGTTCTCCCTTCCCTCTTCTCCTTTTCTCGCTTCCCTTTCTTCCTTCGTCCTTTTTGCATAAAAAAATAAATGCTGAGAAGGGTTGTGTCTGTCTCGGAGGGTTTACATTAGCTTACTTTAGTTTGTGGTCAACCCCTGTGTGTCTCTCAAAAATTTCCCTTGTTGCTTTTCTTGCTTTTTTGTGTCTCGCAATTGGACAATGATTTATTTTAGCTTATCTGTTTCGCTTGGACCCTTGTCGCTCTGACACACATCCAATAGCAAAGCAACGAGACAGCGAGTTCGTACAAGGAAAAGATCTGCCCATTGCTTGATCCGCCAATGCTATCAGAGCAGAGCAGTGCGTATGCGTTAGAAAAAGACAGGACTAATTCACAAATAAAAGCACGTAAACAGCGAGGATTAATCATAGAGGACGATGGGGTCCGTACCTGTACCACAGTTAGCAGACGCGGGCATGTGGAGATATAGTAAGCTCACCACCGCCTTGTTGCAGGGGAGAATGATGTGGCTTTACACAAGTCCGTGTTCTTCTCGACGGGTACTGAGAGGTCGATGGCGTGTGCGTGAACTTGTGCTTGTGGGGTAAAAGAGAGAAGAGAAGGAAAAAAAAAACATAAACCAAGTGCGTTTGCCTTTTTTTCAACAGCAACAGACGCGACCACTTTGCACAGAGCCACACAATCTGCGTGCATGCATCGTCGGTGCTCTCTCTTTTTCCAACCTCAGCTTTTTACATTTGCTCCACGCCTTCCATTCGGCACGTACAATATGCCAATGGTGCCTGAGGTAAACGCAAAGGAAGACGTAAGGACTTAAGGCCTAATGCTCTCTTTCTCTTTTCTCTCTCCTCGAGCACTCCTTCTTCCTTCTCCTTTGTTCCCATCATTGACTCACATCAGCGTACCCTCCCATTCACTCTTCCATCGCCAACCATTATCTCTCATTCTCGTTCATTGACTTCATATTTCCCAATTTTTGGATGTCTCAAGGTAATGCCATTCTCGCTCGCGACAAGAGGGCAGCAGGCCTTGCCTTGATCCATGATTAAAGGCGCCAATTGCAACGGTCTTCATGCTAAAGAAAACAGCTGCAATGCATTATTACATGACTCGCAAGATGCACCGTGCCTTGCAGACAAAGGCAAATCGAAAGTGACACCAGGCGTCACCGCTATAAGGACACCCGAGGTTCAAACCTAATTGGTGTGAAGTGTCGCCTTTATAACGTCACTTTTAACTGCAACAACATGCACTTTGTGAGATCCTAGCTTTGCAAGAGAGGAGGGTAAAAAAAATTCCCGTCACGCCAAGGTAGGGTGACCACCTCCAATAAAAAAATTGACTAGCCAGCAAATAGATACAACTTCATTGTTTGATATGCAAAGACAAGCCACTACAACCGCCCATCGTCGTCGTCGTCTGTGTGTGCATGAGCCTTGTCCTTCTTCGATGGCGAGAACAGGATGAAAGGGCTAGACCTCTTTCTGGGAGGAGGAGTGCACTGCCGCGCAGGAGGATCGGCTGGGGTCGATGGGGGATCGTCAGGGGTTGATGGAGGATCGTCCTCGTCGCCATTACCGAAAGGGGTCGACGGCGACATCGCCATGACATCGACAACGTCCATCGCGTATCTCCTCAGATGCTCCAATTGCGAGATTAATATCAAACATGTCAGCAACCTATTCTTAAATATATTACGGGCAAGTTTCGAGAAATCTCAGGTCAAGACACCTACCCTGAAAGAGAATAGCGTTAAGATGCTGTTTGACTGCAGGAATGCCTTGAGCTGAGAGACTTGAGGTGGCAATGATATGCCCTTGGCAATCGACCGTCCTGCACCAAGAATATCGTCATAGCGCCTTAACGTGTAAAGTCAAGGCCCAGACCTCTACCTTCGGCAACAATAGGATAGCTGTGCTGAAGATCAAGTCCGCGCTTCTCCAGTTCCAGCAGGATCGCTGCGTTCAAGCGTACCGATTTCTTTTGTTGCTTTTCACACATCTGCCTGGTAGAGGTCGATGCCTTGAACTCAAAGATGGCAATCTCCGTTTTCCACTCGTTATCGACCTGGATCCTGATGCTCAAATCAACTTTGCGCCCGCATGATGTTGATGTCGTTGATCCAAACTCGTCTTCCACTAGTTGACGCGCACTGGTACTCGCCTTGGACACATGCTCTCCTCTACATAAAATATAAATAGAGTGCATATGAGCATATTCAGTTGACCTTTCCATGAACACCATTGAAGACCGAGCTCGATAGCTATACACAATTATACACAATTATCACTTACGGGATGGCTCTTACTGTTGTATCGAATAGCAAAATGTTGAAAAGTATGGCCCATGCTGAGACATATACATGCTCTGAAGTCGGGGGTGTAAATAAGCCAAGCTCAATTCACAACAGAACCTGCTGGACAATCTGGAGAGTGGTGTACTTGGCCTTCTCAGCATGGGTATGCCTTGAACTTGCTGCATCTTGCAAGAGCTGCCATACTTTCTTCTGGAGCTGAACGAAGTTGGGCTCGCAATAGCGGTCCTTGTCGAGGTCGGGATACAATGCCTTCAAGAGCTCGGCAAGCAAGCCCTTAACTGCCTTGTGCGTCTCCGACTGAGGGTCAAGCTCCGGGAGCCGTGACTCGATCATAATCTCCTTGGACAAACTGAATTGCCGCGCATTCGGTGAAACCGTGTTAATGATACCCGACAGCAAGACCCTATGGGAAACAAAAAGCATCGTATTACTAAGAGCAACTCAGTTGTCATTTCCATATCGCCTCCTTCGGAAACAGGAACTAACTTACAGCACGTCCTTTTGGCTTCAATTGGGCCAGGCTCTCGCAAGTAAGCCAGCACAGCTTTGTACATTTCTTGGTAATTGACGGACAGGCTGCAGAGGGCAGAGGATAAAGGCGATGGTAGTGTTGCCGATTTCTTCTTGGCCTACAATAAGAGGGACAGCGTTAGCATAGTAACACGAGTGACCATTAGCAACAGACGGAAAGGGTCGCTTGACATACCTTCAGAAATACGTAAGCAATAAGGTCGTAAAAGGGGGGTGGCTTTCGCGCGAGATGGGGCGACGATCTGCATCTCTGGTGGCGAGTCGAGATCTAGCATGGCATGGGCGGTCAGAAATGGAGTATTATGGCATTGGTTCAAGTCTCCAGAAGTGCACATCACACGCACTTACCGTCTGCAGCAGTATCGACGTCTAGCTCGCAAGCTGCAGAGCTCTTGCTCTGGTCTCCGATGGCGATGATTCCACCTATGCATATATGTGCCCAGAGGACCGTTGATGTTAGGATTGAAAGACAAAACTGCATTTTTTTTTATTTTTTTTTTGATGAAATCAGAACCTTGCCTGCACTCCCAGAATCGACTTCCACTTCTGCCTCTGTCTCACCGTCCTCCGAGTTATACATCGCCTCTGAATGCACATTAGAGCCGGACGAGCATCTGTGCTGCTCGAGATTGGGTTGTTCTGTATGTCCAGAGCGCTTCTCCGCTGTACTCCTGGACAATTCTTTGATGGTGTTGTTGGCGAGAGGGGCCGCGTATTGTATCAGCGACGTTTCCGTACGGGTGAGCGACAGAACTGTGGTTTTCGACCTCATCACTTCGGCCCAAAAGTATTGAGCTTTATCGATTTTCCAACGTTTGAACTCTGCTGCAAGAGTTGTTTGCCGTGCCATACTGAATATTTTGCTGGATGTTATGATATGTCCATAATCATTGTGTGCCATCCTTTTGTCGGTATACTGAAAATACGTGAAGAAGTCGGTCGGATTGAGAGTTGCTTTGTGAGCCGAAAGATACTCATAAACGCTGTCGGAGAGCCATGACTCAATATTCTTTGGTTCAGTTTGCGAACTTGTGCGAGCACTTGGTGATGACATTGTGATGATGTAGGCGGGTCCGTTTATGTTTGAAGAGATCCTATCTCAGATACAAAAAGCAATGTGCATGTGTAAGCAGATGTTTATAGGCAAATTGACAAAATCAGAACCATTTGGTGTAGACCAATGACTCGAATTCCTGCAAGCACTACGGACACGAACGCATTCATGGTGGCAGGTTTTGACAGGAAAGTGCTGGAAATAGGACACTGATCCAAATGAGCTACAGGGTTATGCCACAAAACGACTGGAACGACCGCCGCGCAGCGAACCACATCGAAGGGCGCCTGCTCCGCCACTTCCAGCAGGATAAGGCTCATTTGTTTTTCACAAATATACAACATCGTAGGGTGTGCTGAGATCCAGCGAGCTACACAGCGGACACAAAGCATTTGTGGCGGCCGGTTTTGACACTGGTAAGGGTGCTCGTTGGAAATCAGGCACTCTTAAATCACATGGTAACATCAATTGGATCCCACACGCCGGTAGGATCCCTCAAGATGCCGCATGAATTGGTTCAAGTTCTACTCAGGATGATATTCTGAAATACTGCATTACCTTCAAAACTGGGTTTTGAATAGATAAAGGCAGAGAAGAGATGGAGAGGGAGGTGAGAAGTGATTAAGAAAGCAATGGATGAAAGCGAGGAAGGAGAGCAAAGAGGCAAGTAATGAAAGATAAAAGGATAGAGAGAGGTTAATGATGAAGGGCACCGAGAGCAGCATAAATTGCGTCACCACAGATGTAATTCTCGCACCTACTGCAATCGTCACAGTGTAGCGTAGCAACACGCGAAAAAGAGCCTACTGCACTCACATACTATGAAAAACGCAGTATTCTGCAAAAAAAAGTTCATGGAAGCCTAGGAGGCGTATATTATCTTCATATAGACCTTCTTAATAAATAACAGACATGTATTGATGGTATGTTGTTTCTATAGCGAGATGAACCACGAGCCTTCAAGTAGTCGTCATCCAGCCCACGCTTACACAGACTCGCCCGACATCCGTGGCGTCTGCAACTCACTCTCTCCACCTGCATCTTCCACTGGAACACTCGACATATCTACAAACGTCACATCCGGCACCCTCGCCCCTCCAGCTCCAGAACTCACACCAAGGCCCCCACTCGTGGGAGACCTTCCTTGCCCATCCACAACAAGCTCCTGCATCATCTCCTGTGAGAACTTGCGGGTGTGGTGTTGTTGCTGCGCGGTATGGTAAAGAGAGAACCGCTTTTGCTGTTGCTGCTCCTGGGAGGAGTGATGACCTTGTTGGTCGCTTGAGGCGCGCCTGTGTTGTTGTTGATCTTGTGAGGGTTGTTGCTGGTTATGGGATGTATTGAACCGGAATTGGTTCAGAATATCCGCCGCGGCGTGATAGTGGTGGTGAGAAGAGGAAGGATTGGTCCGTTCCAGGAACCAGCGGGATCTGACGACAAGCAAACTTGACACGACTCCTGACTGGATCATCCTGTCGGCGGCCAGGCCCAGCATCACTTGACACGTCGTCAGGGCGCTTCCTCCAAGGCCTGCGGTAAGATTGGAGACGACGCCTGGGGTTTCAGGTCTTCGACCTCTGGATGACGAACGCGCTCCACGACTTCGTGATCTGCTCAAAAGACGAGATCCTCCGGCTTTCTTTTTTTCCACTGAGCGACCTATTCTTTGGGAATCTCCTTCCTGGGCCTGCGATCCGGGTGTCGACAATGCAGATGTGGATGATGCGAAGAAGGAGGTATCCTGGAGAGGTTGGAGACGGCTCTGGTGGGGGCTGTCCGATCGGGAAGGTGGGGATAGGTTGATTCCGCGGCGTTCGAGGATCGAAGGTGAGGACATGGGTGGGGAATGGATCCTGTGGATGCTATCGGTTGCGGTTGTGATGTTGGACTGGGTTCCGTCGTCGGGGGAGGAGGTAGAGGCGACGCGGGATGTTAGGTCCGACATTGCTCTGTTCATACCGCGACTGCCAACGCCTTGTTGGGATGGTGTTCTTGACAACAAGCCGACACCAGCTCCAGTACCGCCACCGCCGCCACCGATAGGAGTGGTCGCCGCCGAGTCGAAACCCATCACCATCAGATCCTGAGCTGTCAGACAAGACCTCGCCCAAAGAATGGCATCATTGAGTTCTTGGAACGACAGCGTCATAATCCCCTCCTCCAGATCCCACCTCTCATCATCATCCTCCAGTCTCTCATCATCCTCAATCACACCCTCAGCACCCAACAGAGGCCCATCGCCAAGTCGACCAGCAGACCGATTACGTTGGAGAATCTGCTGTTGGTGCCGGGTTTGGCCGCCTTGGAAGAGGGGTTTGCACGGGAAGAATTTTTTGAAAAGTGTTGGGTCGTCCTTGGGGACGATTCCTCCTTGGTGGGAGAGATGGCGAGGACGGTCATCGAAGTGCTCTTCAGAGTGGCGTCCAGCGTGGGGGGTTGGTGGGACGGAGCGGTCGTTGGTGGCGGATCCGTTACGGGCATGATGCTGGTTGAGTGCCTGGAATGTGTACGCCTGTCCTGCTCCCGCTCCAGCACTCTCAGGCAAACTACTCGCGACCCTCAGAACAGTAACAAAGCACCTCGTACTCCTCGCAAGGCAACTCGCCAAACAAAGCGTCTCATAATCATCCTGCCCACCAAGCAATGGCACCACCAAATGCTCAACCCCTCCAAAAAGCCCCAACCCGCGATCGACCAAAACCGTTGTCGAAATGTTGGACTTTGCACTGGACCGGATCAATTTCGAAAGCACTTTGGTATTCGATGCAATACTGGTCCTGTGCGACTGGCCACTGGAAGAGAGATCGACATGTCCACCAGAAGCAATCTTTTGCGCCTCGTCGTGGTCAAAGTACCTCGAGACGTTGTACGGGAACTGGCGTGGCGCTTCGACAGATGTATCGGGAGCGGCTGAGGAACCAAAGAACATTCCACCGCCGGCGCTGGTGGCAGGTTGACCAAAGTCATGGGTGGCAACGAGAGGGGTTCCGGGCATAGAGACGGCGCTTCCGGCGGTGACGGAGGTGTTGGCCATCGACATCATGATCCCGGGCTGGAGGTGGTTTCCACTTGTAGGTTGTCCCGCCTGATGTGCGGACGGCAAGTCGGTGAGGTGAGACGAATTCCAGGGGTACACGATCCATCCGACATTAAGGTCCTCAGCCCTGTCCAGGATATCCTGTGCGACTGTCGATTGCGCCGCATCAGTCGAGATAGCAACCAAGGGCTTTAGCGGTACAGAGTTGAGTTTTGCGAAAGCCATAACCATCATCATGACAGTATCCTTGTACAACCGGTCCATGCATCGGGAGGCGGTCAACATAGCGGCCGAGGTACGTTCCGAGATATGGAGGAGTCGAATGGCATAGATTTTGGAGTAGTTGACCTCGTATTCGACGATGGCTTCTTGTCGTCGCTGTTTGTGCTGGAGCTTAGTGCGGTTGCCTTCGGGGTCCGAGATATCGATCGACGGTTGGAGGACACCTTTGTACCGTCCTCCCTCCTGGTCAACTCTCAGCTTCTCGTCCTTGGAACTCCGTCCGCCCTCGGTGGTGTCACTCCCCCCAGCGATGGTCGCCGAATTGGTGTCAGCCTTGTTGCTAGTCATCGCTGCCACGCCGCGGACCGCGGTACCTGAGAACAACTGCAACAGCGTCATGACTCCAGGAGCGTTTGGCGTCTTGTCCAGACAGAACATAATCCCGTTCCTCTGTTTCCATGCCGGCTGCTGGTGGTCTCCGTGAGCTTCCTCTCCATGCAAACTGGCGGAAGTATCAACACGAATGTCCTTAAGATCGTCATAGTCGGTCCTGGAATCAATCGCGTCCAAATGGTTATTATCGCCCCTGTTCGAAGACTGCTGACGTCCATGTCCTTGGCCCTTTCCACCTCTCCTCCTCAACTTGTTCGCAATCCCCGCAAAGAACCCGGCCTTCTTCACCTTGACACTTTCATGCTTCGCACTATCCCCCGTCAACGACCGCTTCAACGCAATAGCCTCCTGCTTCCTCTCAGCCTCCCTCCTCACCTCAAGTTCCTTCTGATATGCAACAGGATACAGGTACCCCACAAACGGCGTCGAGACCATCGTCAGCAACACACACATCGCAATCAGGATCACGAACACCCGATCACTAATCACGCCTGCATCGTGCCCAATGTTGAGGATAATATACTCAACAAGTCCCTTACAGTTCATCAGGAACCCGATCGAGAATGCTTCGCGCCAGGTCATACCGTTGGCGCGGGCCGCGCTGACACAACCGAGCATTTTACCGAAGAAGGAGATGAGGGTTACCATGATGACGAGTCCCCAGGTTTGGCCGTTGTTGAGGAGAGACACTTGTGTTTTCAATCCAGAGCACGCAAAGAACTAATTACCCACAAGAATAAAAAGGTGAGTGAGTATGGTGTTACACAGCTAAGGATATTTACGTCCGCGCTCAAATGCAGTCAACGCTAGAAAGAGCCTTACGATGGGAAGGAAGTAGACGCCGACAAGATCCTCAATGCGCCGGGTAAGTCCCTCCGCGAATCCCGAGTCGTGTGGGATGAGGAGTCCGACCAAGAAGCCGCCAAAGATCGCATGGATTCCAATCATGTTTGTCACAAACGCGCTCGTCAACACGATCATTAGCGTGATGGCAATCATCTTTTGTGAAGGCTCCTCCTCCTAATAGAACCAAGGAAACAAGTCAAAGAATGGTTAGAACACATTGTGGTTCTCAAAAAATCCATGCGAAAAGTAATAGAAACATCAAGACATACCGAATGGGTGAGCCGAACAAGAGACAAAAGCAAAGGCCGGACGGCATAGACCAGAATGATACACCACCCAATGGCCATCAGGACAACATATAACGGCATAATGGGTGTGGTGGCGTTGATCAAACTGACCAACAGGGCCAACAAGACCCAGCCGACGATATCTCCGGCCGCTGCGGCGCAGACGGTAATGAACCCGACTGTTGTGCTCATCAGCTGCATCTCTGTTTTAGATCGAGCAGGTGGTTTTTAGAAAGGGGGTTGAAGGGTTAGTAATTCGTCATTGCGCTGTGTAGAAGCTGGGGTAAGAGACGGCGAACTTGACGCTGCAAGGAGCGAGGTGGAGGTGTAGAGAAGTAGTTTACCCGCGAGGATACGGGCTAGGACAGGGAAGGCCTATTGGAAATGAAATAAAACAGTTGTTACAAGCGCGTTCATTTCTAAACTCACAAAAAAAATGACAAAGAAAATAGTAGCCCGGGATCAAGATCCTCTATCGAAAAGAAACACTTACAGTAAGACTCATAGCAACTCCACAAGTCAACAAGAACTGTCCAAAAGGCGGCGGCGTCGCTGGCGCTCCCTCACTCGCACCACCCTCCATGGGGCCCTTCTCAAACTCCTTATACAACAACACCGCAACCCCACAACTAAACACAAATGGGACCAACAACCCCGCAATCGAGATCCCCAACGCATGCTTGGCTCTCTTCAGAATCAACGTCGGGTCCAACTCCAACCCGACCAGGAACAAAAACAAGACCAGTCCCAAGTTAGAAACAAGGGTCAGGAAGGGGATGGATTGTGGGGGGAAGATGATGTCGTTGAATCCCGGGATTTGGCCCATGATGGAAGGGCCAAGGATGATGCCGGAGATGACCTCTGCGACAACTCTGGGTTGACGGATTTTGTGGAATAGAATGTTGACTCCGTAGCAGAGAATTAGGATGATCACCGTCTACGAAAGATGATATGAGTGAGTTATTAATTTTTTGCTTTCGCGAGCGAAATAGTAGTGTGAGTCCAGTTGGACAGCATTCGCTGAGTTCAGAGACAAGAAAAAACCTTACCTGGACGAGGAACAGGGGTAAGGGATCTGTCAAGCTAACGGCAATCGGGTTAGAACCGCTCAGGATGTTGCCTAGAACATTGCCACCATCGCAAATTGGAACGACACCGGTGAAAAAAAGAGAGAGAAAGGGGTCAGCAGGAGACACAAAATCAAGGTTGCACAGGCATGCAGATACAGAAATTCAAACGCGAATGCGAATGTTATAGGAGAGTGAGGAGAAGGAAAGGGATGGAGGATGGAGACAAGGAAGTGAAAGATGAAAGGACCGAGGATATGAGAGATGAATATAACAAAAGACGGATAAAGAGAAGGGATCCTAGGGTAGCTAACCACAGCCATGATCTATGGAGGATCCATCCCATGCATCCCATAAACAAGGTCAAGGTTATTTCAAAAACAAAAAATCAAAAAACGTGTCTGTATCCAACGCCCGGATTCGTGCTTCACCAAACCAAATCTTTGTTCTTGAGTGGCAAATGTATCTCCTTTTTTTTTGCGACCCCTTGCATATACGTCAGAAGCAGAAAGGAGATAGACAAGGCCGACAAGCGATTCGTCTATTTCTTTTCACTCGCTTCCTTCTCTTCATGCTGTCTATATCCTTGGATTGATAAGCAGTAGACAAGGTTGCTCCGCCTGATACTATGAACGAATACTAAAAAAGTCCATAATAGAAAAAAAAAAACGAGAGTAACTCCTTTTGGAGAAAGCCTGATAGGGCTCATGAGGTTCAGCCATGTAGAGTACCCAAACGAGTCGCCTGCCTCCACCTCTTGCTACTTTTAATTTTTTTCATACACTGCATTAATCAGTTAGCCTTTGAGACTTTTAGCCCCGGGTAAAAAGCCGTATACACTTATAAAGAAGAGTAGCGAAAGGCATGGATAGAGGAAGGAGGAGATGAAGGAGAGAGAAGGTGTGTGTGTAGTTTGTTCAATGAAAAAAGGACACTTGTGGCGAGGGGGAAGGAGATACAAAAAGTGATGGCAAAGAACGAACAAAGCAAAAAAAGGAGACGTTCCTTCCAAGAAAGAAAATATTGTGTCAGGGGCACACAAAACTCAACATAAGGTAACCAACACTATGCGCTCTCCCTTATTCTCCTACCGTCCGTCCAAAAGTGGAAGGAAAAAGGCGGCGGGTGAACAAACCATCGTTGCATAAAAAAATCGAGCTCAGCTGCATGCTCCTCTTTCTTTCCTATTATGATTCAACCCCTCATGCGCAATGACAACAACCCCTGAGCCACCCGTGGGGGGTGACATAGTAGAAACACAACGACGCGAATAGGTGGGTGGCAGTAAGGAAGGGGATAGACCAGGAAACACTACTGCCTGCTGCATTCGCACTTTTTTTTTTCTCTTTTCTGTTTCTGCTTGTGGTCTTCCTTATGCTTCCTTGGTTTTTTCATGTTCCATCCCACGAGCAGAAAAAAGACGCGTGGTCAAGGAAAATGAACAAAAAAATATGGTGCATAGGGGGTAAGATAAGAAAAAGACAAAAAGCAAGGGGAAAAATATTACCCAAAGGTAGCGCGCATCTCTCCACCCTTCTTCCCCCACATCGCTCTTTTGCATTGTGCCACACACAGCCCTCTCCCTTCCTGTGACTCTCCCAATTCGGTTCCTGAAATGAATAACACCATGCCCTTCAATCACATCACATCACATATCACTGGCCACCTTATCTTGGCTAACCTCATCACGTATAAAAATTGTTCAAAAACCAATGTGGGGCTATTGTACTCACCACCTTCCGTCGACTTTCCCGGTTCTGCAGTCGAGTTCATCTTCTTGGGGTCTTGACTGTGCGCTCGGGTGGGGAAGAAGGGAGTCTTTGGTGGAAGGAAAAATAAAGGAAAAGAAAAAGGAAAAGAAGAAAGATAAAGGATGTGCTTCTCTTCTTGGTATCCTGAGGAGTTAGAAAAAGCGAAGAGAAAAAATAGGAGAGTACGGATTGAAAAAGGAGAAAAAAGTACGACTGGGACAAGAAGAGGGGGGAGGGGTGGGAGAGAAGAAACAGGGCTCTCTCTCAATTGCTTTCGCGATGGTGTGGTATAGTGTCACAAAAATAAGGTTGTATTCAAGAGAGAAAACAATCGCAATGCAGACGTAATTTAATGCCAAGTATAAAAGATGAGGAAAAGTGGAATGAATGAATGAATGAATGAATGAGTTGAGAAGAGATGTAAGCGGCTGATGAGTGTCGTTTTGTTTGTAGTCGTGGGTAGAAGAAAGGGATGATGGAGATGTAAACTGTCAACAGAACGAAGAATGGTTATTTAACGAGAGCGAAAAGGAAAGAAGAGGGGCAAACAAAGAAAACGAGAGAAGAGGCTAGGCCTGTATATATACGTCTCTCTTCGCGATACTGAATAAGAGAATAAAGTAAAGAACAAAGCGACCAACAACGCCGATAAGCCCATCCCATCCCTCCGTTCCTCTGTCACGACCAAGCAACAAGCAAAGTTGACAAAGAAAAGTATTAGCACCCATGTACACACGCGCGAAAGGGAAAGTAGCCTAAGGATTTCATTAGCCCACTTCTCGCTTGAACTCTCTTTTCTTGCACTCATTTACATCCTTTCTTGGGCCTGTCAGGTCGAATGTTCTTCCACCAAAAGCCATGCGCCTTACTTATCTCACACACTCTCTCTCATAGCCTGCATGTTTGTCTACATAGGTATGGACACAATGAACAACAAAAAGTCTTACTCCAACCTAGTACAAAGTGCAAGGTGTATCGATCCCAACGATCTAAGAGACCAAAAGATCGGACACCTCTTTTGTTAAGGGATAACAAAGGATTCGCCTCATCGCCCGATCGACGAAAATATACCCTTTTGCTTACTTTGTTCCTGTCTTCTATCTCTATTGAAGCATCTCTTCCATGTCCTTTCCCATGTGTAAGAGAACATACAACTACACCAAGCAAGGGGAAGTAGAGAAAGGGAGGACGGGGTAAGGTGTATTTAATGAAGGAGGTAGTATTGTCCATTGGCTGCCAGGTGTCCTGATTGGTTCCCCTTCTTATTGGTTTCAATTAAAGAGACGTGATGGATCCTCATTACCTACTCTTACCTTAATAACGTCCACAGGTAATAAGTAAATCGGCAGAAGTAAAAAACGTAACGAAAACAGTGAACATTACAAAACTCGATCCTGTGTCCAACTGTTCCTATTCTGCCATATTTGTAATGGGGACCAGGAAGCGAAGAAGGAAAAAGAGCAAAGAACGAATAAAAAGAGCCCAGGTCTATGATTCCTTCACCTTTCAGCAGCGACAGCAGTGAGCGAACGAACGATCACTTTCGCCGTTTATCGACTCGACGAAAGGTAGGAGATTGTACATGTAGTAGTCAAGGAGCAAAGAGGGTTCCAAGGTTTCAGAATAGCCACTGTGAGCGAAGGGGTAGTGAACGAAATATGTGGGATGACGACTGTTTACAAACACGATCATGCCAATGACGATCTACATGTACCTCACCCTCGTCAGTAAGTACTGTACATTTATAAACATAATAAAACCGATGCACCCCTTCCTGCTGTAGTAACCTACCCACGTTGCTCTCCTTGTCCCTGCCACCAAAGACACACACACATAGAGATAGTCGATAAAATGGGTGACGGAGCAGGGTGCCAGAGAGAACTTTTTTTTTTCCTTTTCCCATTTACAGTTCTTTTTCTCGCACTAGTGGCGACCACAAGGTCATGCAGAGTAGGCAGCATCCCCTCTAACACTTTCTACTTCCGAAAAAGTACCCTTTGGGGAGGTACCCCGCTCTTTTGTTAAACAAATCATTCACATTTTGGGACTAGCTCCTTCATCCATTGTCCATAAGGACAGGGGGACAGGCTCCCCGCATGAAGAAAACATACAAGCGCAAGCACATACAAACACAAACACAAACACAAACAACAAACAACAAACATTAGCACAAGAGTATTTACCAGGAAATGGCAGGATCCTTTTGGCGTTTCAATGCAAGAAGAAAGAGACAAGATTGTATTTGTGTGCTATGTGCTATGCTACTACTTCGAATTCAAAGGGAGAACAACGGGATGAGAACAAGGAGGCAAGGCTAGTACTGGTTCAAGCGGTTCATGACCTTGTCAACCTCAGACACAGGAATGACAGGACCATGTCCAGAACACTTGGCCTTCGACTTGAGCTCCGCACACAACTCATCAATATCCACATCATCAAAGTTGGGGTGCTTGGCCAACTGCTCCCAGGCCTGGGGGCAAGGGATCGTCTGTTCACCCTCAAGCAGCGGTTGCAAAGTGTGCTTCGTCTCTCCTTCCTCTGGCACCTCCTTTGATGGCAATACCACCGGTGCCGGTGCTGGCTTTGTGGTGATTGTGGGTGTTGTCATCGGTGTTGCGTTGGGCCCAAGGCCGTGTGGCGACACGATGCCTGCATTGGCAAACGCATGAGTGTAATCTAACAAGGGATCGCTCAACAAAGCGTCGAGCGAGTTGTCCTGGAGAGTGTTCTCAACCACGTCATCGTATCCAGCAAAGAAATCCCGAGGATCTGAGGGGTCGCGGAAATCTGTGAAGAGTGCTTGTGTCTGCTCATACGACAGTGAGGGCGCCGACGTGGGAGCCACAGGTGGAGTGAAGTGAACCATGCCATCCTTGTCCGTGTGGAACAATGGAGTGTTGACAAGATCGTCAATAGTTGGTGAGGGGCTGTTATCCGAGAACATGGCCAATGACGTTCCTGGACTAGCGCTCTGAAGTCTCTGGTTGTTAAAGTTGTTATTGCCGGTGGTCGATCCGAACAAGTGAGTATTCATAGGCGTGTGAAGGTTTCCGCTGAAAGTGCCGCTATTGGTGTTGTGAACTGCGGTGGTGCTGTGAAGGTTCATAAGGGCGCTGATGTCAGCGAGTCCAGGATGGTTGTTGGCGTTGTTGTTAAGTGGACTGTGAAGTGCCGTGTTTCCGTATGTGTTTCCGTTGCCATCCAACAGCGTCGAAAAGAGGGCCATTTCCTCAGGTGTGGAGTGTCTGAAACGGGGAACGATGCCTGCATTATCCGAGGACGAGACCTGAGACATCGTCTCCTGGTCAGGAGTAGGGAGATCATGGTTCAAAGGCGAGTTGGGCACACTGTCACCGCCGGACGAAGGAGGAGTCCACTGGCGCTCGCTTGTGGTTGGCGTGGGGAGCTTTACATCTGTAACTGCCTTGGCAGCTTCGGCCTGGGCAGTAGTCGCCTTGATCGCCTGGCTCGAAGGAGGCATAGACGGGGCCGATATCTGTGATGTAGCGTCGCGCTGTGTCTTGGAGATGTTGTAGAGTCCGGGTTGGGAGATGGGGAAATCAAAGTTGAAGGACTGCTCCTTGAGGAAGTAGTTCTCCGTCTCGAGCTTCTGAACCAGAACCTTGAGGTTAATGTTCTCCTCTGCAAGCTTGGTATCGTCCTTGCCGGGGTTGAGGTCCTCAAGCTCCTTGATGCGATCCTCCAGCGACTTTACATACTTCTCCTTTCTCTCGCGGAAAGCACGTTGTGCCGCTCTGTTTTGTGCCTATGTAGGTGTAAGAAAAAGATGAATTTGGTCAGTTTTGGAGGGGTTACTGGATAAACAAACGTTCGTTTGTGTGTAGTACGCTAACGCCAGAAGGGACGTGATGATTTTCTAATCGTTCAATGTCGGTATCCCAGTCGTCCCTTTTCCGTGTCCGATGCAAAATGTAACAGAGAGGGGAATCATGCAGACAGGTACTCCTTTTAGTCCATTTCCTTTTGTTCCTTTTTGAAGACTCTCTTTGCTTCGTCTCAGCCCCATCCCTTGATTCGTGTCCCTCGTTCTTTGATCTTTTGTTCCCGTCATCTCTTTTCTCTTTTCCTTTGCTTTCCTTGCTTCCCCTTTCCTTCCTCCTTCCTTTTCCATGTTTTCCGCGTTGTCTTTCTAGTTTTGCGATAGGAAATAAGAGTTTTCCTTCCGACAATTCTCTTCATTTGTCCTTTTGCGGGAGTGGAAAGAAAAGGCGCCGTGTTTTTTTTCTACATTATTCCATGACTCGGACAATTCACATGTGTCGTCCTCCGCTTTGTTTTTGCCACTGTTGCTTGTTGTCAAGTTCGTGGGGTGTATGTGGAATCTATGATGCGAGATATTCTTCCTTCCTGGAAATCCGAATCCTGTGACCATGTTTTGTTCATCTCTTGTGAAGAGTGTTGGGGGAGAGATGTTGTTTCTTCCAGCTACGGTATGGTGGTGGCATATATTTGTTCCCGTCGGACCGAGAGGAAAATATAGGCGGTATAGACACGCTCGTACCTTGCGTTTGGTGGTAGGCTCCGTGGTTAATGGCTTGCGTCCAGCCTTCTTGGGTGCTGGCTTTCCATCCCCCGGCGTGCTTGTGTCATCTATTAGATTGAAAATGAGATAACGAGTGCTGGGTTAGCGAGTGGTTGGGGACATCAGCGTAGTTCGGGTAACTAGGTCGTTGGTTATCCTCCTCTTATTTCTTGTCCCTTTTCCTGGAAGCCAGTCAAGGCCCTCTTCTTCTTATTTTACTCTCTTCTTATTGTGGACAATGTTGAGTCAGGAGGAAAATGTGGGTCATCTGGGACCACAGAAAAAGCTCCTGCTGGATCAGAATCTGGATCTGGATGTTTGAGAACTCACCAGAGCTGCCCTCCCCTTCCGAGAACTGTCCGTCTACAGATGGTTCCTCTAATATTGGATAAAATATGCAAACAGCTGTTAGCTAATTCCACTACTTCGATACGTAAACAAAGGCACCGTTTGTCCTTCACGAAGGACAACAAGGACGGAAATGAAGGACATACGGTTGTAGTGATCAGACTTGTGATGGAGATGACTGCCATGACCGAGGCGCTTGTTGTTTGCAGCTGAGGAAGGGTCCTCGTACTGCTCCTGGTGCTGTGCGATGACGCTTGAGAGCAGTTCCTGTGCCTCCCTGTTGGACTGCAGCATCTGTGCCCAGTCGTTGTCGCTGACAGGAACCGTGTAGTCGCTTAGGGTTGCAGGCTGAAGCGACATGTTGGAGGAGTTGATTGGAGCTTGGTATGATTGAATGTGGAGTATGAGCGGTAGATAGAAAAAAAAAGAAAATAAGGTGGAAGGGAGAGGTAACGGGCTAGGAAGAGAGCCAATAAGAGGTCGAGAGTACAAAGATGGTCTGTTGTTGATGTGTGCTGAAAGAAGAGGGATAAAAGGGGGAAAGAAGAAGAGATAATGAAAAGGAGTGAAGGGTCAAACGAGCTGAAGAAGTGAGCCGACTGACTGCTGTTGCGAAAAGAGGGCAAAAGAGGGAGGGGAGAGCGGGCTGTGGCTTAAGAGGAGAAGAGGTGGGATGGAAGGACGGGGGCTGGAGTGATGATGGTCTCTTATGTGTGCAAGGAAAGGGGTGGATAATGGGCGGGAAAGGGAGGTGCTACGAAGGTTGAAGGTGGAAGGAAAAGAGGAGAGACAAATGGAAATATAATAGAAAAAAAGAAGCAGAGACAACTGTGAACACGAAACATTGCATGGATCTAACGGGACCGACACGAACATTGAGAGGAAATAATGTCATTCAGGGAACAGGGTCTTCAACTGCGCATACACGGAGGATTTTTTTATTTCTTCATAGAGCTCAATTGACCCTGAGCCAGGTCTCGTTGTTGTTGTTGTATGCTTGGCTCAGCTGTCAGCTGTCTATTTCCTGCCTGCACCAGTCGAGCTCGTCTCCCCATTTGCCGAGATAACCCTCGCCACCAATCATGCAAATCACGGGTCCAGTCGTCTCCCAATGTCTCACTCTCTCACAGCCAAAACAAACAAAGCGCCGCTTTCCCCTCGTCCCTATCAATGGCCATCCCCCAAGGGCAGGGTAAGTTCGAATCGAAGCTTGAATCGCGTTGGCTCCAGCTCATGCTCATTCAGTATTATATCATACTTGTCCGGTAACCGCCAATCGTGTCGTGTAATCACCAGTCCAAACTCCTCATGCGCCACCTGTACCGTGTCCTCCTCTGGTGGACACACCACCGTCGCCCACACTATCCTCTATTATCAACGAAGGAGGGAGAACAAACGCGTAAGTGGGGTAGGCTGGGCAGTAAAGTACCAAAAAGTAGCGTGGCGTCGGTCATACCTGGAGAAGTGCCTCGCCCTTTTTGCTCAGCGGTACCGTGAATGGATCGCCGTGATGGTCTCCTCTAATAAGTGTTGATGCCAATGACAAAGATAGATAAGCGTAGGCGCATTCATGTTGCTCATCCTTGGTTCTGCTTCTCCATGCATTTCTAGCTACATGACAAAATAAAGGAGGAAAGATTACTGAATGAATGTCGACACCTGGGTGACCTTGGACCCAAGGAGAATTAGGCGTGTGTCCGGGAACCGAATATGTTCATCAGGGAGATGCAACCTGTCGTTCATTCCTCTATGTGTGTGTGTGTGTGTGTGTGTGTGCAAAGAGCCATGCGAGGCTGGGGTCAAGAAAAAAGAGGGTCCAAATAAAAAATTCAATTTTGGTGGCGTTGACTCTTGATCACTCAAACTACAAAAGTAGCAATGAAAAAAGGATATTCATCCAAGGCGGACCAAATTCATGTCGAGGAAATGGATAAAGGTAACTTTTGATTGTGTTCATTTTTGCATCGTGGCATGATACAATTCGACGTTCCATCCATGACGGCGTGTGTTGCCGGAAGAGTCGAAACTATATCAAGCACAGGGACCAGCCACCCAATAGGTGCGAAATCAATCGTCCTCTTGATCCCTCCCACCCCACTTTCTTTCTTTTCTTTCTCACCTCCCGTTTCTCCTTTTCTAGAAACACATCCTTACTCCCACCGCTTTTCCTTCTTTTCCACTCAGCATGACCATAAGCAGTGGAATGTTTCCGAGAGCAGCATGTCAGCGTGGAGCAGGACGAAGGCGACCCCAGAGCTTAAGGAACACATATTCGACTATGTTGTCTACCGCAACTGGAATAGGTACGCCCTTCATTTATTACTAGGTATCTGTTGTTACTCATATGTGCCTAAACACTGACGCTCTCGTATTATTTTTACCAACAATAAAAAAGTGGCGCCAACATTGAGGTGAACAATCAAGCCCCAGTTCAACAACTGGCCCGGGGTACGGAAACAGAATTCCGCCAGAGTCTGAACAAAAGCCATCCCCAGCCTTCACTGGACATACATCCATAGACTCTACTGCGCATCATCGACGGCCTCTCCTCAACATCATCCTCCAATCATGCCCCAGCCTTGAATTCATTCATCTGATATTTGACAAGTCTTTGCCTTGGGTCAATTACAGGACACTGGATCGGCTCTTTTATGCCATCCCCTCGGGAAAAGTTGAGGGTTATCTCGGCGGACATTGTGGTCCCATTTTTGGAACCGAGTCTATTCTGGAGTTTGACGTGATTGAGGGGGTTGGAGGAGTTGACGATTCTGGTGAGGAGCAAGAGATCGAGTGAGTACTCACCCGAGTCGTATGTGGAGTTGTGTCCGGAATTGAGGTCGTTTGTGTTGCAGCATCGGTATACCAAGAGCACTCTTGCGGGACCGGAGACTCTGTTTCGAAGGCTTACAAAGATGTCTGAGTATCAGAATGACCGGACTTCGAAGGATGTGCAGGAGGCGTCGGCGAGACTCAATACCACCACTACCATTCAGGGACAGTTTACAGACCCAACACAGCCTCAGAACTACAGCCTTGGACACCTCGTCTACAAATGGGAGGAGATGACCGAGAAGACCCTCTGCGACATCATCAAACGATCCTCCCTCCAGACCAACCTGACATCGAAGTACGCTGAGAAGACCTGATCCCAAAACCTGGAACGAAATCTCAGCCAACTGTCCACTCCTTCAAGACCTATTAGTCTACTACCGGGAGGTCAGGACCTAGAGTATTGGGGTCACTGGTGATGCCTGTGGTTGTATCCGACTGCCTTCATGGACGCTTAAACCTGCCAGCGTTATGTGTGCAACCAGATCTGGCTACTGCGACATCGATTTGTATGCAGTCGTTGACGAGGCTGGAGATGGCTACCACACGGTTTGTGGTGGCAGGACAGAAAATGGCGTTCTTTGGGCGCTTGCAGGGGTTTACCCGTCTTGTTGCATTGAGGGTTTCTAGGTCTCATCTTCTAGACCTGACTGTTGCTGCAAAAGTGAAGCTATGACTAAGCGTAGAGTAGTGTATGGTCATTGATGAGGGAGGTGATGACGCGGAGGAAAGCCAACAAGCAACGAGGTGGACAAGAGGGTTAGGACCTTTATTCCCGGGCGGAGTGTGCAAGTAGAGCCAACACTTGCATATGGGGGAGAAGAGATCCAGGTGTACGAGGTAAGATTATTGATTGATTGTTGTGCTCTGTTAAAGTCCTTCGAGTGCTGTTCAAAGGATGGGTTCGATAAGTGAATTGAGGAGGGAGTATCCTTGGCTGGAGGTTGTGGATCGACGACCTGTGGATAACAATGCGCAAGAAAACGATGTGCGTTTGTTGACGTTTGTCTGGATGGGCACGGTTCTCTTTTTTTGTTGTTATGATGTGATGTAAATAAATTGGCCACTTGCCACCTACCCTCTGTGCCACCCGGTGTCAGTACGTTGCTCTCATCTTCTCATCTTTTTTTATATTTGTCGCATCGTCAAACTGCCGAAATTGAGAGGGCGAGTGAGGGAGATAGAGAACGAGTGACGAAAAGAGAGGGAGAAGAAGGCGTCGCTGAAAACAAGGTGGGCCATAGCAGTCAGTACTCTTTTTACATCTTGGTACCCCCTCCTTCCTTCACCCAAGAGAAGATTGACGATCGACAGTAGGGTCCCCATCCAGGCACCATCACTGATCATGTTGATTGTCTCACTGAGGGAGGAAAAAAAACGGTGTACGTGGAAGCGAAAGCAACCTCGAACAATAGCCACTCATCCATTTGTAGCTCGAATAGACACCCTGGTGAAGGCGATGACAATAAACAAAGCCAAGGAGAAACTATAGAGGTAGAAAGCAATAAAGTGGAGAGATGCAATCGACAGTGGAAGAAAGGAGTGGTGGATGGATTGCAACAACTGTGCGCACACATCGTCATGCTTTGGATTGCACCAAAAATCGAAATTATGAAGGCGAGAGAGAGAGAGAGAGAGAGAGAGGATGGGGACCATGTGGACAGGGATGAGTGTGCAGTGTGCACTGTTAACACAGACACTCGCTCACACATGAAACGAACAAGGGACGATCAGGGTCTTTTTTCTCGGTCTTTTGTATCCACTGTTGTCAGTTGATCCCTTTTTCTTTCTCTCCTTCCTTCACCTTCACAACACCTCTCCTTCCCCTCACCTCACCTGCACTCTCGTTCGCCCCCTACTCCCACCTCGCTCATTCACACTCTACACCTCGAGGGCGGATCTTCTACATTCATTCACTTCTTGCCTCTTTCTCTCTCTCTCTCTCCCTCTCGCTCTCTCTCTCTGTTTCATTCCATTCCTTCCTTACACCTCCTGCTCATCGCATACCCAGACACTATGACAGCAACAAGAGGAATAGGGTGCGACACGGTCTTCAACATCCAGGAACTGCTGGACATGATACGCAACCGACTCGCCCTCGAGGACCTCAAAGCCTGCACCCTTGTCTCTCGTCAATGGAAAAGGTATCAGCAACCCTCTGTCTGCGAGAAACCTAAACCCCAATAGTCTTGTCTGTGTACCCTGCTTGTGCAATTTTGCTTACTCTTTCGTGTTTGTCCATTCAACGTACATAGTTACTTTGACCCCTGTCTATGGGAAAAGTGCACGACCTGGATGCGCCATCAAAAACGCCACGTCCTCAAACGCCACGGCATCCACATCCGTCGTCTCACCTGTATCTACTTTGACAAACACACCCTCACCACCATCCTAAAATACTGCCCCAATATCGAAACACTCTACCTCCGTCTTGACGAGCACTCCATGTGGATCCAATACCACACTCTTGAATCCCTCTTCCTCCACCTCCAATATTCCCTCACCAATCTCCACATCGCCTTTGATGCTACTTATTTTGAACCGGCGTTCCTGTGGAGTGTTTGTCGTTTGACAAGGTTGACGCATTTGAGGATTGATCCGTATTCGTTGGAGGAACAATACACCGGGTTCAGTCCGCCAGAGTTCTTTTTGGGGTTCTTGGAGTGTTGTCCGATGTTGAGGGGGTTGACGCTTGTGAATGGGCCTTATTTTGGGGGAGATTTTGAGGAGGAACAGCATCAGTGGGCGAGGAGTGCGTTCAAGAAGTGGATCCGAGGACTTTTTGATTCGAGACGACAGGAACAATTGCCGGTTAGTCCGCAGGATGCTATCGCGAAGGTTACCATGCGCACAAGGAGTGGGATCAAGCAAGGAGGAGCTGTTATCGCCACCAATACACATCGAGTGAACCCAGAATCGCCAAAACCAACATCGACCCTACAACAATATAACCTTCGCTCGTTACAACTCCAACCACCAGCGATGGATCTCCCAACTTTGTTGCGTATCGTCCGTCGGAGCCCCTCGATGGAGATCTTGACACTGGGCGGCCAATGGGGCAATTTCCACCCAGACACGACATGGACTGAACTATCGACATGCTGCCCACAAATTCGAGAACTCAACATCCAGTTCAACGGCACCATCAATGAATTTCCGACCATTGCAACTCTTGTGACTCTATTCCCTCGACTCGAATCGCTCTCGCTTTTGCGACAGATGTTTAGCAAAGACCCGGATTTGTCAACCCTTGGGGCGTCGTTGAGGGAACATCGACAGCAGTATGGAGCCCCGCACCCATTCAAGGCGCTGGAGATTACTGGACTTGTCCGACAGCAGTTCTCGATCGTCATGGATGCGCTAACCCTCCCTGTGGTGATGGAGTCTATCAAGGTTGGGAACATTATTCGGTACAGTCGGTTCATGCAGGAGGAGACTCTCGCAGCTTTTCCAGCACAGACTACAGCACAGACACAAACACCTCCTACATCAGGGACATCGACATCGACTCTCACTACAACTACTCCTATACCTTGGACGTGTTTGGACTCCTTGACGACGTTGGATATCTCCTCGGTTGTCTTTCCGGATCACGCGACGACATTTCATTTCTATAGTCGGCTCCAGGAGTGCAATCGGTTACGAACCCTACATTTGTGGTTGCTTCATTTGAGGGACATGATCTCCCATATTGCATTATCCAAATTTGACGAGTCTGGAGAAACTCCCCCTCCCCCTTCAGCACTCCCCTCTACTATCGACGACGAGGAAGACGACGAAATCGTGGTCATCAATAGCAGCGGCAGCAGCACCCACAGCTCCTCCCACAGCTCCCACAGTTCTTCCACCACCAGCAGCACCAGCAGTTTCAGCGTTCACCCAGCCAACACCATCTCCTCTCTCACCCTCTCCTTCCCTACCCTCCTAATCATCAACGTCGCCCCGGTGTTTGAAATGATCAGGAGTGGCCTAGGACCTGGGATTACGGTCCCTGAGGCCAAGTTGTTGATTGCTGCGACACCTTCGCTGGAGGATTTGGGGTTGGTTAGCTCTATGTGCGGGTCGGAAGGGTATCGATTGCAGATGGAGTTTCCTGCGCTCAAGATTCGTATGTAGTTTGCCTTTTGGTGTCAGATGATTAAATACATGAATGTCGTCCATTGACCCCATTTTCTCCGCGTTTTAGGGTTGCTTTTTGTTGAGGGTTGAATGTTGGAGTGAAGTAGGGAGCAGAAGAGGGGGATGGAAGGAGGGAGATGGAGGGAGGGGGAGATGGAAGGAAGGGAAGGGGACCGATTACGAGGGTGTTTGTGCGCCAGGGGCTAATGTTAGGCGTGTCAGGATATCAACATGAGGTTCGTGTTCATGTTTGTGTTTTTGCATGGTTTTGTTTTGATGTGAAAGAAGAGGAGAGGCAATTGAGGAGATTGGCCATGAGGGAGACAGGCAAGCAAGGTTTGCATTTGCATGGCTCACGGACTTTAGCGTGAGTTGGTGACAGCTACTTCCATCCAAAGATCCAAGGGGGTGAAAAAAGAGAAGGGGAAAGTGGTCAATTGGCCAATGGGTGTGTGCCCATGTATGTTGTGCAACTGCCTCCTGGCTGAATGATCGTCTTGCTTTCGACCAATTCAACCCTTGTTTTTTGTGCTTGCTTTACCTTGTTCCTTTTCACACCAACCCAAACGCCGTTTACTTATCTATCGAAACCCTCATCACATCTTTTTCATTTCTTTTTTGTTCATTCTTCTTTTTCTCTTTCTCTTTCTCAACCTTTAATTCCTCTCTTCCATTCCCTCTTTGCCCTCCAAAAATCTCTGCAACCAACCTACCAAACAATAACCACGATGGCGGATATAGTTCTGGCGATTGACGAATTACAGGGTCAGATCCGGGTGTACCTGTCCCACAAAGATGTCAAGACTTGCACCCTCGTCTCTCGGCAATGGGACCGGTACGGCATCGATCCACCTGATACTATGGGCGCTTGCTTACATCGGAGTGTTTTATCGTTCTTCTTTACTCATTACATCTGATCCGACCATTGCTTTACTAGGTACTGGGGAAGGTCGCTATGGTCCCAGATTCGATTACAACAACACCACCACAGCAACCCTTCTTTCCTGCCGCGCCAAGGTCCCAACATCCAACGCCTCTCATGCGAATACGTCACTCCCTCTATCATACAATCCGTCACTCAGTCCTGTCCGACTTTACGATCTCTCTACCTCCACCTTGATAAGCATTCTGCAGGGGTCTCGTCCGAGGCTTTGGAGAGGTTGTTTCTGGGTGTTGGATCTGTGAGGTTGACGAAGGTGCATGTCAGGTTTGATGTACGGTTTGTGGATCCCATGCGGTTTTGGGGGTTAGGAAAGGTGAAGGAGTTGAGAGAGTTGTATTTGGATCCGTACTGCTCTGTTGGTGGTGGTGAAGCAGTGGGGTATGAGAGGGAGGAGTACTTCAGTATCTTACATGTTTGTACGGGCTTGGAGTCTTTTATTTGTGGAGGCATGTTCTTGGAGCTAAAGCGTCCTAGGTCTGGAGGGAGGGGTGAAAGTTTGATGTGCATGAGAAAGAATGGCCCGTCGTCATCTTTATTATCCTCGTCGCCGAAGAAGGATCGTGGTCCTAGAAGCCAGTTCACCGCATTGTCAAGACGACTCTCTTCTTGCTCCTCCCATTCCAGTCTCGATTCTATTTCTACCCCTTCCAAGGCTAAAGTAGCTCTTTCACAGTCGATACCAAGATTCGAGGGATACAGTCTCCGTCGCCTGCACGTACAATCTAGCCCCCTCGACGTCCCCGCATTCCACCACCTCGTCGATTTCTGTCCCCTCCTCGAAGAACTAACAATTAGCAGGGCGCAAGGAGCATCGTTCGCACCGAAGACATGGACACTCCTCTCCCGGTTCTGTCCACGCCTGCGGATGATCCGTCTTGAGAACGATGAACTGGTCACGCATCATATGCCTGACCTGGGCGATATCCTTACAAAGTTTCCGGTGTTGGAGTCCTTGGAGTTGGTCGATTGTGGATTTGAGCGGGATCCCGATCTGGTTGCGCTTGGTGCGAGGTTGCGGGAGTTGAAGACGGAGCAGGATGGAAAGGCGCATCCGTTGAAGCGGCTCATGTTGACGGGTGCGATGGGGCATTCGACACGGGTCTTAGCTGACGCGTTGACGAATTTGGAGGCGGTGTCACTCCAATCCTTGACCATCGGGAAGACATCTAGTCAAGTGCTCTTCCAGCGACGACAACAGGAAGGGATGAGTGCATCCCAGATCTTGGAGTGGGACGAACCTTTTGTGGATCTCACTGTTCTTTGGACGTGCTTCGAAACGTTGTCCTTACTTGATTTCACAAAAGTTGACTTCCCTCCAAACACCCTCGACAAAATCTTACCTCTCGTCGCTCAATCCCGCAACCTTCACTCTCTCGGTATAGCCTGGAACCATCTCATGTCCTTCTTCAACCGCCCCATCAACCCACTCAACCCACTCGCAAGCCGGCACACATTAGGCTGGACCCTTGACATCAAACTCCCATACCTTCAAAAGATAGCAATAGGATGCTGTTTTGAACGGAGGAAGTTCGGGGCAAATCCATTGTGCTCAGAGAAGTTGGGTGTGTTGTTGAAGGCTGCGCCGGGGGTGAGGAAGGTGGGTGTTAGGACGGGGATTGTGGTTGAGGTTGAGGGGGTGCGCGGTGGGAGGGTTGAAGGGTGGGAGGATGTGTTTCTGGGGGTTGAGTTCGTTTATTTGACGCCCTCACAGGCCTTCTTTTCGTGAAGGAGGTTTTGCGTAATAAACGATGGTTGATTTGCACATGGCAAAGGCAAAAGAAAAGATACAAGGAGGAAGGGACGGTTCATTCAAGCTTGACCTTCCACCTCCTTCGTTTTATGCATTCTTTTGTTCCTTGTGATCACACTCATTCATCTCTTCTCTTTTCTTCATTCCTCCATTCATTCCTCATTCATCCCATTCCATCACACTCCCAAGTCAAACGACGAACCATGACAAGAGCAATTAGCAATAACCACAACAGGAGCACCAACAACAATAACGTCCGCTTGCCGTGCAACAGAGTATTCACACTTCTGGAACTACAGAACCATGTCTGTTTCTACCTCGACGACAAGGATCTCAAAAGATGCAGCCTCGTCTGCAGGGACTGGAACAGGTACTTCTCGTAGCACAAAGCACCAGTCTGTCCTAGCCCACCCTTAAAATACTTTAAATTGATCAATCTATTTTTTCTTTCATAGTTTGTTCGCAAGCAACAGGTGGCGCAAGATAGTTCTATGGAAGAACCACCCAAAGCAACCCACCCTCCGCCACCATGGCACGCACATTCGACACCTCTACCTCCTCCACATCAATACCTCCATCCTGAAATCCGTCACCCTCTCCTGCCCAAACATCCATACCCTCTTCCTCTTGCTCGACCACACCTCCATGTGGGTCTCTTACAGTGTTCTTGAACGATTGTTTGGGCATTTGAGTGAGACGTTGAGGGTGGTGAGGGTAAGGTATGATGTTGCGTATTTTCAAGCGTCGTTGCTGTGGAGTCTTTGTTGGGTGAATGGGTTGAGAGAGGCGCAGCTGGACCCGTATGATTCTAGGGTCAAAGTGAGAGAATGGGGAGGAGAAGCAAGGAGGTTGGTAGAAGAGGAGGAGTATGTGGGGCTGTTGAGGTGTTGTCCAACACTAGAGGGGATGGTGTTCCCAGAGAGGAAGCAGTCTGGGCACATGGGGCCGAATCCTGGTGGATCCAAGGCGGCGGGAGTCCAGCGGTGGGTCAAGCGTGTGGTTGTTGGAGTGCCTGTAACTGTTCAGGAGGCGATTGCTAGGAGGGCGAAGCGGGTTGGTTTTGATGGCAAGCAGCAACGCGACATCGCCTCCACCAACGCCAACTCCTCGCTCCTAGTATCAAATGAAAGTGACACTGACTCTCAAGTCTCGTCGAACCGTGTTCGCAGGATCTTGTTCAAGTCATGCCTACTCTCGTTTTCGACCTTTCATAGGCTTGTCAAAGAGTGTCACAACTTGGACGAGATCGTCCTTGGAGGACGGTCATTCACGCCCCAGCCTTATACCTGGATCGTTCTCTCGGCCCAGTGCCCCGGTCTTCGAATCATACGGATCCAAGAATGCGATTACCTAGAGCCTCTGCCGGGGGTCTCGACATTCATCGGGATGTTTCTGCGACTGGAGGAACTGGAATTCAACGCCGTCATGTTTGACAATGATCCTGATGATCTTCACGATGGCCTTGATGTTGTACTGAAGGAGCACGAAGTGAAGGTTGGAGTTAGGCATTCGCTAAAGGTGTTGTGCCTCTCGGGCCTTCTACGACGACCGATATATGCCCTGGCGGACCTATTGGCCCTACCATCAACTCTGTCCAACATCGAGTCCTTGACAGTGGGAAGGATCGACGTACCCAACTATATTGGCGAAACGGAATCGGCGTCAGAACCATTGTCGACATCAGCACAGGCACGGTACGAGTTCAAGGATTGTTCGAGGTGGGGTCTGTTTTCGAGACTGGTGGTGCTAGATATGTCGCTGGTGGATGTTCCAGACAAGGAAGTGTTACGAAGGCTGTTTGATTGTTTCCGGGATCCGAATTGTTGGCTGCGCAAGCTGAGCGTCAACGTGTGTCACATCCAGGATCTAATGGATAATAGCATCTGTCGAGCATTCCGTCTCAAGCACAACGACCCAGAACGACGCGAGATCAAGTACAGGAGAAAGGTCTGGCGCGACATGGCACTGAGATATTGCGGGCTTTGGTTCGCGACGGTCGAGAAACTGACGATCCGGCCCAGGTTTCAGTGTTACAGTCCGGTAGAGGCACCGGGTATGGATCTGTTCGAGGCGCGGTTGGTGATGGCTGCAAGCCCTGTGGCGAGGTGGTGTTGTGTGAAAGGTGTGATGAGTAGTTGGGATGTCAAAGTTTTGAGGCAGGAACTAATGGCCAGTCGTGGTGGTAGTGGTGGTCGTGGTGAAGGGCACTATTGCGTTTTAGAGGGGGATGAGAAAGATCCTGTCGGTTGTTGCTGTTAGGGAAGGATATTGTTTTCTTACTCTCCAAGACTTTATTGTAGATGAGATGGGTCTCGATAACCGAGGCTGTTTATGCGATGACCTCCTCGCCAAATCTCCAGCACCTTGTTCTTCAAGGAACTACTAGCGCCAGCACCGTGAATTATTAGAAAGGCGACTTTCCTTGCCAGCTACGACCAATCCCATACCAACAACTCTTTAGGGATCAAGGCGATTTAGTCATCATACCTAGCCATTATAACATTATTTCAATTCCCCTCCAGTTGCGTTTTCATACAAAAACAGCCAAACGGAGAAATAAACACTCTTTCCTTCCCTTGAAAAAGATATGGGCACAAGGGGCAAGGGCACCCAAAAAAACGAGTGGTCCTTTCCCTTGTGCTCTTGAAAATTTCCGAGATGGGCAGCTCCTGCAAAAAAAAAAGAAAAGACAGATGGATAGAGGGTACCAAGAGGACCGATAAAAAACACTCTATACCTCATCCCCTCAGACAGCAAACAAAAGGACGAAAAGAGAGACCTGAAAACCAAAAAAAAGTCAAAGGTGCGCGCATTAAAAAAAAAAACACCGCTCCCTCCGCTCAAACTCGAACTCTTGGCAATTGACACAATACAGTAAGTGTTGTCCATCATAGAGCATAACAAGAGGGCGTACGCGAACAGAAAGTCGGAAAGGATAACTATGTATGTATGAAGGACTGAAGCGGCATGCTAAAGTATCAACTCGCAATACCTCAAGGTGCGAATCGAAAAGACCATTATTCAGCGCTGACACAACGGCATGCATGACGACAAAACAACAGGAGCAATAATGACCGAGATCCAAAGTTGGTGAATAATACCACCATCAAGAACTAACTACCGGCAGCTCTTGCCGAGGGCTTCTGTCAAGGCTGCAAACAAACCAAGCTAATGCACGCGTACATGCTAGACAAACCTTCGTCAACCCTACAGCCCAAACTCTATTCTTCTTCGATAACCCGGTGCAATGGTCCATGCTGCTTTTGATTTTCTTTTCTAGTGTGCGTGAGAGTATGGAAGTAGTTTTTTTTACTGGCGACTAAAAAAATGCACGCTTCCGGGAGGAAAAAGAATTTTGAAAGCCCATTGACCCAACAAAAGCCCACATCTTTTCCTTTTGTTTACCGGGCAATGGCACATGGTATTTTCTTTCTCGTTGTGCGAGGGATATTAGACAGTTTGCGAGACTTTAGGAGGGTAGATGCAGCAGAGTTTTCGTTAACTTTGCGGGAAGAAAACTTCAATCCTTCCCTACAAGGACTTTTGTGACGAGAAACCCCTCTACAACCAATTTTGTAAGGTGAGATAGGGATGAAGGAACCCATTGATGAAAAAATGATGGGTGAGCAGAAAGGGGCATAACAATGACGAGAAGGAAGGAGACAGAAGAGAGTTGGGTCGAGAGAAAGAGGTGTATAGAACGACGAAAGGAATGCTCGCGGTTCAATTGCCCTCGTTGCAGACTCGAAACGCAACCGTGCCATGCGCATTCACAACCACGGCTCAATTTGCCAGGGAAGGGAAAATGTTGTTTTTATTATAGAAGAGGATAAAGCGGAGGGTTGACAGTGTAGATGGATGCTAAAGCTTAATTGCTCCTGTTACGGTTCTGGCATATATTCGCCTTATTCTCTGGTGTAATTATCCATCAATGCAAAAGCCCTCTACCCCACACCTTCTTTCAATAGGGAGGGCAAAACTGGATTAAAGTTTACGAAGTGGGGGCGCTTTTGAACTCCAGAGTTACGGTAGCCTAATCTGATAAGGCGCATCGATTTTGGGCTGTATTTTTTTTTCTTGTCGAGCAGTATGTTGTCTTCACGCGGGTAGGTCGCAAAGCACGAGTGTCTGAATGCCATACATTCAGATTGAGTTGACCACGAAGGATGAGACTATGCTTCGCTTGTTGCCTTTGGTCGACTACAAAATGGAAGTAATCGAGCTGTCGCACTGAAAACGTATAAATACAGTCCTACAACCCCTTGTGCTTCATCCTTACCAGGAAACTTCAACACTCCCCTGTGCCATCTTCCTCATAGTATCACCCTCCCAACTCGGATCAACCCTCAGTCATGTAAGGCTACATTTTATCTCAATGGTGACACTTGTGGCGTGGTCATGAATCTGACTCATAACTGAGCACTGTTTTATATGTTCTCCTTCTGATCCACGCTCTCCTGTCTGGCGTCGTAGCATGATCATCACCAAGTTGCGCTTTCTGGTCTGTATGCTCCTCTTCTGCCTCGCATGGAACGTCGAGGCATGCACCAAGGTCAAGGGCACCGGCAAATTGTACACCTTATGGAGCAACTACCTCCCCACTCCCATCAAGCGAACCATGGAGTTCTGGCTCGACTTCAAAGACCTCGGACACAAGTGCAGGATGTATGTGGATTTCGGGGGTGGAAAGTTCATGACGCGGTGGTCTGGCGCCTCTGACGATGGTTATTGCCTTGCCTTGGCTGATACCAAAACTGGCGAACTGATGGTTAGATACGAAGGTTATATCTATGTGGGAACCTACTGGCCAGAAGAGATTAGTGATTCGAACGACTATACTTCGACCCAGCAGCTTATGTACAATTTCGAGCTTTCGAGATTCTGCTAGGGTGGCCAGACAGTACAGGTTCCATCCAGTATCTTATTCATTCCCCCGTCGCCCCCCTTTTTCTTTTGTTTTTGGCTGTATCTCGGTGTCAACTTTTGAACCTTAGTTTTTTGTTGTTTGAGCGGCCAATGCAAATAAACGTGTGCTGTGGTTTTGCTCTATCTGAAAGACTCGTAAGGCGCTTGAACCGCAAACTTGGCAATGCAGTCTTAACATCATGAAACAAAGGATAACAAAGGAGAAGAACAGAGTGAAGAAAATACGGAAATGAAGGAATAAAGAGGAACGAATGGGTCTAAATCGTTCTGAAATAATGACAGGCGACGTGCGATGGACGCGTTACAGGCAGTGAGACTGACCGTTGGTGTTTGTGTGATTGGCTGGGTTCTCGTTTTTAGATTGAGGGAGAACGAGGGAACAGTCAACCATCCTCCCTCGTTTTTTCTGGTCACAGGAACGAGGTCTAAGTAGAAGACAATTCTCACTAAGCCGCAGTGGCGCAAAAGGGTTTAATAAGGAGCACAAAAAAAAGAGCTGCCTCCTTCTCGTCTCTTCCCTCCTCAGTTTCCACAACTCTCTTATCTAGCAGCCATGAAAACGCCTATTACACCCACTGCACCCACTGCACTCATTGCATCCCAAACCGAAACTGCATATACACCACCTGCCGTCGACTTCCTAGCATAGTTCCCGTCAAAAACTTCCTTGTCCCCTCGTATGTGTGTATAACTACAAAACCCAAAATCAAAAGTATCATACTATTACGACCCGATTTATCGTCAGCGTCGTGTATCCTTATGGACAAAGTGCGTGTGTATAGTGTTCCTGGCTTCCAATCCATGTTCTATGATTGCTGAGAGACGCTCCACTTCTTCCTCGTTCTGACATCTCATGCGAATTAAAGTAATTTTGAGAGCAATTTTTCACTTCGTTCCTTCTCATTCTCTCTTCACATCTCTGTATATCTCTATTAACGATCATCATGACTACCATCAACCTTGGCAATCTAGGAGACGTATATGTCAGTAACAATGTCACATCCTGCATCAACTGCTGCTACTAGACCTCTGCACCACCGCATGATACCAGGAACAGAGCTATCTTCAATGGGACTCATCTAATCAACGGTACCGATATCTCTGCTGCCTTTCCATTCGGACAAGGAGTTCTTATCAACAACACCGCGGGTCTGGCTGTAATGATGCTCCCTTGTGGAACTCGCGCTATGACAAACAATCTTATCTATGCTCCCTATAGCAGCATGGGCACTCTTATGGCCTCTATCCCCGGAAAGTTCAGCATTCCCCTTATTGCGGCTGCGATCTCACTTTGCTTGGTCTAGTCTGTCTTTGGTATGGCCTTCATCACGCATTTGAGAACCCCCCCCCACCACCACCTTCCCCATTAACCCCAAATACAACATCACCCCTCACAATTGCTGGCAAACAACTACACGGCTTAAGCCACAAGAAAATCCAAAAATTGTACTGTCCAGTAACATCTCTTTTTTTTTTACTCATTCCACTCACACTCCACTCCCCTCCATTGCATTGACAAAACAACAAGAACATCAACAACTGCAGAAAGGGGCAATGACCACAACCACCGACAGCAAGCGGAAACAGTCGCCCTGCGACAAAGTGCTCGGGATCCAGGAACTGTTCGAGCTGATAGTTCTCCACCTGAACCTTGAAGACCCAGCTTGCCCCAGACTCTTGGCCACTGTCTGTCGGCGTTGGTACAGGTACTGACCAACTATTATTATGTTGATTCCTCAGTAAGCAGCGAGACAGATAATGTGGTGCTTGAATAGGGATCGACCTCCAAAGGATACCAGCTGCCATGACCCACTTTTTTGTATGTGATGTTAAAGTACCGTACGTTTCATTTGTCTACTACTTAGTTACTTTGCGCCTTATTTCTGGAAAGCGGTCGCCATATACAAGTGGGACAAACACTTCACCACACACCTTCAGCGTCATGGAAGTGATATCCGGGATTTCAGTTGTCACCGAGTTGACAGGAGTGTGATAAAGACAGTCGCCCATTTCTGCACCAACCTGCAGGCACTGCACCTCTCGCTGGACCGACACTCCATAATGGTGTCGTATGACCTGTTAGAATTGACGTTTCTCCGGACACAATCTCGTCTCACTACGGTGTCTGTCAAACTTGACACTTCGGTCGTCAATGTTTCGATACTATGGGCCCTGTGTCGACTACCCCATCTCACCCATCTGAGTCTTCAAATTTACGGAACTGTTGATCTGGCGGTGTTCGTGGCAGAGACTCTTGGATGCTGCCCAGGACTACAATCGCTTACTCTGGAATGCTGGATCCCTAATACACCTCAACCATTGCTCAAGATGCTAAAGGCTAAAGCCAAGCGGAAAGTGGTATCAAGGTTCAATCGATCACCCAACACTGTTCAGGAGGCCGTTGGACGGAGTGGACTTGCACCCACTAGACTTGGATCGCCTTTACCGATGGCACAACCCGTGCAACAGTTGCCCTCGATTCTGGAAATCAGTACAATAACCAACAGCATTCGTCGACTCGACCTCCGTGTGCTCCTTGACGACGTACCGGTATTTGAAGAGCTAATCAAGTGTTGCTCACAGCTGAACGACCTTCACTTACGGGATGAATTGATTGCACTCGACCATCAATCTTGGACGAATCTTTCTTCTCACAGCCCCAACCTACGGACCCTTCGACTCACGGGAAAGAAATCGCGACTCCTCATCGGCAGCAGTGTACTACTTATTCCTCTGTTTCCGCGACTCGAGTCGCTACATGTTCACCTACAGGCCATACAGTGGACCGACTGGGCGACAACAAACGTCGATCGCTGCCTGGCACAACACCAGCAAAAGTACGGGACTCGACACCCACTAAAGACACTCTCCCTCACAAGCGACAACACAACCTCATTCCCGATCATTTCATGTATTCTGGCTGCTCGCTCGCTCGATATCCAAACACTGACGGTGGGGAATCTTTGGAGATCCCAAGAGAGCTATGACATCGACCCTGTCCATGGAGCCAGCGCATCCCGGTTTTTGATCAACTTGTCACAGGAGTATCTTCGCAGTCCATGGCATGCGTTAAAGGAGACATTGGTGCAACTGGATATGCATACGACCATCATTGCGACCAAGGATATTACACGCACATTTCTTCGACGTTTGCAAGACTTGCCCAAGTTGCGTGCGCTGTGCGTCTCGACTCGACATATTCACGACTGGGTGCATCCATCATATCAAGCCCCTCGCTTTATTTGGAAGGGAGAGTTGCCGGTTGCAGACACTTTTGAGCAGAGCAGTATCGTCAACAGTACCAGAGTCAACCATGGCGACTTTTTCACCATCAAGCTTCCAACTGTGAGCTACTCGTTTGCACCACTACGAGAGTTTATCATCAAAAGCTATCCGTTTGGATATGACGAATACAAGGAGATCACGACTGAGCAGGCACTGTTTGTTTTGGCTGCTATGCCGGGCCTGGAATACTTTGTTGCAGAGGATGGAGTTATTAGTAAGGAGTCATTAGTGGAGTTGAAGGAGGGGTTGCCGAAACAGTTTCGACCACTCCCAAAAGAATGTCTTGCGTGGATCCATACAGTGCATGGTTACAAATAAAAAAGTAACGTCGTTGTGTTTTTGTTCATTTTTGTTTTGTTTGCCCTCACCCAATGTGGGTCGGGACCGTAAGATTTCATCCACGTGTTTCTTACCGTTATTAATATCTTTTTCGATTTTTGTTTTCAATGCCTCTCACTTCTTTCCTCCTTACAATCTCACAGCCAACCATGGATACAACGAAACATAGCAAGGACAAGAACAAGGACGTGCCCAAGAGCACCAACCCGGTGCCCACACCCTGCGATACGGTTCTCAGGATTCCAGAACTACACGAGCTGATCATCAGCTTCATGAACAGCAGCAGTAGTCGTCTGAAGGACCTAAAGCATTGTGCTCTTGTCTGCCGTCATTGGCAGAGGTACTTCTTAGTTTTATTTCTCATAGTCCCCGGTAAAGTCCTGCTTCTTTTCGGTTGTGATACTAACTTGTGTACTACCTTCTTGTTTTTTTGTGTTCATAGTTACTTCAAACCTTATGCATGGAAGTCACTTACGGTTGGAAAGAAGGTCAACAAAGGCAGGATGTCCTTCCGTAAGGAGACTGGCATACTTGTTCGTCGCCTCACCATCACCTGCGCGACCAGGAATCTTGCCAACATCATCCCCGAGATCTTCCTTCATATCGAATACCTCAGCTTGGCAATTGAGTCGGAATCTGATGGGATCGGATACGGGCATCTACATCGGCTGTTCACACTCCTACAGGGTACTTTGACAAATGTCAAGATCTCGCTTGAGATGTCGGTGTATCATCCGTCTATCCTTTGGAGTCTCTCCTCTTTAACCCGGTTGAGACATTTGGATCTGGAGGTGTTGTATCCGACGCCGTATCCGGAGTGGCATTCTGCGGATGACGTTTGTTTGAGGGTTCTGGAGTGTTGTGTGGGGTTGGAGGTGTTTGAGTTTGAGTTTTCGGGAACGTATTGTTTCAAGTATCGGGCGCCTGTTCATCGGAGGGTTAGGCGGTGGGTTCAGTGGAGGATGAATACTTGGAGTGATTTGGCGCCAACTCCTTCATCACCTCTGGAAGCCCTGACTAGGAGCAAGAGCATGAATGTTGGTGGATCGTCTCGACAAACGCCGGCTACAAACGTACAGAATAATGTCAACGGCCCTTCTTTGCCAAGTGCGACCAAGACTAACAACAGCAAGAGCAGCCTACGCCGACTCCACTACAAGGAGGCACCATCCAACATAGTCGCATTCGAAAACATCATCACCACCTACGGCCCAGGACTAGAAGAACTGGCGATCAAGGGACACAGGCACTACTCTTTCTCCGAAGATGTTTGGCGTTCCGTCCTAGAAACCTGTCGCTTCCTCCGAATTCTTGACATTGTCGACCGCGGACCTTGCCCCTCCATCCCGATCTTGATCTTGTCTCTCCTACATCTCGAAGCATTACTGATCAACTTTCGGAATTGCAGTGCGCGACAGGTTGATTTGGGGTTGTCGGAACTTGGGGTCAGCCTTGAGAAGCACCGGAGCCAGTACGGCAGAGAACATCCGCTGAAGTGCCTGGAGTTTGGGGGATGGATTGACCGACCGGACTTGGTGGTGAAGACGCTTATGGAAGTACTACTCCAGGATTCGGTATCTTCGCAGATCGAGGGGTTGAGGATATGCTATGGCAACATATGTTTCATGACACCCCCGGTGTTCCCTTCCGTGCTACCCTCGACAGCCGCCTCCTTTTCGTCATCGTCGCCGTCTTCAACATTGGCCACTACTACTGGCAGCACTACCTCTGGCGGCGGACGAAGCTTGAAGGAAACGCTTATTCAACTCGACGTATCGTTTGAGCAATTTCCGCAATACGGCGAAGGAAAACTGTTCTTTGAACAACTCCAAGAGTTCCGCCACCTCCGAGTCCTACACGTTGTGCACTCCCACCTCTGGGTCCTGGATCGCATGCATAATGAAAGCAACAATAACATTTCCTCCTACCCATATAACGGCCCTCCACACGTCGTCAACCCCAACCACCCCAACCACCCTAACAACAGCACTCACTCTCACCACCGCCAACCCACAACAGCAACAACAACAACAACAACAACCCACAATGATGACCTCCTCCTTCTCCCAGAAACAACCCTCCATTTCCCATCCATCCAAGAACTACACATCGGCTACGGCGATAAGCGGGTCACCTTCCCATTGAACTATACGCCCAGCAATGCGGTGACACTAGAGTTGGTGGTGCTGGTTGTGGCGATGATGCCTCAGTTGAAGGTTTTTGTGTTGGCGGATAAGGCCAGTGGTGGGGTGATGCGAACACTGAGGGAGAGGTTCCAGGGGATTGTGTTTGAAGGTGATCAGGCGTGAGAGTCGTTTGAGAGGAGTGAAGGGAAAGATAGGGGTGCATGTGAGTAAAGTGAATTTGATCCGCATCCAACCAACGAGCTACCACTGTTCTTGCTTCTTGTGTGGCTTATCCCACGAACTTAATCTTTGACCTTCAAGAAAAAGGGAGGCGTGTGTGAACACTGTTTTCTTATCTTAACACCCACTCCTCCTATCCAACACCAGCTCGCTGCTAATATCAACATCAACTATGGCCAAGACACCTAGCGCATACCGTGTCCTGGGTTACCAAAGTTACTCCACCTAGTCATGGCACGTGGGGCGGAAGTGTGTGCAACAAGTTCAATGGGCCTATCTCCGAAACCACGGAGCTCACCCTCGCGTCCAGTCTGGATCGTCTTGGCGCACTAGAGATACTGGAAGTGTTTGGCTTTAATGGTGTGGATCATCGGACCGCAAAACCAGAACTGGAATGGGTGGCCAAGGCATGGCCAGGATTGCGTGTGATGCGCGGGGTGCACTATAGATATGTGGTTGGGGGGACTGAATGTGAAGTGACGGGGTGGGGGTCGAGGAGGAGGAGGATGCAAGTGTTGCGAACCGGAGGTTAGATACGGGCAAGTCAAGGTTGAGAGTGCGCATGATGGTTGTTTGAAACGGTCGTTCCTTTTACAAATAGTTTTCTGTGTGTATTTATTTTTTATGTTTGTGACAGAAGAGGATTGCAGACAAATAAAAAGGGGGACTTAAGGTACCTGCGCACAGACCACGGTGCCGCCACCAATAAGCGAAACAAAGATCCTGATGGTAACCCGGTTTTTATAGCTGATCAATGATATACCTTGAGTCCTGAGTCTAGACACATCAAAGACAGCAGTCACTGGAATCAAATTGATCACTTGCCACCAAATTAGTTTCCGAGGAGAAAAAGAGAAACGAAGGCGTCATCATTAAGACTCCAAAAATAAACCACATCAGTGTTCTTTTCCTTTCTTTCTTTTGATTCTCCCTTCCCAACACCCCACCCTTCACACCCACACCCCATTCTTACAAAGGAATATACGACGGATATTTCAGACGAGACAGGACAAGGACAACCCATATGGACACACCGAATGGACAAGAGGCGTTATCTTGTAATAGAGTGTTCAACATCCCAGAACTGCTGGCGCTGATAGTGTTCCACCTCAACAACGACGACAGCAACAGCAACAGCAACAATAACAGCGATGGCGACGAGAAGGCGGGGAGTCTTAGAGTACTTGTAAACGTCTGTCATCTTTGGCACAGGTACGAACAAAATAACTTAACTCTTAGCATATGAACAACGCAATTGCCAACATATTTACACGTATTACACCTCGCACACTCACCCCATCACTTCCACTCATTGCTTGGCACCTGTAGACTCTTTGCACCGTATGTGTGGAACGAAGTCACCCTCTCAGGACCATCCACCCACAAACGCCTCTCAGGACTCCTCCGTTACAGAACCCACGTCCAAACCCTCACCTGCAACGTCGTCACCAAAAAGACCCTCAAAGCCCTCACCCGCCCTCACAACGAGTACACTAAACCTAAAACCAACTGCAACAACGGGCTCACAAACCTCAAAACTCTCCATCTAACCCTCGACCGCACCTCCATCTGGATCTCCTACACCCACCTCGAAACCTTCTTCCTCCGAACATCCCACAACTCCTCCCACCTCTCAACCATATCCATCAAGTTTGATTCCACAGTCCTCGACATTCGCCTCCTCTGGTCCCTGTCTCAGCTGCCATTCCTGGAGGACTTGAGGTTGGAGACGGTGCGGTATAACCACCGAGCCTTGGGATTGGACGACCTTTGTCGAGAGATTTTGGTCTGCTGTACGGGGTTGCGGTCGTTCAGGATGGAGAGTACGTATAGGTATAGGGATTATATCCCGAGGTTGGTGAGGTGGAAAGTGAAGGTTATAGGGAAAGTTGCGAGGAACGTTGGGGGGTGGACGCCGGAATGTGTTGAGGATGCTGTTGCACGACGAGGACAAGAAGGCTTGTTAACTACGTCCAAGGGTCGGGAACCTTCTTCGAGTACGGCGCAGCGTCAACAACATGAGCTGAAGTCGGGAGATGAACCTTTTATCCTGAGGGTTGACAAGAACAACAGCAACAACAATGGACATATCATCAGCAACAGCATCGGGAGCAAGAGCCGGAGCAGGAGTAACCTCCGCAAACTGCAACTATGGCAATGCAGCTTCGACACTCTGGTATTCTCGGACGTTGTCAAGCAGACCTCCCAGCTAGAAGAACTCGATCTCCAAACCCTTTTCTACCGTGGGAGCTCTGGAATTATGGGAATTATCACCCGACACTGTCGGCACCTTCGGACACTGCGACTGTCGGGACGTACTGATGGCATGAGTATTGAGGCCATTGCGAAACTCCTCTTGGGGCTACCGCGTATGGAGGAGTTTTTTCTGGATATTAACAATTCTGAACTACTCGCCTGGCAATCCCTCGATGCCCTCCTCCTCGCAGAACTTGAACGGAAGCAGGAGTATGGCGGCGGACATCGACACCCGTTGAAGACCCTCTCGATAAAGGGCTACTACAAAGAAACCCTCCCAACCCTCCTCGAAATCATCTCCCTTCACTCTTTGTCTCTCTCAACCCTCACCATTGGGAGCCCCTGGTTCTTCCAAATCTTCATGGAACACACTCCTGGGAACCTTTACTCGCCCTTTGCACCCCTCGTCGAGCGCCAGACCCCCTCCCAGGACCTTTTCTCGAGACCTTGGAGTGCGATGAAGGATTCTCTGGTACGGTTGGATATGTCGACGACGATTCTTGTGGATAGGGAGGTTGCAAGGAAGATATTTGTGAGGTTACAGGAGTTGAAGGCGTTGAGGGGATTATATGTGAGTGCGAGGCATGTAAAGGATTGGTTTCCCAAGAACTTTATCGTCACCTTGCCTCTACCTCTTTCTCCTCGACAAACAGACAACAACAACAGCAACGGCACCTGCAACAGCGGAAGCATAGAATACAGGAGAATTGACAGAGCCTACATCATGCAGCACCTCCCAACCGGAACCCATTGCTTCCCCTGCCTCCAGGACGTGATCGTTCGAGGAGAGGACAGGAATGTTCCCGTGCCGTTCGAAATCACGACTTCCGAGGCTGTGTTTCTGATTGCTGCGATGCCGTGTTTGGAGTACCTGTATTTGAAGCAGGGCAGTGTTGGTGAAAAGACGTTGAAGAGTTTGAGGAGCGCGTTCCCGGAGTATTTTGATAGAATTCCAAAGAGCCGGGTGGATTGGATTGATGAGAGGGATTCGTGAACAGAGCAAGAAAAGGAGAGTGGAAAATAAAAAGATGATGCATGCGTTTCTCTGGATCTGGACATAGTCATGGACATGGAGTGGTAACTAGATTCACCCTTTACATGAGCAAACGAACCTTGCAAGTCGAACCTTGTTCTTCTCCCTTCCTATCCCTTCCTTTCTTCAGAGGTACAATTATGTCGTTGTTGTTTGATTGTCATTTAGCAACTGTATCTGACCAGGATGTGAGCCCAAACCAAAACTAATTGCCTCCGTCATGCAATTTGAGTGTGTATGTTTTGGGCGTTCGTTTGTCCATTTTAATTTTCTGTGTCTCATTTGAACTCCCGCTCTGCTCACTTTATGCCGTTGGCTTCTTTTTTCTTTATTGTTTCTTCCTCCTTTTTTTTTCTCTCTCTCTTCTTTCTTTCTCCTTCTGTTTTTTCTCATCCTTCCTTTCGCCTCCTCCACCGTCTGCGACTTAAGCGCACCTCCTCCTCCCATCGGCCATCCACATCAGGATCCTCTCACCGCTCTCAATCACAGGAACGATGACCTCAACCAACACGAGCGCTCTATTACCCTGTAACAAGGTCCTCACTATCACAGAACTGCAGGAGAGGATACTACTCTTCCTCGACCGCGACAGTCCAAGGAGCCCCAAAGTGCTCGTCAACGTCTGTCGTCTCTGGAAGAGGTACAGTACTACTCTTTCAACTTACAGCACACCCAACAAAAGTAACTTTATGGGCCAGGATATGCAATACGCTCACTCATCATTCCCTTGTTTTCTAATATGTAGTCTGTTTGGACCATACGTATGGAGGAAGGTGACGGTCCGAGAATTCGGCAGCAAACGCCTCGCAGGATTCAAACGTCACGGTCCCTTCATCCGGGATCTCACCTGTCACGGCCTCAACCGCGACGTCCTCAAATCAATCTCCAATCACACCCCCAACCTCGAAAAACTCTATCTCCATCTGGACCGGCATTCCATCTGGGTCACACACGATCTCCTTGAAAGAGCCTTCTCAGGAGCGCAGAGTCGATTGACGACTGTGTCGATTTACTTTGATGCTACGGTGTTGAATACGCGGTTGTTGTTGTCCTTGGGGAGGTTGGAGCGACTGGAAGATCTGACGTTGGTGACGGAGAGGTTTAGTCATGATTTGGATGTGGGGGTTTTGGGAGAGGTTTTGGGGTGCTGTAGGGGGTTGAGGAGGTTTACGGTGGAGAATTCTTATACAAATCAGGGACGAATTAGGGTGCTGGATCGGCTGCAGTCGGCGATTCAGGAGAGAGTTATTTCGATGATTGATCGGTTGCCTGGTACTTCTGGTGGTGTTGGCGGTGGCGGTCACGGGAAAAGTTCGAGACTGAGTCTTCCCGTCTTGGGGGCAACAAGGTCGACTCCGCATCTCGTGTCGAAAAATCAACCCCCGATCACGGATACCGACAACAGCAATATCGGCAACTTCGAGGGCGGCGAGAAGAGTAATCTCAAGCTCCTCCGGATAAAGCACTTTGGCGTCCAGGCCTTACAACTGATCGAGGTGTTCAAGTGCTGCCCACAACTGGAGGAACTCGACACGCAGAACATCTTTTACGAGCAACGCGGATCTGAGCACTGGTCGGCAGTTACTCAACACTGTCAACAACTCCGGATTTTGCGAATGTCTGGACGCAGCGACTGTTTCAATTTCGACTATATCGCCAAACTTATTATATGCCACCCACAACTGGACGCGTTCTATATGCATCTTAATACCACGAACCTGGAAGAATGGCGATCGCTCGACTCTAACCTTGCAGCTTACAAAAAAGATTACGACGGAGAGCGGCATCCGTTGAAGACACTGTCGATCAAGGGATACCACAAGGAGACACTGTCTCTACTATTGGAAGTACTATCGATCGAGTCCCTGGCACTCGAGACCCTTACTGTCGGCAGCCCTTGGTTCTTTCAAATCTTTTTGGAACACAGTCCGGGGAGCGCTTTTTCGACATACGAGTCCCTTGCCCCTCTCCAATCCCCCGCTGAAGAGCTCATCGGTCGGCCCTGGCATGCACTCAAACTATCCTTGACCCGACTCGACATCTCAACAACCATCGTCGCCGACCGGGAGAAAGCATCGTTACTTTTCCGTCGCCTCCAGGAACTCGAATCCCTCCGCGCCCTGCATGTCTCTGCTCGTCACGTCCTCGACCTCGCCCCCGAACCCCACAGCAATACAAGCAGTACCGTCTCTTACGACAAAATATTCCTCCTCCCCGAAGTGGTCGAGTACACATTTCCCTCCCTCCTCGACTTTATCGTCCGCGACGAAAACTCCTTATCTTCTTCCTCTGCCCTTCCCATGCACCAGATCTCGATCCCCGAAGCTGTGTATATGATCGCGACAATGCCGGCGTTACAATACTTCCATTTGGGAAAGGGCAGTGTGGAGGAGGAAGATTTGGGGCGGTTGAGGTGGTCGTTTCCGGACTTTTTTATGGCGATACCCAAGTCGCGCCTTGACTGGATTGGCGATGAGAGTTCTTGAACCCTCCAAGGAGGCTCTGAAATAAAAAATAAAAAAGTAAGTTCATTGGTGTGAGTGACCCTTCTTCTTCTCTCAGCGTGCCGTTGGATAACGTTCTTGATGGTTCCGATCTGACCTTGTTCATGCACAAAAATGGATGTTTGTACCACCATGGACAATGGAAATCCTTCCTCTGCATTGTTCATTCCCCCGTGTTTTGCAGACATGGGCTTTCAAGGTGTAGACAAAGTATTATTCAAGTTACAAGGTAAAGATCAAACTATTTGGGGTGCTATGGGATATATACATGTGTTATGAGAGCAATGCTAATTAATTATCTTAGGCGCCCAAGGATCAACTGATCGCGCCAAGGGTCGACCGATCACGACTGATCATAGGGAACGACGCGACAGACGTTATGTATACGCATGGGCATGAATGTAGAGCTGTGTCAGTGCTAACCGACTTTTCCGGAAATACCAAACGAGCACATTTGTCTCGAAAGGTTTGTGCTCATTGCTGCAGCTGTATTAGTTCAATATGAGTGTCGGTTCTAGACGGCATGCCTTTCTAGGGAAAACTATATCTAACCGCCTTTGAAGAAAATCCCGCAAACAAACATGCGGGCGTTCATTCTCAATGGTACAAAGTGAAACAGTAACGTTCAATATTGTCAGTATTTTACTTACGCCACTCCTGTGTTGATTGGCGCACTCGTGTATGAACACATTTCATGAACATATTTCACGAAATGTAGCTTTCGCCCAACAACTATAAATACGTTTATTTTCCGCATCTCTTGTCCCCTTATTACCTTTCCTTCCGCACCGTTCAACTTTCTTTTCATGCTCGCTGATGTACACCATTTTCATATTTATTTAAGCATATTTGCTCCTTGTTCTCCTTACCTCAGCACAGTTTGTCTTTTACCTTGAGGCAGAGCGCTGGTCGGTTGGCTTAAGCTATATCCGCAACATTGACACATCAGCTTGCGTTACCGGCAGATCTAACACTCTCTATCAGAGTACCCACTACCAAGGGAACCGTCGTGGAAATCTCGAAGGGTATTCGAGTCAGGGAGAGAACCACTGCGTCGTGTACGTGACCAGAGACGAAAGCTGTGTTGATTCCGGAGGCTACGCAGCGTTTACAGGAGCCAAATTCGTACGAGGACCTACCAATCCCTGTGGCAAGCCAAGTATCTGCCTCATGGATCGAAAAGCAGGTAAATTATGCTTTAGGATTCCGTACGCATTAAAAAATGAAACGTACAAAATGCTTTGCACTTTCATCAACTTCGGTGGTTACGTGGTTACTATATAGAGCAAGAGCAGGAGGCGGTGTACGGTGAATTGAATAACTGGACGATGTTTCATGACGCCGCGAACGACATTTCGTATGTTATGAATCCTGAAACGGTGGACAAGGCTGAATACCAAAAGGCCGTAGATGCTGGCAAGGAGCAGCACATCGAGTTTCTGAAGAAGAATTGTAATTTCACAGTTCAACCAAAGCATCTTTTCAACAAAGAGAAGTGGGTCTATAGGAAGTAATGAAGTTGGGTTTTGTATCCCGCTTTCCAATTAATTGGCTTTTCTCCCCGAGATTACTTGCTTTCCCTGTCCTGTAAAGTTCTCCAACAATATCCCTTATTTGCATTTTTTATGCTCGCCAACAATTTCTTATCATTTTATCAAAGCTCTCGCTCCAATACCCCTTTGCAGTTTGTGCTCTCTAGCGACAATTATAAGGTTGTATTTTCATTACAGATGATTAAAATGGTGGGTGTCTTCGACAACAAATGCATTGCAGAGAGAATGTCTAGGCGCACGATCTGTCAATATCGATTCAAGCACATGAACAAAGCAACCTCGGTCGATGTGTATGTGCTACTTTTAGAGAGTGGAAGAAAGAAGTGATTTATATGTAACATAGTGTTTCATATGTCAGAGAACTTGAATAGTACCCGCGGCTCCGCTCGCGGAGGTGTGGAGCAAGTATGGGGTGATGAAAAAAGAGATATTGTTTTCACTCCGAAAGATAACATATGACCAACGCCACCAACATCTAGATTCTTCTGATGTCACGAGCATATGCATGTTCTTTTGACATGGTGAATAAAAGTCTTGGTGGAAGCAATGCAACGATGTGGAGGGGAACATGCTTCACCATGGTCATCCTCCGTGTGTAAGTAAGTGTCAGTACACTCTATCCCAACCCCCACACGAAGTGACTGCGTGACTGCCTTTCCCACTCAATCTAATTTTCAAATTGTCGAATTTGCAAAGCAAGACCCCCCATGACGTTAAAAAGTAAATTTCAGACCCAGCTACCACGTTTTCAAATCCAGCCAGTATATAGAGGCCGCTACTTTTTCCCCCTTGCTTTTTTTCTTTCTCTTTCCTCAACCTACTGATCCGTTTGCCATGACCTAAAAGGGCCATGACATTTAAGGGCCAGGACCTGCCTTGAGCAGGACCTTTAAAGGCCTAAGGATCAGAACCTTGACCAGGACCTTTAGGATCTAAGGGACAGGATCTTGACTAGGACCTACAAGGGCCTGCTAATGGTCAAGATCTTGACCAGGACAAGGATAGGGCCAGACCACCTTCCATTCCTCACTCTTCCCTCTCTCTTTCCCTCTCCCCTCTCCAGCCACTGCATCCGCAATCAACAATCAACCACAATCAACAGCCATCAACAGCCATCAACAAGGAGACAGTCATCAGCCCCATCTTCCCTCTTTCCCCCCTCCCTCTTTTGCAATCAACCTTTCCCATGCTAAGATCGCCTCCCTCCTCTCGTAACTGGATGCCACCAAGACCAGCAGCCTGCTAGGCGAAGTCATCACTGACAACAGCACTTTCGGGATCAGCACTTTCGGGGTCAGCACCTTCGGGGTCAGCACCTTCGGGATCAGCACCTGGGCATCTGTGAAGGCAAGTATCTGGAAAGGAGTGTCGGCCGGCTACCTTTAGGGAGAGGCATGGACTCTGAGACAACGCGACAGCAGCGGTTGTAGGACTCTTTTCAGCGGTTTGGCTGGTCGGCTTCTCATCTGGCTGGGGATACCCCGGGACAAAAACACGACAGGAATTCCCATCCAGATGAGAAGCCAGCAACCAGCCAAGCCGCTGCAAGAGCTCCGTGGCCGCTGTTTAGCTGAGTCTCATTGTTCATGGCTCTTGGACGTCCTGTCGGAGCCGGCGCCTGTACAGGTGCTTGCTTAGCCAGTGCACAGCTAACCGGTTTTTTTCCTCATTTTGTTTTCCATTCATCTATATACACCACGTCTGCACCGAAGACCTCTCGATGAGCTACGTGTGACCAAGAGCCAAGCCAGTATGAAGGCAAGTATCTGGAAGGGAGTGCCGGTCGGCAACCTTTAGGGAGATGCATGGACTCTGAGACGACGCGACAGCAGCGGTTGCGGGGCTCTTTTCAGCGATTTGGTTGGTCGACTTCTCATCTGGCTGGGTATACCCCGGGACAAAAACACGACAGGAATTCCCATCCAGATGAGAAGCCAGCAACCAGCCAAGCCGCTGCAAGAGCTCCGTGGCCACTGTTTACCTGAGTCTCATTGTTCATGACTCTTGGACGTCCGGTCGGAGCCGGCGCCTGTTCAGATATTTGTTTAGCCAGTGCACAGCTAACCAGGTTTGTTTTCTTGTTTTTTCGTTTCCATTCATCTATATACATTACGCCTACGCCGAAACACTTCTCGATGAGATACAAGTGATCAGGAGCCGGGCCAGTACGAAGGCAAATATCTGGAAAGGAGTGTCGGCCGGCTACCTTTAGGGAGAGGCATGGACTCAGAGACGACGCGACAGCAGCGGTTGCGGGAGAGTCGACGAACTGGAGCTGGAGGGGTCGGAGGCGTTTGTTAGAGGAAGCAGTGTCGGCGATGTACTCATCCTCGACGTCAACTGCTCGTTTTGGACTGCATAAAGCCTGCTGTGTAGATGTTGTTGTGTGAGTAGACATGCCCGCGTCATCGGCGTCGGCTGCTCGCTCTGGGCCGGATGAAGTCTGATGTGTCGATGTTGTTGCGTGGTTAGACATATGACGTCGGGCCGACTTTGCAACGAACTCCACCGTTTCATGGAAACTCAGCGCGTTCACCAACGCAAAAATCATCGATGATAAGTTGACTTCGCATCTCTTGGTCTGATCTTTCTTCACTCCGTCTGTCGCCTTGATCCAGCCAGTGAAGTTTGTGATTCCCATTTGATGGTTAGTGCCAGTGAGTCGCTCTTCTTTTTTTCCTTTCTGTCTTGGAGTCAATGTTATTTATGGAGGTTGATTCAAACTCTCTTATTCTGAGTGGGAGGCGTCTGAATTAATGGCGCATTTTTCATTGTTGCGTCCACTTAATGCGAATCATGAAGGAATGGGGAAAAAGTACGATCTCGGTCTGGTTTCTCATTTTCATGGTGTTTTCGTGCTGCTCAAGTATCCCTTCCATTGTCAGAGGGTTTTGACAACATTATCTTTTATGAAGGCTCGGCTCTGAGACTATTTTATCCACACTTATTGTTCTGCCTGTCCATCTCGCTGATGTGTAAAAGTGAGGGAAAGGTGATAGGAAAATAAGTTGATGTGGAGGTTCCTCTTTTTTTATGTGACGGAGTGGGTGCTCTATGTGTTTTTTTTTGTAAATATGGAGAGGACCCTGCTCGCAGAATCAATCGAAGGGATAAAAAAAGTGGTCGAAAACAGATACTGAATATAATTGTTCAATGGGTATCAAGGTGATGGGGTATAGTGAGACGACATGAAAGAGAGTATGGGCGTTTGAGAAAGAGGAATTAGAGGGTTGACATTCGAAAAATGAAACATAGAAAGTGAAAGGAGCTAAATAGTCCCTTAAGCTGCAGGGGCGACAGGAGGGGTGGTCACCTCAGGCGAAGGGGTGGGGGTGGGGCTTGGTGCGACTGTGGGCGTAACAGAGGGAACAACTGGCTCGGGTGTAGGGGCTACGACGGGTGTAGGGGCTGCGAGGGGGGTAGGTGTATAGGCGTACTCCTTGTAGTACCAGTCCTTGATCATAGCAAAATCAGATCCAACTTGAAGCGTGATTAGACCCCCGGTCTCGGGGTAGACAATGCCGCTGTTCAAATCTGGGGCCATACCAACAGGGTAGCCGGGGAGGGTAACCTTAGGTGACCAAGAGACAGTCAATGTCTTGACGGGACCGGCAATGGCAGCAGGGACAAAGTTCTGAATGAACTGGAGCATATACATCTGTAGACCGAGCTTCTGGAGCTTCATCTTGAAAGTGATGGTCTTGGACTCGCCGGTCTTGAGAGTGTACTGCAAGTCATTCGTAAATATGAAGGGACTGAATGTGCTGCTTCCTCCTGGAGCAGTAACGGAGAGGAAGGATGGGGCGTAGGCAAAATCACTATCCGCCAATGTAGCATCTCCTGTCACTGAGAACTCATAAAGGAACGAGTTGCTGAACGTGGTAGTCATCTCGATGATGCCATCATCGACGGTGGTTGGCAGGATCTTGACAGTCCAGACGTTGCCATATGCTGTTGGGGGAGGAGTGGCAACGATGAGATTCCGGGGAAGAACAAGAGATGTCTTGAGTGTCGACAGTCCAATGTTCAAAGCGGGGTTGGAGGTTGCAGTCGAATTGGCCCACAAAGTCATAGTGGGGGACATCATGGTGAGGTCAGTTGCGAAAGGACCAGCACTAGCTGCGGTGAAGCTTTGTCCTAGGAGTGAGGGAACAATGTTGTCTCCTGGCACGAGGCGAAGATTAAAGAGCTCAGTGTATCCGATTCTGTTTTCGTCGTCATATCCCTTGTATCCTGCAGCCATACCCATGGTGCCAATGTTGAGGGTAAGCTGACTGGGATTGTGAATGTTGACAACGGTGGTGACGAAAATGAACCCGGCCATAAAGTTGGGAATGATCTCGAGGACCGACATGAACTCGATGTTATTGAGTCCCTGAAGACCGGCCAACGTAGACTTGACGTCAATAGGGATGCCCTTGATCTCCATCAAACCGAATGGGCCAAGATCCAACATCGAGTCGGCAGAGCCGCGGAGGCCGAGTGTGTAGTTGGTGGCCAAGTTCAAGCGGCCGACAAAGGTCGTGTAAATGTCGTGGGAGCCGTCAGGAACGACCAAAGGAGCAGCAGGGGTGTTGGCCGACACCTTGGAGCCGACAGTGGTGGCATCAGTGTACTCGGTCTTGAGGGTGCCGACAACTTGACCGTTTTCATCCAAGATCTGAACGTTCTGAGCAAGCTGCTTAATGGGAACATCCATCGCGAAGGGGAGGTTGGTGTCGGCCGTGATGCTCGACGTGGCCATAGGAGCCCAGGTGCAGGCCTCGCCGCAGGCAAAGTCCATCTCCATCGCGTTGATGGTTACCGCCGAGATTGGGGGTTCTTGGAGAGGAGGAAGGGCAGTGTCGAGGAGGAGAGTCTTGATAGCAGCGTCCAACCATGAAACACCGGGGGCGCCGACACCTTGGGCCTTGAGAGGAGTGGCAACCCCACTCAACGCGTTGTGGAAGATACCCTGGATGTAGGGGGTCTTGTCAGTGCCGTCGGCAGCGATGGTGGCGTTCAAGGCGAAGCTCGAGTTGCTGTGGGGGACTAAAGCCATGTTGTAGGCAAAGGCTGGTCCAAGGGTGTGACCGGCAAACTGAGTGTCGAACTGCGAGACGGGGATGGTCATACCGATGGTCGAGGGGTTTGACAGCGATGCGCTGATAGTCATGTGCATACCCGCAGAGTCGATGGCGGTGATTTTATAGTCCAACAGCTGCAGACCAGGCAGCTTGTTGAATCCATCGAGGGTCACAATCTTGGTCATCGAGACACCGGGGAGAGAGGCACCCATGGCGTTGACGACAATGCCTGTGGCAGTGATGGTCCACTCGAACTTTTCGTTGTTCAAAGCAAAGGTGGTGAAATCGGCAAATGCAGCGCCATCGGTAATAGCAAAGGGAACACCAGCAAGGTTCAAAGTCGCACCCTGGTTAGCAATGGCATTGACAGTGGGCATCGCCATGGTACCAAGAGCCTTGCCGTTGAAGGAGATGATGAGAGGATTGGGGAACATAATCTCGGCATCCAGGGGTCCGGTCTTGGTGATGGCTCCGACAACGTCAGTAGAGAAGCTGGTCTCGGTAGGGGCGTTGAGGGTGATGGCATCAAAGGCAATAACTGAGCCGTCGACGAGGATCTGAGCAATGGGGGTACCGACAACAGGGATCAATTTCAGAATAGTCTGGTCAGTAGCGGTGGGGACGCCGGTCTGGGTGTAGGGAATCGTGACCTGGTAGTCTCCAACCTTGACGGTGGTGGTCATGGTAATATCGACAGCGAGTCCTGCCATGGCCTTGGTCACAAAGTCGGCAACATTGAAGCCAACAAACAGATCGGGCGAGGGGTTTCCGCCAGCCTGGAGAGCGAGGAGGCCGTCAAAAGCGGCAGTGTTCAAGCCATTCGCGACAGCCTGGTTGCGAATCAAGGCAACGAGGTCATGAGGATCGGTGTTCATAAGGAGAGGGGCCGTGATGGTGCCAGCGCCGACACCAGGGATGACTGGGGGAGTGCCAAAGGTAGAGACAACAGTTCCGAGGGAAACACCGTTGTAGGTAATCGTGGAGTCAATCGAGAGAATAGTCATGGGAGGGACAAAGGGGTTGTTGACAGTGACAACAGTCTGGGCGAGACCATCGACAAGGGTAGTGTCGAGAACAACAAGCGAGGCACCAGCGAGCAGCTTTGTTGGGAGACCAGGCATCTGAGTCTCAATGTTCAATGCGCCAAAGGCAAGGGTGAGAGAATCGACAGCTGTGCTGGTAGGGGTGCCGACGATGCTGACAGTAGCACCAGCACCGCTAGTGTACAAGGTCAGTAGCTCCATGCCCTCAGGCGAAGCAGAAGGGTTGATCGACGATGAGGCCTGGATGGTGTTGGCGCCAGGGACAATGGCCAAGTTGGGCATGGTGACAGTACCAAGAGCGACACCCTTGTAGACAAGGCTCAGCACAATATCTCCAGCGCTGAGCGAGATCGACGAGGGGTTGACAATGACGACAGTGATGGCCATGGTCAGTTCAGTGGTAGTACCAGAAACGACCTGCAGAGCTGAAATCGAGGGAGCGGGGTTGGTAAGACTCTGGAGTCCGCTGAGAGCAGTCGAAGCATTGAATGCGATGTTGACTAGGTTGACTGTGCCGATTGAGGTATTGGCATAAACCGAGGCCTGACCGACAACGTTGAAGGGGAGATCAGCACCAATAGTCAAGTCGCGGTTAAACTCCTGGAAGGCTGTCTGCGAAGCCTGATCGACAACAAGAGGGGTCTGCAACAGGTCGAAGGTCAAAGTGCCGGCTGCCATGTTGGAGGTCGAAGGGTTGTAGCTCGAGTTCAAGCTGGCAACAGCGACACCACCGCGAGTAATAGTGAACGAGTTGGCGACCTGAGTGAAGGAAATGTTGAAACCGAAACCGTCGGGAAGTGAGTAGTTGGCAATGACACCAGTGGAGGTAGTGACAGGCTGGTACGCGGTCGGAGGAGTGAAGGCGAGACCCAAGGCACCGAGGTTCAAGGACTTGATGAGCTGCAAGGGGGAAGGGCTCTGAAGAGGAACAGTCAACTTGAGCTGCTTGACAGCGGTCGACAGCCACTCGATCGAGTTGACACCATCGGGCTTGACCTCAAAACCAGTGGCAATAGTGTCGGTGAGCTCATTGCCAACGTAGCGCGACATCATCTCGGACACGATAGCAAGACTCTCGGGGGTGGACTGGGGGACGAGGTAGCCCTTCATGCTCAAGATCTGGGGGCCACGGACCATAGTCAGGTTAGAAGAGGTGACATATCCCATGAGGGTATCCTTGTAAGAGATGGCGAGGGTGAGGGCGCCCATGTACATCTGGATGGAGGAGGGGTTGTTGACGGTGGTGTCAATGTCGATTAGGATACCCTTTCCAGAAGGGTCATCGCCTGGGAGCGCGAACTTTTCGATCTTGATACCCGAGAGACCCTGGAATGCTGCATGATAGGGACAGAAAATATAAGTAATGAGTATGGGTGCTTAAAAGGTATGGAGATTGTGAGGAGTAGAGGTGGAAAATGGATCGCAGACAAAGAGGGAGAAGGGGGGGGGAGAGAGAGAGAGAGTAATGCTTACCGTTGACAGTGATGTCCTTATCCAGGTTGAGGTTCTTGACGGTGCGGCCAAGAGCCTTGACATTGAGCTTTCCTGAGAGGTGCCAGACAAATGTCTCGGCGTTGAGCATGTAGGCGGAGAACTCTGTGAATGCCGCGTCGTCAGTGATCTGGAAGCTGCTCTGCAAGTTCAAATCACCCTGTCCACCGCTAGATGATAGGAAAAGTAAGGAGGCAAACAGAAAACCGGTTTTGGCAGCATATCAGTAGATGGTAACAAAAGAATGGAAACGGCGAGACTGCAACCGAGTGGTTACAGGGAGCAAGAAACAAGGACAGGTAGCATCAAAAACAAAGCTGGAAGATGACTTACGAGGCGGTGCTTGTGCCGGGAATGACAGTGGTACCGAGGACTTTGTTGTTCCAAGAGACAGTAACAGTGCCGGGGAAGGAGATGTCGGCGTGGAAGGGGCCGGTCTTTTCCATCTTTCCAACCATCGTAATGTCCATCGAGGTGGCCGTGGGGTTGATGATGTCCTGTACACGTGATGCATTGGCGGAAAGGGAAATATGAAGACGTGAGGATGAGGTGGAGGTGAAAGGAGGCATCCAACAGAATGTGAAAAAGATGAAAGAGGGTGTGGGAGACGAGACGCGTTTAGAACCAATTCTTAGTGCTAATGAAGAATGAAGGATTTTTTTTTTTTCGTTGCGTTGATCACACATAATATCCAAAATGGAGGAAGCGACTTACAATCTGATTAAAGTTGATGGTAGCCTTGTTCATGAGACCCTGAGCAATCTTAGGCATAATGACATATAGAGCCAAGATAACAGCGATGATAATAGCAATGATATTCGTGGGGATGCAGCACATCCAGAACTTTCGGCGACGATAGAATTTGGGGCGTTCAGTCTGCTTGACATCTTCATACTCGTCAAACTCATCGTGCTGCTGTTCGTCTTCTTCACGGATGTCGAAAGCCATGATGATGAGTTAAAAAATAGGGATGCGGGCTGTGGATGTGGAGAGGGAAGGTGCTGAGGGGAGCGTCGACCGTTGGGGCAGTAAGTGACGAGTGATGGGCCTTGCCTAGGAGGGATGGCGAGGGGAAAGTGGATAGAGGGTAGAGGAAGAGGGGCGGGGCGTTGACGGGGGGGGGGAAGGAGAAACGAGGAGTGTGCCAAAGATTGATTCTAGGGGGCAGTGTGTCCTTTATATATCGCGAGCAATTGCCGAAAGAAAAAGTCAAGGGACATGGGCGTTGGTGCAACAGCAATAGGCACAAAGAAAGGGACCGGTTTCTCTCGTAGCGCCCAAGACTTTGTTTATTCTGCTCTCAGGTTTTGTTGCTTGTTTGTTTGTGTTTGTGTTTGCTGTTGTAGGCATTGCAGTTGAGATGGGTGCTTTGGAGCAGTATGACTGTATGTGCATTGTTTCGACGAAATGGAAGAACTCGTTTGTTGAAAGATAGAACTCTTTCCGAGGCCTTTTTCACGAATAGTAAGAAAGCTCTCTTCCAAAAGTAACCCTATGAGACAGGTGCGCAATAGCGGTCGACCCCTCCGTTTTCATCTCAGACAGCGATACTTTTGGGTTTGTTCTTTACTCGCAATTGCTCTCACCTCAAAGCATTCTTGTCTCCCACCTTTGGCCTATCTGAAGCCTTGCTCTTTTTTTCCTCCACATCCCTTCGTCCTGAGACGTGGTCATTGTGTGGGTTTCCTATCGGAGGATGAAAAAGACATGGCCAGTGGAATAAATGCTTGTTAAGCTTGAATCTCCAACGAGTCCGTTCACACGCGTTTGTTTTGTTTTTCTCTCTTCCGTCTCCTCGTACGTCCTTTTCCGCCTTTTGCTTACTCTCGTTTACTGTTTAATCATTGGTTAATCCACAAGTACATGTCTTAGGCATGTCGTCGTTTCCACATTCCGCTGCTGGCATACACTAGTTCTGTATCAAGAGGTTCACAAGGCAATGTTGTGTGTGCATAATTTGGCTACTGGTGGATGAATATATGAAGGGTAAAGTTGCAGATGGCTCGTTTCTGTGTAATGCGCAATGTGTAATGTGCGAGGTAGTTTTCCCTTCGATATCCACAACATCCCTCCTCTATATCCCCTTCCCATCCGAATGTATGCATGGCCGCTACATAAACTTTATTTTCCAGCCTAAATGCCGCCTTCCTTTGATACGACGCTCACTTTTTTGTGTGATCGTTTTTTTTTTCTTGCCACTGCTCATATTTTTTTTCTTTCTCCACTCACCATAAAGAGGCAAAGACAAAGGGGAAGTTAAAGGAAGCAGGAAGGCAGGAAGGAAAGAGAGCGAAGGAGTTATTTTTTTGGGCATAAACAAGCTAGTCAACGATCGAGCTTTGTCCCCGACAAACCTAAAATCATTCGATTATTTGTTGACAGTTGCGACCCATGGTCTCTGGCCTGCTAACATCGCCCATTTTTTGAGGCTATATTTTCTTGGCTCTCATTTTCTTTGTGTCTTGTCTGGGTGCCTTTTGATGGCGATTATCCGAAGGGTATTGTTGTTGTGATGAAGGAAGGGGGTATGGAAGAATTTCTTAGGCAAAATGAAAGAATTGATACCTCTTCAAGGATTCATCCATCTCCACAATGACCTGTCAGTGCACAGGAATCGAAGGAAGGAATAAGAGAGATGGAGAAAGGGATGGGGATTCATTGCACTACGGACCAGGGCTGTCTTTAAAAAAAAAGCTCTCGATTTTTTTTGGTTTATTGTTTGCCTGTTTGCCTGTTTGTTTGTATGTTTGTCTGTTTGTCTCTTTGTGTGCTTGTTTGTTTGTATTATTTTATTCGCATTTGTAACTGTAAATAAAAGATGTCTAGACCACTGTTGATAGAATTTCCACCAGAGAAATTAATCGCATGTTGACACTACACTTTACTTGATGCGCAGAGGTCATTGCGCTCCCGTTGATGGATCTACTCCCTCTTGCTCTTCATCCCCCCCGTTCCCCTCGCTCCTCGTGCCCTCTGCCTCCATCCACTCCTTCTATTTCTTTCTTCTCTCCTCACTCCTTGCTTTTCATCCTTCTCCGATCTTCCAATATCTCGCTCCTTGACGAAAATGTGAACCAAGGGAAATGGATATTCTGCACAACCTGCAGCAAGCTTACAAACACGGATGTACTACCAACTAGTAAGAAAACAATAGTCAGTCTCAAACCAATAAAGGCATCGACAAACGCTTTTATATTTGACCTCGTTAGACAGGGGATGAAGGAGGTCGTAGCAAAAAGAGAGAGGGAACGTCATCATAGTGGACGTAGAAAGAATGAATGGTCTACTAGTTGTCACCGGAAAAAATATGAATAAAACAAACACTGTAGAGGAGCCACCGATTGCTCGTGCTAATAGATTCATTGTTTCTTTGTTCCGAATGCTCGCACTGACCGTAAAAAACGATTCGGGTGGAGAGAATGAGTTGCGTTACAACCCTCATGATCGTACATCTTGGCAACGGTTTTTGCTTCAATGCAGGCCATCTTGGAGAGAGAAGAAGCAAAACAACAATGGAATATCGCTTCAACAAGAACATTCTAGATTGGTGTCTACCAATCGACGAGAGAGTAAGGTTGTAAACCATACACAGAGGGGAATGTCCATAGTACGTGTTTGTTGCTTGGTTTTGTTTTTGTTTTGATTTTCTGTTTGAAGCGGGCTCCTTCTCTGTCAAAGGCTCATAGGGCGTATACGGACGACCCTCTTCTCCATGGGGCTATATTATCGTGCTACAGACCTGTAATCGAGCTGTTTGTTGTCTGTAAGACCATGGATCCCGACACGCATGACTTTCCCGTCTTTTTTCACCGCATTGTTTGAGCGTCAAAGGTACGAGTGCATAAAATGGAAGTATGAGATTAGTTGGCAATTCCTATGACAAAGACACAACAACAATTTCCGTCTCCCTCGTGAAATAGCGTGGTCTGTTTTCTACTTTTTATGGGTGTAGTGCTTGTTAGTAAGGTCCTGGGGTGTAACGCAAAAAAAAAAAAAAAAAAGGAAACCGGTCTTAAGTAATATCCAACGTCGTACGATAACTTCAGTACTGTACTATCAGGAGCAGACACAAGGTGTACGTGTAACAAGGAATAGAGCATGGCCTAGATTATGAATGGGCACGATGAAAAATGAATATGAGGATATTTTACATCACTATTTTTCTCCAGGAGGGTTGCGACTACAACGTAGAAGTGTCAAAAGCGGTTGCGATACGTGGGACGTGTCCGTGCTGTACCTAATTTTTCTTAAACCCATTTCACTACCTCCAATGGATAACAAGTAAGGCAAGTGACCTGGGGTAGAGGGGTTAGATCTTCACTACAAAGCTCATTATTGTTTTCTTCTCCGACCTCCACTCCTCTTGTACGGGTGTTTACTTTGAGACGAAAAAATAATAGCGATCAGGACAGTTTGTAGAGTGGTGTCATTTATCCGAAGGAGGCGACGGGACAGTTGACGAAAAGGCGAAAGAAAAGTGGGGCAAAGATATATGGAAGTCGATGGCAAAGGCGGGGTGTTTACCTCAACGCGTCGTGACCCGTATGTTCCACGGACATATTGGCCACACGTCCTCGTGTCCTCCTTTATCATATCCAGAGCGGAGTTCTCTGGCCATTTTATTCCACGGCGGGTTTGGTTGCCAAAGACAACAGAAAAGGAGGGCTACTTCGATTTTAGAAAGAGGAAGGGAAAAGTAATGCTGATTGAAATCTGATTGGTCTATTTCTTTTACCCCATCTGCAAGAGACAATAACTTTTCCCCTTTCCTCCCAACACAAAGGCATACCTTTTCATTTTCATCACCTATCTCATTCATAACATTTACACGTCCACACGCCCACACACCAAACACTTTTCGATGACCAACGATAACATCAACATAGGAACTCCTTTTGACTCGCCAGCTCCGTCGCTGCCACCCTCGCCTCATGTTCGCTTTTGCACCGCTCCACAGCAGCAGGCCATCCATTAGCAACAGGCGCAATATCCTCATCCGCACCGGTAACACCTCCCAACACCCTCCCCTCAAACGGGAAAAAAAGAGCCAATTGGTTTTCCACAGTTGAACGAGGCACTGATAGACTGAGCTCGTGTTAACCTTAAATTACTCATAATCATACACCCACCTCTTCTCCCATCGCTTCTTCCTCCTTCGTCAACAACACATGCCTGGCAAGTAAAACAGAGTGCTTACACTTTGAGTAAGAAAGATGGTCTGTAATGTCATCCATCTTTTTTTTATAGCCATTCTTTTAATTCTGAAAAAATATCCCCACGGATCCATCTCTTCCTCTTTCTTGCTCCCTCCTCATTGGTTTTTTCCGCTCTCATACCTCCCTGATCCCTCCCATTTGAACACAAAAAATAAAGACACCGGCATCTCACATGATCTACCTCTCTGCCATTTGGTCCCTCCAAACAACAAACACGCCCAAATCAAAAGATGGAAAACCTGTAATTTATCCCCCGAGCTCTTTGTGGTGTGGAGAGGAGCTTTACTTGAAAACATTTCTCCATAGCTAAAGCAGAACCCTGCCCTCTGGCCTCTTAATTTACGGCTCCGACCATGACACAGACCAATCGTTGGCTTTCCTAACCACGCACTCAGTCCGTGCAAATGCAGATCAGGTAGCCCAATGCCTAATGTCGTATTCTCCGCCATTTTTCTTATGAAGATGAAAATGCTATTGCCCGACCACCCATAGTTAGGATGTGTGTACGTGAAAAACATAACTGAAAAGACAAACATCGCTTTTCAAGCGTTATCACTCCCTTGTTGCTCTTGACGAGACGAAGAGGATCACGCGATCCGCTTCTCGATCCCTCTTTCTTCATCGAGATACGGCCATTTACATCGGCCTCGTCCTGACTTTAACCCTTTTTTTCTCGAGGTTCCACACAAATTTTTTGTTCACTGCCACTGAGGTGGTATTCAGAAAGACTTCCTCTATCCAACCAGCTTGTTCTTTTTGCTCTGTTGCACCTCCTTGTCATGGGCATGGAGTTTCGTTTTACATGAATTAGCCGTCATCATGCCTCTTCCGTTTTTTTTTTTCACTTTTTTGCCACCGGGGTGTCATTCAGCGACCTCTTTTCTATCAGACTGCACTCAGCACCTCTACCTAACGCCTGTTTCTGTTTTTGCCATTCCCGGTCATTAACATGAAAAGTGGATGATGGAGAGGGCAAGGAGAGCTACACAGAAAAGATCAAAAAAGAATTTCTTACAATACTCTGTAAATTAAATGTTTACAAGGGTGTATGAATGAAAGTGTACTTTGAGTAAAGATTCGATGAAAAGGGGTCTTTTACATTAGTGTAAGGCGCACTCAACGAGTGAATAAACACACATAGGTAAGCATTTCATAAAACGAAGGTCGTACAACCCAGTAAGGCTTGGAATGTTTACAATGGTGTATCAATTAGCCCCAAATCCATTTTTTACATACTTCTAGGAACATACAGAATCGCCTTTTCTTACCCCATTGTAAACAAAGCCCGATTCTGCTTCCTTTACAACTGAGTAAGGATTACAACAGAATAGAGGAGGTTTCTATTTGCCGACAATTGGTCTAGTTGGCGACTTTGTATATATATTTAGTTGTACCATAGTAATAATATCAATCATCACTGCTTCAACTCTCGTCCCCGTTTTATACTTCTCTGTCCCAGTCTTCGCCTGTTGCACTTGAGATGTTCAGGGTCGATCTCCTGAAGCTGTCGGAATTGGTGATAGAAGTAATCCACGGGGCGTGTGAGCTCGGCGCATCGCTCCTGAAACTCGCGGATCTGTGAATCATGCTTCTTGTTGAAGGTGAGGTTGTTGGAGACGACGTATGGGACCTTGGGTGCTTTATATTGGTCCATGTGAACGTTCTTGGGAAAGCCTCGAATGGCTTCCTTGAGCTCGGCGTCGCTCTTTGTTGGTTTGGTGAAAAACTCAATAGGCGTTTCTGATTTGATGCTGGGGCATCCAATGACATCCGTCTGAGGGGCGATAGTGTTGAAGTGAAGCTTGAGTTGTAATCACAGGGTCGGGGTTCTGGTGAAAGTGGTCTGCCATAAAGCGTTCCATGCGGTCCAGCCTTTGGCCGAGAAAGAGGATCTTTGCATCCTTGGGGTCGAGTGGGGGCGAGGAAAAAGAGGAAGAGGACGATGAGGGGGACGATGAGCGAGAGGGTTGTTCCATGGGGACCTGCTGAGAAGGGTGAACTCTGATTATGCGGGTAATGTCCCTGGCGAAACAAAAGAAGATAAGGAACAGATTTGGTGCCTGAGCAGACCTTATTTCTCTTTTCACTTTCGTTTAGTTTTCTGAATTTTCGCATGTACTATAATAAAAGAAGATAACACATACATGTATATGGTCCTGGCCCGACGGATAAAAGCTATTTGCAGATAAAATAAGAGTAGAAATAGGTAGGAATTTATTAGGCGATCAAAGGAAAGGGTGGGGTGTAATTGGGTGTAATTGGTCTGATCAATTCTTTGAACCGTACAAAGCAATAGAAAAGAATAGAACCGCTGAGACAACTGACAGTGTTGTAAGTATGTTGACCTCTTTCGTAGTGCAGAGAGGATAGCTTCTGTACCAGTATGGGACATTGAACCTTGATGTGGCATCGCATTGCACGAGAGGACCTTTCAAAGTCAATGACCAGCGCTTGGCGCAGTGTCCAGCATTGACTGTGTTAAACTTTGATGGACAGCTGCCGTATTCAGTCATTTGTGATGACGCAAAGCCAGCATAAATGGCGAGCAATATCATTGTCAAAGGCAGTAGTAGTGCTACGCTGATATGAAGACATCTTTTAAGGCAGCTAAACCTTGCACGGCCATAAGCCACGGACTCCTCAGTTACCATGGGGAAGAAGGGTCTCTCTAAATCGGGCATTTTGGACTTGTTGGAGAATGGTGATATCGGGAAACCAGAGAAAAGCATGGTATTTAACCGAGACAAGAAAGACCTTTCACGGTATTTAAATGAATAAGTGGCTACTGGTGGCTCATTGTGACTGCTTTTGGTGTAACCTTAAGAGCCGAGCGTGATTTTGGTGGTGACGGGCAGCCTTACACTTTTTACACTTTTTTTTGACAATTGGGGCACATGGACATAATATCTTTGCTGACCGACACAAAGAATGCAATCAGCATCAGATTCTCTTATTATTAATGTAATTTTTCTGACACCAACTTCCGGAGGGGGAGGGGGGGGGGGGGGGTAGTTATTAGTGACGGTGGAGGGGGGCAGCCTTTTGTCTTAGTCCGCCTGACTGAGCATGCACAACCCTAAGGCTACCTCCTCAGCCTTGCGACGGAGACGGGTCTTGCGGGCCCAAAGGCGTTTGCTCCTGCGAGTGCGCTCTTTGCGGTCCTTGTCGTCCTTGATGCGGCCGTCAGGTATCGAGTCCCATTTGCACTTGCGGGGGTGCATCGTTGGCGACATGTTGTGAATGTTCTTGAGATGACGGCGCAAGTTAGAGTTCTGGTTCTTACTTGGCTTAAAGGGTTGACTGCAGACAGGGCAGAGCAACAGCTGCGTCGTTGTAGGAACTGGCGTCATCGATGCCGACACAACACGAGACTGTTCAGTGGGGCCTGCGAGTGGGACATTGGATGGGATGTTATGGAGGGTAGATGGAGTGAGCAAGAGTGATGGAGAGAGTGAGAGAGAGACAGAGAGAGAGAGAGAGACAGAGAGGGTGGAGAATTGGTGGCATTGGTGTCAACTAGAGTAAATAGAGTGTAAGAGTGGTGTTAACAAAAGTGTCAAATAGATTAAATAAGATCTTGATCGCTGCTGCCGCTGCTGTTGGCAACAGAGATATGCAACAGGGGAGAGCTCTGACCAAGAAAGAGCCACTGCATGATGAGGACAGCTGCGGTGACCAGGATACAGATCCGTCGTGTATACCACCGAACAATGTACGTTGTCGATGCTTGTATGGGTCCTATTAGGGTGAGTGAGTGAGTGAATGAGCGATGAAAAGGGAGAAAAAATAAGGGTGCGTGGAATATAAAAACAAAAATGTGATCCTTTCTGCCTCTCTCTCTCTTTTCCTACCTCTATGTGATAGCTACATAGCCAACGAAGTAAACAAGCTCAAAAGCATTGACCATGGATACTGTAAGGCCTTGCTACACAAAAAAACAATGCGCATTCACATTCACATCCACATTCCCATTGACATATCAAGCAGGGTTTTGAATAACTATGGCATCACACAATCGTTTTCTTTGATAGATACAAAAAATAATAACATGAAAAAGGACGACTGCTATGTCTTCTCCCACGGAGAGGGCTCGCCATACCACTCGTTCAAAAACCCAGCCAACAACCCTCTCATCTCTGAACCATCCTCGTCTTCCTCCTTGACGTCGTCATTGAGGCACACGACCTGTGGCGGCTTGTCCATTCGCATCGCCTCCTCAATCAACTCGAAATGCTCCTTGGTGTTGTGCAGAGTGTCCATCATCCTAAAGATAGAGTCCGATTCGCCAATGACATAGTTATACCTGTAGAGATCCTGCAGAACTCGTTGTCGTGCCTTAGGGTGAATTGACTCGTGTGGCAAGATGGCAGGGATGCCGCGCTTGTGCTGACTATAGACTTTTTTCGTGCGTGTGCTGTTATTATGTCTTAACATGTCGCCCCAACCATCACCCTCTGCATCCTCAACCCTCTCATAGTAGTAGTACACCCCGCGATCGCTTTGCAGGGCAATTTGGAGGAGACAGTCGCCGCAATGGTACTCCTTGAACGCCAATCGCTTGAAGATAATTTCGGCATCATCATGGGAAAGGGTTCCTTGCGGCTGCATGAACTTGGGGCCAAGACAAAAGTTGAGGTCGAAACGGCAGGTCCTGTCGGCGGGTGGGATTGTCGCTTCAGAAAAGCGCGGTTGTTTCCTGACTCTGTCGCCGTCCATCTCAAAGTTCATTGTGCTGGATGTGTTTGCCTGTAGGATCAAGAAAGGAAACCCCTCCATTCCAGAGTAGGTGTATTGGACAGCAGGCGTTTGCTCCAGTTCCCAGTATCCCGTTCTGTCAAGCACCTCCTCGTAGCCGTCCAGGAAACGATCAACCTTGCCAGTGGATCTCTTTAGTCGCCGTTGGTTGACTCTATCGCCGTTCCTGGTCCAGTCCTCGATCAACGCCACCAACGCCCATCGCTCTTCCCACTCGAAGTCTCCGTTTCCGTTGTAGTCGACTCGGTACCGCCAAAAGGATCGCAACTGAGTCTCTCGGAGTCGTTCGATTGTGTAGTGAGCTAGGAACATCGTCTGCAGGGTATGACCACCGTAATCGCTTCGGAATTGAGCCTTCTCCGACTGAAGAAACGCCGCTGGCCAGAGCGCCTCTGCTTCTTCAAGGATCGATCGACTGGCGATATGAACGTAGTGTTCTATGTGTGGGCGATACCGGTAGCCAAACCGCTTGGAGAGTTGGTGGTTCGTAAACTCGAGATTGTCGATATATCCTCGTTCCAGCGGAGCCTTTTCTTTTTCATAAATGGGGGTAGGGCGGACTGTGTACTTGGGCGCGACCTGAAAGACCATTCCGTACTGTGGCGTCCAGTAGTCTCCCTGAACCATGGGCATGCTAAAGTAGATATCATCGTTCATGTAGATGAACTAAAAGCAATGTAGCAAAGTATCTACCTGTCAGTGTTTCCTTCATAACCTTTCATACGGCGGATATATGCGTTCAAATGCAAGAGGAGGGTAACCTACTACTTCACTGAGGCCCGGAAAATGATGTAGTTGACTCTCGATGGCCGCGCTGTTGTAAATGGGGAACTTGTCCTTGTGCTGAAAGAATGCCGAATGATGCACAACGTCGATTTTTTCTCGTGTCGCCGCAGATCGATCCAGCCACGACGGTACCTGTCCTGTTTCCATGCCTTCTCCAACTCTTTTTGGCGTAAATGGCCGTACTATCTCCTCCAGTGCGTGCTCGTCAACAGTCAGCCCAGGACCTTCGCCGTTGTCTCGTCGTACCTGGAATGACGTCCAAAGACTCTCCTCGATCACATCCGCGGTGAAGATGTGGACTTTCCGAACCATGTCCCTGCCGAACTTGTAGGTCGATCGAACGGAATGCAAGAGTTCGTTGTTGTCCCGGAATCGACTCGCCATGAACTTCTCGGCCTTGCTGTCGTTGCCGCTGATGAGGCGCAGATTGGGGTTATGTTGCACGTAGAAATGTTTGCTGTACTGCCACTCTGGATCAGATCCGTTAACCCAGGTGTAGGCGACATCGAGGATAGCTGGTCGAGGTGGTCGCAAGTTGCTTGCGTTCATCTCGAGATTGGTGGCGTGGGCGGTGGTGGGGTCTGGCCAGAGTGCTGAAGGATGGAGTGTTTTGCTGATTATCCAGTCAGGGAACCAGGCGGGCATATCTCGAGGTCGCCGAGGGTCATCACTGAAGTAGTCGGGATCCTCCTCGCCGTCGTCCGGTTCTCTGCCTTGAGTGTCTGTCGAAAACGCTACGAATCCAGGCTCAAGATTCAAGCCGGTCGTCTCATGGTCCATAGAGTACGAGAGACTGAAGAAGAGCCATAGTGTTATGAAGACGGCAGCGGTGACTAGGATATAGATCCGTCGAGAGTGGCGCCATCGGAAGACAGACATTGGTACTCTTTGTCGTTGTTGTCGTTGGAATAGGAGTTGATGAGTGCGTGACGATGAAATGTGAAAAGAAAAAAGGAAAGGGAAGGAATAGCACTGTTAAAAATAGGGACTAACCACTTACTCCTATTTTTCGCTCGCACCCATTGGACAGCAACACGGTAAAATTTAAGGGCAGTTACACCTGTTGGTCTATCCTGCCGTGTTAAAAACAAGGGATGAGTGAGTGAGAAGGGCTTGGCCAAAAAATGCATTGCTCCATAGGTGGGCTAGCAAAAGCGAAACCGAGACAAGAAAGATCTTTCAGGATATTTAAATGAATAAGTGGCTACTTGGTGGCTCATTGTGGCATCACCTTAAGAGCCGAGCGTGATTTTGGTGGTTTTTTTTGGTGATAGCCAGCCTGCACTTTTTGCACGTTTTTGGGTGACGGTAGCCTTGCACTTTTTGCACTCTTTTTTTGACAATTGGGGCACATGGACATAGTATCTTTGCTGACCAACACAAAGAATACAATCAGCATCAGATTCTCTTATTATTAATGTAATTTTTCTGACACCAACTTCCGGGGGAGGGGGCAGCCTTGACGGTGGGGAGAATATTCAACGCGGAAATGCTTACAACCCTTGTAAATTAAATGTTTACAAGGGTGTTATGAATGAAAGTGTATGTACGTGAGGGAAAAGAGAAGCGTCTGAAGGACACAAAGATAAAGTCACGCCTTTCGACAAAGACTTGAAGGATTATAGGTCACTTCTGTGTCCAGCACCATGCAGATGCTACCAACTTTAGGTTACATGGCTCTACTGCGCAACTTTTTACATGACTCCATTACGGTCGTTATTAAGTGTGTACAGTCAGGGTACCAGGGTACTCCTGATGATTCTACATGATCCCACTACGATTATTGTCCAGATTCAGGAGCCAGACTACGCAGGAAGGCTGACCTTTCTCAAAACGGGGTCAGGGTACAAGGGTTGGTGGATACGGGGATTTCATTGTTTTGTTGCCACCATGCATGATGGAAAACAATGACGCAAACAAGGATGGGAAACAATGGTGGGAAACAATAGTGATGGTGGGAAACAATGTTGGCAAAACAATTTTTTTATAGAATGGGCAGACCATTCTCCCCTCCCTCTTCGCTTCTCTTCACTTATCTTCACTTCTCTTCATTTTTCTTTACTTCTCTTAACTTCTCTCATCACTACTTTCAGCAGACACGTACACACACACGTACTTACTCTCTCTCTCTCGCAATCAACACACGCACATGCACACCCTCTTTTCTTCAGAAGGCAGCAAGCACCAAACACCAAACACCAAACAGCATGCAGCAAGCAAAAATCAGCAATGAACAAACAACCCTCCCTCCCCCTACCGTAACTGCGACCCAAAGCCTTGTCACAATGGCGGCCAAATACATTCGTTTACTTGCACACGGCTCCGGGGGTCGACAGCTCCTATTACGAACTTCGAACCGCATCGTCACTTAAACATGCAAGCGTCGCCGAGAACAAGGCACATTTTACATGCAGCACAACAACAATAACAGCAAAGTCGGGACTATTCAGGCCCATCTCAAGGTAAGTTCTCTTCTTTTGCTTTTATTTCTTACCAACTCGGCGAAAAATGTTACTTTCCCTGCCTGCTTCGTTTGCGCTTACAGATAGCGCATGCACACGAACCAGGTGCTCACCAAGCACCAAGGATGACTATCTAACATGGCTCTATTTATTTTTCAATCCTCCTTCCTCTCCCTCCTCTCCTTCCTCTCCCTCCTCTCCCTTCTCTCCTTCCTCCTTCTCTCCCTCTTTCCTCTTCCATCCATCAATGATGTTCACTCGGAAATAGCTCGCTCTGGTTGGCGCAGCTGCTGTAATGGTCCATTGGACCAACAGCACAGTCCCTTACGATCTTGATCATAATACCCACGATCATGAGCATGACCATCGAACCACCTTCACAAAATCACCGAAACAGCAGCCGAAACAGCAACAGCAGAGTCGGCAACAGCAGCAGTTGGCACAGCAGCACCAACAGAATACCCACGCCATGGTAAGGAACATTGGGCAATGGCGAAATATCGGCTTCCAAGCCTTCGTTTCCTCCTTTTTGCTTACACAATGATACTTTGTCATGTCTTGTTTTAAAATATCGGAATGCAGTCTTTTGACCATAGTCACTTCTTTTCTCTTGAATCCTATCATATAGATGAACGCACCACAGCCCGTCGACACCTCCTACAATCCTCAAGGTACGGACATCTAGCATGCTTTTTTACCTTACTGCGTGCCATAATTTTTGTATGCATACCTCGAGATGTTCAAGCGCCCGTTAACCATTTTATATTTTTTCCTGTTCTTTATATCATCACTATAGACCTGTTAAACAAGATAAAGTCAGACACGGCACGGCATGAACAAGAGCGGGAGAAGAGATACCGCAAGGCGGTGGAGGTATGTACATGCATCCCTTTTGATTGTTTGTCGCGTCATCTTGGACATGTTCCTTCGGCGTCTTTTGTACTATGTGCAAGCATATTCTAATGCATCGTTATCATTTCATTACGACTATATAGCCGCTCTGCCAGGAGCTCAGCAAGCTCCATAAGGCGAGCATGGCCTCCTTGATGGAGTTGTATGGTCCTGGCAACCGGATTTTGGTCCTGCGACGCAGCATGGAGGAAATTACACGCCAGCTGGAAATTATTATGTCATGCAAACCTATGCCTGCGAGAAGACAAACGTCCCTTTTGACGCGAGGCGATCGTTGTTGACCGCAGCCTTCGCAGCCTTGCTGTACTCATTCAATCTGCCATCCTTTAATTCTCAACCTCACTATCCACACTAACACGGGCAGTATCTGCTGCTGTTTTATAGACCGAACGGAGGATTGGATTGGCAGCTGCGACATGTTGCCAAGAGCGAAAAAAAAGTCCAGGGAAAGGAGATGGGGTGTGCCCATTATATAAAAAAATGTCAGTAGATATGAAAATAAGCGTACTGACATGTGTAAAAATAACCGTAGTTGGATCACGTAGAAACATCCAAAGCACCCTGGTACCTTGACTGTACACACATAATAACAACCGAAATGGAATCATGTAAAACGTTGTGCATTGGAGTCATGTAAGCTAGAGTTGGTAGCCCTATTCTTTTCTTTTTCGTGCTGCTTCTCTTTCTTCTTTTTATTTGTTTGGTGCCTCTGGTATTTACTGTTTTGTTAGCCTTCCTTCGCCGTGTTTCTTTGTTGGAGTGTTGGACTGCACGTCTGTATTGTTAGTTCTGTGTCTTGCTTCCTTCGTTCGCCCTCTCCCTCCTTACACACATTCGTTCCCCCGCTCTTCGGGTTCTTTCTCTTCTGAGTAATCGTTTGTGGGGTACGAATTTCTTTTTGCTTTTTTCCTCGTCCCTCTAGTGCTGTGCGTGTTATTGTGCCTTTCTAACAAAATGAGGCAAAAAAATTAAAACTAATCCAACAAAGTTCAGTGGAGAGCGGAGTGTACACAGGCGCGGAGCAAAATTTTAGTTGTGAACAGCAACTTAATCAGGGTTTAGTTGTCCGAATTAATTATTTTGGTTGCACGGCGCAATAGTTTTTTTTCCCTTCTCGTTCCGTCCTCATGTTTTCTGTGTGGTGCGCGTTCGCGCTGTTTTTTCTTTCTTCCTTCGATCCCTCCTCGTGTCTCTGGGATGCGTGTTTGTTTTTGCTCATTCCCTTGTCTACTCTCCTTCCACACTCCCACAGTCCCCCGCTTTCTTCGCCTTTGCCCGCTCGCCATAATTAAATCACATCACATGAGATAAAAAAAAGGAAGACCTACAAACTTAGTGGCACAAACTTGTTGTTAACCAGAAAATCTTCATGAGTCAATATAGTGATAAGAGAGTGTCGAGAAGGGTCCAAGAGGAGTCAAAACCACTTCTCCCCCTCATACCTAAGTAAGTATCCGCATGCCCGACTTGGCATGGGCGGCCCTTTGGCTACGTCAAGGGTTAGGTGCGCCGGCATGGCGGTCAGCTTGGGAGGCGTCCGGCCCTCTCAGCACTGGCATACGGTGTTGGAGGAGGACGTACGGAGGGGTGCTAATCATAACCTTTTATTAGGATGAGATCGCGGGATATAATGGGCCATCTAAAGGGTCGCGGGAACCAAAGGGGTCTTGGGATCTTGGGTTCGAGGGACAGTCATGTGTCCACTCATAATGATGGCACATACTAAGTAGGGCGCGGGCTCTCTTGTGCCTGTGATGACAATCTTTACAACGCACTCTGTTTCATTGCGAGCTTGGTTTTTTGTAACGATGCCGAACTAAGGGGGGCAAACGAGGGCAAAAATGTGCCTATGATAATGACACCTGAACTGAGTATGAGGCCCATATGCGAATGATGACACATATACTGAATCTAAGGCTCCTCGTTCACTGTGGCTTCTTTTTTCTATGGCACACTTGAGTGCTATTTTTACTTTTTTTTTGTATTCTGCTTTTTCGTCTTCATTACGTTCTTGTTGATCTTTTATTCATGTGCTTTTCCTCTTTTTTTTGTACTTGTTCTTGCAATTGTTCTTGCAATTGTACTTGGCTTACTCTTGGTCTTCTTTTTTCGTCTTCTTTTGTGGCTAACATTTTTGTTACTATGGCAAAGAGAGGCATTGGAGATCGCAGCGGTCACCAATGACTCAGTTTGCTCTAGCGCATGTCCGTAGCTCTCCTTTTTTTGTTTTTGTTTTTGTTTTGTGTATTACGAACCATTGCGTCCCTCGCGCATCCGCGCCAGTGCTATCTCTTTTCGTCTGCACATGAGACCATTTAACAAGATGGCTTGCTTTTTAATTGTTTTTTATTTGATGTTGTAGCAAGTGTGGTTGTGGTGGTACGTACATGGAAAGTAAAAGCTATGCAAGATGAATAATTGGTTGTTGGAAAGAAATTGCAATAATGTATGAAAAAAAACAGAAGGGAATGAAAAAGGCGAAACAAAAGTAGAAGAAAGCGTATGCTAGAAAAGAAGAGATGATGACTTTTTTTGTGTTTTTGCCGGAGTGTTTTTTTTTTTTTTTGTGTTTTTGTTGTTTTCAAACCTTTTTGTTCCTCATGCGAGCAATCGAGCGATCATTGGGCATGGTGATCAGTGGAGTGAGCGACGGCTTTTTGGTCCGAGGCTGAGAAACCTTGCGGCCAGGGACTGCGGCGAATGCTCGTTCCTGGTTCTCCGACGTTGCTGAGGCTGGCGTGGCTGTTGTTGTTGGTGCGGCCGTTAGTGCTGGTGTGGCAGTTGATGCAGTTGGGTCTGTTTGTATTGGTGCGGTTGTTGGCGCAGGTGCAGCTGTTGATACTGGTGCGGTCGCCAGTGTTAGTGTGACAGTTGCTGCTGGTGTTGGTATGGCAGTTGGTGCTGGTGCTGGTGTGACAGCTGGTGTCGGTGCGGTAGTTGGTGCTGGTACTGTTGTGGCAGTTGGTGTTGGTGTGGTAGTTGGTGCAAGTGCAGTCCCTGGTACTGGTGTGGAAGTTGGTGTTGGTGATGGTGTGGCAGGTGGTACTGGTGCGGTCGCTAGTGGTGGTTCCGTGGGAGTGAGGGACTGTTTTTTGGTCCTCATGCGAGCGATCGGACGGTCCGTAGGCATGATGATGAATGGAGTCACCGATGGCTTTTTGGTCCGAGGCTTCGCAATCTTGCGGTCAGGAACCGCAAAGAGTGGCACAATTGCTCGTGCCTCCGACGGCGCTGGTTCTGGTACGGCCGCTGGTGCTGGTGTGGCAGTTGGTACTGCTGTGGTTGCTGGTACTGCTGTGGAAGTTGGTATCGGTGTGGTAGTTGGTGCTGGTGCAGGTATGGCAGCTGGTGATGGTGTGGCAGCTGGTGGTGGTGCAGGTGTGATAGTTGCCGCTGGTGCAGGTGCGGTAGTTGGTGCTAGAGCAGGTACAACAGTTGGTTCTCGCGCAGTTACTGTCGGTGGTGCGGCTGCTGGTGCTGGCGGGGTTGCTGGCGCTGGCGCAGCTTCTGGTGCTGATGCTGTGGGAGTGAATGACGGCTTTTTGATCCGAGGCTTGGGGATCTTGCGGCCAGGGACCGCAGTGAATGCTTGTGCTTGCTTCTCCGACGGCGATGAGGCTGTTGCAGCTGTTGGTGCTAGTGTGACCATTGGTACTGGTGCGGTCTCTAGTGCTGGCGCGGCCTCTGGTACTGCTGCGGTTGCTGGTTCTGCGGCGGTTACTGGTACTGTGGCCATTGCTGGTGCTGGCTTTGTTGTTACTGTTGGCACTGGCGCGGCAGTTGGTGTTGGTGTGGTGGGAGTGAGCGACTGTTTTTTGGTCCTCATGCGAGCGATCGGACGGTCCGTTGGCATAATGATGACTGGAGTCACCGATGGCTTTTTGGTCCGAGGCTTAGCAATCGTACGGCCAGGAACCGCAATGAGTGGCACAACTGCTCGTGCCTCCAACGGCGCTGGTGGTGGTACGGCCGCTGGTGCTGGTGTAGCAGTTGGTACTGGTGTGGTCGCTGGTACTGATGTGTAAGTTGGTGTCGGTGTGGTAGTTGGTGCTGGTGCTGGTATGGCAGTTGGTGCTGGTGTGGCTGCTGGCGGTGGTGTGGCTACTAGTGGCGGTGCAGGTGTGACAGTTGCCGCTGGTGCAAGTGCGGTAGTTGGTGCAGGTTCAGGTGCGGCTGCTGGTGCTGGCGAGGCTTCTGGTGCTGATGCTGTGGGAGTGAGTGACGGTTTTTTGATCCGAGGCTTGGGGATCTTGCGGCCAGGGACCGCAGTGAATGCTCGTGCTTGTTTCTCCGACGGCGATGGGACCATTGCAGCTGTTGGTGCTAGTGTGACCATTGGTACTGGTGTGGTCTCTAGTGCTGGCGCGGCTGCTGGTACTGGTGCGGTTGCTGGTGCTGGTGCAGTCACTGGTACTGGTGCGGCTGCTAGTGGTGGTGCTGGTGTGGCTGTTGGTACTGATGCGGTGGGAGTGACCGATGGCTTTTTGGTCCGACGCTTAGCAATGACTGGCACAACCACTCGTGCCTCCGATGGCGCTGGGACTGTTGGTGCTGTTGCGGCGGCTGACGGTGGTGCAGGTGCTGGTGCGGCAGTTGGTGCTCGCGCAGTTACACTCGCTGGGCCGGCAGCTGGCGCTGGCGCGTTTTCTGGTGCTGGCGCGGCCTCTGGTACTGGCGCGGCCTCTGGTACTGCTGCGGTTGCTGGTACTATGGCGGTTGCTGGTGCTGGCTTTGTTGTTACTGTTGGCACTGGCGCGGCAGTTGGTGTTGGTGTGGTGGGAGTGAGCGACTGTTTTTTAGTCCTCATGCGAGCGATCGGACGGTCCGTGGGCATAATGATGACTGGAGTCACCGATGGCTTTTTGGTCCGAGGCTTAGCAATCTTACGGCCAGGAACCGTAAAAAGTGGCACAACTGCTCGTACCTCCGACGGCGTTGGTGCAGGTGTGACAGTTGCCGCTGGTGCAGGTGCGGTAGTTGGTGCTGGTGCAGGTACAACAGTTGGTTCTCGCGAAGTTACTGTCGGTGGTGCGGCTGCTGGTGCTGGCGGGGTTGCTGGCGCTGGCGCAGCTTCTGGTGCTGATGCTGTGGGAGTGAATGACGGCTTTTTGATCCGAGGCTTGGGAATCTCGCGGCCAGGAACCGCAACGAGTGGCACAACTGCTCGTGCATCCGATGGTGCTGGTGCTGTTGCGGCTGCTGGTGCTGGCGCGGCTGCTGGCGTTGATGTTGGCACGGCTGGGGGTGCTGGAGCGGCTGCTGGCGCTGATGCGGCTACTGGTACTGGCACGGCTGGCGGTGCCGGTGCGGCGATTGGTGCTGGCCCGGTTGCCGGTGCTGGTGCGGCTGCTGGTGCAGATGCTGGTGACGGTGCAGTGGTTGGTGCTGGTGCAGCTGCTGGTACTGGCACGGTCGTACGTACTATCGCGGCCCTTCGCATCAGCGTGAGTACTGGTACCGGTACTGCCACTATTATCGCCGCTGGTCCTGGGGCGGTTGGCGCGGTCGATGGCTTGCGAGACGCCATGCGTTCCGCCTCGCGTTCAATCTCCGCCAGGCTGCGGCGCGGGACCAGGATCCGGTCGCTAGGACCATACAGCTCCATCAAGGAGGCCACTCTCGCCTTATGGAGCTCGCTGAGCCTCCGGCAGAGCGGCTATATAGTCGTAATAAAAGGATAACGATGCATTAGAATATGCTTGCACATAGTACAAAAGACGCCGAAGGAACATGTCCAAGATGACGCGACAAACAATCAAAAGGGATGCATGTACATACCTCCACCGCCTTGCGGTATCTCCTCTCTCGCTCTTGCTGAAGCTGTGCCATGTCCAACTTCAACTGGTTTAGCGAGTCTATAGTGATGAAATAAAGAACAGGAAAAAATATAAAATGGTTAGCAGGCGCTTCAACGTCTCGAGGTATGCATACAAAAAAATATGGCACGCAGTAAGGTTAAAAAGCATGCTAGATGTTCGTACCTTGGGGGTTGTAGGAGGTGTTGACGGGCTGTGGAGCGTTCACCTATATGATAGGATTCAAGAGAAAAGAAGTGACTATGGTCAAAAGACTGCATTCCGATATTTTAAAACAAGACATGACAAAGTATCATTGTATAAGCAAAATGAAGGAAACGGCGCTACAGGTTAGCAAAGCTACCAAAGCTTGAAAGCCGATTTTTTGCCATTGCCCAATGTTTCTTACCTTTGTGTAGGTGCTTTGTTGTGGCTGTTGTGTCGACAGCTGTCTTAGCCGAATGTCAAATTCCATGCGTCTGGTGAAGATGACTTGGCACTTGGGCTTACGGTCGTCGATGTCCTGGTCAAAATCGTAAGGGACCGTGGTGTTGGCCCAATGGATAACTGCAGTAGCTGTGGCAGTCAAAGCGATCTATTTCCGAGTGAACATTGTTGATGGACGGGAGAGGAAAGAGGGAGAGGAGGAGGAGGGTGAGGAGTGAGAGGAGAGAGAGGAGTGAGAGGAGAGAGAGGATGGAGAGGATGAGGAGAGTGAGGTGGGTGAGGAGGGTTAGAGGAGAGAGAGGAGAGAGAGGAGAGAGAGGAGAGAGAGGAAGGAGGACCGAAAAGTAAATAGAGTCATGTTAGATAGTCATCCTTAGTTAGCGCCTGGTTCGCGTGCATACGTTGTTTGTGCGTTGTCTGTAAGCACAAACGAAGTAGAAAGGAAAAGAGTTTGTAAGGAATGAAAGCAAAAGAAGAAAAGTCACCTTGAGATAGGCGGCAGTCGTGCGCCGTGCGCGGGATACAAGAAAACTTATGAACTCGGAGGTCATTGTGCTGTTTTCTGTGTGTTGAAGGAGAGAGGGTGTGCGTGTGTATGTGTGTGTGTAAATATATCTGCTGAAAGCAGCGATGAGAGAAAGAGCAAGAAGGAAGGCAAGGAAAGCAAAGTGCAAAAGCATAGGGAAGGGAGAAGTTAAGAGGGAAGAGAGAAGGAGAAAAAGAAAAGAGGAGAGAGAGAAGAGAAGAAAAGAAAAGCGAAGAGGGAGAGAAAGGTCTGCCTTTTATATAAAAAAAATCGCAGTACATACGAGCCAAAATCCATCTGGAGACTTCCGTGTACTCACCCTGTTTTGCCACTTTTTTGCAACCATTATTTCCCCACTGTTGTTTCCCCACTGTTGTTTCCCCACTGTTGTTTCCCCACTGTTGTTTTCCACCACTGCTTTCCCATCATCGTTCTTCCATCTTGCGTGGTTGCAACAATACAATGAAATCCCCTTATCCACTATACCCCTTGTATCCCGACCCCGCCTTGAGAAACCTCAACCCTGCCATAACCCCACTCCTGAATCTCAACAACAACAGTAGTGGGATCATCTAGAAACATCAGGAATACCCTGGTACCTTGACTGTACACACATAATAACAACCAAAATGGAATCATGTAAAACGTTGTGCAGTGGAGTCATGTAAGCTAGAGTTGGTAGCCCTATTCTTTTCTTTTTCGTGCTGCTTCTCTTTCTTCTTTTTATTTGTTTGGTGTCTCTTGCATTTACTATTTTGTTATCCTTCCTTCGTCGTGTTTCTTTGTTGGAGTGACGGACTGCACGTCTGTATCGCTAGTCCTATGTTTTGTTTCCTTTGTTCATTCTCTTCCTCCTTACACACATTCGTCCCTCCGCTCTTCTGCTTCTTTCTCTTCTGAGTAATTGTGTGTGGGGTGCGGGTTTTCCTTGTTTTCATTTTGCTTTTTTACTCCTCCCTCCTGTTCTGTACGCGTTTGTTTTCCCTCCCTCGCCTTCTTCGTTCTTGAGTGACCGCCTTGTCACTGGTTATGTTATTGTCATGAGTAATCGCCTTATCATCGTCTCGTTATTTTCATGAGTGATTGCCTTATCCCCGTTACGTTATTTCCGTACTGATCAAAAAAGATCAAAAACACACACACACACACAAGTTGGTCACATATACATTGTATTGGTCTGCGATTTTTCTATCGTCATCATATCACCTTTGTGACAAGAACGGCTGCTGAAAGGAACTGACACCCTCCTCACCCTTAAGCCCACCTCGAAGAAGAAGGGGTGTTGAGCAGAGTCGACTTTCTCCCCCTCACACCATCTTCTACCATTTGGACCCCACTCGCTGCTTCGGCGACAACTGGTAAGAGAAACACTTCCTTTCCTTTCAACAGAATAGAAAAACGTGGACCCGCGTGGCATGTCGTATTGTTTTTTTCGACTCTCACCATTCACCGCCTCTGTTTCATGTGCCTAAATCGTGTCTTACAAGCAGACTCATGTTGTCAACTCTTGCTTTTGAATGAGCACTCGGGGGTAAAGGGGAAAAATAGGGAGACAAATGAGAGCAGGAAAAAGGAGGAGGATTGAAACGATTGGATGCAGATGAACCAAATGAAGCATAGATGTAGCACAGACAAGATACAGCAGGATCGAGGATCGGGGGATCGGGGGATCGGGAAGAAGAGGTGGTCATGTGATGTGGGGATGGATGCGGCGAAGAACATAATAAGCGAAACGAATGGGGAGGGTATGGAGATGTGGGTGCCACAGACATGGAGTATCTCGTGTTTGTATTGGTGTATGGGCGAGGTTGCTGAAAGATCAAGACGCGTGGGAAGATCTCTTTGTTTTTTTTTTGTTTTTTGTTTGAATGTCAAAAATGAAACGCGTCCAGGTCGAAAACACAAAAACATTTTGATGTGACCAGTGAAAAGTGAAAAGTGAAAAGTGAAGAGCGACAGAGATTGCACATGAAGGAGGGAAAATAAGGAATCTAGTTTGCTTAAATTCGGTGCAGCGTGGCCTTGGTCCTCGGATACTGAGGAAGCAAGAGGACCGATGCCTCATCCTCTTTTTTTTTTTTTTTTTTTTTTTTTTTTTTAGCTTGGAAGCATAGCCCATCCGCAGAAAGCTCTTTTTAGTTTTTTTACTTCCTTCATTGCCGCGCCTCATCATCCAGTTATGGGACATAGCCAAAGAGACCACCAAGGGCTGTACAATGTCGACGTCCATGTCAACGCCGCACCCTTCCTTTTCTACCCTCTTATTTTGGCCACTCCCATACTGCTCTCTTTTTTGTCTTTTTCTCTCTCTTCTATTTTTCTTTGTCTTTCATCCTCCTCTCTGTCACTCTTCATTACACATTTCTCTATTCTTTCCTTCTTTCCTTCTTTCCTAACCCCCCTCCCAAAACCCCCCACACCAACACCAACAATGTTTTGGACACGGAGCAGTACCACTTCTTCCAAGAAGACAAAAAAGAAAAACACCGACAAGACACACAGGAACGCACTCCTCCCTTGCAACCGCATTCTGGATATCAAGGAACTCTGTGACCTCATTTGCTCATTCTTGCCACGCCGGGACGACAATGGCAAGCTTATCTACCTTTCCCTTGTCCTTGTCTGCCGGCACTGGCACAGGTACATTACAAGACTTTTGGAGAATGTCTGCCTTTGACCCCCTACTAGTTTCCTCTTTTTTTTGTTTTCTCACCCTCATGTTATTTCTACTTTTCATCTTCTTCTCACCTGTAGTTACTTCACATCGTACCATGTGGAGGAGATATCATTCAACCACAAGCCCTCGCGCAACAAGCTGACAAAACTCGTCAAAGTCCACGGTCACCTCATTCGTCAATTCTCCTGTGAAGCAGTAGACAAACCCTTGCTGATGACGTTGGCAGAGTACTGCCCGTTCTTGGAAAAGGTCAAGTTGGAGTTAGGGAAGGGAGTGTTCTGGATAGAGTATGAATATTTGGAGAGGATGTTTCGGACCTTGTCGCAGGCGCGGTTTCAATGGAATGGTCAGGATCGGGATCAGCTGCTGCAGCAAGAACATGGGCAAGGACACGGACACGGACACGGATACGGATACGGACACGGACACGGACACGGACACGGACACGGACACGGACACGGACACGGACACGGACACGGACACGGACACGGACACGGACACGGACACGGACACGGACACGGACACGGACACGGACACGGACACGGACACGGACACGGACACGGACACGGACACGGACACGGACACGGACACGGACACGGACACGGACACGGACACGGACACGGAGAGAAATCGGTGCAACAGAAACAGAGCCCAGGGGTAATGGTTGCGCGGTTGAGGAAGGTAGAGATCAAGATTGACATGGAATACCTAAAACCCACCATGCTCTGGAGCCTTTGTCACATCTCCCATTTGACGGACCTAAACATTAATGGCCGAGGGATGATCGGCCAGGAACGGTCGAGTTGGTACCTTGAGATTTTGACACTTTCCTTGTTAGAGTGCTGTCCAGGCGTGGAGAGATTCCGGATTTGTTACTCGCCGCAGAGGATGATTTACCATCCGTATGGGAGAAAGAATCGATTTAAGGAAAGAGTGTGGGAGCCAAGGCAGGATGGGAGGGCGCCGCCGTTGGTACCGAAGGATGCTGTTGTGAGGCGTGAGGTTGTGTCGTCTTTTGGTCAGGGAGAGGAGATTGGCTTGGGCGTGGAGGATGAGAGGCAGGAGGGATCGTCATCGTCTGCAGCTGCAACATATATGAGATCAGGATCAGGAACAGAGACAGGAGCAAGAGCAAGAGTGGACAAGGATATAGAAAGCAAGCCTTTCATCCTTCGACAGCTGGAGCTACGAGGAACCTGCGCCGAGATGGACACCCTCCTCCATCTCTTCAAAAGATGTCCGCTCCTACAACAAGTCTCACTCTTCATGTCCTGGTCAGCACTCCATTCTGACCACTGGCACGCCCTCTCGACCCACTCCCAACAAACACTCCGCGCCATCCGTTTGAGCGCATACACTTACCGCCAACTCGAAATCGTTGAACTCAACATCCCACACCTCTTCACCCTCTTCCCGCAACTTGAAAGCCTTCATGTCACCGAAACACCACACCAACATCTCAACCTTGCGGCTCTCGACTCTTCCCTTTCGAAATTGGAACTCGAACAAGGACGGCCGCATCCTTTGAGAACCTTTTGTGTAATAGAGAATTTTGACGATGCGCTCGCCAGACTGGTCGACGTTGTGTCCTGTCCATACTTAAAGTGCCTCGAGACATTGAAGGTTGGGTGCTTCAACACGTCGCCCATGTACCAAGTCTGGACGGAGACACCCGAGACCAGCCATCAAGGGGCGCTCTATGATTTCACACGGTCGTGGGAGACGGTAGGGAGGACGCTGGTGCGACTGGATGTGGATGGATTGCATTTCCCGGATAAGCAGGTCACGGCAAAGTTCTTTCGGAAGCTGGAAGGATTCTGGTCTCTGAAGATCTTGAGGGCGTCAGTTCACCACTTTCAGGACATCATCTCCACCAGCAGTTCTTACGGCAGCTCACCATCATTGTCACCCTCAGCAACAATAAATGGCGACACACATTCCAGCAAACCAGCGAGCCTCCCGGTCGTCGACTATTGCTTCCCCTTCATCCAAGACCTACTCATAAGAAACCAAAGCTACGAGAAGATATGGAATGGAAGGTTCAATGACCCAACGTTTTCTTCAGAGAAGGAGATGCTCTCCCTCGACCAGACGCTGTTCCTCCTTGCAGCAACCCCATCCCTCAAGAATCTATTACTTCATTACCTGTCTGTCGGTGACGCGACTGCAGCGGTTGTTCGAAGCCGGTTTCGAGGTGTATATGTCGATACCAATCATCAAGAGTACTGTTCCTGGTTCGATGAATAGAAATAACAGAATTGGTTGGCAGTGGTCGGTTTTTGTTGTACAATTGTCAATGCATGTGTGCTTTATGATTATGGGATATACGTGTATGACATGAGGAAAAAATGAAAAGAGAGGGACGACTCTCATTCAGATGGATCAAGGTAGACCAGAAGAGCATCCTGATCCAAAATCTGCTGCCTTGCATACCCTTGCCCTCCTCCGCCTCCCTGCTGCTCCCCTCCCTGACGCCTTCTGGACGTCGGGCGGATTAAAAAACTCTCACTCGAATGTCCATTGTAATCATACAAATGGAACTGACCCCTCGACAACTGCAGGTCCAAGGTGGTCGGGATAGTCCAAAGAAAAGAATCGGCACCGGGAAGGATTTGACCGCGGGCAGTGACTTTTGTGGCACGGTTGTCGCAGTACCGTTCTTCGTCGGGGACAGAACCCCTGCAGGCGCGGGTTGTGTATTCGAGGTAGAGCATCGTTGAGTTGCTGTCTTCCCGCGAGAGGGCCTTGTCTATTGTAAGGAAAGAAGAAAGAAGTAAGAAGTAAGAGGGAATGGAGAAAGGGTGAGTGACTTGCTTTGGTGAATTGCAATTGCGCGAAATAGCCATACGCGCTTCGCGAATATGTCTCTCACGAATGCGAGGAGGAGGAGGAGGAGGAGGAGGAGGAGGAGGAGGAGGAGGAGGAGGAGGAGGAGTAGGCATGGCGAGTAAAGACAAAAGGGTCTCCCTCCCTCTCAAGGAGAAAAAGAACGATTTGCTTTTCATGTTGATTAGGTTTGAAGGGACAATGACTGTGACAATGCCATGGTTAAGGTCGTGTGATGAAGAGGACATGATTAGAAAAGGGGAAGGTGCTCGCACTCCAAATATTCGACAACCCTCCTTGTCTTTTTCATTCCTTTGTTTTGTACTACCTCAGACTCTCTCCGCCTCCTTTTATTTTCCTCTTTTGCCTTTTCTCATTTCTTCCGCTCTTTCTCCTCCTCCGCTCCTTCGGTCCCTCTCCTCCTGCTGTTCTTTTGCAAACCCTACTATCAGAACAAAAACAAGATGAATCCGACAAAGAAATCAAAAGAGAAAAAGAAACAAGTCGCGCATGGCAAACATTCGAATGTACTTTTTGTGTACAGCTTCTTTTGTCGATGGTGTCTGTGTCGAAAAAAGTAACAGGCAACGGAAGGCTAGCAGCAAGAACGGATAAAAAAATATATGCAAAAAAGGGGTATGTTTGAGAAACATACTGAAGAGGATTTCGACAGTGTCGCCTAGGTTCCAGACTGTGGATCGGATAGGGCTGGAAAAGATGTCGCTTCCACGGTGGTATCCGGGTACTGCGCTTGCGGGTGTTATGGAGGTAGTGAATATGGTTGCTAGGGACATGACCACCATGGCTGTGAGTGATCGTCTCCAGGCGGATTGGGAGTGTGAGCACATGGTCGACTTGTGTGGGCTTGTTGTCGGAGTGGGTGGTTGTTGGTGCAGGGATCGGAATTGAGCGTGGAGGTATTGGGGTTACACAAGAAGCGAAGGAGGGAGGAAGAATGATGCAGACAAGGAAGTAAGAAGAACGAAGAAGAGGAATAATGAGTGGATGGTGAGGGCAAAGAGAAGAAGGGAAGACAGACAGTGAAGGGGAGGATGATGACGATAATGTGCCGGTGGATGGTCGAGAGTGGAGTTAAAAGAAAAGAGAAAAAGACGGGTAAAGCACAAAGGACATTGAAGGGTATTTATGAAAAGCGAAAAAGCAAGGAGACACACAAGAATAAAGGGCAAAGGGATCATCACACTCTTTCTTTCTTGCTCTTACTCTTTTTTTCTTTTCTTGGACTCATCGACCGCGATGGCGCCTATTGTTACTGTTATCGCTACCCTTTCTTCACATCTGTACACTAACCATCGGCTCCATTCCGTGAGCACCATGTTCCTTCCTGTCATTCTTCCGCGCTAACGTCTCTTCTCTTGCTGCTCTTGACATCCCTTCAGAAGAAAGAGCCAGCCTGGAGACACACTAGCATATGAACTACGCTGCAAATAGCCTTTTTAATAACACAAACGCACATGCTATATCCCGTGCATGGTCTGATCCTGTCTTTCCCCTTCTCTGCATGCTGTTATTACTACCGTCATCCTCCCATGCAATGTTATGCCATGCTGCCATCCCTCTCTATGACATCGACATACATCTAATTGCAACACAACTAAGTGCGCCGTATTGTCTGCTCTCACACTTTTTACCCCACAAACGCAACAAGTTGCACCCAGCTCCCTTGTTTTTCGTTCCATAGCAAACTCTATTTACTCATCATCATCCTCGCACAGACAAACAAAGCGAGTGAAATGAGAAACCCCAGGGCAACCGGGATATTGAAACGGACACGTAAGCCAAAAAAACAAAACAAACAAACAAACAAATACCAGTTCCAGGATCCCATTCCACCTAACCCCTTCTCCGTCCTTTCACCCCAAGCCGTAATCCTCTCTCACTTTCTTGCACTTTTCCTCACTCTTTTCCAGTCTCCTCCACTAACCCCTTCGAATTTTCCGTTTTTTGTCGTCGTACATGCTCAATGTTACACTTGGCAGGAAGAGGAACCTTACCCCCTCTCTCCTCCCTTTTCAGTGAGAGGAGTCTCGGAGGTGGCGGAAAAAAGTGAACCCTCTTTCCAGGTGGGGGACGGGAGTGAAAACAGGAGAGACTGGATGGATTTAGGCAAGCAACTCAAGGAGCATGTTCTATTTTCTCTTTCGTTTGCATAAACAGGAATGATGGAGCATAAGGAAGGAGGTGAAAGTACGTCTGTCGGTGAGAGGTTTGTGCAAAGGGATTGGATGTTCTATTTATCCTCATAGAAGTCGAGGAAGGAGAAGTGGGACATGCGCACAGCCATGGCGGTGCTGTGAAGATGTACAGAGCAGAAAGAGATGCAGTAAGAAAGGGGTGCACAGGTTGGAAGGACGAGGTTGTTCATGGCTGGTGTGCAGCAAAGAGGGAGGAGGGAGAGAGCGAAGTATTCCGAGCGCGATAACAAAATCAGAAAGGAGGTTTCGTCTCAGCTGTAGGATGAAAAGCGACAGGGATTATTGAGGTATGATTTCGCGTTAATCATAGCACAACCTTAAATTACTCCAGCATATCCAAAATCATACACCCACCTCTTCTCCTATCGCTTCTTCCTCCTTCGTCAACAACACATGCCTGGCAAGTAGAACAGAGTGCTTACACCCTGAGTAAGAAAGATGGTCTGTAATGGCATCCATCTTTTTTTTATAGCCATTCTACTAATTCTGAAAAAATATCCCCACGGATCCGTCTCTTCCGCTTTCTTGCTCCCCCCCCCCACTCTCCTTCCACTCAATCTCTCATTCTTCCCTGTAGCAGCAATCCTCCTAACCCAGGGCAGCGATCTGCTGCTTGACTTGTGCAACCGCCTCAGGGGACCCACTCTCCTTGCCATGGTCGTCGCTCAACTTGACACACTCCCGTCCCGCACACGAATGCAACTTGATCACAATATTCATCGCCGGCGACTTTTCTTCTTTTGTTCCAGAAACGTGATGGTAATCGTTGGTGAAATGTGTGCCGATCCCAAAGGTCGCCCCGATACCCTTCTGCACTGCAGCCTCGTACAACCGGATCGCGAGGTCGGTATCCAAACCGTCCGAGAAGACAATCTTCTTCTTCCTTCTCATTTCTGGGCCAACAAGCGGGTCCTGATCGTAGTGCTGGATCATCCTATCCATGAACTCGGATGGGTCGCCGGAATCATGTCGGACTCCGATCCAGTCTCGAGCGAGTGGGCCACGGAAGGTCTTGAGGAATGCTGCGGTGGTGAAGGTGTCGGTCAACGCGATCCCAAGTGCTTGGTGGGGGTAGGTTTGAGCCCAGCGGGAGAGGGCCTCAGCGTTTGCGAGGGAGGCGTCGGACAGGATGGCGGCTGTGCCCATGAACCACTCGTGGGCCATGGTTCCAATTGGGAGGAGGTCCATGATATGCGCGAAATGGAGGTTGCTGGTTCCTGTCAAAAAGCCCTTTCCCGCTGCAGTCGCCTCTGCTGCCGTCATCGCCACAGCCTCCCCGTCATCCTTCGTGGTAGCTGACGCAGATCCGGCAATAAGTCCCCGCATAACAATCCGCTGGGTCTCATAATCACGACGTCTCCTCGTCCCAAATTCCGCAAACGACGCCCCAGCAGCGACAAGACGTTCAGATTTGGAGCGGGCGGATTCGAATTGTCCAGTGTAGGACCAGTCCTGATCGCCGAAACGAAAGTAGGCTTCAGAGACTAGGGCGAGGATGGGGACTTCGTAGAGGATCACCTGTGCCCATTCTCCTTGGATCGTGATCTCGACAATATCGTCCTTATTGGTGGTCGTCTGTTGTTCGTGTTGGAGTTGTGAGACGCGAGTGTTGAGTCCTGCGTTGTTGGTCAAAGGAGCCTCCTGCAGATCTCCAGAAGCGTCAAGACGAGGCGACCCAGGCTCCGACTGAACCATTAACGACCCTCCTCCGGCTTTCCACTCGATCTTCACCTCCTCCCTCGGGCAGAACCGAAACGTGCCCTCCAACCAATCCAAATATGCTGCCTTCAAATAAGGACACCTCCTCTCCAAGAACACCCTCTCCTCGGGGGTAAGTCGCACAGTTGCCATGCTATCTATCTTCTCCTGCAACCAAGGGAGTGCAGCACGAGGGAGTCGCGCCAGTAGTGGGGACCGGTTGGTGAAGTGGTAGGAGCAAGGTGTGTTGGGGTAGTGCTGGAGGACAGCTTGTTGCATTGTGAATTTGTACAAGTCGTTGTCGAGGATGGAAGTGCATGCCATTGATGGCGGGAGGGCCTCTGTGGTTGTTGGCGACGCCATCGTTGTACTAGCTAGGTTTCTTGCTGTCGATAATGTTGATTCCTGAACGGCCTTGACCCCTTGCTTGTGCTTGTTCGGTCGATGCAAAGTTGTTGAAGGAAAGGTTTGGTGGAGGAGTGTGATGACAAAGTGAAAAAAAAAAAAAAAAAAAGTGGGTCACCAAAAAACGGCCCTCTCACCCCACACCTGTCAACAGAAACGACACACGAACGGGCAAATAGGCGGAGAGACGATCAGAAAGTACTCTGATCATAATGGAGAGACAGTCACTGATAACAAAGGTTTTATTTTCTTTTCAAATAACGACTGGACTGACTTGATCCAAAAGGTGCGACAGAACGAACTACAGGAGGCGTCCATGTGAGTGAATGTTCCTCGTTGCAAGCATAGGGATATATAACGAAGGCAAGAAAGAGAGAAGGAATATATTGCGGTTAGAGGTCAATCATACCAGCCGGTCAATTGCTTGCGTAAGAGAGTAAGAGAACGGGACTGTATTGAAAAGGGAAAAGATTCATTCGGTGCCTTGTAACGTCAGTAGAGCTGTTGTATTTTCCCTCCCAGCAAACAGACCCCTTCACAACCCAGGAAAGGAGGGGATCCCATAGCGGATATAGTGGACAAGAACAACGCACGCATTATGCTTGACCATGATATCCATAAAGAAGAAAAAATCGTCATTAAGAAATACCCCGCGTGTTGTTGTAACAGGGGAACCGAAAAAGTCAAAGGAAAGGTGAAAGAAAGGAGCGGCCCAGAGTCATTCCTCCCCTCAAAGGTTTATGAACATCCAGCATAAGGAATGAAGAATACAAGTCGTGATGACAAAAGGTTGATAAGAGTGTGGGCTGTATCCAGAGGTGAAAAGGGCGAAAGAGGAGGTCAATGACAAAAAAACATCGTTCTCTTATGGGTGTGAACAAGACGAATGTCATATTGGTGTTGGGAACCAGACATGACACGATATGGCTGCTCGTGTGTTCATAATGCAAGTCGAAGAGAAGCCACTCCCTGTATACTGTTCTTTGACGCGAAATGATAACCAAACCAACTGTCCACGAACACGAATGCCCAAGGCGGGTATGAGTTACCGATCTCAAAAACAACGACACCGGACGAGGAACATACTCCTGAACCCACACACACACACGTACTTGACCACCTTATTCGTATGAACGCAAGCGTCAATACCCGGAGAACCATGTATTGTTTTTTTGTCGTCGTCTTACCATCAAAGCCCTTATATCTAACTCATAGCCCTGTAACACCCCTCCTATTGCTAGCCAAGCATCCATTTTTCGCTGAAGTATCCCTGACAAAGGATGTCACTCCATTGTTTACACGAATTGACTATCCGTATGTGTGTCCCTGTCACCACTGGAGCCTGTTTTCTGAACAGTTTCTTTTCATCAGAATGCCACTGACACAATGGCGCGTCTTCCTCTTATCCACGCAAAACGTGACCCCCCTCTTCTTCTCTCTTGGTCGTGATGGATCTACAAGCTGGGTGTTATTGGGAGACACAGCTCTTCGGATTACTTGATGTAATTGTAATCATCATCTTTTTCCTCTTCTCGATCCTTGTCTCTGATGACCTTGTCGGTTTGTAGTCCTGAGTTTGACGACATGTACCTTTTTCGCCGTCGTTGCGTCCTGATGTCCTTGTCCTGAGTTTTGTGGGAGTTGATGAGATTAGCAGAAAAGTGCACTGAGCACTTTTCTAGTTGCTAGCTTAAATGCTTAAGGGGCCTGTCTGAATTGGCACCCAGTACCCGACCTGATTGACGCGAAACCATACTTCTCGCTCCCTCTCTTCTCCCTCTTTGCTGCACACCAGCCATGAACAACCTCGTCCTTCCAGCCTGTGCACCCCTTTCTTACTGCATCTCTTTCTGCTCTGTACATCTTCACAGCACCGCCATGGCTGTGCGCATGTCCCACTTCTCCTTCCTCGACTTCTATGAGGATAAATAGAACATCCAATCCCTTTGCACAAACCTCTCACCGACAGACGTACTTTCACCTCCTTCCTTATGCTCCATCATTCCTGTTTATGCAAACGAAAGAGAAAATAGAACATGCTCCTTGAGTTGCTTGCCTAAATCCATCCAGTCTCTCCTGTTTTCACTCCCGTCCCCCACCTGGAAAGAGGGTTCACTTTTTTCCGCCACCTCCGAGACTCCTCTCACTGAAAAGGGAGGAGAGAGGGGGTAAGGTTCCTCTTCCTGCCAAGTGTAACATTGAGCATGTACGACGACAAAAAACGGAAAATTCGAAGGGGTTAGTGGAGGAGACTGGAAAAGAGTGAGGAAAAGTGCAAGAAAGTGAGAGAGGATTACGGCTTGGGGTGAAAGGACGGAGAAGGGGTTAGGTGGAATGGGATCCTGGAACTGGTATTTGTTTGTTTGTTTGTTTTGTTTTTTTGGCTTACGTGTCCGTTTCAATATCCCGGTTGCCCTGGGGTTTCTCATTTCACTCGCTTTGTTTGTCTGTGCGAGGATGATGATGAGTAAATAGAGTTTGCTATGGAACGAAAAACAAGGGAGCTGGGTGCAACTTGTTGCGTTTGTGGGGTAAAAAGTGTGAGAGCAGACAATACGGCGCACTTAGTTGTGTTGCAATTAGATGTATGTCGATGTCATAGAGAGGGATGGCAGCATGGCATAACATTGCATGGGAGGATGACGGTAGTAATAACAGCATGCAGAGAAGGGGAAAGACAGGATCAGACCATGCACGGGATATAGCATGTGCGTTTGTGTTATTAAAAAGGCTATTTGCAGCGTAGTTCATATGCTAGTGTGTCTCCAGGCTGGCTCTTTCTTCTGAAGGGATGTCAAGAGCAGCAAGAGAAGAGACGTTAGCGCGGAAGAATGACAGGAAGGAACATGGTGCTCACGGAATGGAGCCGATGGTTAGTGTACAGATGTGAAGAAAGGGTAGCGATAACAGTAACAATAGGCGCCATCGCGGTCGATGAGTCCAAGAAAAGAAAAAAAGAGTAAGAGCAAGAAAGAAAGAGTGTGATGATCCCTTTGCCCTTTATTCTTGTGTGTCTCCTTGCTTTTTCGCTTTTCATAAATACCCTTCAATGTCCTTTGTGCTTTACCCGTCTTTTTCTCTTTTCTTTTAACTCCACTCTCGACCATCCACCGGCACATTATCGTCATCATCCTCCCCTTCACTGTCTGTCTTCCCTTCTTCTCTTTGCCCTCACCATCCACTCATTATTCCTCTTCTTCGTTCTTCTTACTTCCTTGTCTGCATCATTCTTCCTCCCTCCTTCGCTTCTTGTGTAACCCCAATACCTCCACGCTCAATTCCGATCCCTGCACCAACAACCACCCACTCCGACAACAAGCCCACACAAGTCGACCATGTGCTCACACTCCCAATCCGCCTGGAGACGATCACTCACAGCCATGGTGGTCATGTCCCTAGCAACCATATTCACTACCTCCATAACACCCGCAAGCGCAGTACCCGGATACCACCGTGGAAGCGACATCTTTTCCAGCCCTATCCGATCCACAGTCTGGAACCTAGGCGACACTGTCGAAATCCTCTTCAGTATGTTTCTCAAACATACCCCTTTTTTGCATATATTTTTTTATCCGTTCTTGCTGCTAGCCTTCCGTTGCCTGTTACTTTTTTCGACACAGACACCATCGACAAAAGAAGCTGTACACAAAAAGTACATTCGAATGTTTGCCATGCGCGACTTGTTTCTTTTTCTCTTTTGATTTCTTTGTCGGATTCATCTTGTTTTTGTTCTGATAGTAGGGTTTGCAAAAGAACAGCAGGAGGAGAGGGACCGAAGGAGCGGAGGAGGAGAAAGAGCGGAAGAAATGAGAAAAGGCAAAAGAGGAAAATAAAAGGAGGCGGAGAGAGTCTGAGGTAGTACAAAACAAAGGAATGAAAAAGACAAGGAGGGTTGTCGAATATTTGGAGTGCGAGCACCTTCCCCTTTTCTAATCATGTCCTCTTCATCACACGACCTTAACCATGGCATTGTCACAGTCATTGTCCCTTCAAACCTAATCAACATGAAAAGCAAATCGTTCTTTTTCTCCTTGAGAGGGAGGGAGACCCTTTTGTCTTTACTCGCCATGCCTACTCCTCCTCCTCCTCCTCCTCCTCCTCCTCCTCCTCCTCCTCCTCCTCCTCCTCCTCGCATTCGTGAGAGACATATTCGCGAAGCGCGTATGGCTATTTCGCGCAATTGCAATTCACCAAAGCAAGTCACTCACCCTTTCTCCATTCCCTCTTACTTCTTACTTCTTTCTTCTTTCCTTACAATAGACAAGGCCCTCTCGCGGGAAGACAGCAACTCAACGATGCTCTACCTCGAATACACAACCCGCGCCTGCAGGGGTTCTGTCCCCGACGAAGAACGGTACTGCGACAACCGTGCCACAAAAGTCACTGCCCGCGGTCAAATCCTTCCCGGTGCCGATTCTTTTCTTTGGACTATCCCGACCACCTTGGACCTGCAGTTGTCGAGGGGTCAGTTCCATTTGTATGATTACAATGGACATTCGAGTGAGAGTTTTTTAATCCGCCCGACGTCCAGAAGGCGTCAGGGAGGGGAGCAGCAGGGAGGCGGAGGAGGGCAAGGGTATGCAAGGCAGCAGATTTTGGATCAGGATGCTCTTCTGGTCTACCTTGATCCATCTGAATGAGAGTCGTCCCTCTCTTTTCATTTTTTCCTCATGTCATACACGTATATCCCATAATCATAAAGCACACATGCATTGACAATTGTACAACAAAAACCGACCACTGCCAACCAATTCTGTTATTTCTATTCATCGAACCAGGAACAGTACTCTTGATGATTGGTATCGACATATACACCTCGAAACCGGCTTCGAACAACCGCTGCAGTCGCGTCACCGACAGACAGGTAATGAAGTAATAGATTCTTGAGGGATGGGGTTGCTGCAAGGAGGAACAGCGTCTGGTCGAGGGAGAGCATCTCCTTCTCTGAAGAAAACGTTGGGTCATTGAACCTTCCATTCCATATCTTCTCGTAGCTTTGGTTTCTTATGAGTAGGTCTTGGATGAAGGGGAAGCAATAGTCGACGACCGGGAGGCTCGCTGGTTTGCTGGAATGTGTGTCGCCATTTATTGTTGCTGAGGGTGACAATGATGGTGAGCTGCCGTAAGAACTGCTGGTGGAGATGATGTCCTGAAAGTGGTGAACTGACGCCCTCAAGATCTTCAGAGACCAGAATCCTTCCAGCTTCCGAAAGAACTTTGCCGTGACCTGCTTATCCGGGAAATGCAATCCATCCACATCCAGTCGCACCAGCGTCCTCCCTACCGTCTCCCACGACCGTGTGAAATCATAGAGCGCCCCTTGATGGCTGGTCTCGGGTGTCTCCGTCCAGACTTGGTACATGGGCGACGTGTTGAAGCACCCAACCTTCAATGTCTCGAGGCACTTTAAGTATGGACAGGACACAACGTCGACCAGTCTGGCGAGCGCATCGTCAAAATTCTCTATTACACAAAAGGTTCTCAAAGGATGCGGCCGTCCTTGTTCGAGTTCCAATTTCGAAAGGGAAGAGTCGAGAGCCGCAAGGTTGAGATGTTGGTGTGGTGTTTCGGTGACATGAAGGCTTTCAAGTTGCGGGAAGAGGGTGAAGAGGTGTGGGATGTTGAGTTCAACGATTTCGAGTTGGCGGTAAGTGTATGCGCTCAAACGGATGGCGCGGAGTGTTTGTTGGGAGTGGGTCGAGAGGGCGTGCCAGTGGTCAGAATGGAGTGCTGACCAGGACATGAAGAGTGAGACTTGTTGTAGGAGCGGACATCTTTTGAAGAGATGGAGGAGGGTGTCCATCTCGGCGCAGGTTCCTCGTAGCTCCAGCTGTCGAAGGATGAAAGGCTTGCTTTCTATATCCTTGTCCACTCTTGCTCTTGCTCCTGTCTCTGTTCCTGATCCTGATCTCATATATGTTGCAGCTGCAGACGATGACGATCCCTCCTGCCTCTCATCCTCCACGCCCAAGCCAATCTCCTCTCCCTGACCAAAAGACGACACAACCTCACGCCTCACAACAGCATCCTTCGGTACCAACGGCGGCGCCCTCCCATCCTGCCTTGGCTCCCACACTCTTTCCTTAAATCGATTCTTTCTCCCATACGGATGGTAAATCATCCTCTGCGGCGAGTAACAAATCCGGAATCTCTCCACGCCTGGACAGCACTCTAACAAGGAAAGTGTCAAAATCTCAAGGTACCAACTCGACCGTTCCTGGCCGATCATCCCTCGGCCATTAATGTTTAGGTCCGTCAAATGGGAGATGTGACAAAGGCTCCAGAGCATGGTGGGTTTTAGGTATTCCATGTCAATCTTGATCTCTACCTTCCTCAACCGCGCAACCATTACCCCTGGGCTCTGTTTCTGTTGCACCGATTTCTCTCCGTGTCCGTGTCCGTGTCCGTGTCCGTGTCCGTGTCCGTGTCCGTGTCCGTGTCCGTGTCCGTGTCCGTGTCCGTGTCCGTGTCCGTGTCCGTGTCCGTGTCCGTGTCCGTGTCCGTGTCCGTGTCCGTGTCCGTGTCCGTGTCCGTGTCCGTATCCGTATCCGTGTCCGTGTCCGTGTCCTTGCCCATGTTCTTGCTGCAGCAGCTGATCCCGATCCTGACCATTCCATTGAAACCGCGCCTGCGACAAGGTCCGAAACATCCTCTCCAAATATTCATACTCTATCCAGAACACTCCCTTCCCTAACTCCAACTTGACCTTTTCCAAGAACGGGCAGTACTCTGCCAACGTCATCAGCAAGGGTTTGTCTACTGCTTCACAGGAGAATTGACGAATGAGGTGACCGTGGACTTTGACGAGTTTTGTCAGCTTGTTGCGCGAGGGCTTGTGGTTGAATGATATCTCCTCCACATGGTACGATGTGAAGTAACTACAGGTGAGAAGAAGATGAAAAGTAGAAATAACATGAGGGTGAGAAAACAAAAAAAAGAGGAAACTAGTAGGGGGTCAAAGGCAGACATTCTCCAAAAGTCTTGTAATGTACCTGTGCCAGTGCCGGCAGACAAGGACAAGGGAAAGGTAGATAAGCTTGCCATTGTCGTCCCGGCGTGGCAAGAATGAGCAAATGAGGTCACAGAGTTCCTTGATATCCAGAATGCGGTTGCAAGGGAGGAGTGCGTTCCTGTGTGTCTTGTCGGTGTTTTTCTTTTTTGTCTTCTTGGAAGAAGTGGTACTGCTCCGTGTCCAAAACATTGTTGGTGTTGGTGTGGGGGGTTTTGGGAGGGGGGTTAGGAAAGAAGGAAAGAAGGAAAGAATAGAGAAATGTGTAATGAAGAGTGACAGAGAGGAGGATGAAAGACAAAGAAAAATAGAAGAGAGAGAAAAAGACAAAAAAGAGAGCAGTATGGGAGTGGCCAAAATAAGAGGGTAGAAAAGGAAGGGTGCGGCGTTGACATGGACGTCGACATTGTACAGCCCTTGGTGGTCTCTTTGGCTATGTCCCATAACTGGATGATGAGGCGCGGCAATGAAGGAAGTAAAAAAACTAAAAAGAGCTTTCTGCGGATGGGCTATGCTTCCAAGCTAAAAAAAAAAAAAAAAAAAAAAAAAAAAAAAGAGGATGAGGCATCGGTCCTCTTGCTTCCTCAGTATCCGAGGACCAAGGCCACGCTGCACCGAATTTAAGCAAACTAGATTCCTTATTTTCCCTCCTTCATGTGCAATCTCTGTCGCTCTTCACTTTTCACTTTTCACTTTTCACTGGTCACATCAAAATGTTTTTGTGTTTTCGACCTGGACGCGTTTCATTTTTGACATTCAAACAAAAAACAAAAAAAAAACAAAGAGATCTTCCCACGCGTCTTGATCTTTCAGCAACCTCGCCCATACACCAATACAAACACGAGATACTCCATGTCTGTGGCACCCACATCTCCATACCCTCCCCATTCGTTTCGCTTATTATGTTCTTCGCCGCATCCATCCCCACATCACATGACCACCTCTTCTTCCCGATCCCCCGATCCCCCGATCCTCGATCCTGCTGTATCTTGTCTGTGCTACATCTATGCTTCATTTGGTTCATCTGCATCCAATCGTTTCAATCCTCCTCCTTTTTCCTGCTCTCATTTGTCTCCCTATTTTTCCCCTTTACCCCCGAGTGCTCATTCAAAAGCAAGAATTGACAACATGAGTCTGCTTGTAAGACACGATTTAGGCACATGAAACAGAGGCGGTGAATGGTGAGAGTCGAAAAAACAACACGACATGCCACGCGGGCCTACATTCTTCTATTCTGTTGAAAGGAAAGGAAGTGTTTCTCTTACCAGGTGTCGCCGAAGCAGCGAGTGGGGTCCAAATGGTAGAAGCAGTTGTGAGGAGGAGAAAGTCGACTCTGCTCAACACCCCTTCTTCTTCGAGGTGGACATAAGGGCGAGGAGGGTGTCAGTTCCTTTCAGCAGCCGTTCTTGTCACAAAGGTGATATGATGACGATAGACAAATTGCTGACCAATACAAAGTATATGTGACCAACTTGTGTGTGTGTGTGTGTGTTTTTGATCTTTTTTGATCAGTACGGAAATAACGTAACGGGGATAAGGCAATCACTCATGAAAATAACGAGACGATGATAAGGCGATTACTCATGACAATAACATAACCAGTGACAAGGCGGTCACTCAAGAACGAAGAAGGCGAGGGAGGGAAAACAAACGCGTACAGAACAGGAGGGAGGAGTAAAAAAGCAAAATGAAAACAAGGAAAACCCGCACCCCACACACAATAACTCAGAAGAGAAAGAAGCAGAAGAGCGGAGGGACGAATGTGTGTGAGGAGGGAGAGGGCGAACGAAGGAAGCAAGACATAGGACTAGCGATACAGACGTGCAGTCCGTCACTTCAACGAAGAAACACGACGAAGGAAGGATAACAAAATAGTAAATGCAAGAGGCACCAAACAAATAAAAAGAAGAAAGAGAAGCAGCACGAAAAAGAAAAGAATAGGGCTACCAACTCTAGCTTACATGACTCCACTGTATAAAGTTTTACATGATTCCATTTTGGTTGTTATTATGTGTGTACAGTCAAGGTACCAGGGTACTCCTGATGTTTCTAGATGATCCCACTACTGTTGTTGTTGAGATTCAGGAGTGGGGTTATGGCAGGGTTGAGGTTTCTCAAGGCGGGGTCGGGATACAAGGGGTATAGTGGATAAGGGGATTTCATTGTATTGTTGCAACCACGCAAGATGGAAGAACGATGATGGGAAAGCAGAGATGGAAAACAACAGTGGGGAAACAACAGTGGGGAAACAACAGTGGGGAAACGACAGTGGGGAAACGACAGTGGGAAACGACAGTGGGAAACAACAGTGGGGAAACAACAGTGGGGAAACGACAGTGGGAAACTACAGTGGGGAAACTACAGTGGGGAAATAATGGTTGCAAAAAAGTGGCAAAACAGGGTGAGTACACGGAAGTCTCCAGATGGATTTTGGCTCGTATGTACTGCGATTTTTTTTATATAAAAGGCAGACCTTTCTCTCCCTCTTCGCTTTTCTTTTCTTCTCTTCTCTCTCTCCTCTTTTTTTTTTCTCCTTCTCTCTTCCCTCTTAACTTCTCCCTTCCCTATGCTTTTGCACTTTGCTTTCCTTGCCTTCCTTCTTGCTCTTTCTCTCATCGCTGCTTTCAGCAGATATATTTACACACACACATACACACGCACACCCTCTCTCCTTCAACACACAGAAAACAGCACAATGACCTCCGAGTTCATAAGTTTTCTTGTATCCCGCGCACGGCGTACGACTGCCGCCTATCTCAAGGTGACTTTTCTTCTTTTGCTTTCATTCCTTACAAACTCTTTTCCTTTCTACTTCGTTTGTGCTTACAGACAACGCACAAACAACGCATGCACGCGAACCAGGCGCTAACTAAGGATGACTATCTAACATGACTCTATTTACTTTTCGGTCCTCCTTCCTCTCTCTCCTCTCTCTCCTCTCTCTCCTCTCTCTCCTCTCTCGCCTCTCACCCACCTCACCCACCTCACCCTCCTCTCACTCCTCACCCTCCTCTCCATCCTCTCTCCCCTCACCCTCTTCACCCTCCTCACCATCCTCTCCATCCTCTCTCTCCTCTCTCTCCTCTCACTCCTCTCACTCCTCACCCTCCTCCTCCTCTCCCTCTTTCCTCTCCCATCCATCAACAATGTTCACTCGGAAATAGATCGCTTTGACTGCCACAGCTACTGCAGTTATCCATTGGGCCAACACCACGGTCCCTTACGATTTTGACCAGGACATCGACGACCGTAAGCCCAAGTGCCAAGTCATCTTCACCAGACGCATGGAATTTGACATTCGGCTAAGACAGCTGTCGACACAACAGCCACAACAAAGCACCTACACAAAGGTAAGAAACATTGGGCAATGGCAAAAAATCGGCTTTCAAGCTTTGGTAGCTTTGCTAACCTGTAGCGCCGTTTCCTTCATTTTGCTTATACAATGATACTTTGTCATGTCTTGTTTTAAAATATCGGAATGCAGTCTCTTGACCGTAGTCACTTCTTTTCTCTTGAATCCTATCATATAGGTGAACGCTCCACAGCCCGTCAACACCTCCTACAACCCCCAAGGTACGAACATCTAGCATGCTTTTTAACCTTACTGCGTGCCATATTTTTTTGTATGCATACCTCGAGACGTTGAAGCGCCTGCTAACCATTTTATATTATTTCCTGTTCTTTATTTCATCACTACAGACTCGCTAAACCAGTTGAAGTTGGACATGGCACAGCTTCAGCAAGAGCGAGAGAGGAGATACCGCAAGGCGGTGGAGGTATGTACATGCATCCCTTTTGATTGTTTGTCGCGTCATCTTGGACATGTTCCTTCGGCGTCTTTTGTACTATGTGCAAGCATATTCTAATGCATCGTTATCCTTTTATTACGGCTATATAGCCGCTCTGCCGGAGGCTTAGCGAGCTCCATAAGGCGAGAGTGGCCTCCTTGATGGAGCTGTATGGTCCTAGCGACCGGATCCTGGTCCCGCGCCGCAGCCTGGCGGAGATTGAACGCGAGGCGGAACGCATGGCGTCTCGCAAGCCATCGGCCGCGCCAACCGCCCCAGGACCAGCGGCGATAATAGTGGCAGTACCGGTACCAGTACTCACGCTGATGCGAAGGGCCGCGATAGTACGTACGACCGTGCCAGTACCAGCAGCTGCACCAGCACCAACCACTGCACCGTCACCAGCATCTGCACCAGCAGCCGCACCAGCACCGGCAACCGGGCCAGCACCAATCGCCGCACCGGCACCGCCAGCCGTGCCAGTACCAGTAGCCGCATCAGCGCCAGCAGCCGCTCCAGCACCCCCAGCCGTGCCAACATCAACGCCAGCAGCCGCGCCAGCACCAGCAGCCGCAACAGCACCAGCACCATCGGATGCACGAGCAGTTGTGCCACTCGTTGCGGTTCCTGGCCGCGAGATTCCCAAGCCTCGGATCAAAAAGCCGTCATTCACTCCCACAGCATCAGCACCAGAAGCTGCGCCAGCGCCAGCAACCCCGCCAGCACCAGCAGCCGCACCACCGACAGTAACTTCGCGAGAACCAACTGTTGTACCTGCACCAGCACCAACTACCGCACCTGCACCAGCGGCAACTGTCACACCTGCACCAACGCCGTCGGAGGTACGAGCAGTTGTGCCACTTTTTACGGTTCCTGGCCGTAAGATTGCTAAGCCTCGGACCAAAAAGCCATCGGTGACTCCAGTCATCATTATGCCCACGGACCGTCCGATCGCTCGCATGAGGACTAAAAAACAGTCGCTCACTCCCACCACACCAACACCAACTGCCGCGCCAGTGCCAACAGTAACAACAAAGCCAGCACCAGCAACCGCCATAGTACCAGCAACCGCAGCAGTACCAGAGGCCGCGCCAGTACCAGAGGCCGCGCCAGTACCAGAGGCCGCGCCAGCACCAGAAAACGCGCCAGCACCAGAAAACGCGCCAGCGCCAGCTGCCGGCCCAGCGAGTGTAACTGCGCGAGCACCAACTGCCGCACCAGCACCTGCACCACCGTCAGCCGCCGCAACAGCACCAACAGTCCCAGCGCCATCGGAGGCACGAGTGGTTGTGCCAGTCATTGCTAAGCGTCGGACCAAAAAGCCATCGGTCACTCCCACCGCATCAGTACCAACAGCCACACCAGCACCACCACTAGCAGCCGCACCAGTACAAGTGACTGCACCAGCACCAGCAACCGCACCAGTACCAGCAGCCGCGCCAGCACTAGAGACCACACCAGTACCAATGGTCACACTAGCACCAACAGCTGCAATGGTCCCACCGCCGTCGGAGAAACAAGCACGAGCATTCACTGCGGTCCCTGGCCGTAAGATCCCCAGGCCTCGGATCAAAAAACCTTCACTCACTCCCACATCATCAGCACCAGAAGCCTCGCCAGCTCCAGCAACCTCGCCAGCACCAGCAGCCGCACCTGAACCTGCACCAACTACCGCACTTGCACCAGCGGCAACTGTCACACCCACACCACCACTAGTAGCCACACCACCGCCAGCAGCCACACCAGCACCAACTGCCATACCAGCACCAGCACCAACTACCACACCGACACCAACTTCCACATCAGTACCAGCGACCACACCAGTACCAACTGCTACACCAGCACCAGCGGCCGTACCACCACCAGCGCCGTCGGAGGTACGAGCAGTTGTGCCACTCTTTACGGTTCCTGGCCGTACGATTGCTAAGCCTCGGACCAAAAAGCCATCGGTGACTCCAGTCATCATTATGCCCACGGACCGTCCGATCGCTCGCATGAGGACTAAAAAACTGTCACTCACTCCCACCACACCAACACCAACTGCCGCGCCAGTACCAACAGTAACAACAAAGCCAGCACCGGCAATAGCCACAGTACCAGTAACCGCCGCAGAACCAGCAACCGCAGCAGTACCAGAGGCCGCGCCAGCACTAGAGACCGCACCAGTACCAATGGTCACACTAGCACCAACAGCTGCAACAGCCTCATCGCCGTCGGAGAAACAGGCACGAGCATTCACTGCGGTCCCTGGCCGCAAGATCTCCAAGCCTCGGATCAAAAAACCGTCATTCACTCCCACATCATCAGCATCAGAAGCCTCGCCAGCGCCAGCAACCCCGCCAGCACCAGCAGCCGCACCACCGACAGTAACTGCGCGAGAACCAACTGCTGTACCTGCTCCAGCACCAACTACCGCACCTGCACCAGCGGCAACTGTCACACCTGCACCACCACCAGCTGCTACACCATCACCAGCCGCCATACCAGCACCAACACCAACCACCACACCGACACCAACTTCCACAGAAGTACCAACAACCACACCAGTACCAACTGCCACACCAGTACCAACTGCCACACCAGCACCAGCGGCCGTACCAGAACCAGCGCCGTCGGAGGCACGAGCAGTTGTGCCACTCATTGCGGTTCCTGGCCGTAAGATTGCGAAGCCTCGGACCAAAAAGCCATCGGTGACTCCATTCATCATCATGCCTACGGACCGTCCGATCGCTCGCATGAGGACCAAAAAACAGTCCCTCACTCCCACGGAACCACCACTAGCGACCGCACCAGTACCACCTGCCACACCATCACCAACACCAACTTCCACACCAGTACCAGGGACTGCACTTGCACCAACTACCACACCAACACCAACTGCCATAACAGTACCAGCACCAACTACCGCACCGACACCAGCTGTCACACCAGCACCAGCACCAACTGCCATACCAACACCAGCAGCAACTGTCACACCAACACTAGCGACCGCACCAGTATCAACAGCTGCACCAGCGCCAACAACCGCACCAATACAAACAGACCCAATTGCATCAACTGCCACACCAGCACTAACGACCGCACCAACAACAACTGCCACGCCAGCCTCAGCAACGTCGGAGAACCAGGAACGAGCATTCGCCGCAGTCCCTGGCCGCAAGGTTGCTCAGCCTCGGACCAAAAAGCCGTCGCTCACTCCACTGATCACCATGCCCAATGATCGCTCGATTGCTCGCATGAGGAACAAAAAGGTTTGAAAACAACAAAAACACAAAAAAAAAACACTCCGGCAAAAACACAAAAAAAGTCACCATCTCTTCTTTTCTAGCATACGCTTTCTTCTACTTTTGTTTCGCCTTTTTCATTCCCTTCTTTTTTTTTCATACATTATTGCAATTTCTTTCCAACAACCAATTATTCATCTTGCATAGCTTTTACTTTCCATGTACGTACTACCACCACACTTGCTACAACATCAAATAAAAAACAATTAAAAAGCAAGCCATCTTGTTGACATTGAATTGAATGGAGGAGAGGGAAGAGAAGTGAAGAGCAAACACTCCTCTGGAACCTGAAAACGAACACGTCGATTAACGAAAAATCATGTGCGACATTTCTCATGAACAGAACAGATAAACATCTTTTGACGCGATGCTTTACGTGTAAAATAAGCGTAGTGGAATCATTAAAATATCCACAGTGGATATCTGTAATGATAACCGTAGTGGGATCATGTGGAATCATTAGCAGTACCCTGGTACCTTGACTGACTGTACACACGTAATGACGACCGTAGTGGAATCATGTAAAAAGTTGCCCAGTAGAGCCATGTAACCTAGAGTTGGCAGCATCTGCATGGTGCTGGACACAGAAGCCCCCGACCTATAATCCTATAAGACTCTGACGATAGGCCTGACTTTGATCTTTGTGTCTTTTCAGACGATTCTCTTTTTTCCCTCAACAATGTGCTTTGCTCTCACTTGTTTTGTTTTCAGTACTACCCTAACCTTTGGACCTCCTCCCCCCCCCCCCAGTTAACGATGAAAAGTAAAATCATGTACTTTTCACTTTGTGCGAAGTCTTCCTAGCATTTCCATGGCAACGACCTTCTTTTATAAGAAAAAAAGGGCGGAGAATACGATGTAGGGCATTGGGCTACCCCTGATCTGCATTTGCACGGACTGAGTGAGTGGTAAGGAAAGCCAATGATTGGTCTGTGTCATTGTCGGAGCCGTAAATTAAAGAGGCCCAGTTAGGGAAAGGGTTCTGCTTTAGCTATGGCGAAATGTTCTTCAAGTACAGCTCCTCTCCATCCTCCGACTTCTCCACACTACAAAGAGCTGGGTGGATAAATTTACAAGTTTTTCCATCTTCTGATTTGGGCGTGTTTGTTGTTTGGTTCTCCTTGGAGGGACCAAATGGCAGAGAGGTAGCTCATGGGAGAAGCCGGTCCCTTTATTTTTTTTGTGTTCAAGTGGGAGGGAGGTATGAGAGCGGAAAAAAAGCAATGAGGAGGGGAGGGGTCATTAATTTTTTCACCAATGATCATATCACAATTGCAGGCACCCAATTAATGAACTACGGATATCATGAACAAAGAGTATATGTATTATCGCAGCAAATAGAAGAGAACGCGAAGAAGTTGGAATAATGTTCTTCATACGGTGTATTTTTTGCTTGTTTGTAAGGTGGGAATGGACGCTATCGTTATTGATGTGTGGAGTGGGTCGTTTATCTGGTCATGTTCATTAACAAAAAAGAAAAATGAAAAGTGAAAAGAGAATGGAGGATTACGGAAATAATGGGCATTACGAAAACAAGAGGAAAGAAAAAACGAAAGAAAAAGCAGAAGTGGTAAGAACAAGGCTGACCAGTGACAAATAAGGAAACAAAAGAGAGAAGAGTGGGGTCAGAACACTACATGACTTTGCAGTTCTCGTCTTCTGGTCCGGGTCCTGCACCGGCCTGACGACCACGTTCGGGACGCACACGACGCATGGCGCCCAACTTCTTCATGTCTGTCAGACGTTTCTTGGCACGACCGTTACCCTGAGCTGCAGAACGCAGGTACCACCGTCTTGCCTCTTCCAAATCCTGCTTGACTCCAATTCCGACCTAATTATCAAATTAAATTACGTATATGAGCACGACAAGATAGCACAGCATGGTCATTTTCCCACAAATTAGACATTGTACCTCCCACGCATAAGATTTCAAAAGGTTACCTCAGAGTAGTAACCGACGGCATATTCGGCGCGGGCGAGTCCCTTGTCGGCAGCCTTGCGAGCCCAGAGGTAGGCCTCAGTATCACTCTGCTTCAACACGCCCTCAGATCCAGTCAGGTACCATCCAGACAAGCCCAGCTCCGACTCTGCATCACCCTGTTCAGCAGCACGAGTGTACCATGCGATACTCCTCCTTGGGTCGACTGGGCAGGTCAAAAGACCATACTCGTAACAGTGACCCAGCTTGAACTGACTGGGCGCATATCCATATCCAGCAGCTTGTGTAAACAGCTCGCGGGAGTAGGTCTCGTCAGGAATGACGGTAGGGATGCCAGACTTCTCAAAGCAAAGACCGAGCTCGTGAAGGGCGTGTGGGTTGTCCTCGTCAGCGTTGGCAGCTGCACGTTTGAGCCATGTGATCGCCTCCCGAGGGTTGGCCTGCTGTCCCAAAAGTCCCTTCAGGATGACCATGCCCAACTTGTACATTGCCGCAGTGTCGCCCAAGGATGCAGCCTTGCGGTAGAATTGCACAGCACGAGTGTGATCGCGTTTGGTTCCCGCTCCGAGCTCGTGACACACGGCGGTACGGTAGGTCGCGGCAGGGTGGTTCTGCTTTGACGCCTGCATGTACAAGTTAAAGGCCTTGTCGTGGTCAATCTGAAGTCCCAATGATCCGTTTCCATAGCAGTTGGCCAAGAAGAACTGGGCATCAGGGTAGGCGGGCTTGCCCATACCCATGCCGGTTGTCGCCAAGCGCTTGATAATCTTGAGACCCTCCATAAACAGCGCCTCCTTATTCTTCTTTTGTCTCTTGGGGTCCGGATCGTCGTTGCCGAACGTCACTGCGGCCTCAATCAAAGCCTTGGCGTACTCAAGCTGAGCAGCAGGATCGTTGCTGTTCTTGGCGCGCTGACGCATCTCATCCAAAAGCTCGATCGTCAAGGGACGCTTTCGTGGGGCTGCTGCTGCTGCTGCTGCGGGACGAGGGGGTCCGCCGCCAGTGCTGCTACCAGAATCGCCACGGTGTGGAGGGCGAGCTCCATATCCACCGGGGCCACCGGGACCCATAGGGGGACGAGGTCCGCCACGACCTGGAGGGGCCCCTCTCATTGAAGGGGATGACTGCAGGTTGGCGCCACCGGGTCCTCCAGGTCCACCAGGTCCACCAGGTCCACCGTAATAGCCAGGAGAGCCAAAACCAGGTCCTTGAGGGCGGTAACCGCCGTTGTAATCGTATCCGTTTCCTTGGCCGGGGTATCCTCCGCCATACTGCTGCTGAGGATCTTGATAGTAATCTTGACCATAGTCCTGAGGGTAAGGCTGGCCGTATTGGTCATATTGAACATCCTGGTATCCTTGCTGGTAACCGTTGCCACCATATCCACCGGGACCTCCGGGGTATCCCTGCTGGGCATATCTGGGATCCTGTCCTTGGTATTGGCCACCATAGCCCTGGGGAGGTCCTCTGTATCCGGGTCTCTGTTGACCATACTCTGAGCCATATCCGCCATGCTCCTGACCCCCGTATCCACCCTGATGTTGCTGGTGGGGGCCACCGTATCCATGGCTCGAAGGCGTATCTGAGTAAGTGGCTGCGTTGGGGTTGGCAGCAGCATAAGCGCGGACGGCTGAGTGCGTCGAGTCCACACTGTTGGTGCGCGGAGGGGACGAATCATCCGATGCAGGCAAAACAACGCCTGCCTCAAAGGCACCGCCCTCTGCAGGGAAATCTGTAGAAGCTGCTGCAGCTCCTCCTTCTGTTGCCTCTGAAGTAGCATCGACTGGTGGGTGTCCCTGATCGGATCCTGAGAAGCGAGTGTCATCGACGTATCCAGTTCTCTCTAAGGGCTTCTTGGACTCTTCTGCAAGGCGCAATGGCAAAGAAGTTAAATCACCGTTGTCTGAGGCTGAAGCAGGGGCAGGATCGTCGAGGGAGAGGGCACCCAAATCCAGATCAAGGGCTTGAGGCGCTCTGAGGGGGGACTCGTCGTAGTATTCCTGATGGTGCGAGTTCATGCTCGAGACGGTGTTAGACCTGAGCGGTGGGGGAGGGTGTTGTCCTTGTTGGGCGGGCCAGTATCCACCAGCCCCAGGGTGTCCGGAGGGCGGTTGCATGGGGTGGGGGCTTTGAGAGTAGTCCGACTCGTAGAGGTCGTATTGGGCGACGGGTTGCTGGTAGTTCTCGCGAGGAGGGAGAGGAGCGAGGACCACCTGGGGGTGTGGAGCCACAGACTCGTTTGACCGCGAGCTTCCTCTAACTGGGTGTGCCATCTATTGTCTTTTTATTGACAATCAAGATGATGAAAGGTTAGATTGACTTTCTTCATTTTTACCAGTCCTAAGAGTCGAATCAACAACTTCCCACAAGAGAGGTATTGTTTGTCGTTGGTGTTGGTGTTCGTGGCACGTTGCATCAGATCTCTTTGCTGTTGTTAAGATTGGGTTGTGTTGTGTTGGGTTATGTTCCTGGCAGCGCTGGCATAAGAGAAACGAAGAGGCTCGTCTGTGAATAAATAAAGGGGGCCAGGCAGGCAGGCATAGGGAAGAGAGAAGGTCGTTTGACTGCCTGACTGACAGTATGTATGCCTTGCGTTGCTGTTTGTTCCGAAAAGCACCAGGTTGGGTGATTGTTGGCTATTTGGCCACACGACAATAACTCGTGCGTCGGGTTCGTTTATTTGCTGCGACTCGAGCTGGGTGTAGTTTCTGGCGAATGAATTACCTTGTGTGTTGGTGTTGGTGTGTGTGTGCAGTAGGAGGAAAGGGCCCTTTGGGCTAGGGATGTGAATAGGGGGAGTTGCGGAGTTGTGCAAAGGAAGAATGGCAGGGGAGTAAAGAAAGAGCGGGGGAAGGGAAGGGGACGGAAGGGAAGGGAGGAAAGTCTTCTATGGACTGGGGAGACACAGAGGATGAGGGACAAGGCTTAGAAAAAGAAGGGAGAGTGAAGACGGAGGGTTGAGGAGAGTGGTAGGGGGATGAGATGATGATGAGAAGGAAGGAAGGAAGGAAGGGAAGATGACAACGAGAGAAAGAGAGGAAGGAAAGAAGGAAGAAGGAAGAAAGTAGAGGGAGGGGAGAGGAGAATAAGAGAGAATAGGAAAAGAAAGAAAGGCAAGGAAATAAGAGAGACAATTGGACACACTCAGGGAGGAGGAGTCACACAACAAATTAACAAATTGCATGGCATTGGCACAGATGGAAGTCATCACTCACTACTCTCGACTCGACTGTGGCTGCAACCTCCTCTTGCCTTCTGCCCTCCGCCTCTTCACTAGAACGGACGGGGGACAATACGCGCCCTTCCACTCTTTTGGACTTTCGTTCATCCCCTCGCTTCGTCCTCTTCACTCTCATTTGTCTTTAGAGTGGCTCTACTCCTCGTCGCTCCTGGCCAGAAGACCCCCTCATCCTATCCTTGCGTTTGTTTATTTTTTGTTATTCCTGAGAGCCCCAGCTCAGCTTATTGGTCTTTCCATTCATCAACACGAGAGCTTTAATTGCCATTGTCGATACTCCAAAAAGGTCATCCGCCACTCTTGCTCTCTACTTTCTCATATCCATTCGCACACTCCACTCCACTCCACTCCACTCCACTCCACTCCACTCCACTCCACTCCACCCTGTCCTCTCCTCGCTGTCCATTACTCAAACTGCACAACACAAGAGTGCATCTGTTCCAGCATACATCTGTACATCTGTACATCTGTACATCTGAGCCCTCCCCTCAGGACGATAACGCCCACTTCTTCCTCCCTTTCAAGACATCCAACCTCAGCCTGCCTCACAGCCTGCCTCTTGCCTTCTGTACACTTTTTCCTAATATCTTCTTTGGGAACGAATAGTCCTCCTTGGTTTCTAGCATGTGTTTTCCGTGCCTGAGTTGAATGGTGGCAAAATGGAGCGTTCTCTGTTCGAACAAAGGAGAAACAAACATTGGCCAATGGCCATCAACGGTGTCAATTACAGAAACCTGATATCGACATCTAATTGCACGCGTTACAGGTTTCTTCTCTCGCGCGCCTATTCTTATCTGCACGGGGCTATGCACTGGCAATCGATCAAGACATTAAACTAAGCAATACCGTTGAGGGTAGAGCGTGTGCTACACAAACCGTTGTTGTTATTGCTGTTAGTGAGAAAGATAGACTGACGTCTTGTACTCACTTGAAGAAAGTGGATGAATTGTAGGGTAGGGCCGAATGTCACTCCTCTGTTCTCCAACGACGCAAGTGTGTCATCATTTTTTTTTTGTTGTTGGCATGTTCGTCACTCCGTTCATTTCTTCCACGCATACTAGTTCTGTCACATGCAGTTTCGCTTTGCCCGATGTACAGTACTATTTGTATTTGCGCTTTTCGTTCCTTCCCCTCGGTTCGCATTTTGCATTTGTATTTGCGCTTGCATATCCCTCTTGTCCATTTCTCCACTTCTTCCTTTTCCTCCCTTTTCTTCACTTTTCCCTCTCTCTTCCCTTTCCTCATTTTTTTTTTGTTTCGCCCCTTTCCTTCAACTTCATCCCTTTCCCTCCCCTTCCTCCTCCAACTCAACTTACAAAACGACTCAACTAACCCAACCACACACCTCTCCCACTCGAAACAATGGCCATACTCGTGAACGCCCTAAAGAGCAAATTCGATATCCACGTTGTCAAACACATCGACCTCGAGGACCTTTCGATCGATATGACAAGACCCGACCATTGGTCCACCATCGTCTCTTCCAACCGCCTCGTTGCCCGTCTGGCCCGTATCCCTGGATTCAAGTGGCCTGTTCAGAAGGTTCAGCTTCGAGTAAGGGATTGGAAGGAGATGTGGAGCAATAAGGGTGGGGGATGTGGGGGGGTGGGATGTGGTTTTTTCGTTGGAGACATGAGCGCCAAGGCTTGTTTAGAATTTTTTTTTTTTTTGGGACGGTACCCCTAACCCCATTGTTTCCTTTTCGTTTCTCTTTGTTTTAGATTATTATCCAGGTAAAAGAGCAGACCAGAGGGACAAAATGAGAGCACAGATAAGAACAGAGTATATGAATAAGGACATGGACACCACTACCATTCATTATCAGGAAACAAACACATTACTATTGCTCAAGGAAAAAAAAAAAAAAAAAAAAAGACTACCGCTGCTCATGGTCATAACCACAAAAACTCCTCTCACCCATGACCCAAAATAGGAGGAAGGCGAGGACGTAGGAAAACTGGAATCGCCCTTCACCCCCGCCTCAGTAGTCGACGGCGCCAGCGTCACCTCCTCCATCTTGCCCTGTACCATGACCATCTTCCCTACCGCCCATTCGGCCTTTACCGATTTCGTCTCGCAACTCGCCACCAAACCTGACCACACTTTTTCTATCAAGGGCTCGGCGGATATTGTGATCGATTTAGGACTTTTGGGGATCCATACCATCAACGGCGTCGACTTTATATCCGACCTAACGCTGCGGGGGCTGAACAGTCTGCCGGATTTGGAATGCACAGAGATCACGGAGGTGGTGAGGTCTTTGGCGTCCGAGGTGACGGTCAAGGCGCTATTTGCTATTAACAATCCGAGTCAGCTAGCATTGACGCTCGGAGACCTCCAACTCGCCATATGGTCGCCTGCCTCAGAGGACGAGTCGGACAGACCGGAGCAGTTCCTAGGGACTGTCAAACTGGTGGATCTGAAATTGGTACAGGGCGTGAACGAGGGTAAGGTGGCGGTGATGGTTCTGGATACGACCTTGGAGGCGACTCGAAACTTCTTGAGGGCCACCGAGGCGAGGACCGTGGTTCTGAAAGGGTTCGGGAGTACGAGCGAGAATGCGGCTATCAATGCGGGATTGAACAAGTTAAGGACGACGGTGTCGGTCCCCGTCTTTTCGGTTCCCGACGCGTAGAGTAGTTTTTTTTTTTTTTTTTTTTTTTGGAGATCAAGCCATTGTACATCTAATAAAAAATTTCTATACCACATGCTCTTTGTGGTTTGTTTGAGTCGTCAAAGCGTCATCATTAACCATCGATGGTCCAAAAAACAAACTACATGTTGCTGGATGGCGGTAAAGGAGTTATTTTGAAACGTGGTACCAACTAGGGCGAGCGCGTTAACTGCTATATCCGTGTTGGCCAAGCGCGTAGCTGGGTGTCTCAGGTACGCGTTTGGGCAAATAGTCAAGTGTGACAGAGTGAAATAATTAAGGCACATGGGAGGGAAAAAAGACCCGAGGTACTCCCTCCTGGCGCTTCATCGACACCCAAAGCTAGGACAAAAGGTTTTTGACAAGCTCCTTTTTTTTTATTGCACACATTTCGCGGTAATGAAAGGAAAATAACCAGAAGTCTTTATTTATGCTCACTTTCGACAAGACCCACCCATGAAAGTTGCTGGTTCCCTTGATAACTTACCTTCCGACATGACCAGAACTGTCCTTGACACACAAAAAAGATGCATCGGGACACCTGCCAAGAAAAATCTACTTTTTTTTTTTTGTTACACTCAGGATGCAAAATTAAAACTGCACATTTATTCTTCTATAATCTGATGTACACTCGCTTCCTGTAATACGACATATAAGTGATCAGTTCCTTGGATGACTTGGATTTCAACGTGGCTGGGACTAGGGGCTATAGTGGGTACACTTCCTGCTGAGGATGACGAAGCTTTGATGACGACGTTCCTGCTGTCGCAGGAGCGGGAGTAACATCACCAATGGTTCCTAATCCATCAACCGCATGTGAAGGAACGCCGCTGGGTGGCTGATGAGGAGGAGGAGAGGGAAGAAGGGGTGCGCTGGTCGACGATCCTGCGGGCGGATACTGAAACTGCATCTGGGGCGACTGCTGAGTCCGGAGGGTGGTCATCATGGTCGTAATCATCTGCTGTTGCATCTCATGAATTTTCATATGCTGAAAAAACATCTCTTGCATTTGCGCCTCCTGCTTCTGACTCCAAGTTTGGACCATATGCTGAAGCTGCAACATCTGTTGCTCGAGCGATGTAAGCGTCGACGACGGAGGTGCCTGTCCGCGTGGTTGGTAATGATGGTAGCTGGAAGTAGATGTCGGCTGAGTGGATGGCTCCTCTCCTCCGATCCGGTCGAGTGCCCCCAATGCCGGTGGTTGGTGTTGTTGCTGCTGGTAGTGATGTCCAGCAGTCGACGGGTTCTCTGCAATTGCAGCAGATTGCTCTTGCTGTTGGTGGTGATGTCCGGCAGCCGACGGGTTCTCTGCAATGACTGCAGGTTGCTCTTGCTCTTGCTGTTGGTGGTGATGTCCGACAGTCGACGGGCTCTCTGCAGTCGCAGCAGGTTGCTCTTGCTGCTGGTGGTGAAGTTCGGCAGTCGACGGGTCCTCCCCAATGGCAGCAGGTTGTTCTTCCTGCTGCTGCTGCTGCTCCCTCTGCACCGGTGACCGAGCTTCTGCAGCATGGTTGGGCTGAAGCTGTGCCGAAATCGTCAACGGTGACTTTTCCCGAGGGCGCTTCTTGTTCAATGCGGCATCCTTGTCGGTGGCAGCACCAATCTCTTTCTGGAAGGACTTGAACATGGTGCAACGAAAAATATCATTGTCCAGGATCTTATTGGGTTGATGGCGATGGAGACGATAAGCGGCATCCTGAAGAATGATGCGGCGACAGCGCACGAGTAACCGCAAAAAGCTGGCCTTGGCCTTGTTTGCCTCCGAAAAGATCACAGGAGGGGATTGTCTATCGTTATCCGCCGTGCCATTCTCATCCCCCGAGCTGCCTGCCTCCTGTTCCTGAGCTGTGGAGGCGGGTGTGCTGTACGCTGATGAGACGTATTCGGCGTCCGATTCTGTCTCGGCAACATGTGTCTCATCCTGCGCCGAGTCTGCTTCATTGTCACCGTCGCCATCCTCGTGATCGCGGTCGTCCCTCTTCACTTGCTTCCCTTTAGAGCCGCCAGCCTTCCGCTTGTACTTCCTACTCGCAGCCTTGTCTCCTTTAGTAGCCGCCTGGCTGTCCTTCCTGGATGCCTTGGTGGAGGGTGTTGTTGTTGTTGTTGAATAGTCCTTGGCGACCTCGTTCATCTCGTCCAGACACTCCTGCTTCCACCACGCATTGTCGACGCCGAATGCAAACTCGATCCAAGGGAAAATCAACATTTGGAGAGGGATGGGCGGAGAGACCCCATTCCGGGCCAACGAGTAGGGCTTGTCCAAGAACCCGGCCATACCTTCAGGAACGGCAGTAAGTAGCTGTGGGACGTGGCATTCGCCGAATGCCCCACGTTCGACCGACCATCGCCCTCTGTCGTCGATATCGCTCTGAGGGATCTTGAGCTTCGTTGCCTCCGCAGTACCAACGCGATAACCGTCATCAGCCTTTCTGGGGTATGTGATACCTAGGTACCTGAAGTTCTTCTTGATCGCGGCCCAGACAGTTGTAGGAAGACAGCTTACGGTCGGGTCACTCGCGCTTGGTAACAGTTTGAACGAGGGCCACTCATCCTTTCCTAGGTCTCTGAAAATGTCACTTAGGGTACGCTCCGATTGTGGGTCGCGTTCCATAGCACCCTACGGTCGATAAATGATGTAAGAATAACGGTTAATATTGGGAATTTTTGCCAAATGTAATTTTTGCTCATATCGTTAAAGTATAACAGTGTGCGCACCTGCCAGATTTGGAACATGTAAAAGGCGAAAGCGCTAAAGGTACAACGAGCCAAATCGTAATGTCTCAAGGCGCTGACATACAGCTTTTGATCGGCATCCGAGGTAGGGTCGCTGTTCTTCAACTTAAAGGTGAGCACAACGCATTGCTGAGCCCCTGGTTGTTGATTCAGTGCCGGGACGACGGCAAAGCAGTCCGAGAAGTTGATCTGGTGGAGTTCCTCGTCCTGGAGGAGCATGTTGTGTGTGGCCGAAATGCAAAACATTTCCATAAAGCTGCGTCCGTCTTTGCGTTGACCTTGACCATTCCAAAGGACGTTCAGCGCCGTGACCATGTTGCTCAAGGTGTAGTAGACCCGACCCCGCGTCGACACCGGTCGAGCACCTTCCCGTTCATCCAAGGCTTTCTGGCACTGATCGATCTTGACGTGGAAGATCTTCATGTCACTCGGTGCGAGTTTACCAACCTCATCGCGTGCCATCTGCAGACGGTGTATCCTGCCCAAGGAACTCCGAGCCAACTTGACTGCGTCAGGTCCCACGGACACTTCGACAACTACTAAATTGGGAGTACATTCAATCAGCGGAAACAGGTCCCTTAATGATTTGCCATTTCTATAGTAACCAAATGTGCCTGTGATAGATGAAGTACATGGAGCGACACGCGTCTGCATATTAGACTCACCTGAACCTCCCCTACCGGATGAATCCGTTGTTTTTTGGCGCTTAGACTTTGTGCGAATAAGCACCTCCTCCTCAAGAAACTTTGCGACCTTAGACTCTGAATCAACGAGATAGACTGATCTCCCCTGTGGACCCTCGTACTCCTCCTTGTGTCTCTCACAAAAGCTCTATTGAGACAGATATTGAAGACGTGTTGGAAGACGGTCTGTCAGAATAAGAGCGAAAAAAAATGCAGCGTCGTCATTGTTGGTTGCTCGCATAATACAGAAAAAAGGGGTTGTGCCGTACCTTCCATCTGCGCGTAGTTGGCATGTATGTTTGGAGAGAGGACTTTCGGATATCTGTCAGGTCGTTCATGTCCGCGATGAAGCACTGCTCAGGGCTAAGCAGTTTTGCTGAGGACGATGTTCCTCCTGTATCGTAGAGATTGCAAGTTATAGCTTTCCGTTAGGACAAGTAAACATGATATAACGCGCCTAGCGACAGCCATCCTGAGCAAGGTATCACACCTAGTGCGTACCAGTAATCGAAGACTCCTGTCTTTCAGCGACAGCAGACAACAGTTTGTTCAGAGCGGCTGATTGTCGAGAAGAGGATGCGGCCTCTGCGACCCCACCATCGGTAGTATTAGTCCCATTACGTGCTGTCAAGGAGAGAGACGAAGTCGAAGATGGGGAAGGCGATAACGATGGGAATTCGTTTTCTTTTGACTGCTGCTGTTTTTGTCGTCCTGTATGTTGCATTGATCCATGGGAAGGATTGTCGTCCTCTTGTGGCTCGGGGATGGCGCCTCGGAATCCCTGGTTGAATCGTTGAAAGAAAGACATGGTGACGCTAGGTTCCGAATGTTTGATTCGAAACTTGTAGTCGACAGGAATGAAAGGTAAATGGGCTTGCTTGGGATCTCTTTGAGGGTGTGTGAGTTGTTTGTAGTTGCTGGCGTCGACGCACAGCAAGGGTGCAGAGAGACGCGTTGTGGCGTTTTGGAGTGAGTGTATTAAAGTATGAAAAGAGAAAGAGAGGGGCTGTGAACGAGTCGTGGATCATGCATGGTTCACACACTGACCAAAGAAGTCACGTGCACTCCACTCGAAAAGCCACATGGACAAAGGTCGCGTACAAAAAACTGAGAAGAGCATAGAAGAACACAGCGCATTAAACCGACTGGATTGAAATGGTACATTATTGGGGAAAAGACGGGGTGTGGCAATCGCAAATATAGAAAGAAAAGAAGCGAGACTACAAATGTGAAAAGAAAGGAAAAGATATGTACAGGATCCATAACGAACCAAACAACCCTGTGCCTGCTACTCTACAGCTCCTGCTTGATCTCCTCTGCCTTATCCGCCGCGTTCTTGGCCTCATCAGCAACCTTCTGCTTCACATCCCCGGCCTTCTTCTGAGCATTCTCTGCGGCCTCCTCGACAGCGTTCTTGGCGGCGGTAGCCTTGCCCTTGACATCCTGTGCTACCTTCTCGCCTGCCTCGTTGGCCTTCTCGGTACCCTCAGCAACCTTGTCTTGGACCTTGGCAGCAGCCTCGGAAACCTTGGCCGATCCATCGTCCTTGGCTCCCTTTATTTTCTTGGAGGCATCATCGGCTGCAGCGGCGGCCTTGTCCTGGACAGCCTCGGCTCCCTCCTTGACATTCTCGGTTGCCTTCTTGGCGGCATCCTGAGGGACCTTGAGAACCTTCTGTGCGCCCTCCGATACCTTCTCGGCTCCATCCTTAATGTTCTCAACGACGACCTCGGCTTCGGCGGGCTCGGTTCCCTGGTTGGAATCGGGGCAGAAGACGTACTTGAGAACATCACCCAGGTTGTTGGCGCTGAGGACATCTGAGCTAAAGGAAAAGATATTGCGGACGACGGGGATCGACTCAAAGACAGAGGGACTCTCACCAGCCTCGCCAGCACCCTTAGTGACAAGGACCAACGCAGCCTGGTTGATCAATGTGCGCAGGACAGACTCGGGGATCTCGTTGGCTAAACCACGGTCGATGAGGTTGTGGATATCGCGTGCATTTTGGGCAGAGGGTGAGGTGGGTGAGTCTGCAGTCAATGCCAAGTAGGTCAAAGCACGGACCGGAAGATCAGAGGGGTTCAGATCAGCCAAGCGGGCGACGCTTTGGGCCATCTGAACCTCAATAGCCAACTTTCCGACGGCACCGACAATGGCCTTGAGGTCCAGGGACTGGATGGGCGAGTTGGCGGGGGCAGAGACGAGAGCTCCACCAGCAAGACCACGGGTCAAACTGCTGTAGTAAACAACATCCTCGACACCCTTGAGGTAGGCAGTATCGGTGGTCTCACAGACAGCACGGGGGGTAACAATGCCTTTGGCCATCTTGACGGTCTCAGAGGACTTGATCAGTCCAAGGCCAAGGTACTCCCAGAGCGGTGAGGGTGGAGACGATGCCGTCTTCTCTGCTTCTGCCTGCTCCTTTGCCTCTGCTTCCTTCTTGTCCGCCCCTGCCGTCTTCTTTCCCTCCTCAGCGTCGCTCTCGGGCTGGACTTTCTTGTCATTCTTATCCGCCTCGACTCTGGCAGCATAAGTCTCCTTGGAGGGTGCAGGCAGACCGATGACGGTATCGTAGATGGAGTTGACAATCAAGGCGGCGCGACGCATGTCGATGTCCTTGAGGTCTGACGCGGCGTTGAGGGCTGTGGCGCCGTGTTGTTCGATAGCTTGGAGCTTGGCGGCCTCGAGTCTGGACCAGTCAGCATCATCAGCGTGGAAAATGTTGAGGGAGACGAACTGGACAATGTCGTTAAGGACGGGAAGCTGCAAGTCGGGGATCAAGGATGGGTCCTGAGTGACGGTGAAGGACTCGACGCCCATGGTGTCGATTTCCTGGAGGAGATTGAAGGCCAGAGTCTTGACCTGGGGGTCACGGACAAACTCCTGGAGGGTCAAGCCAAAGGTGGACGAGACCAACAAGGCGGCAAGCGAGAGTTTGAGAAGCACCTTCATCCTGATATGTGAAATGTGATAGTAGTAACGGAGGTGTTGAGAGGGTAGGGTGTGGTAAGTAGAGGAGATGGGATGAAGAAGAATGAAGAAGAGTTAGGAAGAAGGAAAGAGGAAGAAATAGGAGACCAAAAGAAGAAAAGAAAATAGAAGATGGGTTCGCTTTGTAGTATGAGCTGTGAGAAAAAAAAAGGCGAAAGGTGTGATGATTTGGAGAAAGCAGACAAGAAGGGGGCTAGCGAGATAAAGGAAGAGGAGAACGCGAAAAGGGGGGTAATGGACGAAAGGACGAAGGGGTCTCCTTTTTTAAGCATGGACAATGGGAGCGAAAGCAACAGGCAAAGAAGAAGAATGAATGCAAGAGGTGATCCTTCCTCAGTTTTCTTTATTGTATGTACTATTGTACTGAATCTGAACATCAGCCATCGACGCAAACAAAGGGAAGGATGGTTGTTGTCGCTGTCTGCTTGGCTTCTTTTTTGTTCTAATTGTCGGCACGATACTTTGTCCAGTGTAATCATCATGTTCACACTGAGGATGCTGAGCTCAAGCATTTGTCCGTCATAGCAAAGTCATAGTTATCGCATTTCTACATTGTCCCCTCATCGTGTCACCAATGATAATGAATGATGCATTCCTATTTTTCTTCGTTCTGCTCATTCCTCTTTTGTCTCCTTTTGAGAGCACTTTTTGAAATCGGGGGCCATGGCTCAAATCCGACAACTTCATAGTTGTGTATGAATGAACACATTACCCTTGTTATCTTTGCAAATCCGGCTCGTCACCTCCTTTCGCATAAGTTGCATTCCTACACTGATATGAACCACATTACATTCTCAGCGTACTCACACCCAACCTTGGAGCGTGGACAATGAGACAATTACTACTCTGCCTTCTACGATTGTTTTCTGTTCTCTTATTCCACTTTCGTGTATCCCTTTCTTCTCCCCCCTTCTTTACACTCTCACCTCCTTCAGTACCCTCTCCCTCCCTCTCCCTTTTATCTAGAGCGAAAGAAGAAAGGAGAACGATATTCTTCTCCCGAGGGGGGTTAGGTTTTCTTGAACATTGGGCAAACGCATGGGCACTCACTCCCTTTTTCCAGGCGAGGGGTGGGAAGGTTCAATGCCAGAGGTCCAAAAAACGAGAGGACATGCGATTGCTTGAAGGTGTTCTCTCCTCCAGTGATGACATTGACCGCGCTCAGTCCGCTAATATCACATGACATGTAAAAGCAAAGCATCCCCTTAATTGACGCCCAACCCCCAGCACTTGTCCACGTTTGACACGGTCACGAAGAGTGTGAACTTCTTGGCGAAGCAAAGAGGGTCCATGGTCTGTGACATCTCGTCTTTCCTACCCCGACTCTCTTCCATTCACCTTACCAACCACACTCATTCCAACCTGTCAACATACATTCACAACTACAACCTACAACACCTACTCCCCTGACACTCCAAGCCTTCGTACAGGACACAACAAATCACAACAACCCACATAGTCGACACTCTCCCACGCTTACTCAGCATGTCTGACGCCAAGGCTTTGCCCACTTGGTGCCTGCCAGGGGAGATATTCAAGACGACCTTTGAGGGCGTGTTCGGATTCTACCCGGTCGATACTCGTGGAAAACCTCTCTGCGGTGACGCTCTCGATGCAAACCTAGCAGGACCAGGACTGGAAACCACAACAGCCACAGGGGCAAAACGCCTCGACCACAACAACCCTAATGATACCAGTTCAGGTACAAGGAGCAAGAGTCGTGTGCGAGGTACGCAGGATACCTCTGACTTACCTCTTGGCCATACCCAGCCAGGAAAAGGGCATCATCACCAGCAACACCACGGTCACCACGGTCTTGGCCACCAGCAACACCATAGTCGCAGTCGAACCCACCCTCACAGAACGGCACCATCGTCGTTTGATGCACACTCTACTTCTAGTCAGCCAGGGCCACATTCGCTGACGCGGCTGGTCATTACCAACTTCCGCTTGTGCTCGCTACCGCCCTTGGTTGCTGACCAGGACTCTATCCGCCAACAAGTCACTCTCGGATCGATTGCGTCCCTGACTATGCAGGGGTGCCAGATTACGATCACACTCAAGTTCGATTCGACTCAGTACATCATTTCCCAGGCACCTCAGGGACCTCCACAAATCGTCGACGTGCTGACTACACTACGACGAGTTGTTTTCAACGAGGACACCAAGCCTCGATTTCCTTTCTTGATGGGCTGGGAACTCCTGGGTGCTGACACGAAGGAAAGTTCGAGTGTCATTTCTGGAAAGTTGCAGCATGCCAGCAATACCAGGAAGAGCTCCTTATGGACGGCGGAGGATATTATCGCTCCATTATCAGACAGCGAGACGGAGCAACCGGATCAGCAGCAGAAGAATGGTTCTCAGACGAAAGGATCGCAAAGGACGATAACGCTGGGATGGGATGGCGGGTTCAACCTACGACAGGAGTTTGATCGACTACAGTATGACAAGAACCTCTGGTACGACTTACGCCCTGTTGTCTTTCCCCTACTATCGCCAAAAATTATTTCCATACCTCACACACTCACTTTGAGGCTGTATATTTACATTCTTGAATGCTCTCGATAGGACCGTGGCGCATGTCAACGCTGACTATGAGTTATCGCCAACATACCCTGAGGGATTCATCATGCCTGCTGCATTCCTAGGACTCGACACCAAGCCATATTCAAACAGTCAAACGACAAGGTTACCACCAAAAACGGGATTCAGACCACAAGGACAATCAGCAGGACCCAATGCCCATACCCAGTACCCTCCAGCCCCACATCGATACCCTCCAGCCCAGCCATCTCTTTTACAGCCCGAGGATTCAGACGCATGTCTCCGACAGCTTGCAGCTTTTCGATCCAACAAGCGTTTCCCTATTATCTGCTGGAAGGCTCCCGATAGTGGACTTGTTTTGATGAGGAGTGCGCAGCCCATGGTGGGCTTTCTGGGAGCTCGGTAAGTTGTCATCAATTAATTACATGCTTCGTTCTGCTTTAGTATCACTCTTTTTTACACTCACCGCTCACATGTAATATTGTCCGCATTGTTTTTCTTACCTGTAGTGGCCCGGAAGACGAACTGTACATCAGGACGGTGCTCAACACGGCGTGCAGGGAGCATCAACTCTTGCATGAGAACAAGATCACGCCGAGGCTATGTATCATGGACGCTCGTGCTTACTCCTCCGCGGTAGCTAACGGATATCTTGGTGGAGGACGTGAGAATCCAGGTAATGGCCGATCGAACTTCCATATATATCCTTGGTATATTACTGAATGAATCCTGACACATGCACACGTTGCATTGATATCGAATTAGACCATTACCCTAATGGGTCAATATCATTCATGTCTCTGGGGAACATTCATGTCATTTCTTCTTCCCATCAAGCCCTTCTCAAGGCCGTCTCCGCTCACGCAGACTCGCCCAATTGGTACGCAGTGATTGAGTCGACAGGATGGCTCACACATGTGGCAGACGTGCTCAAGGCTGCTGCTGGGCGTGACGGAGTTGTTGGAAAGATGCTTGAAGGACAGTCCTCCGTTCTTGTGGTATGTTGTCGACATTTTCGTCAATATTTTACTGTCCATTTGTTCTAGATGTTGGACGAATCCGAGCTGACATGATGGTTTCTTGAATTTGTAGCATTGCACGGATGGTTGGGACAGGACAACACAGCTGGTCTCGTTGGCTCAAATTCTTCTCGACCCATACTACAGGACGATCAATGGACTGCGGGTCCTCATAGAGAAAGAGTGGCTCTCCTGTGGCCACCCGTTCCATTCTCGGACAGAGGTGGCCCCAAATCAAAAGAAACCAAGCACACCAACAGTGGACGAAGAGTCGTCAGAGTCATGGAAGTTGGGCGCGAACGCGATCCATTCGAGTCCCAATGGCGCTAAAGAGTCGCTTTCGTATTCTCGAAAGTGGCTGAACCGCGTTTATGGCGAGCAGGAGTCGCGACTGGATCCAAAACCCATACCGTCTTTTTCTTACCATATGGAGCCACCGCAACAACAACATCATTATCATCATCAGCAGCAGCAGCAGCAGCAGCAGCAGCAGCGGGAGAACATGTCTAGGCAGACTAGGACGCCATTTTACGCCAACCACCCGTTCCCAGAACCTCTGAGCTCACATCAGACAAAAGGGTCACCAGCCTTTTCGGAACAGGGGCCATCACAGCAACAACAGCAAGGGCATTCGACTACACCTGTCAACGCTCAGACAGTTCCTATATCGCCGTCACCGGTGTTCTTGCTCTTTTTGACCTGTATCCACCACATTGTTCAACAACACCCGAATCAATTCGAGTTCAACGACTACCTACTCCTTGTCCTCGCCCGTGCTGCATCGGGGTTCTCGCCCTTTGGAGACTTTTTGTTCAACTCTGAGCGGGAGCGGGCTCAAGAGCGATTACGGCACCGGTCTCCGTCTATCTGGAAATGGATCCGTCGGAACCGGGGGTGGTTTACGAATCGCGATTTCATACCCGACGATGCGCCGATTACGCAGAGTGGCTCATCATCATTGGGATCGTGGAGGGAGAAGGTTCTGCAGGTTCAGACAGGCGGGCGGTATACGACACTTTGGTCCGAGTATTACTTCAACACCACGCCTACTTGGTACCCTGACACGCGGACAGTGTTGTCAACCCCGCTTTATCTCTATGGGCGGAAAGGGAGGGAGGCGCATCAGGTCTTGCGACGGCAGCAACAACAGCACCATACAGACAATCTGGCCAACTCGTGGTGGTCAAGTCGATTTGATCAGAACCAACTGCAGATGCTCACTTTTCCGGGGCTCTCGCCTCAACAGCAGCATCATACTCGAACCCCACTCCCATCCTTGGCGGACTGCCCAGTGGCAGCAAGGGTGACCACGATCCCTCCTGGGCTGGCACTTTTGAGAGGCGAGGAGATGTATACTTATTACATGCTGGCGCAATATCTGCGTGCTACGCGGAGAAGGCAGGTTGAGAAGGCGCTGTTGGCGTGGCGGGAATGGACCAAGGAGCGAAAGGAGACCAAGTCTGTGCAGGAGGCTGGGTGGGTTCTGGGTGGTGTTTCTGGAGAGAGTAGTGGTCAGGAGGATACTGCCCTGGATCACCGTGATGGTAGTGGGGATGATGAGGATGAGGATGGTAGTGACAGCGATGACCAGGTAACTGCGGGAGTCAACAACCGTACTTTGCCGCGATCCAAGAAACGTTCTTCTGTTCGTCGTTCTCCACCAGAGCTCAAGATTGTCGCTGCGCGCAAAGGTATCCAGTCCGAGATGGAGCGGATCATGGAGGGTGGACCGTTCTTTGGCAAGGGTCCCGTTCAGCACGAAGACGAGACTGACGAAGAACCAGAGCCAGAGCTAGGGCAATTGAGTATAGAAGCGGGGATGAAAATTGCTGCAGGGACGAGGATGGAGAACCTGAAGGATATCCGACTAGAGGTGATGACGGATCTGAATGTGGATGACCTGGATGAGTCGTTTGATGACTTTGGGTTCCCTGTTAGTCTTGTCCAAGTCAATACCGCTGCCGTCGCCAAGGTGTGAGAAGTGGAGGAGAGAGAGGCTCTTTTCTTTTTGATATATATCGTCTCTGTCTACATATTAAAATATTCTGTGCTTTTTTTTTTCATTTCGAACACGCAGTGCCCGCTTGGGAGTAAACAACAAGCATCATTTTTATGCCAACAAAGAATGGGCACGGTCGAAAAATAAAACCCAGAACACCGCCCGTTTTGTATAACGTGGAGGATTCATTTCAAATCATAAGGGGTCAGCAGGGTGATTCTCCTGACGAAGCTATTGCCCGAAAAAAAAAAAAAAAAAAAAAAAACGGAAACGCCATGAATCGTTGCCAAAGGAGTCGCTTCTGCTCTGTGGGCACCCAAGTCCTGTTCGAAAAGAAACCACAGTATGCATGCCACATCATGCGCATTACAAAAAGAGAACAAAAAAAAAAAAAAAAAAAAAGGGTACTGTCAATTTTTTTATTTTTGTTAATTTACAGCAACAAAAAAAAACGCGAGAAAAATACAAGAATGGAGGGGGAATATGCTAATGGGGGCGGGGGGGGTTGCGAAAAAGAAAAGTACGCCGCTTTAGATGCGAGCCTTGATTTGGTCAATCTCAATAATATCATTGTAAAGCAAAGAGGTCAAGAAATCACTGTAAGCCTCTCCAGTGATCTGGGTAGCAAGGTGCTTCTTGGCCTCGGTCATCTTGGAAGCCTTGAAGCGCTGCTCTCCCATGGACTGAGCAAGCTTCTCAATCTCCTCATCAAGAACCCTCAAGAGGTACTTGGCCGTGACAGGGACACCCTCGTTGGTACGAGCCTGGTGCTTGGCCCACTGCCACAACTGGGAGCGAGAGATCTCGGCGGTAGCGGCGTCCTCCATGAGGTTGTGGATGGGGACACATCCGAGACCGCGCAACCAAGCCTCCATGTAGATGAGGGAAACCGAGACGTTGGCACGGATTCCGGCGTCGGTGATGGCGCCCTTGACATTGGTGTTGAGGAGGTCTGCGGCCTCGACGTGGACGTCGTCGCGGCGGATGTGGAGCTGGTTAGGCTGGGGCATGTGCTCGTTGAAGACGACGAGGGCGAGCTTGACGAGGTCAGGGTGAGCGACCCAAGTACCGTCGTGACCGGCCTTGACTTCACGCAACTTGTCGGTGCGGACCTTGTCCATGGCGGCCTTGTTGGCGGCCTCGTTGTTCTTGATGGGAATCTGGGCGGCCATTCCACCCATGGCGTGGACACCGCGCTTGTGGCAGGTCTTGATCAAGAGGCGGACGTAGGCGTCCATGAAGGGGGTGGTCATCGAGATATCAGACCGGTCGGGGAGGACGTACTCAGGTCTCTGACGGAGCTTCTTGATGAACGAGAAGATGTAATCCCAACGACCACAGTTCAATCCCGAGGAGTGATCGCGCAATTCGTAGATGATCTCGTCCATCTCAAAGGCGCCGAGGATGGTCTCGATCAGGGCGGTGGCGCGGATGGTGCCGCGGGGGAGGCCGATGTAGTCCTGGGCGGTGTTGAAGACGTCGTTCCAGAGACGGGCCTCGAGGTGGGACTCCATCTTGGGGACATAGAAGTATGGGCCGATGCCGATGTCGATCGACTTGCGGGCGTTGTGGAAGAAGTAGAGTGCGAAATCAAAGATCGATCCCGATACGACCTGTCCATCGACGAGAACGTGCTTCTCATCCAAGTGCCATCCACGGGGTCTATTTTTTTTTTTGTTCAATTGAAGGAGTAAAGGAGGGTTATAGTGTTAGTTGGTTGCTTGTGTCATCTTCCAGCAATGGATCGATTGAAGCAACAAAAAACACGGAACAAATATGTTACCTGACAAGAAGAGTGGCGACCTTGCCATCCTTGCGGATGTTGTACTGCTTGCCGTTGGGGGCGGTGAAGGAGATGCGCTGGTGGATGGCATCCTTGAGGTTGCGCTGGCCGTCGACAAGGTTGGAGAAGGTAGGGGCGGTGGAATCTATTCAATTGAGAAGTAGCCGGGGTGCGTTGTGAGTGGATCGCTCTCTTTTTCTCGTTTTTATATTCATATGATGTCCCTTCTTTGCGATCAATCCATGTCATATCCCTCCCACCGCGGTCACATGTCGATGCCTCTTCTTCCCCCGGAAATAGCAGGGATCCAGTCATTCGCGAATATTAAAAAAGCAGTCCTCCACTGAGCCAGCTTTTGGTCCCTTCTTTTTTTTAAGGTTTCCGTGGGCAAAGCGTATTCACTCTTGTTCAATCATTCATTCTTCTTCCTCTTGTTCTTGTTGTTGCCCGTGAATATTGCTGAAAAAAGAGGTTGTTGTTGTTTGTTTGTTTGTTTGTTGGCTTGTACAAGAGAAAACAAGATGGGTGAGCATGCACCTTGGCGAAACACAAAGTAGCCCTTTGCTGTTTCTTTGTGTGCATATATCGCACACTCCGGAATAAAAGAAAAGAACACCAATAAGAAGAAACACCATTCCACGAGAATAAAAGCAAGAACGTACCCTCAAAGTCGGCCATGAAGGTAGCAGCTCCAGAGTTCAACGCATTAATGACCATCTTGCGGTCAACAGGTCCAGTGATCTCGACACGGCGATCAGCGAGACCAGGAGCAGGCTTGGCAGCCCTCCAGGTGGCATCCTCACGGATATGGCGGGTCTCGGGCAAGAAGTCGGGGAGATGGCCCTGGTCGAGCTCGATCTGGCGGGCGACGCGACGCTGGAGGAGCTGCTGGCGGGTTGCCTCGTAGGTGCGGTGCAAGATGGCGACGAGCTGGAGGGCCTCGGGAGTGAGGACCTCGGTGGCCTGCTCGGGGGTGACCTTTGCGAGGATGGTCACTCCAGCGACTTTGGTATCAAAAGGCATCTTGGATGTGTGTGTGTGTGTGTGTAAAGGGTGGTGGTGGTTGTAATGTACAAAGGAGAGAGGGGAGAGGGGAGAGAGAGAGAGGAGAGAGCGGTGATGATGTAGAAGTAGAAGAAGAAGAAAAAAAAAGAAAAAGAAGAGAAGAGGACAGTTCGATCACGGTCTATTTATTCGTGTCGTTGTGTCTTCGTGTTCATCGGAGAAACGAATGATGAAAGGAAATCAAACAAGGTTCGTCACTCGTGTAAGACTATGCGTGTGTGGGTGAACAAGTGTGTGTGTTGCAAGACAGGACAGGACAGGAAATAATTATTTGAGCGCGAGGCGGGGTGTTTGTTTGCAGTGCGGGGAGGGGATAGGATAGAATCCAGCTGGAAGAAATGCGACAGAGCGATCACCCTACGGGAAGACGCGGAATTGAAAAGGCATACTTGTGCTGCCAGGGGAGATTGAATAGATACGACTCAATTGAAATCTTGACACTGAAGGACATGGCCGGAAACAAGTGGACAGGTAGAACACACCCCTGACAACTAACCTCTGCTAAGGTTTGTCCCTACCAGATCTTGTTTGTTACCCCCAATCACCCTCTTGGCCGTTGTATACGATGGAATTCTCCGGAGTGTGCAATCGCCTTCTCTGACTCTCCCACTCATCATCATCATCATCAGTCCTACCAAACTCCCCGCGCTTCCCTCCTTCGCTCTTTCCTTTCTTTGTTCTCGTGAGTGAGAAGGAAAGAGGTGTGAGCGTGAGAGTCTTCACGATCGTGAGAATCAAATAATGCACACTGTGGGAGATATAAAAAATAAAACAGGTGACAGCACACCCGACTTTTCTCGTTGTCTCTTCTCTCCTTCAACCACCCTTTTTGTACACGATCGTCCAAACCATCTTCTTAAATTCAATATATCCCCACCACACCCCACACCCTCACGTACATGCATCTTTACTTGAAAATAAAAGTCCCTATCACCATCAACTCACCTCCTTGCCTCGTTCCCCTTGGTCATGCACACAACCAGCCACCCACAACCAAAGGTCTACATTACCACGAAAAGAATGCGTTTAATGCGTTGTTGAAAGTAAAGAGCGAAAAATACCACCAGTGGGCCACCTGCTGCTACCGGAGAAACGACGCCAGCGCACTAGGTTGCCTTCTTTCATCTGCACCGTCATGACCGTTGGCAACCTCCTCTGTAGATGATGACAAGAAACGTGGAGGTGTTGGTGACCGCGCGTTCGACAGCAACCGCCGTGCTGATGTCAAACGACGCTTGTTGGACGATGGCGTGGTAGCTTCAGGCGACGGTGATCTGGAATGAGCTCCAGCTGCAGCTGCAGCTGTCGAATCCTCTGGCGGTGGTGATGGGTTCCGTTCAGAACTATCGGGGTCAGGTTGAGCTGCTGTGCTTCCGCCCGTCACGCTCTTGCGTTTGGTTCTCGACTCAGTACTGCTGGAGATAGTGGCGGCGGAGGGAGAGGATGTAGTGATGGCCTCTGTTGTATCGGAGCGCGGTTCCTTTGTCTGGACAAAAAACAACGTGCTCTCCTTAGTAGAGATATTGAGGATGCTGTAGGTGTTTCCCCGGGGGACCAAGAACCGTCCTCCTGTCGAAATTACAAAGTCAGACTCGTGAACCTTGACCTGTACAAGTCCCTTGATCACGTAAAAGACCTGTCAAAAACAAAAACATGGGACAAAGCAAGACAAGATTAATATTAAACATCCTGCATGCTCTCGTTCTCCAATGCCAGTAACATATTTTTAGGGCTGCATATAAACACATCCTCTTCATACCATGGAAGTGTTGGTGCCGCTGTTGACAGGCTTCCTGCCATTAGGCTTGATCTTCAGGGTGCCTGTAACCATATAGCCAGCATCCTCCAATCCACGATGCAACTGGTATTCGCCGCTCTTCACATTCCGAAACTGAATTGAACTGTCCGATTCCGCAATGTCTATGACGCGAACACACAGGGTCGTTCACAAAACAGAAAATGAAAATCAAAAGAAGCAAAATTAAGCGAGATGTTCCGTGGGTTCCGTGCGACAATCCCACCAAAACAAAACGAAGCAAAAGAAGGCCATGAGACTTACCTTTCGACACAACATCATCCGAACCAAAGACGATTATATCTGCAGTTACTATGGGATCCTCGCGGAATCCTGTGCTAGTCTCTGCTTGGTCCTCGTCCACATCCATAGAGTCATGGTTGTCCTCTTCCAGTGCGCGGTCCTGGCCAGATTCCTCGTCGTCTTCCTGCTTGCCCTCCTTGCCCCTGCCCTTGTCCTCTCTCTTCTTGGCCGCGCGTTGAGGTCTTACAGTCAGAGGTTTTGATTTCCCCCGAGGCTTACGCTTGGGCTTCTCTCGAGCCTCTTCTGACGCGGCACGCATCACACTCTTAATAACTGGACCTTCACGCGTCTTGCTATACAGCACCTTTTCATTCATCCAGAATTTCAGCGGTGTCACTTTAGTTCGACCACTCCTCCTAACTAAAGAGTCGCGAAAAAATAATAAACAATAAAACCGCGTTAGATCTCGGACCGCACATGCGCACATAGTGCCAATCTTTTCCCCATACATCACGCTGAACCAACAAATCAATCGTTACCTCCAGTTTCCTCAGCATTCTGATCCGGTACAATAGGAACCTCATGAGTCGTGCTGGAAGTATCATGGCCAGAATGTGTCGCCCTTCCTATTTTCTTGGTACCGGAATTATTGAAGTTCGATCTAGACGTGCTGGAGGAGGCCTTCGACTTTCCCTTTGACTGAGCCATTGATGGCACTTTTCCATAATCCTCCGACAACTCCTCCCTCTCCTCCCTCTCCTCCTCATCACCGTCGTCATAACTCCGCCGCTGTTTCTGTCGCGCGCTCGTGCTAGGAGCTGACTTCTGGGGTATATTCTTCTGTTTGACCGCCACCATGGTTGCTCCTGCAGCTCGCTTGCCTCCCTTCAACACCTCTACAGGCTCCTGCACGCTGGCAGTCCGCTTCTTGCGAGAAAAAGCGCTCATCTTCCTGCGATTGTCCTGCAGAACTTCCTCGTCCTCCTCACTTTCCTCGTCTTCATCCCTTCTGGTTGGTTCATCCTCGTCTGAGAACCTCAACCGATCGTCATCGTCACGCCTGTCCTCCGGGCCATCATGAACAGACTCGTCCTCATCATCACTCGGAGCCAACCATGCAGGGGGGGCCTTGCTCTTCTGTCTGAATTCTGATGCTGTCCGCCCTGCTTTGGCCTTTGCTGCTGTTGCTCGTGGTGGTGGGGGTGGTGTCGGTTCGCGCACGTCATTAAAAGGGTATTCCGCATCGTTCCGGTCGCGGTTGGAGTTGATGTCGTCATCGGGGTGCCTATAATCGTCCTCCTGATCGTCGGAATATCCTCCAAAGTCGAACGCCTTTGGAAGGTTCGCAGGTCGTCTACTGGGTACTGGGGCCTTTGAAGGCTGTACGGATGTCGGTTTTGGCTGTGCCTTGCTAGGTACTGCTTTTACTGGTACTCTGTTGTTGGTAGTTGCAGGGGCCCGAGCTACGTTCGTTTTCATATGGGCATTCCTGTCCTGTGAATCCCTCAGGATCTTGTCGAGCGCTGGGGAACCAGAGTTAGCTTTGTTGGAATGTCCCTGATGTGGCGGGGCCTGCTCTGTGTCGTTGTTAGACGAATCCTTGGTGAAAACAAGTCTCTTCCTGATGCGATCGATCGATGGTGATGGGGTTCCCTCTGCGCCAGCGGAGAGGTGAGACCCTATGTAAAGTTGAAATGACGAGATCACGCCATTAGCCTTTGTTGAAAGAGTGAGCTTATCAACCTTGTCTATTTCAAAAGCGCAACGTACCATGGATGGTCCCATCGCCTGAAAGAGTACCCCTTGCACCACCTCGAGACCGACGTGATGTAGGTGTCAATAACAGCTCCTCCGGTGCCTCCTGCTCCAAGTAGCGACGTGGGTCTGATTTTCGGACAGAGGGTGATGAATGTACCTCATCCTCGAAATCATCCTCTCCACTGAAGTCGTCCTGCTCTGCGTCCTGTGTCATGTTTTGGCTGTTGACGGCGGGACCATTGTCATCGTCATCATCCCAGAAGTCATCGATATTGTCCAACCCGTCGGCATCCTTCTTGACATTGCTCTTCATCGTGATTCCCGTCCTCCTATCGAGTTCAACAAAAGAATAAAAGATAAATTAGCTCGCGCGATAAAAAATGTGTTGAACAGGTGTGGGAGTGTGTGTGGGTGGTCATCAGTCCGGTTCCCTATGTTCATGTGTTCATGCTGTCTCCAAAGTACCTTCCGACGACGCCAATGTCGAAAAAGTTGTTCGTCCTGACCCTTGGTCCTGCATCATAAGCCTAAAGTAACAGAAACACACCGTTCTACATGTTAGTCTTCTTTTTTTGTGGTTGTTGTATGCATGTCGTATGCAGTCTGTTGAGGCAAGGTTTTTTTTCCGAAACAAGCGAGATATAAGGCTCTCTTTACTTTGCTCATTGTGAAGTGAGTTGAAGGATTTCAGTCCTTAGATGGAAGGAAAAAAGAAAATAGAAGGAAAAAGGGCGACGCTCCAGTGTGTCGGTCGTTCCTGTTGGAGATGGGATTGATCCCTTTGTGTGGTGAAGAGTGTGAGAGTGTGGTCGGAGTAAAGCACAACGAGGCGCGTTTTAGAAAAAATCAATTTTAGGGCACATGCTACAGAAATCAAAGTTGACGTCACCCTTAAACAAATACAGAGGGATGTCAAGGCCATAGACTTCGCGAGCCGCCCCTCCTCCTCAGTCGCGGTAGGGTTGGCTCTGTTGCATCCTCTTTGCTTCATTTTTCAACACCGCCGCAAGCGACGTGAATGGATGAATCAAAGGCAACGGATAACCTTGCGCTTCGGATATATTGATGCGCGACAAACGTTGTTGCTGTCCAGGTGTACAAAGCAAAGGTCGGGTCCATTTCGAATTTGATTCTCAACGGGTGGTCGATGTGCAGTGCGCTGTAGATGTCTGAGCCCAGCAGGGCATTTAACAAGGTTATTTGTATGAAGACGGGCATAGCAATTAGTTTCTTGGTCTCTTGGTCTCTTGGTCTGAAGGACGAGCGCGAAGGGCTAGTTTATTATTGACACTTGTTACTCTCACGCCTTGAGTTCTTTTTTCCTTCTCTTCTTTTTTGCCACCCCTGTCGCTCGTCATACATGTCCACATACCACAGGCTGCATTGACCCCCACCCTTTTCTCCCTCCTTACTTGTTCCCCCGTGTGAATAAATATCATCCGTTCATGTTCTCTTGCTCCCTTCTTTTCTTTTCTTTCTTTTCCTCATTTTTGCCGTCTCGTTTCAATACATTCCTACTCCTGACAATAACAACCCAACACCATCGATCCTCAGACAAACAACAACTCTCACACAGCAAACAAGAAGGATGCCTAGTGCCGTCGCCGTCGTCGTTCTTCCGCCCTCCACCGAGCCCCGTCTCGAGTCGTCGCCATCCCCTTCCTCTTCTTCCTTCTTTACCACACCATCATCCGACGCAATCACCGCAGCCACCGCAGCCAACCTCCTCGCAACAGCAACAACCCTTGTTACTGCTGGACAATCCCTCAAGTGTACCGAAGCCCTCAGCGCTCAAAAGCAGCACCGGATCACGTACATCCAACAGCAGCAAAGGATACAACAGGAGAAGCAGCGGCAGCTTATTTACTCCCAACAACAGCGGCACCAGCAATATCTGCGATGTTCTGGACAAATGCCTTACACAACCCCAGGAAGGGCTTTTATTGATAACGGGAAGAACAAGGCGATGGGAGGCACGGGCAAGGGCAAGGAACCAAAGTTTGTGGACTTGGTGGATGATGTCTGGAGGTTAATCTTTTTCATCCTTGCCTGTGATTGTAAGGATCTCGGACGGGTCATGCAAGTCAGCAGGCGATTTCATAGGTACTAAGTCATCTATTTTGCTTTTTTCACACACACAACACCACCACACACCACACTCCCTCGATCCTGATACGGTTTTATTACCTCCGGGTAGTGTGGCCTCGAGACTCTTTGTCTGTTGATGTTGTTTGTTGCAAGAGCATACTCCAATGACGCTATGTCGGCTGTATTCCCAATTCCACTGCCCGATGATCGCCAAAAAGAAGAAAAAAGTAGGGTCGAGGGAACACAAGGTTTACTGAGTACTAACCAATGCAACTCTACTTTCTCTTTTATTGGTTTCTAGCCTCATCGCTAACGATGCTCTACTCTGGAGATTAACCTACAAGTTGACTATATCAGGATCGATCTTTGCAGGACAAAAGCCCCTCCTGTCACCTTCTTGGATTAGAGAACACCAGCTATCGGTACAAGAGGCGTCAGAGTCTCTTGCCTCTTCTTCCTCTGCGCTTCAGGGTCGATCGGGATCTACATCCAACGGCGCGCTCCCACACACCCTCAAAAAGTTCTCAAGCTACATGATCGACAGGAACGACGATGGTCTGGACTCTATGCCTATCAACACGGGTGAACACGGACTTTGCAGGGGATCAGTCGGCAATGTAGAGGCGGCGAGTTCGTCTGCTTTGAGTGCATTGGCCTCTTCTCGATCACATTCAGGATCACAGTCCACAGGAGCCCTCCTTCAGCCGAACAGCATCACCAACACCAATGCTACTCGTACAGCGGTGTCCATAGCCCCAGGACTGCAAATGCCCTCGCCCCTGATCCTGCCCCACCACCGTCGGATAGCACAGAGCATGAACGCCGTGAACACATCCTCTGGTCAACCAACTGTATTCACTCCTGCCCAAGTCGCTAGTTCCAGCCAGTCGCAGCTATCATACTTCTCAGGAACGACTTCAACCAACAGCAGCAGCGGGAACTTGGGACCAACTACTACCAGAACACCCGCCTCCACACCAGCAACAACTTCGATGCCCTCCTTCTCTTCAACACTATCATCGTCCGTCTCACAAGTCGCTGCCACCAATTCGTCAGCAACACCAATCCGCGTGATTCAGCACCATATTCCGAGCACGACGCTAATGCATCATTCACCAGCTGTCTACTGGAAATATCAGGTGGCCGAGTGGTTGGAGCAGGAGAAACTACGGTGCTTGAGACTGGGTTTGTTTTGGGGGTTCAATGCAGCAGCATCGAAGGTGCACGGACGCAAACCCCATGGAACACTGTGAAATATATCGATCGAAGAAGGATCTGAAATACACAAGCCGTTTTAGTGATGTATATGTACTATAGGTGCCAATTGTTAGTCGACAGACCAGGAGAAGAATGCGTACCAGAGTACCTGTGTGCGTGGGTGGAGTTGGTTCTGGTCAGCAAAGAGAAGGAGATGATCATGTGATGAGTTGAGCTGACTGTTTTCACCCGTGGCTTACACCGGCGCGTAATTTAACTGCTTTGGTCATGTCAGATAACAGCGCTTTGTTATTGTTGTTCCTTCTCAGTCTCTCACCAACTCGCCACCCATTGCAAACAACCAGCAACACACTGCCTACTCAACACCAACGCCGCAGAAGACAGCGGCATACAGAAACATAATCGGCACCATCACTCATACATCCACCCTCATCCTCTCACGCATCATCCTTCGGACTTTTCCTTTTGGACCTCTCGTTCATTAACCTCAGGAATATACATTTTTGGTGGCAAAGGCAGACAACAAAACGCATCGGCATCTTACACAGGGACAAACGCGACAATGTCTGCCAACTTTTTTGAAGAGAACCCATTCCTGGAGGATGACAACCCTTTCTTAAGTGGTCCTTCCAAGACTGCATCCTCAAAACCCTCGACTTCTCGTACTCGCTCCTCGGCTTCGACGACCACAGAGGACGACAACCCCTTTGCCAGTAAACCTAGTACTTCCCAAAGACACGTCCATGCTTCAGAGTACCAGCAACCAGCAGCATTAGGATCGGCTCACTATTCCGATCCGGCCTCTGAACAAGCGTTTACCTCTACCTCCCAACCCAAGTACGCCTATACCCCGACAACGTCGTCGTTTCTTTCACCGGGCTCCTCTCGGGAGATTGACACACAACAGTCTTGCAAGCCTGAACAATCGTCACACAAGTCTCGCAGTTCGAAGAGCACCGAGCTTGACTATCGTAACGTCGGACCAGATGATTTGAAACTAGCGCGGCGAGAACTCAAGGCTTGGGAAGCCAACTTCAAGGCTGCCCACCAACGCGATGCGACTCAGGATGACATTGCCCAGGACGCTGTGATGGGTATGTGACTTTTACCCAGATATTGTTTGTTCGCTATCAAGGACGTGCAGCTGACCAATCACTGCCATTTCTTATTATATAGTGAAGAAATACAGGGCATACTCAAAGCTAAAGAAGGCGCTGGCGGCCAAGGCTTCACAAGATCAGATTAAAGCGGCAGTATCGTCGGAGACAAAGGGAAAGGAGACAGCAACAATGTCTAATCGCAGCCGGGACAAGGAATCAAAAGTTGATATCATGAAAACCCCAACAAAGACTTCGAGGACATATGACGCGTTGGGCTTGAGGACGCCGACCAAGAAGCACAATCCCACAGTCGAGTATGTGTCGCCAAGGAACATTGCAGGATTCATGTCCCCAGGTCGGGGAAGCAAGACCAGCGAGGATCCACTTAAGTACGCCTCAGGATCTACTTCCACTACACCAACGTCCCAGCGGACCAAAAACATCATGTTTTCTCCTTCTCGGAGCTCGAGACGCCGATCGCTGGCTGGCTCGCCAGGATTTCGATCTCCAAGCTCACTGTTCACGATCCGAGAGCAGGTCAAAGATGCCAATGGCGAGTCCTCAAGTGCTGTGCCAACAACCCCTACTCGTCGGAACAAGGATAGCTTATTCGACAATCCTTTTATGACAGGATCGTCTCCGAGTTCCCGGCGGGTACGCACACCTACACCAAAACGGATATCGACAGCGCACACCCTGGATGTCTTTCTTTCGCCGTCTCGCCCAAGGACATCTCCGTTGTTTGGAGGTATGAACGTCCGACGCCCAAAGAGAGCTCTAAAGATGTCTGCGCCTGTCAAGGAGGATCTGGAACCACAGACTGAGAGCAACAACACGCTGGACCGGGAGTTTACACCGACACCGCAGGAAAGTCCATTTCCTCCGCCACTGGTCTATTCCAAAAGCCCTCTTCTCTCGACGCCTCAAAAGTCAGGAGCAGCCAAGGCGGCACGATCACTCTTTCGACGATCCAGCATCCCACACACCAGCCTCTCTTCTCCTTATGGTACCCTCAGCATTGGCGAGAGTTTTGCCGGAGTCGGATATGAAGACGCGGACATGCCTTCAACTCACGCAGCTGACGTCCACGAAGCCTTGGATTCAATGTCTATCAGCGATGTGGACGAAAGCCGATCACCTTCTACTGGACGTATCATACACGGATTTGATGCTGAAGATCGAGATCTGGAGGCTTATAGAAGCATCCAGGGTTCACTGGCATTCTCAAGAGGATTCTCTCAAGGATTTACGTCCCCGACTGCAACAAGATCGCCAGGCCAGATGTCTCCCCCACGGACACCTAGTCAGCAGCCCAGCCTGACGTTCTCACAACCCACCCCTGGAAGCATTACACCAGATGCAGGACTGTGGGTTGTCCCGCCAGGATTTCATTCTCACCACCAGCGCCGTCGTCAAGTTCAATCGTCGTTGTTCATGCCTAGCCAGGAGGAATCTGCGCAGTTTGAGCTCGAATACAACTTGCGCGACAACGAGAGACAGATGTCCGATATCGGATATAAGGACTCCAGTGACGCGCCAAAGTCAAAGGTACCAGCGGTTACTGTCTCGGAACATGCTACAGACGACAACAATGGTTGGAAGGAGCAGGATAGTCAAGGTGAAGATGATCCAGCAGCTGTACAAACGACGACGGCGCCATCACGGAAGCGATTTACGCAAAAGAGAACCACACGTCTTCACAAGAGTGAGTTGTTACCAATTTGTTTCTCGAATCTGATATTTCACAAGCAGTGATTTAATATCACGGTTGATATTAAGTACATATCCTTCTTACAATTACATAGTTATTATAAGACCATCGGAGAAGGCTAAGGCAGAGGTTGCTAAAACGGCTGCTGCTAAGAGGTCTCGGAAGGCAGCGACCGCTGTACCCAAGTCAACCAAAGCATCGAAAGCCGCCAAGGCCAAGGCTGAAGAACTTGCCTCTGAGACTGTTGACACAACTGTCGACACCTCCACAGATACCCCTGCTGCCGAGTCAGCATCTACCAAAACCGATGCACCAACATCATCAACCACAAAGAAGGAGAAGGAGCAGGCACAGAAGCAGGAGCAGCCTTTCGGATGGGGCAACTCCAACAAACCCATGGTCAAGAGCGATCGCCGGTTTCCTGGAGTGGGGCAAGGAAGGGCTGGAGCTCGTAAGCCATCCAAGTTTGGTGCCCCTGCTAGTGAGGGCAACTTTGTCGCGTACAACCTTCAGCGTGGAGGTGGTAGGCGAGGCGGGTTCCGTGGGAAATCTCGGTTCGGTGGTTCCAAGTTTGGAGGATACGGTGGTGCTGCCGCTGGTGGACCAGGAACAGGAAGGAATCTCTTTGACGCTGACAGTTGGCGGTCGGAGTATGATAAGGACTTTGACGACAACACGCTGATGATGAGTCTGGCGGGAGGCGATCTTGAGGTTGAAGATGAAGACGACGACATGCCGTGGTATGGCAACGTTAACGACATCACAGACCCATATGTTGTGACGATCTCTCCGAGATACTTGAAGGCGCGGGTTGGCGAGGAGCACGACCCGGAAGAGTATGTCAAGGAACTGGAGCTTCAGAGCAGAAGAGAAGGCGATGACGATCTGGAGACTGGCGACTCGCAGGGCTTCCGTGTCAACTTGGAGTATATTTTGAAGAAGGTCTGGGGATATCCTTCGTTCAGGGATGGTCAGCTTGACTCCATCAAGCGGACGTTGCGACACGATTCGTCGTTACTCGTCCTCCCCACAGGTTCGTGCTCGCGTCATGCTTGCACCTGTACTTTTGTCACTTTTTGATGTCAATCCTAACAGCAATATTTCAATTTCCGCTTGTTCCCATAGGAAGTGGCAAGTCTCTGTCGTACCAACTCCCCGCCTATATTCTTTCGAAACTGGGCTTCCCCACTCTGACTTTGGTCATCTCCCCAATGATTTCACTCATGTATGATCAAGTCAAGTGTCTCCCTGCAGGCTTGATTGGTGCTTGCTGGACAAGTGTCGAGCAAACAGTAAGTTGCGACATATCTTTCTTGCGTTTGATAAAAGCTTTTTATGTATGAAATGGATCGAAGGCTAACAACAACCCCTTCCATTTCATATGTACTTTATAGACGGCGCAATTCAAGGACTTTATGCAGAAGCTGACGTCAAACACAATCAAGATCCTATTCATCTCGCCCGAAAAGCTGCAGAGCCAGTCGTTTTTGAGTCTTGTTCGGAGCAGGAAGATCCCACCCATCCCTTTTGTGTGTGTAGATGAGGTCCATTGTCTGTCAGAGTGGTCGCACAATTTCCGTCCTGCATACTTGCTCCTCAACCATGTCCTCATATCAGACCTCAAGTCACCCTGCGTGATTGGGTTGACAGGAACAGCAACGGAGGGCACCAAGGACTCGATCTGCGCGATGCTGAATATTGACCGAAGCGCAGGAGTGTTGTCTGGTCCGGTCATCCGTGACAACCTGGCGATGACTGTCTCGGTCGAGGCTGATCGTGAACCTGCACTGTTGAATCTGCTGCAGTCGCCTCGCTTTGCGGCCATGGATGCCATCCTGATTTATGTCATGCGACAGGCACAAGCGGACGCGTTGGCGGCGTTTTTGAGGGTCAGGAACTTTAGCGCCGAGAGTTACCATGCTGGCAAGTCGTCTCAGGACCGTCAGCGGATTCAGCACCGGTTTATGAACGACAGCGGGCCCAAGACAGGGGCAGGCGCGTCAAGCCAAGGCGGTGCACCAGGAGGAATCCGGATCCTGGTCGCCACGATCGCCTTTGGTTTGGGTCTCAACAAATCTAATATCCGCAGTGTCATCCACTACTGTCTCCCCAAGTCCCTGGAGAACTATATTCAGGAGATTGGGCGATCCGGTCGAGATGGTGAAAAGTCGTACTGCCATATGTTCCTGAACCAGGACGATTACATGCGCTTGCGGAGTTTGGCCTATGCGGACGGTATGGACTGGGGCACTGTTCTGCGGTTGATCAAGAAGTTGTTTTCGAGGAGAGAGATTTCGGATTCGCTGAGCCTCGGTGCTGCAGGAACTACCAAGAGGCGACGGGGTTTGTCTGGCGACGCGGAAGAAATTGGTGCGGATTTAGATGGAGACCAGGACTTGACCAAGAAGCGGAGGCAGAACAACCAGCGAGCTCTGAGTGTCAAGGGTGGTGGTGGCAAGGGCGAGTCCAAGTTCCAGAGCCTTGTTCATTCCACGGCCGGGATTCTCGTCATTCCTCCCCCGTCTGGTCTACAGTCATGCGCAGTGTCGACGTCTGGCAAGCGACTCGTTGTAGTTCGTGAGGAACTAGTGGAGGAGGAGTATGACATTAAGAAGGAGGTCCTGGCGACCCTTTTGAGCTATGTTGAGCTGGATGATTCTCATCCGATTAAGGTCACTGGGTCGATCTCGGCAAAGTGTACAGTCAAGTTTCTGTTGGAGGCCGAGGCGTTGTCGGAGCGTGCCGATCAAGTCCCTTTGGTCGATTTGATTCTGAAGCATGGAGTCATGACGGGCCATAATGTCAGTGGCAACAGCTCGTCTTCCTATGGACGAGGTCGCAAGGGGAGCAGCAAGTCTGGGCTGGGAGGATCGAGTCTGTCGATGGCGTATTGCTGTGATACTATATCGCTCTGTCAGCAGAGCGGGTTGAGTTTCACGGAGCTGACCCAGGAACTGCAGCAGTGGAAGTGGAAGAAATGGGCGCTCTATGAGATGACGGATCCGGGGCTTTGTGTCGAGATTTTGAGCGAACCGGCTGATTGTGTGAAGGAGGTTCGAAGACGTGAACGCGGCGCCATGGATGTCGACATGTCTGGAGCAGAGGAGGAGACCGAGGAGGGGTATGAGAAGGATCATGATGACTTTATTATGATGCTGGCGGACCGGTTGCATCGGAAACTGTGCGCTGTTGAGCGTGTTGGTGTGGCAAAGGTCGATCGGGTTTACGAGCTGTTCCAGTCTGTGGCTACTGAAACTTGGCAGCAGCAGGAGGTCTTTAAGCCCAGACTACTGGGATCGGGGGATGACGGTGATGAGGAGAAGGAGGAGGACGAGAAGGATGCTGGTAGCGGAGAGGATGATGGTGAGAGTGGTGCTGAGAGCAGCGAGTATGAGGATGATGTTGACCTGGAGTACATTGAGATGCGTATGAAGGCCAAGGCTGCGGCCAAGCGGCGCAAATCTCTGGCGAAGACGGCTGGATCATTCAAGGTGACACATGCGGAATTGATCCTGCGCGAGGGCATTCAAAAGTACTTTGCCAAGCGGTCTGGAGAGGGCATTGGTGGATTGCACGCCGAGGATGAGTTGTTCTCCAAGGCGATTGGAGCTCCTGCTGCCACCGATGATAACGGCACGTCTGTGTCAGAGTCTCTTGACCAACCTAAAATTCCGAAGGCTGTTGTGCGGATGGACAAGACGATGCGGTTGTACGACTATGAGAACGAGCTTGTGACAAACATGCAACGCAAGTGGCGGTCGGCTGTTGAGGTGGACCTCAAGGTGTTCTTGAACCAGCAGTGGCAACAACAACAACAACAACAGCAGCAACAGTTGGCTGGAGGAGATGTAGGGTTGGCAGGTGGCAGCAAGGTCGTTGATTCTCCAAGGGTTGTGTGCCGGATCTTTCATGGGATTTCGAGTCCTTGTTTCCCGATTATGGAGTGGAGGAATCATCGGTACTGGGGCAAGTACATGCATTTTGATTTTGCGCAGATGATGCAGATGGCTGCGAGGATTACCAAGGAGCATAGGTTGCAGCGCTTGCAGCAGATTCAGCAGCGGTGAGGAGACGGAAAGTTTGTGGGAGGGAAAGTTTAGATGATTAATTAAAACCAAGTTTTGCGTCCTTGTATCCATTGGAGGATCTTGTGTTCAGTATGTAAAAGAAATGTTAAAGGAGAATGTGCAGATTCTATACCAGCGTGTTTTTATTATACAGGGATGATATGTAACAATGGGTATTAGCGAGCCGTCATTAGGTTGGGCATGCGGATGTACTCGACACCGTTGAGGACAAACGATTGGAGACGCGGCATTTCCTCGAGGCGGTGCATCATATCCCGCACGAAGGATGTCGATCCTGCTGAGGACGAGGATGAAGATAAAGATGAAGAAGAGGCTGTGGAAAGAACAACGGGCATGGGCGTGTCTTCATCACCGTAGATGCTGCCGGTGCTGGTATGCGGAAGGGCTTGAGTATTGGAGGTGTTGGTCGAGATGGTTGTAGTGGGAGTGGCAGTATTGAAATCTTGATTTGAATGATTGAATTCACTAGGAAGGACCATGTTGTTGCTGCTGACTTGTCCGGGGATGGAATTCGATCCTGTGGGGTTGCTTCCAGTTATGGCGACGACTTCTCCTTCTTCCTCGTCCTCCTCATCCTCATCCACTTCGTCGTCAAAATCGTTGGTATTGGTGTCGCTAGGATGACGACGGCGCCGATCAGGCGGTCCAGAACTGCCCACGACAGACCAACCGTATAACGCAGCCTCTGCTACAAAGCCGTCTTCCTCCGAACGTCTACCTTCATCCTGAACTCCACGTACGTCCTGCTCTTGTCCCTGTCCTTGTCCCAGTTCTTGTCCTTGTCCCAGTCCTTGAAGTGCCACAACCATATCTCCTCCAGGACTACTATCTCCAGAAATAGACGCAGCCAAGAACAACCGATGCAATCGAGGCGAACAGGCCCAAGGAAACAAGAACAAGTATTCTGACATCCTCTCTGCCCCCTCAATCGACAACGCCGTCAGCTCTGAACACCCCATTAGAATCTTTCTCAGACTCTCTTGACTCTGCTCATTCGTTGCTGACGACGGCCTTCGATTAACGATGCGCAAGTCCAAGATCTCCAACGTCGCCGCATGTCGAGACAACAAAGCCCTCGCAAACTCTCCGCCTTCAAGAGTCGGAATCCGGATCTGGAGATCGACCAGGGCAGGGAGACTGCGGACTAGGGCCGCATAACGGTGCTCGGGTTCCGAGACATCGACCGTCGAGTATGTCAAAACCGCGACGCGGGGACAGCATTGTGCAAGGTTGAGCGTAAGCGCTTCGAGGTCTGAATCGAGAGGTCCCATCCAGGAGAGTTCTTCGAGGTTGGGGCAGAGACGGATTAGGGTCTCAAAGGCACCGCTTTCGACGTCCTTGCAGACGCTGAGGCAGGTGAGGTGGAGGAGTTGGAATCCGTGAGGGTTTGGGTTCTTGCGTTTTGGGCTTGTGGAGTATAGGTGGTGATAGTCGTCGTCGTCGTGCCATTCCGGTGGGTATCTTCCTGTTGTTGGATTTGTCGTTGTTGGTGACTTTGCTTGGGTATAGGTGCCGCTTGAAGAGGCGCTGGAGGGTATGGTGAGCAAAGACAACAAATATGACGAAGACGACGATCCCATCGTGGCTGTGCTACTACCACCCTCCTCCTCTTCCCATCCCACCGCCGTTGTCAAAGGCGGAAGGGCCTCGCCGGTCACGAAATCAAGGGCCAAAGTCCTCAACCCAGGGTTACTCCTCAATAGCTCAATAAACCCTTGATCCAACCTCCAGCATTCCAAGACCAAATCCTGTAACCGATGCAGTTTTGCAGCGAGTGCAAGACTGTCAAGCATGCCGTGGTTGTCTCGTTGAAAGTCGCCGCCTTGCCAGCGTAGGCTTTGGAGGCGGGTGTTTTGGAGGATGAGGGCTTTTGACCATTCATTACATGAGGTTGTTGTTAAGGTAGTGGTGGTGTTTGTTGCTGAGGGAGTAAAAGTGGAGGTAGAAGAAGTAGGAGGTGGTGCGGACAAGGAGGACTGCGCTGAGTGAGTTAGCCCAAAGGGAGGAGAATCTTCATCCAGCCCCACGAGCTCAAGGTGCAGTAAATGAATTGGCAGCTGAGCAGCTGGAAGTGCAAGGATAGGGGCACAAGGCCTCGTGAGGACCAAAAGCCGAAACCTCAAACGATTCCTCAGAAAAAACTTGACCGCTGGCGAGTTGCGGTTCAAAAACTTCACCACTGTTCTTTCCTCCCCTCCTATGGTAGCAGTAGTAGAGGGGAAGAAGGTGGTGATGGGAGCGGTCTGGACGGCGGTATCGTCAAAGGAGAAGCAGAGGATGGGGAGGAAGATGTCATGCCATGTGCGGTTAACTTGGATGCAGGAGAGGAGGTGTTGGGGGTCGAAGTAGGGAGGGCCCATTGGTGGCTGTGGAAGGGTGATGCTGTTGATGGGTTGGTTGTGGGGTTCGGGGATGGGCGGTGATGTGGAGGAAGTGGAGGTTGGTTTTGTGTGGACCCAGAGGGGGACATGGCGGCCGACTCTTGTGAGGATCTCTGGGATCTCGAGGGGGTGTGTCCTGTTCATTGCTGGGCTGTGTTTGTGGGAGAGAGGAGAGGATGAGACGGAGGAAGGAGAAGAGAATAGTTGAAAAGGAGGGAATGAACAGGGAATGAATGAATGAATGTATGAATGAGAGGAAGGGGATGTGTTGAACAAAGAAAAGAAGAAAAAAAAGAAAATAAGAAAAAGGGGGGGTCCTGAGAATCAAATGAAAGGCAATAAAAGTGAAACAATAAAAACGGAGCAGGCATGTTTGATACATTTACAGGCAAGGCACCAGAGTGGCTCCTCTCCTTAGACTCCCCCTAAAGCGAACCAAGGATTGGCGCAGAAATAGGAAAAAGGTACCTTTTCATCAATTGCTCCTGGCTGCAGGGGTCTCCCGATTGGCTATCCATCGATGACTGATCCAACTACCACATTCTTCGTTTATTCGTTGTGCCTGGAAATAAAAAAAGCCTGTTTGTGATGATTATTTTTAAAATGAGAATAAGGAGATGAAATGTGCACAACTTGGTAAGGAACAGGCACCCATTTTGTAGGTGAAGCTCCAGCTAGCTGGAATGATCTCGTTGTTAAGACGGACCTTCTCTAGAGAAGCTAGTAGATTGAATCCTCGAGAAAAGAAAGGATCCACGACAATAATGAGCCACTCGGAGTACAAAGGAAACCCTGATGGCCGCAATTCGCATCTTTGTTTTATACTCAACCGTCACTGGACAAAATATTTCTGACGATAATCACCGAGAAATTGATCACACATTCCATTTCTGATCCATGGGAGGGTGCGGTGTTTTATTTCTTGGTGCTTTAATTGTTTCTTGTACATTCCCAATTGCCCATCGCCATCTAAAAAGTGACTCGTTCTACGCTAGACATACTTCTACTTCCTCTTTTTACTTGATGTTGTCGAGGATCGCAGAAAGGGCTGCCCAAGTCTCCTCGCCAGTCGGCAAGATCTGCTCCGCAGGCAACATAAACCCATTCCGTCCAGTATCCCTCAACTCAACCGCCATCGCCACCCCAGCCTTGGCAACCTCATACGCATAATCAACACTCGTCCCCGAGCTCTGATAGATCGTATGGAAAATATCTCCATGCCTAAACCGCGTTCCATGAACCTTTGCAAGAGCATTGACAGCCTTTTCAGCCAAACCGTCCATATACGCATAGGTACCCGGACGGGTGGAGGAGTAACCAAAGGGAACCATCCAGAGTTGGGAGAAGGAGTGGATGTCGAGGTAGGCGGCTACGTTAGGGAGGGAGCGGAGGTAGCGGGCAATGTTGGCTGCTTCTGGGGTTGAGAATGCGCGTGGACCCATGTAGTCGTCTGCGCAGGGGTCGGTGGAGCTTCCTCCTTGTCCGAAATGGCTGTCCCAGTTTCTGTTGACTATTATGGCGGATGATGATGAATAGGAGGACACGCGAGTGAATGAAGAAAAATGGTGGTGGTTAATACCTTTGGTAGTGATGTGTAGACGTTACATTAATATAAAAAGTGAACAGAAAAAAGAAAGAGAAGAGGAAGAGAAAGAACAAGAGCAAAAAAATGGGAGAATAGAAAGAGACAGAGAACGTACTGTCGGTGCCGAGGCAGCGGCTACCAGGGTTGGGCTGAGCGTTCTTGCGGTGCATACGGTTAGTCGTCTGGGAGACAACAAATCCATCTGGGTTCATGATCGGGATGATGTGGAACGTGTACTTTTTCAAGTACCCTGCCACCTTCTTATCCTTACTATTCAGCAACTGCGAGATCATATACCTATTCGTAAGAGAATGGGGGTGAAGTGAAAGAAACACGTTGCGATTAGTATCCCACTCTTTACGCCATATGACATGAAATGGAAAGAAGAAAATAGAAGAGCAAGAGGGAATAGACTTACTCAACGGTCATGGTGGTGACCCACTCACGGGCGTGCTGAGTCCCATGGAAGACAATATGCTTCTTTCCAGTCCCCAACCGAATCCCTGCCTGAGGGCGACCCTGAAAGCTCTTGCCAGCACTGAACGCCTTGGCCTTGCCTTTACTTCCCTTCACCTGAGCATTCAACCACTTCACATGGTCCGCATACGAATGGTACCCCCGGAACCATGCACTCGCCGCCATAGGTGACGCATAGATCTGACTCTCTTCCTCCACCCTACCTCCATGACCTCCCCGGTTGAGGCGGAGAGAGTTCTGGACCTGTTCCACAGACGCTCCCCAAACCTGCTCCAGATACTCCCCATTCTTCTGGGCCTCTTCATCAATCACCCCCTGGAGGTCTTCCACAACCGTCGTATAGTTCAGATGCAGGGCCTGGAAGGATTTGAATGACTTTGCGGGGACGCGGATGTCGATGGTACCGCCGATGCCCTTGGTGTGGGTGAAGTAGTCCAACTCAAGAGAGCGTTCGCTATCGGTGAGGGTCTTGAGGTCGGATGGAGTTTGGACGTTGATCCGTACGACGCGGTCGTTCTTGAAGGAGGCAATATCTGCAGAGGCTGCAAAGGCAGAAGCATAGGCTGCAGAGGCGGTAGCGCCGTTGTCGTTGTGAGGGCGTCGGTTGATGGGTGGGATGGGGAGAGGTGAAGTTGGGGCGGCTGAGGAAAGAGAGGGTGTGAAGGCGATCGTCAGCGCGACTACTGCCGAGAGAGAGAACAATGAGATCTTCATCGTTGATCTACGTAGTGTGATGTGTGAGGAGGAGAGAGTGGGTGGAGCTATGAGTTGGGAGAAAAGCAGGTGAGCGAACAGAGTGCTTATATAGCCAACTCTCCAGGGTTCATTCCAAAGTACTCACGCATTGTATCTCTCACTCTCCCACCGCCCTCTCTTATTCACTCCATGTCAGCGATCGTATGTCAGTTACATGCAGAATGAGTGAGAACAAAGGGAACTAATGATCCCTGGCATAATCAACAAAAGCGATTGTTGTTTATTTGATTGCCAATTTCCCAGGTAGGGGAGGCCTGGTATGGTACAGTGGTGTCCCTGAAATAAGAAGTGTGAGCCCTGCCTGCGTATTTTTCACATAAACACCCAACGCAAACAGCTATGTGTTGTTCATGTATCTTTCATAAGCGTGTTGGCGTTGAGGGTAAAGACAAAAAGGGATGCTCATAAAAGGCACGACAAAGGGCTAAATGTAATGGGTATTGTACACCGTTGATGCTGGTGAAAGTATGTGAACTAGTGAGGTGTTTTCTTTTTATCAGTCGGTGGGCAGGCGCCACAGTGTTACGGCAAGGACAAGGGATAACGAAAGAAAAGAGTGTTCAAGGTTTTGTGCTGAAAGGGGAGTAATCGGAAGCAATTAACGACAAAAAGAGAGAGTGAGTGAGAGAGACAGACCGTTGACCATCAGTCCGTGGTTCAAACGCGTGCTTTCTTGTCACATCCAACGGCCAACAATGCGAACAAACAAACAAACAAAAATGCAGGGACAATAATCTTCAACGGATACATCACACTTGCCGAGCAAGGGTTATGTTCAACTTCAAACACTAGAGCAATCGCACGACAATCGATGAACGATGACCTCCCTGCTCTTGCTCATATACCTCAAGGCGCGCCCAAAGTGACAAAATCGATACCATGCTCAAGGTACCTTAACATGTGTTCAATTACCAGGAAGGCGATAGGGGGGTCCCAGCTCCAGCCCCAACGCCAGGACAGAGGATGAAAAGAAAATAAACCCAGAGGTTCCTCTAATACATAATAGGGGTACGCATGGCATAATTGAAGTACGTTCAGCCTTGCAAAACTTGATACAAGGAGTGTAGGAAAGGAAGTACATGATGGGGAAAAAGGGCGAGAGGTGCGTTGTTTATATAGCCAGATCTACGGGCGTGATAGGTAAGTTTATCGCTAGGGCAAGGAGGCGCCGCCATTTCGCCCTCTCTACGGTAGAACGATGACTACGCATATACGCGGCAAGTTAGAGCAGGAAACCCTCTCTTCCTATCCTTCACGGAGAGAAGGAGCAGGCAGCAGTAAAGGGCGCTTGCTCATCGCTGTTTTACCGATCGAAAAAGATACTTAAGTGAGGAGCAGAAAAAGAAAAAAAGACAAAAAAAAACACTTTCCTTCAGTGCTATCTGGCGTCCTCGTGGTGGCCAGTCAGAAAGGCGTATACATGTCTCACCTCTAAAAGGAAGAGGATGAAGTGAGCCATGCCTCTTCACTTGTCTCGGCCTTTCCTTGTCGGTTCTTCAACCCTGCGTGGAGGCGGAAGGTGTGGGAGGGAGGGACCGGATAATTGCTTGCGAAAGTCGACCAAAGTCGACCATGGGCTTGCTTGGATACAAAAGGAGGTAAAAGGTGAGAGTTGATGGGTGCCATTAAAACTCATGAGACTTGCGTTGGTGCGCACATCCTTCTTCATTACTACGCATTAAGCGTCATTTCATACAAGAGATCGATCGAATCGTCCATAGAACCAATCAACCCTTCAATCGCCACACTCCCATTGATTCGGTAATGTTTGTTATTTTGTTTGTACAGATTCATCTTTCTTTACTATTTCATTTCTTTGTCACTTCGTGTTTCCTTACTATCTCTTGCTACTCTTTTGTCAGCTGGCTACAGAACAAACAACAGGGATCCATCCATGTTCCACAGTGGAATCGAAAGCTGCTATTGCTTGGCTTCAGCATCAAGTCGTCGGAGAAAGTCGGCTTCACGAAAGAAAAGGCTGAAGAATAAAAAAGATGAAGAGTCACCCATGATTGTGATCCATCACGGTGGTGGTTGTGGGAGGGGTTTCCGTTCCTCCATGCTCATTAATAAAAGGGTAGATAAGGTAAGGTAAAAGGTAAAAGGCGTAGTGATGATTTGTTTTTTATATCCAATGGTAAGATAGATTAGGCGAGCACCATGAAGGCAACCGAGGCGACGGCGACGGCGGTGGCAGCAAGGGAGCCGGCGCGGACGGACGAAGCCGACGAGGCCTTGCCTGGCATGACAACAGTGTTGGCACCAAAGTTGGCATTGCACGAGTTGACCAAGCTCAAGGTCGAGTAGCGATCCTGGATCTTGGAGGACTGGGCACCGCAGTTGTAGCAAGGGTCTATATTTTCGCGTGGAGATAGAAGGAAAAAGCCAGAGTTAGATCGGTAGTTGCTTTGATTGGATTTTTAGAGCATCAGGTCAATGAATAAAAAAGGAGGTCCAGGATGGATGAAGATGGTGCGAAAAGAAAAAAGAAAAAGGAGAGTGAACAAAGAGAAGTGATGATCTATCCTAGAGAAAAGAGTAAACAACGAGGCCGACCAATGCTGTTTGGCGACTGCTGGATTGCGCCTTGCTCCTCACACGACTAATAAATAGGGTCACTTCAGTCCACTTCTTTCTCTTCAAGATGGAGAAGGTGAAACCGGAGCAGAGAATAGGAAAAGGGGAGTGCAAGTCGTTGTGTATATGTAGTAGCTGATGTGTTGTATGTGTACGAACAAGAAGTGTGGGCAGGTGTGGGTTAAGAGAGAGTTGGAAGAGGCGATTAATTTGGAACCAGACAGGCGTGTGTGTCGGGTGTGAAGGGAAGAGGGAGGACCATTTGCTCGTGCCTGAGTGGACGGGTGTCAGAAATGGGCTGATATTTAAGCACATATATCACCACTCTGTCTCTCTTCGCCGATGGTGCCTGAAAAAAAGGCGCCAACACCAACGATAGGAGTGTGCGCAAGAAAGAAAGAGGGAAAGAAGGGAGCACGGAAAGAAAAAAAGAAGGAAAAGTAGCGATGTCATAAAGGAATGCGATTTCCTTTGTTATTGTTGTTGTGATGTGATGAAGTAAAAGGATTACCGTAGGCGTCGACGATGGACTGCTTGCAGAGGCATTTGTCAGTGGTGCCAGAGGTGTCGGCAGTAACGGGGAAGTTGATGTTGCCGGTGGCAGAGTCGATGGTGATCTGGCACTCGGAAAGGGCGCTGATCAAGGGAGAGCAGGTCTGCTCGTAGCAAGGAAGGGGGGTCTCGGGCTGGGTGGAAGCATCCTGAGCCGAGACGGTGGCGACGGCGACGAGGAGGGTGGCAAGAAGAGCTGTTGAGGTACGCATGATGAGAGAGTTGTGAATGTGGAGGGAGTGGGGAAGGTGGAATGCGAGTTAATGAGCAAAGGGAGTAGGTGGAGGGCGAGAGAGGGTAAGGAGGGGGAATGGATCGTGTGAGATGGATGATGAAGAAGAGAAAGTGAAAAAGGAAAAGAGGAAGAGGAAAAAGAAATAGAAGGAAGAGAGTTCGGGTGAGTGAGGTATATGGTGCAAAGGTCAAGTCTCTGTCGGACTGCATTGGACTCCCATGAGGGAAGAAAGAGCACGATTGTCGTTGCACTCTCTCTCTCTGTGTCTCTGTCTCTCTTGCTCATTTTCACTTGTTGTCGTGACAAAGAGGCATCATGTCGATGACAATCCCGATTGAGAGCTGACATACGAAAACAACTTATCCTGACCTGGATAAATCCTTCCTTCACTTATCCAACGGTCAATTCTTCTCTTCATTCATGCCTCGCATTGCTGCTGCGCGTTGGATGTCGACTGAGGATGCGACGCTTGTTATTTTAATCCAAACTCTGCCTGACTCCATACGCACTTCCTCCTCCTCGTTGCTTTCATCTCTTTTTTCTCTTTCATATCCTTTCGCCTCCTTCTCAACCGAGAGACAAAGTGGTTGTTGATGATTGTTTATTTTGTATTGCCATTTCATAAAAAACATATTGCATCGCAGCACAGAATAACAACAACAAACGCAATACCCTCTCACTTTATGATTAGTATGCATATTTCACGGTTCGTCATTTCCCAATACCCCCCACCCAGCTCTCTCTCCATTCAACATTTCAAACCCCAGCTCAGCTAATCCAGCACGCGCTTGCTCCACAACCATACTTTCTCCTCCTTCTTCTCCCTCTCTGTCACTTGGAAGCTCTCAAAAATACCATCGGGGATAGACAAGAGAGATGAAGGAACGGCAGCCGATCAACCAGCCAGCATCCAACCGAAAAACTTTGCCATTAATTTTTTTTACCTTCAGTCTGAGGAGAACTCTCTTACACACGTCTCGCACCCGCGCCACGCTTTTTGGTCAATGCAAAAACTCGAAGCAGGTCTGATGGTCTACAAGGAGATAGAAAAAAGGAGAGAGACTTGCACTTCCTTGGTCAAAGAAAGGACGAAGAAAAACGAGTGACCGAAAGGTGAGAAAAGGGGATTGAACCCCTACCTTCCTTTTCACTCATTTGCTTATGACAAATCAGTAATACGGTCCAAATGAAAGCCCATGGGTTATGTCTACAATAACCAACAAAAGCTGGACACACAACTGTGGAGTCTCTTTGTTTACGATATCCATTTTGTATGCAATTGTTGTGTTCGGCGTAGTGGACAAAGCCTAGCTCTTAGCGACGACATGGACGACTATACGAGTTCATGGTTTTGGGTTGTTGTGTATCGCATTTGCTCGGTGCCCCTTTCATACGAGAACGAAGAAAAGAGAAGGTTGCCCTGGGCAGCATTCGGCTCTCAAGCGGAACAACAACAAAGTTTTCTTAACCATAAAGTGTCTTTCCTTCTCCAGAAGGTGCATTAGTGGCCTGACTTCTTCTGCCTTCTCTTCTCCTGTAAATGCCAGTGGCCCGCCGCAAGAATCCAGGCGAACGGGCGCATATCCCATATCGTTCAGTTGAGCAAAAGACGGACGCAACAGCGAAGTGCTCTCGTCTTTTTTTTTGAGAGAGAGAAGAGAAACAAAGAGAGCTGAGCGGATGACGGACTCACTCGCATATGCTTTTTTATTCTTTTTATTCTTCCCATGTGGGCGCCACTAGTGTATTACACTCAGGCCACTGCTCGCAGTGGGGAGGTGTCCATCCGTACCCCACCTCTTCCCATTGCACAATAACCTTCTCCTCCAAGGTCATCCTCCACCCACACAAACATGAGCAAAGCAACAACAACAAAATCGATAGAAAACACAAACAGAGACGCGAGGGTATCATACAGAGTAAAAAGATGGGACCAGGCCGTCTCCCTGTCTACATACCTCCTCCTCCTTCCTCTTTGCAAAGCACATGCTTAACGTTCGCTTTTAAGAGTGACACTCCCCTGCGCCCCGCTTGGGTCCCTTTCACAGAGTTCACCAATCATTCATCCCGCCGTTTTTCTTTCTTTCTCCAAACGAGGTGCGACACTTGGATGTGGAGAAGACGATTAGGTAGCTCGTTCTTTGTTGTCTATGTCTTTGTTTTGCATACCCACGGCCGTCTTGTGCGCCTGAGTATGTTCACTCTAACCGCCTTTGGCAGTTTCTTGGACACATACACTCAACTTTCCACTTTTTTTTTTCTTTCTTTTCTTTTCTTTTCTTTTCTTTTCTTTTCATCCTCTTCATCATATCTGGTCGTAAAAACCCCTTCTCACTCCTTTGCGCAACATCAACAGTATGTTAAGGTCTGATGTTGCAGGGAAATGATGCAAACAAGATTTGCTTTTTTTTTTTTTTTTTCATATTTGTGTAAATTACATACTGTATCCATATGGGTTACTCCGTGTGATTCGCAGCTACTTTGTCCACGCGGCAACCTATGAGATTTTTTGATATATCTGTTGTGCGCTCAATGCCCCTTTTTCAAGAAGCATAGATGGAAAAAAATGATTTATGAAAAGAACCCCTCATTCAGCACACTTGGTTTCAAGCATTGACTTGACCTCCCTTTCATACAGATACTAGATATTTGTGAATAATAGTTTTTTTTTTATAGTAAAGCAAGATAGTCTACAGGGTGAAGATAAAATGCCCAATGGGGTGGTTCTTTTTAAGAATGTAGTTTAGACGGAGGAGGAGGATGAAGGTTGGAGGAAGGGGTATGGATGAGATAACAAACATAAGTATTAAAACATATAATGAAGTACAAAGGGAAGAAACTCTTGTGGAGACACACCAAGTTATCTCCACAACGCTAATCTTATCTACAAGAGAAAAGGGAGCTTAGAAGGCCATCAAGGCAGCAACACCGACGGCGACGGCGGCAGCGGCAGAGACGACAGATCCAGAGATGGTTGAGGCAGAGTTCTTGTCTGTACCGGCAGCAGTGGCGGTAGGGTTGGCAGCAGAGCCAGAGGCAGCGGCAGTGCCAGAGGGGGTACCGGCGGTAGCGGTGGAGGGAGTGCCACTGGCGGTAGAGTTGGAGCCGGTGGGGGTAGCAGGGTTAGCACCGCCGCTGCCACCAGAGACGATCTTGCCGGTGGCACCGGGGTTCTGGCCGGGGACGCCGGTGGGGGCCAAGGTACCGGCGTTACCGCTAGCATCGGTGATGGTGAAGCGGGTGGTCCAGGCGTTGACGCCAGCGTCGCTGGTGACCTGGATGAAGTAGACTATTATGATAGAGACGCGTAGAAGGAAGAGATTTGGTTAGCAAACTTGAGCGATGCTTCAATTGTTCGGTAGATCGATGGAAGGTTAGGAGAATGAAAGAAGAGAAAAATGCCAGGCTGGAGACTTCTGTCTCCGTGAACGGAAGCAATCAAGCCTAGCTAGCTAGCTTTTTTGTACTAGTGGTTTGTGCTCACGCGATGAACAAAAAGCGTTCTTTTTTCTGCCTGTATGCCCCATCCATCTATCCATCCCTTGTTTTGAAGGGATGGATGGTTCTTAATCTGGATCTTGCATCTCTCCACACCATTGTGGCAACAACTGAGCTCAAATGGGTACTGTACAAGAACAAATAACAAAAGGAGTGCTGTGTGTTCCTTCACTCCTTCTCCCCCTCTTCCCTGACGGTTGAGGAGACGAGCATAGGAGGTGTGCATATCGAGGATACCAACAACTCTTATTGTTCTCCCGTTCTCCTTTTTTTTATAACTGCCGTGTGTACCCAGTAAATGATGCACACCGATCTGTTTTCCAATTGCCTTCTCTCTCTCCGCCTTTTTCTGTTCTGTTTTCCCTGGAGTTCAGAGCATGCACGCGACTCATAAGAGTGTGGCTACGACAGAGTCGTGTGCTGTATGTGTATGCGTGTGCTGATGGTATTTGTGTGTCCCATTCTTCCTGCTTATTGCGCTCCCGGATCAATTGATGGCCCCCCGTTCGTCGGTCCATAGTCGCTATTATTACATTTGCTGGATGTGTTGTATTTGTGCGTGGTGTCGGAGGTGCTGCGGTTGGTTGGTTCGCTGGTTGGTCGTATGGAATAGGCAAAGAAAAAAGCGGCTCACGCAATCGAAGCCCCCCACTTTGAGCCTCAATTATAGTCATCCCTCAGAAATGCAATCAAACGTAAAACAAATAGAATGGCGGCAAAAAAAGCAAACAACAGGAAGGCTTCCTTCGACAAGGCAGCACATAAAAAAGAAAAGAAGAGACTTACTCTTGCCAATAGGGTCAACGGTGGGGACGGTGTAAGTAAGGTTGCGGATAGTGTTGGCGTTGATCCCGGTGGCAATGGTGTCGAGCTTGACCATAACCTGGTCAGAGCCGGTCATGAGGAAGACGTCGACCTTGGGGTTGGTGGAGAGGGCAGGGCCGTCAGGGTTCGCATCGTCCCATTCGATGATGGCCTTGCTGCCGGGAATCCACTTGGAGTCGCCCCAGGGGTTGATGGGGTTGACATATGCGGTCGCGTACGAGATCAAGGAGCCGGCGATTGCGAGAGTGGTGAACTTCATTTTTGTGGTATTTGTTTGTTGAAGGTGAGGGTTGAGAGAGGAGGTTGAGGTTGGTTCGTGAGAAGGGAAAGGGAAAGGTAACTGAAGGGGAAGTGGAGTCAAGGATGAATGAATGAGAAAACAGAAGAAGAAGAAGAAAAGGAATGAAATGAGGAAAGGTAGGACCCTTTTATCAGGAACCCTTTTTTCGTTCAGGCACATCTGCCATCGCCATCGCACAGAGAAATTAAATTACCTGCGTCTGAAGTAAAGCTATTATTACCATCTCTCGCTGTTGGTGAAATTGCTCTCAATCATCCAACTCTCTTTGTTCCCCCCTTCTCTGTCTTTGTCTCTCTCTCTTCTTGCTTCTTGCTTCCTGCTTCTTGCTTCTTGCTAGCCCCATGTGTATCCCGGGGCTAACGCCTACAAAAAAAAAAAAAAAAAAAAAAAAAAAAAGGTCTAGTCGCTCTCATCCCAAATAACTTTACCTTTGGCTGGTTGGTTGGTGTTTGGTTTGCTCTTTTGGTACTCTCTTTTCCTTTGCCTGTCTGGCTGTCTGTCTTGCCACTTGGTCCCCCTCCTCTCCACTTTTCTTCTCAAGCATCAATTTGCCTGGGAATTGTTTGTTTGTCTTGCCTGGATGAATGAGGAAGGAGGTCGAGTCCAGGCGCACTGAATTGGCTGTGACCGGGCGACTGTTTGTGTCGCAATTTCTTATTTTATTTTTACCGCCGTGTGTATGTGTGGCGCTGACAGGGGTGTGTGTGGCACTGGTAGGGGTGTGTCACACTCGTGGAGAGGGATTAGGGGGGTAGGGGCGTCTCTTTTTCACACACACCCGCAATTCCAAGTACGTACGGGAAACCAAGACAGAGTTTACAGCAGAGAGTCGAAAGGGCGATGCTGAATGGCACAACGAAGTGAAGAAGGAGTGAGTGAGACTTTGCGCAACTGCAGGTACTGTAACCCCCATCTATACATAGATACAGACGACACTCTGCCTTTGCGTAACCAGCATCACCACTTTTTGTACCCGATGTGTACAATATAGAAAACGCAGCAGCATCACTTTGTAATCTGCCTGTCGGAGAGGAGAAAGGTTAGAAAGGTCGCATACGACGGATGCGTCCTAAAAAAACCCTGAACACAAAGAGTCAACTCAACGCCAAGGCGGAAAACTGCGAGAGGGCTGTAGGGGGGCGGGGGGCGGTTGTATCCCTCTCGTTATAAGTGTCTCGCCCATTACTTTGGGCGCAGGGATACTTACATCTCCTTGCTCGTAACCCAGTTCGCTCTTTTATCTTCTCGCTAAAATGAGCTAGTTCAGCGTTACCGACAAGAGCACAGGGAGTGAACAAATGGTACAACAGGTATGTCAGAAATGAGAAGAACCTTGAGGATTGATTACAGGTCGCAGTATTACGTTTGAACATCCTTGATGGGGATGAGAGAGGAAGAGAAGGGCGCCAAGGGATGTAGTCGTTGTCGGTTTCAACTCAATTATGTTTGATCACTGGCCAATCATGCATCATGGATATAAAACCAGGAACCAGCGCCAGGCACTCGGACTCAATCATTTGAAGTCCGCGTTTCTCTCCTCCTCGTGAGTTGTCTCTCTCCGCACTGTGCGCCCAGAAAAAGAGCGTGTCATTGCCACACGCACGACACAGGACCTTCACTTCGGTTCACTTTCCTCTTCTCAAAGTTTTAAAGGAAACTGTTCGAGTGTTGTATTTATTTCTCAACAGAGTCAGACTCAGAGTCAGAGTCAGAGTCGGTGTCATCGTCATCATCATCACTGTCACTATCACTGTCGCTGCTCTCGTCGCCCAAGGTCGCCGCTACGACCACCTCTCGTTCCAAACTATCCCGCAGCACCTGGATCATCACCTCGTAATCCTCTCTCTTCTGCACCTTGGTTTCCTCCTTGTTCTCATTGTCGTCCTGTTCTCCTTCCTCCTGGTCACCATCCAATCCCTGCTGGTGTTGTCTCTTCTGAAGTCGCTCGAGAAAAAAGATCGCGCCTTCCTTCTCCAGATCCAAGGTGTAGAATCGGCCGAGAACTTCTTCCTTGTCTGGCAATGCACCCGTCTCTTCCTTGGGGGTTGTCACAAACTCTTCAAAAAGCTTGTATGGGTCTATAGGGAAAAGGCAAGTTAACGCATTACAGGGGTCAACAAGCGAAACATGAGACAATGGATGACATTAGAACCCCTCATTCCTTCACGGCCCCCCTTTTTTTGATCATTGGTTCAACAACCAACACATATATCATACCTCTGGCTTTGTCACCAAGTCCCGCGTTCATGATCTTCTCAACCCTGGTAATGAGATCCAGCTCCTGCAACCGTCTCTGGGCAACCGCCTCTGCCGACGTGTCCAGTTTCCAATCCTGATCGTCATCATCCTCCTCTTCTTCCTCCTCCTCGTCATCGTCAGCCATCTCTGCTGCTGTCGCCAACTTGACGCCGTTCTTGAACCCTGCCGAGTTGTTCATCACTGTGCCCTTGCTCGCTGGCATCGAAGCGCCATCTTTCAAGAACCGGCATCTACATGGGAATAAAAAATGGATGTGGACAATTAAGTCACGTTAGGATATAATATGGATATGAATTCACGCAAGCAAAAGAGAGCAAACAAAAAAGACGAACCACAAGGAAAAACTTACTTGGAGGTGTCGGTGGTGGCAGCAAAGATGCCCAGCCCAAAGGTCCGGTTATTCCTCAAGATATACCTTGTCAACTTTGAGAACCGATCCACCCTCGTACTCTGTCCACAGGCCCCACACTCCTTCATGATATGCGTATTAAAGATCGTCAACGCCGTCTCGGGGTTATGACAGACATAACACAGCACAAAGCGACGAATAAATTTGTCCAACACCATCATCAGCTCCTGCTCAGACAACTCTGCATCGCAGAGTTTGAACCACCGTTGGCGGTCTTCCATGACCCCCGTGAGATCGAGTTCGAGTTCGAAGAATTTGGAGATGTATTCGAGGGGTCTGTTGAGAGCTCGGGCGACGGCGGTGAGGTTCTGGAGTTGGGTTGAGGCTGGGATGGTGACAGCTTCTTTTTGTGCGTTGTTGGTGCGGACGCGGGCTGGGTTGATCCTGATCTCCATCGCCGGCCTGGTGGTATCATATATCGTTAGAGGAAGAGGTTTGGGGTTAGAAGAGGTATGATAGGCTTTGTTATGCGCGTGCGTGTTTTCTTCGTCACGTTAGTTGCTCCTCTCCAAGCTACTCTTTCCTTCATGACAATACGCGTGCAAGCATACACGACGAAACAAAAAAGGGCAAGAGAGATGACATTTACATCTTGTAGCGGTAGTAGGGGTCGGGGTTGGTCGATGGGATGTTGACCATGGAATTCATGAGCTTGCGCTTGTTGACGGTGCTATTGCCCTTCTTGGGCTTTGCATTGTTGTTTGCTGGACGCGGCATCCTTTTTGATGTGTTTGTTGAATGTGAAAAGCAACTGGTTGTGCGGAAGGGCTTGAGAGAAGACGGATGAGGTGAAAAGTGGATGCTTCTTATTTTAGTGTGTGACGAGTTCCTATCCGCAGCAAGGACTTCCACAGAACCAATAAAAGACCGCGATTTGAGCTTGGAAGGGTGTGGAACCACTCACACTCTGGTGCGATAGGTTAGCCAGATCTTCGTAGAAGGAAGACATTCATACCATGGTATTATCGATGCTCCATCTATAACAACAAGGACAGTTCGTTACATATCAATTAGAGACAATACACTCTAGTACGACAACCGTACTAGGAATAGCTTCTCACGCAAGCAATTGAAAATCAAACGGGGGAATTCCGCAGGCAGTGGGGTTGAGACTCTGTCATGGTGTGTCAGAGTAAAAACTGCGGATTATTTTTGCGATGGAATAAAACTCAAGCTTCACCTACATATCTTTCAGAAGAACCACCATCAATAGTAAAAAGAGCACACAAGCACGACGCTTTAATAGAACAGAAAGTTAAGCCTGGATAACCTTGGTACGAGTCAGGTTCTCGCGATGGATAACACACTCGGCATCGGCATAGCCAAGACGATCAATGATCTGTCGACTGTGGCAACCCTTGATCCTCAGGATCTCATGGCTCGCATAATTGACAAGTCCCTTGCCCAGCTCTATTTCCTCAGGGCCGTCATACGACTCCACAACTTGACCCTGTTCATCCTTCTTCAGATAGTCCTGGGGTCTGTACACTACGCGGACACTCTGTTGGGCAACAAACGTTCCCTTACAGTCAACAATACCTGCGGCAAACAAAGATGACTTCTGAGAGGCGTTGGTGATGGCCTTGTAGGCACCCTGGTCAATATATATCGTGCCTGCAGCGTGCAATCCGTGCAGAATCCACCACTTGCGATCGACCATAGGGTTGTCCTTGGCCAAGAAGCGAGTGTGAAGTGGGAGGGAAGCAATTGTTGCTGCTCCAAGAGCGTTTGTCACTGCTGTCGCTGTCGAGGCCATGGTTGCGGTCGTGTCTTGTTGTGGAGATGCAGAGCCAATATGTTGGATGGGCTGAGAGATGATCTGGAAAATGTTTTGAGGGGTCGATCCGCGACTGATGACTGTGGTGACACCTGCTGCTGTTGCCAGTTCTGCTGCAATCAACTTTGTCACCATTCCTCCCGTTCCCAGCGACGATCCTGCCGATGCCACTGACACTATGTAGTATAGAGATAGAGAGAAGCGAGTGTCAGCTATTAGTCTACCATTGTAAACGATGTATTGCTTCATTAGTTCGTTAATTTCAATCACTCCTACCTTTCTCCTTCAAAGCGGAAATGTCGTCGACGGTCATAACAGGCTTGGCATCAGGGTTGGTTCTGGGGTTGTCGGTGTAGAGGCAGTCGACGTCGGTCATGAGAAAGAGGTAGTCGGCGTGGATCATTCCCGCGGTGATGGCCGAGAGGGTATCATTGTCTCCAAAGCGAATCTCAGAGACACTAATGGTATCGTTCTCGTTCACAATAGGGACTACGCCCATTTCCAGCAGTGCATCAATTGTGTTGCATGCATTCAGATATTGCGTTCTCTAAAGGAAGATGAACAGTGCCAACAAATCAAAGTCAGGACACATTGTAAAATAACGACTGCAGCCAAAAAGGCTCCTCCAAAAGGCAAGTTGGTGCCAGGTAACAATAACGAGGGGCGGGGTCAGAATTGACAAATAATCCAACTGAGGGATCATAGCTTACATCGGCGATGTCGTTTTTGGTGAGGAGGATCTGGGCGATGGGCTGGTTGAACTGAGAGAAGAGATCGTCGTAGAGACTCATGAGTCGTCCTTGTCCGACAGCAGCAATGGCCTAGGTACCGATAAATGTCCGCAATGAAAGGAGAAAGATTAGAATTGAGTTTTACACCGGAGATAATTTTTTGGGCACAGTGTGACTCAGTTTTGATGCGCGTGTGAGTGTGTATGAGATGTGAAAAGGGGAGAGCAGAAAGGCAAAAGGGCTCAAAGGTGAATGCGATCCTTTGATACGACATACCTGGACCTGGGCAAGATCCTTGGGCTTGGAGGCAAGGTTGAGTCGACGGAGGCCGACACCAATGGCACCACTGGTAACGAGAACAACTCGATGGCCCTGAGCCTTGAGCTTGAGGATGGTCTCGACAATGAGTGAGAGGGTCGATAAGAGGGGAAAGTGGGTGATCTCGTCACAGATCGAGGATGTGCCCAGCTTGATAACGATGGTCAGTCCTGTGCCGGAGGATGATTTGGGGAGACCTCTGCGACCAGAGGCGACGCGGTGGTGTGAGTGTTTGTCCTGCTTTGCCATTGTCTGGTCCTGCTGAAGTTGTTTTGGGGTAGAGGCCATTTGGAATGATGAAAGAGATGAAAAAGAGGAAAAGAAAGAGAGGAGGCGAAAAGAGGAAGAAGTAGAGGTAGAAATAGAATAAGGAAAAGATGGAGTTGGGAGAGAGTGAATGTGAGTGAGGGTACAAATGAGAAGAGGAAGAAGAGGAGGCAAAGGAACAAATGGAGCCGGTTTTCGTATCCTCCAAGAGACCGTGTGAGTAAAATGATGGATATCTCTCTTTGGTGGCGCACAAAAAGATGAAGAGTGAAAAGCGAGTCACGCAGGATGCCCGAGCAATCAAATGCCAGACGGGCGCGGAGCTGTGAGGGCAGAGGGATTGGTCTTGTTGACATAAATTGCTTCCAAGCCACCCAAAAAAAAAAAGAAAAAAAAGTCGTTTGAACCTGAAGTGAGAATGCAGCCTGACTCTAAGCTGAAGCATCCCTTCTCTCTCCCATCAACACTCCCATCAACACAAGGACCCCCTCACCATCCTTCTGCTGTGGTTGCTCTTCTCCTCCTTACTCCTCCTCCTTCCCCTTCGACAGTCAGCATCACCAGTGCCTCGGCGACACTGTTTTAATACCCCCGCCCACTTTCTTTTTTTCATATCCTATCCAGCCAAGAGGACCACCCTTTTGCAACCCTACTCCCTTCAACCCCCACCACCACCACCTTCCTATCTCACATAAACATCCGTCAAAATGGGAAAGATTCAGAAAAAGACCGGAAAGGGTAAGCTTTAAAGCACCTGTCGGTATGCTCTCTAAGTAACATATGGTACATTATATTGTCTCTAACACTTCTCATCATTGTAAAATATAGGACGTCTGGATAAGTACTACCACATGGCCAAGGAACAGGGTTATCGTGCCCGTTCTGCGTTCAAGTTGGTCCAGCTCAACAAAAAGTACAACTTCCTCGAACGGTCCAAGGTCCTCATCGATCTGTGTGCTGCCCCAGGAGGATGGCTCCAGGTCGCTTCCAAGATGATGCCCGTCAGCAGTTTGATTGTCGGTGTCGATCTTGCACCCATCAAGCCCCTGCCCAATGTTATCACCTTTGTCGAGGATATTACGACCGAAAAGTGCCGTGCTACTCTTCGTGCTACACTCAAAACCTGGAAGGCTGATGTGTAAGTCAATTGACTATGCTTTTATAATGACAGCTTTGTATGGACAACTTGCCTGTATACTTGCAGAGAATAACTGAATGAGCATGACACTAACCTTTACGTCTCTCTCCTCTTTCACAATGGACATCTATGACCACCCCTATCGCCACCAACATAACAACAACAAAACACAAACAATACAACAACACAAACAATACCAACAACAAAACAACAAAAACAACAAAAACAGCGTACTGCACGACGGAGCCCCCAATGTCGGAGCTGCCTGGGTACAGGATGCGTTCACACAGTCAGAGCTGGTATTGCAGTCACTGAAGCTGGCAACAGAGTTCCTGAACAAGGGAGGATCCTTCGTCACCAAGGTCTTCAGATCCAAGGATTACAACAACCTCATGTGGGTCTTCCAGCAACTGTTCAAAAAGGTCGAGGCCACCAAGCCCCCATCCTCCAGAAATGTCTCTGCCGAGATTTTCGTCGTCTGCCGTGACTTCTTGGCCCCCAAGAAGATTGACCCCAAGTTCTTGGACCCCAAGCACGTCTTCTCAGAAGTCGACACCGGTATGGTCGGTCAGCCCATGGATGTCTTCCACCCCGAGAAGCACAAGCGTCAGCGTGAGGGTTACGAGGATGGAAACTACACTCTCCACAAGACCTTGGATGCCTGGGAGTTCATCAAGGACGCCGAGCCTATCACTGTCCTCGGTAGTTTCAACCAGTTCTCTTTCACGTCGGACGAGTCCCGGAATGTGTTTAAGAGCACCGAGACCACGAATGAGATCAAGGAGTGCTGCGAGGATTTGAAGGTGTTGGGCAAGAAGGATTTCAAGAACTTGCTCAAGTGGCGTCTCAGCATTCGCCTGGAGGTCGGTCTCGACAAGAAGCCCGAGCCCAAGGCCGCTGTTCAGGAGACCGTCGAGGTCACTGCTTTGGATGACGTTGAGGCCGTTGAGGAGCACGCTGCCTCCGCCGCTGCCGATGAGTCGCGTCAGGATCGTATCCGCCGTCGCCAGAAGAACGAGCGCGTCCAGAAGAACGTCCAGAGGATGCAGTTAGGTATGATCATCCCCACCGATATTGGTCTGGAACAGGATGCTGACGGTCAGTCTCTCTTCTCGTTGACCAACATTCAAAAGGCAGGAAGCTTGAAGATGGTCCGCAAGGGAGATACGGACGTTGATCCCGAGGAGTTCAACGCCGAGATGGACATGGGCGAGGATATTGTCACTGGCGAGCAGGATACCAAGGCCATTTCGAGGCGCAAGGGCAAGAGTATGGTCAAGGAGGACCTTGATGCTGAGTTCATTAACGACGGGGGCATGGTCAGCGATCAGGAGGGTGATGCTGAGCTGATGGAGGACTTGGACGAGATGTATGAGCAATACAAGGAACGCCAGCTCGAGCGTGACGCCAAGATGCGTGCCAAGGCCAAGCGTGAGGACAAGGGCGAGTGGAAAGGCTTCAAGAAGAACGGATCTGGCGAGGAAGATTCGGACTCGGATGACGACACTCCTAACCAGGCTCCTCAGAACGACGACACATCCGACTCGGACTCTGACTCTGGTGCTGAGGACGAGGATGGTTTGCCCGGTGCCTACAACCACAAGAAGACCATCAAGAAGAGCTCCAAGAATCCTCTATTGGTCGGTTTGGACGATGCAGAGCAGGCTGAGCTTCGCCAAAAGACCGAGAGCGGATTGACCAAGGGCGCCAAGATGTTCTTTGACCAGGACATGTTCAAGGGCTTGGTTGGCGATGATGAGGAGGACGAGGAAGCTGATGACGAGAGCAACGATGACGATGAAGAAGAAGAGGAGGATGAGGCTGAGGAGGCTGAGGATGTCGAGATGGACAGCGACGAGGAGATCCGTCAGTTCCGCCGTGACAGAAAGACCCTCAAGCGCAAGGCCACCGAGGTACACATTCACCCCTTTTTTGTTTGCGCTCAATTGTCGAAAATGACGTTATCTAATCATTCCTCCCTTTTTTTTCTTGTGCGACATAGGCTGCTGAGGGTGATGAGGAAGAGGACGATATTGAGATGGTTCCATTGGGCAAGGAGTTCATGGACGACGAGATGTGGGATGGCGAGTCTGACGAAGAGGACAGCCGGAAGCGCAAGCAGATTAGCGAGTACTCGTTGATCACTGCCGAGGCCATGACTCTTGCCCAGTCCCTTGTCAACAAGAAGGCAACCAAGTCCGACTTGATCGACCAGGGTTTCACCAAGCAGGCCTTCGCCGAGAAGGACGGTCTGCCCGCATGGTTCTTGGAGGATGAGGAGCATCACAACGTCCCCAACTTGCCCATCACCAAGGAGGCCGTGCAGGTGATCAGGGACCGCATGAAGGCTCTGGATGCCCGCCCGATCAAGAAGATTGCAGAGGCCAAGGCCCGTAAGAAGTACAAGGCTGCCCAGAAGTTGATGAAGATCCAGAAGAAGGCCGATGCTATTAACGATACCGAGGATATTTCTGAGAAGGAAAAGTCGATCGGTATTGCCAAGTTGTTGGCCAAGGCTGCTGGAGCCAAGAACAAGAAGCCCAAGAAGGAGGTCCAGCTCGTCGTCGCCAAGGGACATAACCGTGGAGCCAAGGGACGCCCCAAGGGTGTCAAGGGAAGGTACGTCTCCTCTTTGAATGTCTTTTTTTCCGTTTGCCAATGACTTGTTTTCTTGCAGTTGAATATGAAGATTTGTTTACTGACATCTATCTTCCATCCCTTGTTCAATGACGCGAAAATAGATACAAGATGGTCGATTCAAGGATGAAGAAGGAAATGCGTGCGACCAAGAGGATAGCCAAGAAGGCCAAGGGAAGCAACCGCAGAAAGTAAACATCATACTCTTCTCGGTTCATCCTTTTGCATTTCCTAGACGTCCTTTTTTTTATTCCATTTTTCTTTTCATTGCCTTTTTTGCATTTATCATTCCCACTCCTTTCATTTTTTTACTCTCTTACCATTCATTTTTCATTTTGCCATAGTAATGTAGCTACCTCTTTGTCATTGTAACCTTGATAAGTGTTGATGATATGACGCTGTTGGAGGACCCGTGCAAACGGACGGGATAGGGTGGCGAGTATTCGACCATGCAGACTGACAGTCCCAAAATTGAAAATATGGCTTTTTCTGTGAAGGGTGTGCTGCGCCGTATGAGTGGGAAGAAAAAACACGTTGTGGCGTATGAGATGGGAAGAAAAAAAACAAGGTGTGCCGTATGCCGTATGGGCGAGGAGAAAAAACACGCTGTGCCGTATGGACGGGAAGAAAAAAAACAAGCTGTGTCCTATGGGTCTTTGAACGCTTTTCGGTTGAAGCCATTATGCAAGAAAAAGAAAGACATGGTCCTCAGGTATCTGCTTGGTTTGGGGTGCACGATTCCGCAGGTATAAATATCACTATCATTGCGTTTTGCACTTTTGTCTGCCTCTCTCAACCCCCCCACCCAGAGCACTCATTTCATCAACTCCATTCATCCCAACAAAACATATCTTCACCATGAACATCCAAAGCTCACATGCGACTTGCAAAGCCCTTGTCCGTTACTCCCCCTCCCCGTGCTCCCTCTTTGCTTCTATCAGACATCAGGTCAACGAGGCTGCAGAACAACTCCGAAAAATCGCCCCTGACATCTCCCAAGAAAAAGTCGCCACGTTCATTTTCTACTTCCTCATGAGTGTCTTGGGCGTCGTTGGCGTCTTTGGAGGAGGAGCGGCTTTGGTCGGCGTGCTTGCCTCGGTGCCCTATGTCCAGATGGCAAAATTCATCGCGATAACGGTTCTCAGGAACCCGGCCTTGCAGGGAGCGATCCTCCGAATCATCCACGCCTCTGTCTCCCTTTTTGTGGGCGGGAGTGTTACGGGGCTTGTGGCGGGAGTTATGGAGGTTAAGAGTTTGAACAACGAGAAGGAGGCCGAAAAGAAGTGTTCGGATGAGGTGCTGAAGGCGAAGGAGGATGAGATCAAGAAATTTAACGACGTCAAGGAGGCCGAGAAGAAGCGTTTGGATGACGCGCTGAAGGCGAAGGAGGTTGAGATCAAGAAGATGAACGACGATAAGGAGGATGAGATCAAGAAGATGAAGGAGGATAGGGAGGCTACGGATAAACTGATCATGGCCTTGGTGAGTCGGGTTGACAATTTGCAAGAACTGGTTTCTGCCATGAACGCGCGTGAATCGCTCCAACGCAACGCACAGCCTTCAGTCGACCCGGCTCAAGTCACCCCAGATCCTGAAGACCTAGATCTCATTTTCTAAGAGCAGCCAGTCTGTTCAGCACCAACATGAGTTCAGCAGCGTGGGCAACACTACTTCGATAGACCATTCAACAACGACGGCATGGGCAGTAGTTTCTGTATTTGAATACCTCAGCAGTCGCAACCACAACAGTTTCAATAATAATGTAGTTTGTGTGTGTGTGTGTGTGTGTGCTGAAAGATCAAGGGGTATCAGTCCCAAATCAAAATGTCGTTGATCATAACCTCCGCTGGAACACGGCTATCTTGTTTGAACATGGTATGACCTCTTGATCGAGCGATTGGACCTTTGCCACACTGGGAGACGCCCCTCGATCCTTGTAGTTTGCAGAGAGGGAGGCTAATGCTCTGTGCGAGCATGAAAAAGAAAACCTCTCATGGGTTAAACAGAACAGACGTGCCGCGTTCTTCGCTGCCCTTCCATTATCCTTCTTCTTCCAACTTGTCACCATTCATAAACATCACCACGCCCCTCCCATCACCACCAGCACCACCTTTGTCGATAGATATTTATCCTTGTCTTTACTCCCACCAAGTACGTACATTCCTCTTGTTCACTTGCCAACAGCGACTGCAATGCTGCCATGCACGCCTTACCCTGGATCAGATCCTGCTGCACCCTTTTGTAATCAACACCCTCGCACCCTTCCCAGCACTCGACCTTGCAAGAACGTGATTTGATTTTTTTTTTGTTCTTTTGAAGCTCATCTAGAATATGTCGTTTGTAGCGTTGTAGTTGACGCGTTTGAATACGCTCTGATCGGTACCAGCATGAGAATAAACAGTGTACCACTCCCTGTCTTTTTCTTACCCATTGTTTGTGAGTGTCAAAGGCTTGCATCCTCCCTTCTTCCTCCTTTTGTATTTTCCTTTGTTTTACAGATACCTTCCCTTCTTTCGCGCCCCTTTATTTTCTGGTATCATTCATCTTCCTCTGGTCCCCTTCTTCTCTTTTTCACTTTCACCCACTTTGGTTACTTTCATCCCTTTATCTTTTCTTTACCCCGTAGTCCTCCCTCCGTCCCTCAATAACTCCTTCATCTGTTCCTTAAGTAGAGATACCTCCCATCTTGACCCCACAACAATACTTACCCACAACACTCGCAAGAACTCTGGTAAGAAAACCGTCTTGAGACACCTTTTGCAAGGGTCCATCACAAAAACGAATTCCCACAAAAACAGCCTTATAGGTCACTGACTGAACTCCCAGGGAAGGGGGCTATACGGCAGACGAATGGGATTCTCAATGGATAGCATTGTAACTTCGTCCTTTGCTAACCGTACACGATTTTCTTTATCGGTCTCCCCTCCCCCCATGTCTTAGGCATATCCTCAACCTCTCGACAAACCCCTCCCACTTCACATCCAACAAAATGCAGTTCAACCGCCTTCTTACGCTCTGCGTTCTCATGCTTATATCAATTTCAGTTTCTTCTGCCACCGCCCAATGCTACGTCGATAAAAAAGGACATTCGCATTGCAATAACAAGCCCCAGTGCACCACGCACCCGGACGGGACCATATCCTGCGTTGTTTAGGGAGTTTTTTCCTTTCGTCCTGGCTAAAACTGCTGTTGAAAAGGTTGTCGAGTTGTGCGTTTCTTTTTTTTTTTCTGCTGGTTTAGAAGTCAGCACCCCCCATTGAATAAAACCTCACAATTCCAAGTGAAAGAAAAAGGGTGTCGTACAAAAAGGCATGGAATTGGTTTATTGTGGTTTTCTGGTTACACCGATGTTGATGCACTGATTGTTTTTTTTTTGTTGTTGTTTGTTTTGCAATGTGTTGAGTATTTGCTGTGTGTCATGGTCAACAAAAGTTGATAAAAAAGATCATGATAGGTCATCATCCATCATTACTCACTCTCTCCCTCACCCTTCCCCTCCCCTCTCGGTCGCCTCATCCTCCTACTCCACTTCCCATTTCACTCAAGTAGTCTTGACCTTCTTGGGCACAGCATGTCGATGATGCATCTCTCCATTTGGCAAACACAAATAATTCTCCCCTCCACCACCTAACCCCGCCACTGCATGTCGTCCAAACACCAAACAGGCTTGCTCCTCCTGCGCGGCAAAGTTATCTGTGCAATGTCGGATCTTGCTAACCCAGTCGTCAGCCAGGACCTGATCAATGGTGACCCGTTTATGTGCATTGGGTTCCAAGATCGCGTACAGGATCCGGCGGCAGCCGGGGATCTCGATTCGGTCGATGAACTCGTGGCCGCCTAGGTAGTTGTTGTAAGCGAATGTGTTGTACACCGCTGGTGGGACAGCAGTAGTAGTAGTAGTAGTAATGGTGGTGATGGTGCTGCTGCTGGGCGGGACTGAGACCGGGGACGAGGCGAAGGCGTCAGGAGAGGACAGGGGGCCGACTGGCTTAGAAGAGACGGGCGAATTGTCGACGGAGCTCTGTGGTGTTTCTGTAGGAGATCCACTCCTGGACGAGCTGACCGATGATGACTTTTGCTGATGCTGATGCTGATGCTGATGCTGGTGTTGGTTCGGGTTGTAGGGTGGGTACTGAGGGAGGTGACTGACTTCATGTGGACGACTATAAGCATCCACCGAGCCCGAACCCGATCCAGAACGTGTGTTCCCAGAACCAACCGACCCCACCCTCACACCACCACCATTGCCGGTGCTGCTACACAGACTATGGTGATGCAACTGTCGGCGCTCATACTGCAGTCGTCGTTGAGCCTCACTGTGACGATGGTTCACGATATCAGTGATGAAACGATTGAAGCGAGCGTCCTTCTTGCGGTCTGCGCGTGCCCAAGGCATAGCAGCGTAGTACATGACGTAGAATATGATTCCGCAGGCCCAGACATCGACTGCTCTGGGGTCGTATTCTTCTTGGTAGAACTCTTCTGGTGCGATGTAGGGTTCTTGAAGTGCATGAAGGCAGAATAAAAGAAAAAACATGTTTGTTAGTCAAGTGGGGCGGCTTCAAGAAAAAAAAAATCCCGGCGCAATAAGTCAGGAATGCAAAACGGGGACTTACCGCTGCCGATAATGCCTCTGCAGGGTAAGGGGATGGGGTCTCCGACAGACTTGAAGACATTGGCGATCCCAAAGTCGGTAATCTTGAGGATGCGGCCCGTGCCGTCAATCAGGATGTTCTCGGGCTTGAGATCACGATGCTATTTTTTGTTTCCGGGCACACACTCAAGAACGTTAGTTGACTGTGGTACAAAAAAAAAAAGAACAAACGAGAAAAAACACATATAAATAACAACTTACGGCAACGCCCATGCTGTGCATGTACTGAACACCATTAATAAGCTGTCGCCAGAGACAGTGCTTCTCATGAAGACTAATGGGCGGGTGGGAGTTGGTCAACAGGTTAAACAAATCGCCACCGGCCGCAAACTCCATGACCATACAGTACTCGGGAAATTGGTCCAGTCTCAACTGCTTGGCCTGCTGCTTCTCACGCTGTCGTTGTTGCCTCAGGCGTTGGACCTCCTTCTGGCGGAGGTCTTGTTCGTACTGCTGTTGCTGCTTCTTCTTTTCCTGGGAAGAAGGGGATGAGACATGGTGGGCGTCGCCTCTCCAGTGGTTCAGGTGGCGGTGGCGATGGCCGCTGCTTTCTGATGGGACAGGATGAGAAGCGACCGATCGGTCAAGGTCAGGGTGGCCTACAATGCTTCGTCGAGCGGCCGCGAGCGCGTCTATGGATCGTTTGCGCTGCGGTTTGGAGATGACTGACTTGCGCGCAATAGGACGGTTCTTGTTCGACGGGGAAGATGAGCCTGAGGCTGAAGATCCAGCGTGGCCATGGTTAGGTATATCTCCTGCACTCTTAACTGTTCGAACTCGTCGGTGGTGGGACCGTGGACAACTGCAATCGCGTGCCTCCTCCCGTCGGTGCTTCTCAGTCTTGAAATAATCGTCTTCATCCTCATCATAATCGCATTCATCCTTGTGTTGATGGTGTCCTCCGCGGTGATGTCGATGGTGGTGACGACTCTCCTTCTGGGGCATCTCATCATCCACCAGCTCTTGACCAGGTTGATCGCGAACCAGGTCCAGCGTGCGGATAATGTTCTCGTGGTCCATCGAAGTCGAGATACAAAACTCTGCACAGACCTTCTTCAAGAACTGTCGATGTGTCTCGGTGTCTCGTGGGGGGCGGAACTTCTTGATGGCATAGATCAACCCTCCTCCGTTGGTCATCGATAACCCACCGGTGCTGGTTCGTCGGAGGAGTCGCTTCCTGTAGGCCTCTCGTTGCTCTGGGGTGACTTCATCTTCGGTGGTCGTCATCATGGTGCCGGTACGAGCATAGGGAGCCAACAGAGAATCGCCAACACCAACACCGAGTTCTTGGTCGACTGGAGAAAGCGAGTCTCGCTGTTGGTACAGAGGTGACTTTTGCTTCTGATGTTTAGCGGAAGAGGAAGGCGATGATGTTGACACGGGCTTGGACCAAGAGGCAACATCTTTGTTTTTGGGGGACCGGCGATGCTTAGAAGACTTGACCCTCAACAACATAACCTGGGCCTGTGTGCCCGCCCCAAGCTCGCGACCAGGAACACCATACTTGGACTGCAACGTCGGCATAGGCGCGGGAACTCTTGAGGTCGTGGCCGATCTGGGCCGTCCACCACCTGCAGAGCGTCTCTCCATCATCCTTTGACCGGCAGGGCACGATTGATCATGCTCGAAATCCGAGGGTAAAGGCGAATAGGGTGAAGAGGGTTGCTGTAGTTGGTCACCAACACCTTGAGGCTGCAGGGTTGCAAGGGAGACATTCAATTGTGTCAGGTCGACTCGAGACGAAGGGGTAGAGTTGGACGAGGCCGGGTAGACGGACGCATTGAGATTGGGTGAGGACATTAGCTTACGCAGGAACCGGGCTCGGAAACCACCCGACGACGATTCCGGGGTCTTGTGGGGTGCAGCCTTTGCAATGTTTGCCAGCGATGGAAGGACAGCGGGTGCTTGAGGCGGGGCGTTGAAGAGGGAGGGTCGCTTCGAAGAAGGAGCACTCTTGCTACCGCCACCACTGCTGTGGCTGTTAGGGTTGGAAGGGAGACCAAAGGGGCCACGACCGCTGAACGACACGGTAGGGGATTGAGTCGAGGGTTCACCATGTTCCGAATCTGAGGAGTCTGTAGGAGGCTTGAACACTCGCAGGAGGCGCTTGTACAACTTTGGGATTGGAGGAGCCGCTGCTGGTTGGCGGGAACTCTGAGAGATAGGCGGTTTTTGAGCAAAGGTACCTACTGATTTCGAATGAGGTGGTGCCTTGGACTGAAGTGCAGGCGTTGGAGGATGGGAAGGTGGAGGAACCGACTGCTTGACAGGCAGAGAAGTTTGTCTAGTGCTGGAAGTCTGAGTAGTCATGGGTGCCGAGGACAAGACAGGAGCAGAGGCAGGGGCATCGAAAGCAGCAACGGGCGAGGGCTTGACGGATTGAATGGAGGGTGTGGGATCGACACCGACCAAGGCAGGAAGAGGGATATCGTCGTCCTCGTCAGCTTCTAGGTCCTGCAAGTGAGCCAGATATGACAGCCGATGGGTCAACCTTGGACGACCACTTGAACTAGTGGTGCTGATGATGGTCGCAGATTGAGCAACGAGCGGCCAAAGAACCGAAGAGCCTCCTCTTTCCTCCTCAGGGTCAAGGAATAAACCGTCTCCGCTCTCTAGACGACTCTGGACCATCTCGAGACTCTGTACCACTTCTTCCACATCCTCTTCCTCCTCAGAAACATGATTGTCCGCGTTCGTTGTTGCGTGATGTTTGTGCGAGTGGGAAGAAGAAGATACGGAAGAAGAAGTCGAAAAGGGATGACGACGAGGATGACGAGAAGAAGAAGAAGAATAGGGGATCTGCTGAGATCGGCTACTAATGTCACTTCCTACCACTCCTGCTCCAGTAGTTGCTGCTGGTGGTGTTACTGATACGGTCGGCGTATGATTCTGCTTGTCATCGTCCTGCTCTCTCTCTTCTTTTGTACCTTGATCCGTGACAGGATTTATCGAGGCAAGGTTGGGAGAAGACTGCGACTGCCTCTCTAGACGATATGACCGCCTTTGCTGCTGTTGTTCATGCTCCTGTAGGCGATTTGGTTGTTGGACTGATGCATTAATTCGGGTTGACCTGGAGGGAAAAGGCGTGTGGATCGTCTCGAGGCTCGTGTCAATTTTGATGGATCCGTGCCGACTTGCCAACTTCCGAGGTCTCTGTTGTTGTGCCTGTCGCTGTTGTAATGATTCGATTGTATTGAGTGAGGAGGGACGGGGCAGGTCGGCAAACACAACTGAGGCCTGCTTCTTCTTGACCTCGCGATGAGGTTTCCGTCCTGTAGACAGCAAGGAAGGAAGCGAGAGAAAGGAAAACATGCGTGGGGGTAAATATACTTTCCGGGTGAGGGTAGAATGACAAAAAGAAACATAGTTGATTTTGATGTGGTTCGAACAAACGCCTCTGCTTATTTCTTTCTTCTTGATAAGCAATGCGCCTGAAAATAACTACGATATGCATGCGAGAAAAAAAAAGAAATGATAGCTTACTTACCGAGAGAAGGGTCGAAGAGTCCAGAATGATATCCTGTCAAGTCGGGTCCTCCTTCTTCGGTGTTCTCTTGTGCTGCAACAGCATTGGCGATGTCGAGACGTTGTTTTTGGAGGAGACGATATTGTGAGGGGGAGAGTTGAAGTTGGTTTGTATTGGCATCTCCATAGATTGCAAAATCGAGTTTTTCGCTTGGTACATGGAACGACATGTTTGTAGGTAGGGTGTGTATATATGAAAATTGGGGGAGAAGGGTCGATGTATGTTTGTTGGTTGCTTGTTGTGCCAGGATGAGGATGAGGAAAAGAGAGACGTAAACTGAGATGGATGTATGAATGTTGATGATACAAAATGTGCTGTGCGTGTCTCCTTTTTCGAGTGAAGAGGTGGGACAATGGTCAGGGTGTGAAAAACAAATGTAAATGTGAAAAAGTGGTAAGGAAGTAATGTAAAGAATGCAAGGGAGATGGAAGGGTATGTGTTGCGTTGCTGGAGCAATTGAGCAGGTATCTTGTTTGGTTTATTGGTGAGGTAAATGAGAAGGAAAAGAAGAAAAAAGAAAGGAAAGGAAGAGAAGCCGCATTTTATGTTCTCGAACGAGGAGGACGATAATGATAATTTGGGGTAGAGTGGGCGTAGTCAATGTTTATTTACTCCGAATGCTAGAATACCCCAGAACTCAAAAAAACAAGCGCAACATACAATACCAACCATCCACGACCGCTGTAATGCGGATATTATTTAATCCTTTGAGGAAGACAAGATAATTAGAGCCCATAGAATCTCGACCATGGCCGATCATTTCACGTTTCTTCACGACCCGACTAGAAAAAACCATGCAGTCCAACTCAGCTTGTCCATTATGGGCGAAGGATCGTGCGCCAGCGAGCAGAAAAGAGGCATGAAAAAAAAGGTCAGAAGGTAGTCGCAACCCCTTAGTAAGCAGTTTTCAGAGGAGAAAGAAGAAACACCAAGTCAAAACAAAACAAAGGAGCAGTGTGATGATGCACTGCATTTTATTTTTTGAGTATATAGTAACTGTACAGATGAAGAGAGGTGAATGTTGAATTACTGCTGTTTGCTACTTTTCTTTTTCACGATCCACGCCTCGCCTTTTTGCATTGACAATTTTCGTCTTGATCACAACAAACCATGGAAGAAGAAGGTTAGCAGATCACATCCCTTTTTTATTTTGCCGATTCACACACAAACAAAAAACAGAGCATTTTACACGTCGCACAACAGACAGTAAAGGAGCGCGTTCCTCACAACTTGCACCACAACCGACCGCCTCACAACTACTACAGCGACAAAAAAAAAAGGGCATACACGAAAGGAACCAATCGCTGGCGAGCCGTAAGCTACACCACAAGTGAAGAGTCAAGTGGACACTTGCCGTCTATTCAGGACCTTGCGACCGTTTGGGTGGCACCCACCCTCTCCTTCCTTCTCCTTCCCATGTTTACTGCTATAGATCGATTGGCACCTTCATTGGTTCGTGCACACGCGCGCCTTCAGGTGAAGTTGGGCGCCAACTCTTGGAAATCCAGAAATAAAAAATAAAAAAGCCCGAAGGGTATTTCGCCGCTTACCCCAACGCTCTTCCGTTCCCTTCTCCCTCGCCTCGCTCTTCTATCCCTCCTCCTCTACAGGACCGTTAATCGCTTCCATCCGGCTTTTTTATATTTCTTGAACGAAAGGCCGCTGTAGGGGACAAGAAAATGGTAGGACAAGGAGAAAAAGGTCAGATTGACTTTTTATTTTTTTCTGTCAAAAGAACGACCAATTGCAAACGCGCGAGAGACAAGCTAGGATACATATAGAAACTTGAGGACCCCCTTTTTCTCCTTCCCTCCATCCTTTTTTCTTTTTCTTTCTTCTCTTTCATACTCTATCCCCACTCTGTCTTAAAGGGGGAGTAAAAAGAACACTTTAGTGTGGGGGAAGGCCGAAGAACAGTTACGCGAGATCCATCATGCTCAATCGTAGTGAGGACTGGAATCTCTTGTCTTTCGGCTTCTTTTGTTCGTTGCTGTTATTTTGTCACGGGAGCAAAAAAAGAAACACATAAGGAAGAAAGTTCGTAACGGTCAATGAACAGACACATTCACAGAGTGAAGGACCACCGTTATTCTACGCTCTTGGTTGTGTTCCCCCTTTTCATCGGCAAACACACACACTCCTCAACGACATTTCACATCGAACAAAAAAAACCGCACAATTCATGCAAACTCTCGTCCAAGGTTCTATTCTTTTTTTTATTCTTTTTCTTACAGAAAAAAAAAAAAGAAAGAGAAAGAAAAAGAAAAAAAAAAAAAAGAAATCAAGGCTTTTGCCCATAGGCAAGATAAACCCTCGAAAAAGTATGGTACTGATCCATCTCTGCCCAAACCTGGCCCATCATCTCCTCCCACTCCTCCCCCGTCGTCATCTCTGCTCCACAAACCGCCACATCCATCCCACTCGCGACCGCATTCTCCAACGCCGCCTGCAACACCACCGGCTTCAACGCCTCCATCTCTGCCTTTAATACATCTCGCCAGAGCATCCCGATTTTCCCACCCCAGGGACCGATGGGGATTTCTACCATCATCATTTTCACGTTCTCGCAGCCAACGTCTTTTAGGACTTGGTCGAGTCGTGAGGGGAGTAGGACGTCGACGTTTCGGTTCTGGGCGGTCTCGTTGAGCATCTTTAACACGCTCCTCGAGATCGGTCCTGGCCTGCTCCAGATTGGGTCGACCTCCGAGAGTTGTAACCATCCATGTCCTCCAGGGACGACACATCGGAAAAGATCCTGGACGACGCCGGGCCAGGCGTCCTGGGTGAGTCCGAGGAGCATGTTGCGTTGGTGGACGAGAAGGTAAGAGTCGGAGGCGAAGGGGATCTCGGGGTCGAGGAGGTTTCCCATGGAGAAGTGGGCGTTTTTGGGGTGGATTGCTGTAGGGTACATGGGGGAGACGTCGAACCCGTAGAATTCCAGATCCTCGTATTCCGTTGCCATTTCCTATTTTCACATTCGATACACAAGTAAAGAAATAATGTCAGAGAAAGGTAAAATAAGCGCCACCAAAAAAAGTGAAACAAAGCAACACGCCAATTGGGTGATTGATCGAATGGAGACCTACCATGACCCAGGTACCAGGTCCGCAGCCACAATCAAGGACCTTGCCGGCGACCGTCGTGTCAATAGGGGGAATCATATTCGACCCGAACGCATACCGAATCACGTAGTGCTGCAGCAGCAATCTATTGCGTCCAAAAAAAGAAAATATTTTCGTTGCAGTCGTCCGTGTGGCGATAGTTTTGTTGATTTGAGTTGTTTGTCGGGGTGGGTGGAAAATAAGGTGACGAGGTCGAGGGTGGGCAGGTGAGGGGGATTCATCCGTAGTCAGATGCATAGATAGGAGGAGCATCCAAAAACGAGATGCAATGTGAATGGGCAAAAACGAGAGATCAGTTCCTATAGTCAACGCTCACATTTTTTTTCCTTTATATTCAGCGCATTGTAAGACATAGACAGAACAAGTACAATAACGACAAATTAGAGTGAGCATGAAGAAGAGACAACCAAACGTACCGTTCGCTTTCTTGCTCATCGCAGGGCAAGAGATAGGGCAGAGTCTTATCCGGATAGTACTCTCGGCCGCCCAAAAGCCGTCTTAGCGGCAAAATCCTTGCTGCCAGTTCATCGGCCGACAGTCCAGATGATTTTGTTAACGACGTAGTCGACTTTGAAGCACCATTACCATGACCTGTTGCTGCCACCGTAGACACTGTGGCTGGCTCGGATGTAGGACCACCAGGGTTGGACAGCGATGATGAGGATGAAGAGGGAGGAGAGGCAGCGCTGGTCATGGCGAGCATGGAATGGTAATGCGATCCAGTACTCGAGAACGAAGACGCACCGCCGTTGAAACTGGAAGCCATGGATCCGGAGGGCGAGGTCGAATAGTGGTGATAATGGTTGTTGTGATTGGCCGAGCCGGTGGACATGGTAGGTGATCGGGGTTCCTGGTGGTGAGGGTGGGAAGACGACTGTGAGGTATGGGGCTGACGCTGCAATGAAGATGCAGTAGGGGCGGGGATAGAAATCGCGTGGCTGGTGTTGCGATGCTGACCGTTACCACCCCCGCCGTTACTCAGGTTTTGGCTACTCAAAGCCCGGTCGGGGTTCCGGGCCGGTCGCCTGGTCTTGGTCTGCAGGACCACACCCGTGATCTGCTGTGTGTTGGTATACTCCTGAGACGGCCGTGGTAGCGCTGCTGTCGCCATCACCGGCGTCGAGATCTGAGTCGAGTTCTGATGCAAGCTCTGTTGTTGCTGAAGAAGCGCCAACTGCTTCTGTTCATACTCAAGTTTGAGTTGTTGTTGCTGTTGCCGGAGAATCATCATTTGTTGGTACTCGTACTGCTGCTGTTCAAGGAACTGTTGTTGCTGTTGCTGTTGATACGACATGAAGTCTTGTACCGTATAGTTGTTGTGCATATAAAGCCCTCCCCCGCTGTTGTTGACAGAGGAAGAACTGCCGCCATGGACGCCAGCCTCGACTATTTTACCGTTCACATACGTCGCCCGACCAAGTCCAGTCCCCACCGCATGAGGAGTCGTGGAGAAGTCAAAAGTGTCGGACCCAATCGAGTATCCACTGTTGCTCCTCGAATCCCCTCCTCCTACTCCTGCGCCATGGTTGTAATGCGTAGACATGAGCGTGATGGGCGCACTGACCAGACCATTCGAGTACTCATACATCGACGAAGTGGGCGACCCAGCCGCAACAGCAGCGTTGACAATCGAAAGATTAAGCGAAGAGGTCGAAGAGGAAGGCGAGAGTACAGAAGGAGGGTGCGAGATGGGTCGGTCGCGCCATGACCGATTGAACCCCGATGGAATCGATCCTGCACGTAACCTCGTTTGTGGCTGCTGATGCTGTTGTTGTTGTGGTTGGTGTTTCTGTTGCTTGTTCCCTCCTCCTCCGCCTCCGTTGCGATAAGACGTTAATTGCCCAAACTCGACAGAAGTAGGCGAGACAGGCTGAGAGGTGTCGCTGAGAGACTTGACACTTCTTGCACCGGTGCTGTTGGCGGTGCTCTTTTTCTTGTAGGCTTTTGGGGGAATGCGGTAGGATTGAAAGACCTCCTTGTCGTTTGCCTCATAGTCTTCTCCTGAAATATTTGCTCCCATGTTGTATAAGGTTTTTGGCGAGTGTGACGAAAAAGGTAAAAAAAGTAGTGTTGAGAATATGGTGTATAGAAGAAAAGGATAGCAGAAGTAAGGAGAAGGGGGATAAATACAGGTGAGAGTATGCGAGTGATGGAGTTCAGCGAGTAGGGGGCCAGTTAAGGTATTGGTGGCACAAAAAAAATGAAGAAATAGTACAGTGGACAGGAGTAAGGTGAGGCGAGCTGGGTATACAAGGATGGACGATAAAGGGACGTCAATGTGTGTTGAAGAAAGAAAGAAGGGAAAAAGTGAGAGAGTGAAAAAAGAAAAGGAAAAGAAGAGAAACGCACGAGAACCATTAAATGTGATAAAATGCACCCTGATATCGTCAAGGAGGAGGTTCCCCCTCCCCAGATAGGAACACGAACATGAAGGAAATGTATGATCCGGGTGAGGATGGGATTGGATGAATGTCAATGTGTGTGCGTGCGCCATTTGTGGCATTATGTCTTCTCACAAGATGTTATTCAATTGACCCTTGTTCCCTGTTAAAACATGTGTTGTGAGCTCGCATTTGAGGAGAGTGCGATGTTTAACGTTCTGGACGGACGGCTTACATTACACAGTGTACACGACCAAACAGCACGAATACAAAGATCAAAAGGGGATGCGGGTCGAAACAACCTCATCTTCTATCTCTTAACTAGTCTCCGTTGCACCATGACAAAGAGCCAAGGTTTGCATCTATTTTTTAAATATACTCTGCTCGCTGACCTGCTCTTTTACCTTCGTCCGTGCCATGTGTCTGTGAAAAGGAAATACACATAAACAACAAGAACACTCACCTGTGCCACGAGCTCGTCTGTCATAATTCAAAGATCTATCCCCTTACTCTTCCTTGACGAGAGATAACCCTTTCTCGCCCATTGATGGTTCCTTGATGCCTCACCTCACAGGTAGGTGGTGAGTATACCAATCTTGATCTATTTGCTTAAAGGAAGGTAGAGTAGATAAACATTACAACGAAAACCAAAAACAAGAGCAGGGCTCAATGGTAATTAGCACCGAGACAGGGACAGTGGGTCAAGAGGGGCGTTGTGTGCTTGTGTTTGTCCACGGGTCATTGAAAGCCAGTAAAGTGTATAAAATAACACGAGCACTCCAGGTCGGCTTGAAGGGAGGGGTCCGTTGAAGACTTCCCTCATGTTAACCGACTGCATCCAATGCGACTGGAACCCTTTAAAACGAGTTCAAGGGAAGAGGATGCAATCGCCGGCAGAATTGGTAAAAAAGGGGGGTGATGGCAAAGTCGATTGTTGATCTTCGAGACTTCGTCTTCCACAAGAAGAAAGCAGACCAGTGCCTCAAAAGGTTGCTGACCTGTTCCTCCCCCCTTTTCCTCGTTATTCAGACGAGACAAAGAGAACAACGAGGTCATCATCCCCATTGTTAACATGAACCGAAAACAACAATGACTCCGTCCGCCCAACCAGAATAACGTGTTTGATTTTTGAGTCTTTTTTTTTTTTTTTTTCTCGTCGAGCCACGTTATTTGAATTGATCCATTTCACTCCTAACTCCTCTCCCTCCTCACTCTGACTCCTTGCAGTTCGTCATCCACCTTGACCCCACCTCGCGGACATAAGCCATTTTTGGAATCCATCGAGAACAAAGGAGGCGTGGCGGGAGGAAGTGGAGTCGGAAGGGCGGTGGGCATGCATGCATGTTTTGAATCCCCCACTCTACGATAAGCTAAGATCATGCCTCCTTTTCCTCTTGTCCTCCCCCCGTTTTTATTCAACTGAACGGCAAAGGCGTTGAAGATGTTTCTAACAAATTCCCTTGCCATTGCGCCTGCACATGCTTCTCGCTCAGGGTACCTTCGCCGTTATGTCTTTCTAGGCCCTGTTTTTTTTCTTTTCTCCTAGGTTTCTTCGCTTACCCCTTCGTTCATCAGATATCTCGGAAGAACCTTCCCTTTCTTAATCACAGTACAAAACCCCGCCTTGATTTTTTTCTTTCTTTACCCCGCAATCGCGTGTGCACGCTTAATGCAGAGAGGAGCAAGAAAAAGAAAAAAAAATAGATGGCATTAGCATTAGGATGTATCCATCATCTTTTCATTCACTATCTCTTCTGCTTCTTACCTCAATTGTTCATGACTGACCTGCTCATTGCTCAGCCCTTACAAGATCTCATTACACCTTTTCTTCAATTCTCCACCCCCCTCCTCCTTCTTTATCCACAATCCACACCTTCCCCCCCTCCTCATGGCTACACAACAGCTATAAATTTTCTTATCGGACCTATCGTGCATAGCATTTCTCCCATTGATCACCCCCCATGTGGCGCTAATAAAATTAGGCGGCAGAATAATCTGCAATCAGACCCGCTCGAGACCCATTCCTCACAATTATTTCTCGGTAACTCTCCTCATCCTTCTTCACTGGTTTTTTTTCCATCTTGTGTTCACCCTTCTTCTTCCAACGTCAATTGGTGGCACCTGTTTCTTTCTTAAAGCTGTGTCCCCGCCGAGTTCAAACCGAAAACAAAGGAGGGCTTGACATATGACAAGGAAGAGAGGGGCCTCTCATGTACTTTACCCATTACCCATCAACACCCCCCTCCCCCTCGTTTTTTTTAGAAAAAAAACAAGCGGGAATCGCGTATCTCTTTCACCCATTCCTTGAAGTCTGTCTTCCTTCCCCCCTCCAACAAACACGTTGCTGGAGGGCGGCAAAAAAGGGTTATCTGAACGCAGTCACTATCTCTTCTGCTGCAGCGCTGCTGCACACATGTTCAGCCAGAAAGAAAAAGAAAAAAAAAATGTGAGCGTTTTGAACATGGGACGGGCCTTCAAGGGGAGAGGGGTCATCCTCTTGTCTCCTTTTCGACTCTCCACCTGCAACACTTCTTTGCTTAGCTTTTTCACTCTTCTTCCTTCTCTTCTCTTCTCTCCATCTATTCTTTCCCACCTACTTTTCAAAACCACTCTCCTTCTCGATGACAACCAAATAACCTTCTTCATCCTTCAATAAAAAGAACCGAAACTGGATCAGTCGATTTTTTTTTTTTTTTATTTATTGCAGGGGGTCTTGACCAAAAAGCAATAGCGAAAGGAAAGGCACACAAAACAACAAGACTCGGGGATGAAAAGCTACGCGGAAAGTACCACTAGGGCGACTACTAAAAAGATATATACATGGGTTGTTACAAAGAAGGAGAGAGAGAGAGAGGAGTAGAGTTGAAAAAGAAAGAGAAGAGGGTTTTCGAGCGGAATGTGGTTATGATGTGAGGTGGGGCGAGGTGGGATAGGGTCGGTCGGATGGGTCAGGCACCAGATAATGGTACCGCTGACCGATAAAAATACAAAATAGGTGATAATTGATGAAATAAAAGTAAAGAGAAAACAAAGGGAAAATGAAAAAAACAACGATAACAAAGAATTCAAACATCGGACTTGTTTCCAAACTTGCGCTGAAAGTGGAGCAAGTCGTGGGTCAGTTTGTCAATCTGTTCAAGACAGCTTACAGGTGCTGAAACCAGAGTCGACGTTGCCCTCAGATCCTTGTCCTTGGATCCGACAACATCGTCGCAGTTCATGTTGCCAGTGTTGGTGTTGCAGCTTCCTGCTTCGTTCTGAGGTGGTGGTGTCATCGGTGGCTGGCCACCCTGCTTCTGTTCAGACGTCATGGCCGCCGACATCACCGTCGTTGTAGCGGATGTACCCGTTTGTGTCACAGGATCCAATGACTCACTGCGGGAAGGCTCATGGACCGATCGGGGTGGGGTTGACAGCCACGCTGGCTGAGAGTCCGAGGAGGAAGTAGATGGCCCCACATTGTCAGCCATGCCCATTGTGGAATCTTCGCAAGCGGAGGCGGTAGTAGTAGCAGTAACAGCGGTGGCGGCAGCATTTGTCCGCTCCATCGCAGCAGCAGCGGTGGCTTCTCGGTTCTTCTTCATTTCGTTCATCTCGGCACGGGCATGGCTAACATAGTCCTGCAGCTGCCTGATACGCTTGTTCATGTCCGCGATGGTCATCCTGGCGGATGGGTATTTGACCTTGGTCGGTTGGATGACAATGATCTGTGATGGCTGGGGTGTTCCTGCGGGTGAGCCGTGACGAGAGTGGTGGTGGTGGTGTCCGTGGTTCTGATGTGCCTTTCGAAGAGCCCCACCTCGCTTCATTACCTCGGGATGTGAGACAACACTGTCTGCCCTGGTAGTGTCCTCTGAGGCGTTGGGGCTCTCTTCTGCGGGTGTCGTTGATTCAGCATGTTCGTCTTCTACTGGATCGACCTTCTTGTTGGCTCGCGTGCTGTGTCCCTTCCTAGAAGATCGTGTGGCTACATGTCATATTCGAGAGCAAAGAGCAAACAGAAAGGATATAAATTGGTGGCGTTTTTTTTGAGTGTCAGCTTCAGTGTGGATAAACTCAAAATCACGTTATGTTCATAACACAGAGATAATTCGCTCGGGAAGAGAAGGTTTGTGTCTCTCATTACCTGGTGCTTCGGCCGGGGAAATGTCCTTGTCGGATGCCTTGTCCTCGTCCTCCGTCTCTAGTACCGAATCCTCCTTGGATCGAGTGGTTGGCTCTGCAGTACGTCGCCGCTTGGATGCTGGGACAACATGGCTGGCCTCAATGACATCATCCGCTGGAGCTGCGCGGCTGTTCTTCTTGTTGTTGCTGGCCGAACGAGCGTTCCGTCGAGTCGAAGGGGCAGCGGACGCAGCGGACTCGGAATCCTGATCAGCAATCGGTAATGACTCTTCCAGTTGAACTGGGACAGGGGTCATCATCGTGCTGACAGCAGAGGAACCTGAGGCAGTCGACGATTCATATTCAGGTAATGCTCCCTTTTTGCGCTTGGAGCCCATAGATTTCTTGTTGGACTTTGTTGTCACTGGGGCAGGGGTGGTTTCTGATTCATCTTCGGTGTGGTTCTTGCTGGCGTCACCGTTGCTGTTGTTGATGGTATGCAGAGAGGGCTGATCAAGGTCGTCAAGGGTACTGTCGGTCTTTTTCCTGCGCTTGGATGCTCGTGTGACGTTGCCATGGTGGTTGCCTTCAGATGCTGTGGTATCTGGCTGGCTGTCTCGATCTGTCGACACCTTGGATTCTCTGGCGGAGCTCTTGGTCTTGGGTGACTTTACTTTCAAAGAAGCCACGGCCGAAGAAGTGTTCTCTGCATTGGTCATCCTAAAATGGGGTCCACAAGGCACAAAAAAGGATAGAATTGTAGGTAAATAAAAAGAGCCATTGCGGAGAGCAATCGACAAGCAGCAAACAAACAAAAAGTATCCAGGGATGAAAAGGTTCCAACAGGGACCATGGTCCGAACGGAGGAGAGAGGGTTTGTGTATGTTTGTGTCTATGAAAAAGAGGTGTGGGCAGGGGATCAGGGGTACACAAAGAGGAGGGGGAGACTTGAGGGGCGAGCTCAATTGGAAACAACAGACAGGCATACCATCACAGAGCAGCATGCAAACGTGGTACTTGTATGTGATGTGAATGAGTATGTGTTTGTGCATGTATATGAGGGAGGATTTGGAGTAGGGGGCGAGAGGAGACGGAAAGAGTGCGGGCATGGAATGGTGCAAGAAGGCAAGATAAAAAAAAAAGGGTGACTTACAGTACTCCATCGACGACATGGTACGGATGGTTCTCTGGTCTGCAAGAATCGCAGTAGTACTTGTCTGGGGTGACCAGTCCGTCTCCGAGGCCGACGCAGGGACAGTGCTGCCAGACTTTGCAGGTCTCGCACTGGATCATCACTCCCATATGGTCTATTCATTTCATCCCATTCCATTGCATGAGGTGAAAAAGAATCAAAGGTTACTATGTCTATTCCGAAGGCTGCGGTTGTTTTTGTTCCTGTTCCTTTTTGTTGACGTCTGTCGTGAGTAAAGTGATTGTCCAACGAACGTAGGAGGAAGGGAGGTTGAAGTTGCCAGCGTGGCAAACAACAAAAGAAAGAGATCACACACACACAAAGTGGTGTACAAAGAGATGAGCCGCCGCTTACTGGTATTATTGCGTGTGTTATTTGCCTCAAAGCATATTTGTCTTCCCAGTTTTGGCTGTATTCCCAGATCACCTTTTTTTATCCACAAGCACACACATATAAACACTTCAACAAAAAAGACATACGTTCTTGTTCACAGACACAGCGCGTCTGGCCGCCATCGTCGTCGACCTTGTTCGGTGTCTTCTTGCTCTTGGTCTGGCCATTGCGCTGGCTTCGTTTCGGAGAAGCTATTGTTTGTTTGAGGTGAATCACACAAAAAAAAGGAAAAGAAAAAAAGCCGGACAGTCAGTCAGTTGAATGAGTGAATGGGTAGAGTAGTGCGGGAGGAAAGGTACGATCCGGAGACAACCCTCATCAGTCGGCCAGACTCCTTGTCCTTGTCCAAGCTTGCTGTATGCTACTGGAAGGCGAGCTTGAGTATCTGGGTGGACCAGTACGGCTTCGACTACTTACAAGGAATGCCACGAGCTAAGAGACAATGACGCGATCAGAACAAATGGACAAGGCAGGGTAGGGTAAAAGGAAGGGGACGATAGGCATAATGGGTGGCTATTAGCTTTCTGGTGGTGGTCAACTTCATCGCAACGAGAAACGAAACAGAGTGTGTGCGTAAGAGTATGAGAGTAGCTTACCCATGTGGAATCTTGGCGAGAGGGTAGGATTGAGTTGAGGGTGAGTGAAAGTGAGAGTGAGTGAGTACGTTCAGGCGAGGAAGCGAGATTCCGCCCAAGAGTGAGTGAGTGAAGGGTGGTGTTGTTGTATTGAAGGAGAGGTGGGAAGGGGATAGAACAACGCAGGGTAGAGAGGTGAAAGAAGGAAGAAGGAAGAAGGGGATTGATAAGAAAGCCAGCCGGTGTTGCTGTGATAGTTGTTGCTATGGGAGTGAAAGAGTGAAGGAGAGGAAGAGTGGAGAGTAGAGCAGGGTGTGGGTGGTGGTTGCAGGGGATGAGGAGGAGGAAGACGAGGACGAAGAGGAGGAAGGATGGATTCAGTTTTGGCCGAGGGTGGTGGTGGGTATGGGTGAGAAGAAAAGAACAAAAAGGCCGATGAGTGAAGGAAAGGAGGAAGGATAAGGAGGAAGAAGAGAAGAGTGAGAAGAAGGAAGGAAGGGGTGCGGGAGTAGTGAGTGGCAAGCAAAGGGCAAGGGAATGAGAAGGGAAGAAGGGTAAAGGGTTGGGAAGGGAAGGAAGGAAGGAAGAAGAAGAGTCGGGCCGACTTTGTGTGGGACTGGGGGACAACGAAGCCAGCAAGCAAGCACGATTGAGTGTACGAATGCAATGGAGCAATAACAAGTATGCACACTGTACGGCGCACGCCTCTACTGTGTGCGTATGAAAGTGTCCCATGTTTCCATGTTTCCCGCATGGATGTGGTGCCTGTCCGTCTTTGTCTCTTCTTCCGCCCTTTCAATGAATAGAAGCAATTGGCCACTCAGAAGGGGCCATTGTGACTGCCGCACCCCCGTCTCTGTATCACTCTTGTATTCCATTGGTCGTTAATCAACATTCATCATCGTTCCTTTTTTATTACTTCCGCTCAACCCTTTCGATATCATTCATCCTCCTCCCCTTCCTCTTCCTCCTCCTCCTCATCCTCCTCGTCCTCATCCTCATCGTCAGTGAAATACTTCTCGTCCGAATAAAACTTGCTCTCATTAAACTGCACCCTCTCCACTTGCTCCAATCCACTCTCCATCATATGAACCATCAACCGTCGCTTCATATCCACATCCTCAACTGCCTCCTCCACGTCCTTCTCTCGTAACGAAGGCCTCACATACCACCCCTGTCCACTCTCTGTAAACACCTTCAACTTGTCTTCCCTCTCAGCTTGCTCCCTCCCCACCTTTGGCTCTCGAAGCTTGTTTACCTTCCTCCCCTTTGCCGTCAATGGCTCCTCCTCCTTGGCTTGCCCTGGCGAGTATCCACTGATCGTCAAACTCGTCAGATCCCGACACACCCACACCTCCCTCGTCAACTCCACCAGATCCTTGGCCTCACAATCCTTCCCCACATCCTCAATATCAACCTCCTTCAACCGTCGACAGCCGGCAAGTAACCGACCCACCATCCTCACCTCCTCTGGACCAAACGCCCTCACCTCTAGATTCATCTCCTCCAACGTCTCCGAGTGCTTCAACAGGGCCTCAGTGATATGCTCATCCAACTTGACACCCAAGACGACTCTTCTCAGTTGGCCCTCACCCTCAACGGTGCTATCTCGGAGCAAAGAGGCATAGAGGGATGACTCGATATAGCAGCCCGTCTCGTACTGCATCGAGTATCCGACTTCGTATTCGATCGATTCTAACCGAGGGCAAAAAGTCCGCATATTGGATATAAGAGCCGGCCAATCGGATGTCTCGACATCGACATTCAGGTACAGAGATTGCAAGGCAGGGCAGAGCTGGACAAGGTGCACTGCAGCGGGACTCTGATGCCAATCGAGGACCAGTCGTAACTCCAACAGTCGTTTCATCTTTGGTGGCTGTGAAGGCAGAATCGACAGAGACGACAACGATGTCGACAGGTCTCGTGTTGGTGTGACAGTAGAGGCGGGACTCGAATCGAGTGGTAGGAAGGGAGCGTCCCCGTAGCCAGAGATGAGACGCAACGAAAGCATCTCCAGAGTCGAACTACAGGCACTCAGGATGGCAAGGAGATCAGCCCGATCTATCTTCCAGCTGTCCAGCTCCAACGACACCAGACCCGACAGCATCGCCATTGCCTTGACCATCGCAGGTGGCATCTCGACCAGGAATTTGGACGATGTCCATGTCAGAACACGAAGGCTGGATCCAGCATTGGCCGACAGGAGGTCGAGCATGGCTTCTGCGCCGTGGCGGACTCTGAGGGTGGTCAATTGACTTGGAGGTGTTGCTCTGGACGAGCCATCGACTTTGTAGGGCAATTCCTTGTCGGAGATGGGTCTGAACATGATAAAGGTCCGAAGGTGCTGCGTATGAGGGTGATAGGGCGATCCATCGTCGGTTTGTCCTGAGATGAATGTGCTGTAGAGGTGAGGGAGGAAACAGTCGTGCCAGAACCGACAGACGAGGAGACAGGGGAGAAAGACTTCGGGATGGTAGTCCCAGTAGTCATCGTCGCAGCTGTAGACAAAGTGTGCGACTCTGTCGAGCACCTCTGGCAGGAGTAATGGGTTTTTGTGTTTCTTTGTTGTTGTTGTTGTTGTCATTGTGTGTTGACGGATGAGAGTAAGGGTGTGAGAGTTTGTCGAATGATGAGAAGGAAAATAAAAAGAAAGGGATCAAAACTTTCTTACTTATGTGCGGACATGGTCTTTTGAGAGCTAGTGACTTTGTTGAATAGCGGGGTGTCCACTCAAGGGGCAATTTTATCCAATCATGCTAATGTATCGGAGTCCATGGTGCCGTCGTTCGTATGCGAGCAGCAAGGGTGGACAAGGGTGGAGAGAGCCAGTTGATTCTAGGCCATGGTGTTTCTTCGTGGCTACAGTCGGGAGGATCTCCCTTTTCTCTCCCAATTGCCCCTCCACACGAGCATAAGGGTTTATTCTTGTGTGTCCAAGTGAATGCGATATGCAAACAAGGTGAGCATCTTGCATTGGCGTGCGTGGGAGACCTTCGATCGATTCGGCGTCTGATTGGCTCCTTGTTTTAGGTCGCACTACCTTCAGAGGCATGACATGACAGGGCAATTGGACGACTGGACGGGAAAAATGGGACCCCGACCCATGCTTACTTGTCACACCTACTACACAGACAGAAACATGTCTCTCTGTTCTGACACCTTTTTCTCTCGCTTGAACTCCACTCTTTTACTCTCTTTGTTTTTTCGTCTCTCTTTTCTTCATTCATCCGCAACAACCACCCTACTCATCCCACTCAACCAAACCAAACCCAATGAGCCTCAACGCGGACCTCATCCACACCGTTGCAGGACACGACGATAATACCCAGACACCAAGTCTGCAACAACAACCGCCACAGCCAGAATTGAGCCTATTGCAACCACTGCAACTACAACAGCAACAAGAACTCCAAGAGCATGGGCAACACGACCTCCAGTTCCAAAAGAGTCCGGCCACCGCATCACCACCACAGCAACAGCACACAGCGACAATACCTCCAGAGATTATCCAACTCATCGTCAACTACCTCGACAACAGAGACCTCGTCAAGGTCATCACCCTCAATTGGACCTGGGCCCACCTGGCTGCCCCGCGGCTTTGGCACCGAATCGATTACACAGTGCAGTCCAGCAGGATCTTTTTCTTGATCACAAAGAGTGTGACCCCTCCCAGTCCTGACAAAGCTCCTTCGACCGTCATCTTTGCTCCACCCACATTACAACCTTCGGGAATAGACACGTTGTTATCATCCTCAGTATCACCTGTGTGTGGTTCCAAGTCTCTTCCTCCACTCTCGTCGCCGCCTTCTCTAGCTGAAACAGGGCTCACCACAGTACCCTCAAACCGAATCGGCGAAGCAGTTTCGGATGAACGCCCTCCGCCTCCAAAGCGACGACGGTCATACCCTTGGCCTACTCTACTACCCTACCACACGATGGTCCATACTCTCAACGTCTCGCTTTCGACAGCCGATATGGTTCAGGATCTTTTGGAGTTGATTCCCTGCTGCACAGAACTCCGGTCGTTCGCCATCCTCTCCGCCATTCCCACTGAGGACCTCTTGATTCGAGGGGTGATTGCGTCAGCTTGCAACGATGCCCTTGACCCCTTGAATGGCGGTTCGACACCCCGCCGCGCCTCTATTTCGTCATCAGCATCAGCATCTTTGGCACCGGGTGGTTCTCATACCAGTCATTCACACCAGCATTCGCTCAGTTTGGACCCATACAATTGGTCGACTACTCCTCAGGCTGGCCTACAGGAAGCTGATGATGAAACCATTATGGCGTCCTCGACCTCTCAGAGTGGCATGCTGTTCAAGTTACTCAGTCAGTCGTGTCCCATGCTGGAAAAGATCTGGTTCTCTGGTTTTCATCCTATTTCAGTTCTAGGCGCACCCACGGATCTGAGACCGCGACCATCGCAGGAGCATCGCCTTTCAAATCCACTGGCAGACGTCCTTGTTGCCCAGCCTCCCATCACGACTGATGCACCTTTGCAACCACTTCCTCTCAGAAGACCATTGTCGCCGAATGTGTTTTCTGGCATGGATCCCTCTTTGCCTCCAATCTCACCCGTCCCAGGAATCAATCCAGCAGTGACATTGCCTGTTTCGACCTCGCCTGCGATTGTTGCCGCGGCCATTAACCAACCACATGTCCAGTCCAAGATCCACTCAGTCCAGTTTGTCAACTGTACTCTGCCACCGCAGTACCTCCTCACAATGATCCAACACTCGTTACCGAACCTTACTGAGCTGGCGTTGACACAATGTTGGCAGGGCAATCCTCTCACGGGCACATTTTTGTCATCGGTGTCCAAAATTTGTCCAGAACTGAAGGATATAACTTTGCATGCGACACAGAACCATCGCGACAGTGTCACATCAGAGAACCTCCTGCTGTTGCTGCAGGGATTGGAGGGCAAGCCCGAGGACAGGGATGAGGGACGTTCGTACTACGGATCGGGAACAACACATGGTCAGCTTTTAGGAGCGGGGGCCTCATTGGCAGATTTCCCCTTGGGCACCTTCAGCAAGTCGTTGCATACAACCGCCGGGAGTGCACCCTCCATCTCGTCTACAGCTGCTACCATTGGATCGTCGTCGTTTGCTTCCAATTCGAATTCCTCGTCGTCATCCATCGCAAACTTGTCTCTGTCACCCCTACCCTCTCCCTCCTCGACAGCATCCTCTTACTTGACGAACGGCAACAACAACAGCCATGGACTTGTCACTAATGGCTACCTATCAGCTCAACAGGAACACCCACCATCGGCCACGTCATACTACCAGGACGCAGATGGAGGCGCTCGATTAGGATCGGAGCTCGAGTCGATATCGGTATGGTTTACACACTCGACTTTGAACCAGGCAATTGCAGCTGAGCTGGCGAACAGGACACGACATCCTTGGTTAAAGCGAGTTGAGTTTGGGAGCGAGGATGCGTTTGATATAGGTGCGCAGTTGATCCGGCAGCTTGGGGAACAGCGGAAGGAGTTGAGTGTGGCCTGGGTCAGTTATGGAGACACTGGCGATGATCGCGACGACTGAGGTGTCTCTGGTTTGGATACTCTTTGTTGTAGGAAAGTGATGGTTGTCAAGAATAAAAGAGAAAAGTAGCAGAGAAAGAAAAAAAAGCGCGTCAAGACAGGGAATCGAAAGTATGGAGGTGAAGGATGTTGGTTCACGTGTCAGTCAGGTCAATTAGGTTTTGAAATGGGTCAGAGGCACTTGTCCCTGTCTTGCTCATCTATTCCGTCGGTCTTGTCTGCCGTTGCACCGCGGAAGATGGGATATCCCCGTCCCATGGACACACACTTCACACTCGACACTTTGATAAAGAATATTCCCCAGACACCTTTTGGTTTTCTTTCTCCACTCCTCTCCTCATCTCTTCTCCCATCACCCTCTTTTCTTTCTTCTTTTCGTACTCATTCATCAACATGGCCACATGCAGAGCCTCATCCAACGTCGCCAGGTACTTGATCCCTCCCTTTCACTCTTTTCACTCTCTTCACTCTCTTAACACTTTCACTTCGCACGCCTTTATTATTGTTCTCTCACAAAGTGACAGAATAGCTTCAGGGGAATCTTCTAACAGCGAAATGAACATTCTTTGAACGATTAGGATCATGTCCTCGTGGGCGCATCCCCAGTTGGTCTCGCGTGCACGCGTCCCAGTTGCCCGCTGCTACTCTAGTGCCTCCACAGCCTCGCAGTCCAACGCTGCACCAGCCGCCGTGAGAACCTTCGAGAACCAGCACAAGCTCCCACGCCTTCCCATCCCCTCCCTTGCCGAGACCGCCGCCCGCTACAAAAAGTCCCTTCTCCCCATCCTCAACGCTTCGGAATTGGCTCGCGCCGAAAAAGCAGTCGACGAGTTTGTTCGTCCCGGAGGATTGGGCGAGACGTTGCAGGGTCGTCTTCAGGAGATGGACCGGACCGAGAAGAACTCGTGGTTGGAGACCATCTGGCTCAACAAGGGATACCTCGAGTGGCGTGAACCCTCGATGATTAACGTCAACTGGTGGGCCCAGTTCAAGGATTCCCCTCAATTCAACTTGGAACATGCTCCTCCTCGCGGTGTCGTTTCGGATGTTCAGATTCAGAGGGCTGCCAACTATGCGTCGTCGTTGTTGTCGTTTAACGACCTCGTCAACAGCCAGACTCTCCCTGCCGAGTACCAGAGGACGACTCCCTTGTGCATGAACCAGTACAAGAACCAGTTTGGCGCTTACCGTGTTGCAGAGTTGCCCAGAGACAGGATTGTGACTACTTGGCCTACTACCGCCAACTATATCACCGTCATGATGCGTGACCAGATCTTCAAGGTCCCCGTTACCGGACCCCAGGGTGAGCGTGTCTCTCTCAAGGCGATCGAGCAGCAATTGAGAAACGTTGTCGAGGCTGTCAACAACACCCCTGTTCAGGAACAGCAGGCAGCCATCGGTGTGTTGACCTCGGAGAACAGAGATACCTGGGCCAAGGCCCGTCAGACGCTTTTGGGACTGTCGCCCCTGAACCACGCCTCGTTGGCCTCGATCGACCAGTCGCTGTTCACGATCTGTCTGGACGACTACAGCTCCGACCGCGACATTGATATTTCTCATCTCAACATTTTCCATGCCGGAAACGCACACAACCGCTGGTTCGACAAGTCGATGCAGTTTATCTTTGAGAGCAATGGACGAGCTGGTATCAACGGAGAGCACACTCCTGCCGACGCTGTCATTCCTGGACGCATCCTCGACGAGCTCGTCAGAAAGTACGTCTTCCTTTTTTTTTGTCACATGCAGTACTATGGGATTCACTCTAAGAAAACGTTCTAACCTCTTTACTTCTTGTTGCACACCAAATAGCGAGAAGAATGCAGAGCCTGCACAGCCTACGCATGTTCAGTTGGGAAGCATTGAGGCGATCAAGTTTGTGGTCAACGACGAGATCAAGGAGACCATCAAGCAGGCCGAGGTCAATGCCAAGAAGATGATCGACAACGTCGACAGCTGCCTCATCCACTTTAACGAATACGGCTCCAACTTCCTCAAGAGTGGTACGCATCTCTTCTTTTTTTTTTCTTCCGTTTTGTTGTCGTTCAATGCTCTCGTGGATGAGATTGTTACAGGGATCAATTCCATCTAACAGACAAGTTCTTTTTCCCAACGTGTTAATAGTCAAGTGCTCGCCTGATGCATATGTGCAGATGGTTCTTCAGCTGGCCTACTACCGCCACTATGGCTCCTGGACTCCCACCTACGAGTCTGCCTCGACCCGTCTGTTCCTCGGAGGCCGTACCGAAACTGTCCGTTCGTGCTCTGTTGATAGTGTTGCCTTTGTCAAGGGCTTTGAAAGCAAGACCTCGGATGTAAGTTTTTTTTTTTTTTTTTTTTACATGTTTCTTCTCACACTGCACCCCTTTTTCTGTTCACTCTGTTGAGTCTCCTTATTTGTTCTTGACATGCACTGTCCTTCTTGCATGAACAACAGGACAAAAAAAAAAAAGGAAGGAAAATGTACTCAAGTGTTTTTTCTTACATTGTTGATATTTAAAAATCCCAACTAGACGACGGAGAAGCAGCGCCTGTTGCAAAAGGCAATCCAAACCCACCTCGAATACATGATGGCGGCCTCTGCCGGAAAGGGCGTCGACCGTCACTTGCTCGGCCTCCGGTCCATGATGCAAACCCCCGAAGAACAAAAGTCGGCCCTCATTTTCCAGGACCCGTCCTACATCCAGTCCATGTACTTCCGCCTTTCCTCATCCAACATGTCCCCCGGAGACAGCTTCTGGGGAGGATTTGGACCTGTCGTGCCTGAGGGATATGGAATCAACTATGCGATTGGAAAGGAGAATATCAAGTTCTCTATCTCGAGCTTGAGGAGTTGTAAGGAGACGAATTCGAAGGAGTTTAGAGAGTCGATTTTGGGTGCTTTGAGGGATATGAAGAAGACTTTGGCTTAAGTGTAAAAGGGTTCGGCAGACATTCTTCCGTATCTACTCTATTAAATCCACCTTTTATTCTCCGTTTTGAGCAGACGCGTGTTTGTTTAATAACCATGCCTGCCCCAACTACTATTTTTTTTTGTCTATCCTTTTCAAAAGAACATCATTCCAGAAGGCATCGAAGACTCAACCACCAAATCCCCCCTCCCAAACTCCCTCAACCACCCCCTCAACATCCTCTCCTGAGAAGCACCCAACTGGTTCAAGACCAACCTCTCCAACCCTGGCCATACCTCCTTCACCATGCATTCGACGTCTTCACGGCCTAGGGCCGGGTACCCGCACGTCTCAATGTTGAACACCCGTAGGCGTTTTAGCGCCGCGAGGCGCTCGAATCCTGAGAAAGGGGAGGAGGGGCGGTTGAGGCAAGAGTTGGAGAGTTGGAGGTGTGTAAGGTTTGTTAGAGTCGCGAGAAGGGAGTACATGTTTTGGAGGTGGAAGGAGGAGGGGGTTGAGGGTCTAAAGGGGTGGGAGAAGCCGATGTGGAGGTGGGTTAAGGTTTTGGAGGATGCAAATCCTGAGAATGTTGGATGTTGAGGTTGTTGTTGTTGTTGCTGTGGGGTGGTAGTGGCAGTGACTTGTGCTTGGGCTTGAGCTTGTGCAGTTTGGAGCAGAGGTTGAGGATCCTGTTGCTGCTGCTCAATCGATCCTGCATCTCCTTCTGCTCCAGCTCCTCCCCCTCCTACTCCTCCTGCTACTGGCCCATCTCCTTCGACATCCTCCTCATCTTGACCTTGTTCCTGCTGCTGCTGCTGCTGATGTTGTTGTTGTTGTTGCTCGGTGCTAGGGACGAGATCTCCCGACGAGAACCAGACCCCATCGGCCTCCAACCTCCTCAACCCCTTGGTCGTACCCAAGAACTCATACAATCTTTCCCGAAACAGCGGTCCAACCCTCTTTGCCATCGAAATATCCAACTCTTCCAGTCCTCTCCTTTCTTTCTTGACCTGCTTCAGATCCAACCCGTCCTCCTCCGCGAGTACCGCAAACGCGCTCGCTTGCTGCTCCAAAAGCGCAGTAAAGATCTCCCCTTCTTCCAACTGACAAGCCCGCGCACCAAACCTTCGAATCGGTTTCCGAAACCCGTTCATCACAAGACTGACGAGCTGGTCTTCCAGGATGGGGGGTTGTGCCGACGCGTTGATCGAGAATTCGCAGAGGTTTGTATTGTAGGTCCGGAGGGTTTTGAGGAAGGTATCAGACCAGGTCCAGGAGGAGAGACCGCTGGGGAGGTCAAGGGATCGGAGGACGGGTGTGTGGGTGAGGAGGTGAATGAGTTCTTGTTCGGAGATATAGGGTGTGTCGAGTGATAGGTAGCGGATCGAGAAGCAGTCGTCGTCGTCCTTGTCATTTTTCTGTTCTTTATCCTGGTCCTTGTCAGTTGTTGTGCTAGGGGTGTTGAAGATGAAAGCGGTGCCGCGGAGGGAGAGCCTTCGAAGTCGAGTCAGTGGTCTGACAAGATCCTGGACTACAATCCCGCGATCTACCATCTTCACCAACCCTCCCCTTCCTCCTCCTCCTCCTCCTCCTCCTCCTGCAGACGGGTCCTTACTCTCGTCCTGATAAACTACAACCCGATTGACGTACAGTTCAAGACTCTGCAGATACACAAGCGACTGCAACACGGAGATCATCCCCAAATGCAACCCTCCGCCACCTCCGCCGGAAATGGCTGCGCTGTAATCGCCCCTGTCGGACGGCGAGGTGACAGTGTGGAGGGAGAGCTTTTGGAGTTTGACACATTGGGCAACGATTTTTGTCAGGCAGATCAGCGAGAGTTGGTCGAGGACTGGGATAGGCGGCGGCTGTGTCGTTATTGTTGTAGTTGTTGTAGTTGTTGTTGTTGTTGTCGTGTGTGGGAAAGTGGAAGAGGTGGACACTTGACCATTCCTGGTCTCCTTGTCAGCTGCTTTCCCCACCTCCTTTTCATCTCTCTGCTCCTTTTCGTGTCGTTGATCTTGCAGGAGCGGCTTCAGGAAGGGAGGACCTCCCTCCCTCACGTCAAACTGCGTCATCATCGACGGCGGCGACACCATCACTACCGCCTGCGTACCCGCAGCACCCGTCTCCATCCCCATCAGCTGTAAGGCCCTAGCAGCAACAGCCTGTTGATACACAGAACTCGTAGTCGCATGCCACGCAAAATCCCGAACCAAATCCGCCTGCGCATACAGCGTCCTTGGTCGAAACGTGGAGCAGGTCCAGTCTTGAGGGTGGATGGTGTGCCAGATGAGTGGAGTGATATGGGTGTGCCAGTGGTGGGATACGAGGGATGCGGCAACGAGGGATTTTGGGTCCAGGTTGGTGGCTATTCTTTCGAGGATTTCTGGGATATCCATATATTATTATTTTTTGGCTTGTTGTAGTTTGTTGTTTGGTGAGTATGAGGGCGGGTAAGTGAGTGTTTGGTTTTGTTGAAGAGAACAAAAGAGGAGGCAAGAGAAGAGAGTAGTATGTATGTGAGGATGGGTGGGTATGACGTGAGGGTGAGTGTTGAGAAGGATATTTAGCGTGTGAGAATGGCGCGAAGAAGAGAGGAGGAAGAAAGGGAAAGACGTCCAAGAGAAAGAGATCCCTCGGCTTTAAGCACCGAGACTTGGAAGATGGTCGAGAATGAGGCGGTGAAGGATCATGTAAACAACATTGGTGCAATTTTAGAAGCAGCGTCGTGGGCAGTGTCTGTTTGTGCATGAATCCAACTGAGTGGTCGGAAAAAAAATTCAATCCTGGGCGTAGCAAACTCACGACTTGTTGCCCCTCTTTTTTCTTCAAACACGAAATGAAGGTTTGAGGAGGACCGGCAGCCAACACTTGTTTTTTGAGTTTTGATGGATTTGTGTTCCCGTGGATCCTTGCGTCCCTTGTGTCCTATACCTTTTCATAGAATAGAATGCTAGCCTTTGCCCATTTTCTTCTAATACAACTCCCTTTCCTGAAGGTACTCTTGATGTGTAGAATGGAGATACGAAAGGAGCTAAAAAAAAAAAAAAAAAAAAAAAAAAAGGCGACAAGGCAAAGGCGGATAGCGACCCAGCCCACAACCTTAGACTGACCGCCACCAGGAAGAAGAATGCGCAAGTGCGATAGCAAAGAGCTCACCGATTGATCGGGAAAGTCGACGGTCAACACATTTCTTTGGTGGCAATGCTGCTATGTACAGTACACACACAATCACCAAATGAACAATTTGTGCAGCGTTTAATACAATAGAGAAAACAATAAAAAAAAAAAAAAAAGGGTAACAAGAAGGAAACATTTCAGGGCACGGCGATCTTGAGTTTGGGACGCATGAAATGAATCGTCCCAGCCATCTGGTTCTTCTTCCACTTCTTAACCCGCCGTTTCGAGAAAAGCTCAATGACCTTCAGATTCGGCCAGTTATCTGCAATCCAGTATGCCTCAGACATCTCGAACTCAAACCCCTCCAGCATCGAGTCAATGTTGAACGATCCCCTGAGTTCTTCCAGTTTTGTGAGTCCTTCCATAAGTCCGAGCCAGCCCTTTCGGTATCGTCGCCTGTCTTCCAGCGTCAGAAAGCCTGGGAAGGAGTAATGGTAGTACTCCACCGGCTCATCCTCGTCGTACATACCGCCCTTGTCAAAGTCGACCTTCAAGTCCAGTATCCGTAGCTCGCGGAGAGATGCAAGCTGGCGGTAGAATTTTGTCAATCGTTTCACCCCGTCTGGCGTCATGTCCTCCTCGGGGTAGTAATCCATAGGGAGCTTGGCGAGCTCGTTGAAAGTGAGAACTAGGCGTAGTTCCTTGAACTTGTTGGAAGCCCAGGGCTTCTTGACAATCTCGTGGAGTGAATGCTCAAAGTCAGAGTGGACGTGGGACGTGATCCTGAACACCTCCAGATCCGGGCACCCGAACAGGATGGCGTTGACGGTGACCTGGTTGACCCGGGTGCATGCGTCAAAGATGATGCTTTTGAGCGACAGAAAGTGATGGTGAAGACCGAGGAGGTTCCTACTGGAGGGTCGCTCGTGGATATGAAGGATCAAAACTGACTCGATCGTGTTCGCCGCCTTGGCCTCCAAAAGTTGGGACACCATGAACCCTTGTTTGTCGAAAGAAAAGCCAGCCTGCCTCAGTGACTTCAGCCGGGGACAGCATTCGGCCATGCATAGTGCGACATTACGCAGAGAACTGTCGACAGCAGGTATATCCGTTATCTCGAGAGCCGGGAGGAATTCCAGGATGGACATGTACTGCTCAGCATCGACCCGTTTCTCGTTGCGCAGAAACTCCAGTTTTGTAAGTCGAGCCAGGGGTGTCTGCCGATCCTCAATGGGTCCCGACACTTCTGCGGGTGGATCTGGGATGTCGTCGTCGTCGTCGTCGCCGTCGTCGTCCGAATCCTCTGACGCCGATAAGGAGTCATTCGGGGTCTCAATGGCGACCGTCAAGGACTTTACTAGCGGTGGACAGCAATGAATGATGGTCGATAGAAGGGTCACAGAGGGCAGCTCGGAACAAAAGCAGAGATCCAAATCCTCCAGCCTCCCAATTCCTGAAAGGATCCGTGCAAGAAAGTTGAGTTGTTCGAAGGAATCGATCTTGATCCCGTCCAGAGTGAGGGAGGTGAGGAATGGACTGAAGCGGACCACGTAAAAGAGTCGAGCGGTAAACATGAGACTACTTTGGCAAATCTTGTATAGAGCTTCTTCCCCGAGAATGGCATCAAGTTGAGCATGGTTGGGCAGCTGCAGTGAGGAGGAGGACGACGAGGAGGAAGTCGACGTTGACGCGACTGAGCAGGTTTTGAGCCGCGACTGTTCTAAAGTAGATCTTGTCGTAGGCTCCCTGGAGACTTCCATCAAAGCGTTACAATAAAAGTCGAAAGATTCCTCGTCCAAAATGAGTGACGTGATAAATTGGGCGTGTTGTGCGGCCTGTCTGAATTCACTCAGGGAACTTTCGTAGTCGAAGCCGACTTGTCGGAAGTAGAGAACATGAACGAGGGGGTAGATCTTGCGGCTGGTGAGCTGGAGGGAGATGATGTCCTCTTTGTCGAGGTATGATGCGACTAGGATGATGAGCTCCGGTATGTCCTTAAAGCGATCCAGCGCTGTTTGTTGGTCCATGGCTGTGTATGTTTTGTTGAGCTCGCTTGTGTGGGCGTGAAAAGAGAAAAGAGTAAAAGAGCGAGACTTTGTCTGTCAAAATGACCATGGTCCATGAGTTTGGAGGGTGGGAAAACACACAACCCTTTTACTAACGTCCTTTTCTTGTGTCTCTTAGTTTTCAAGTGACGACAAGGAGAAAATTAATACTCGCGATCTAAATAATAGGACGCAAACCCAGTCCTGCTACACGGATTGAGGGTAACCAGCACTTATCTCTCCTGACCGTACTGTCCAAACCCTCAAACGTCCAATTGGATGTCGTACCATGGCGCAGGGGAGGGGGAAAGGTGCCAGCAGACGATTGGAATACAGGCAGAATCCATTAAGGTATTGTTTGGTGGTGATATCAATGCTCTGGGAATGGGTTGGCTTGAGCATTGAGATTCCATCATTCTCAATGACTGCCTTTCGTTTATTTCGGCTTCAATAATATACATTTTTGTTGACCGCGATGCTCTTGTTGTTTGCTTAGAGGTCCTGTCTTCCATGAGCTATTTCATCGAGCGCTGGTTGCCTTTCGTCCATGCGCTCTCGATGCTGCTGCATTGAACCCCCAGAACAGACCCAGTCTCAAGCACCGTAGCTTCTCCTGCTCCAACCACTCGGCCACCTGATGTTTCCAGTAGACAGCTGGTGAATGATGCATTAGCGTCGTGCTCGGGATATGGTGCTGAATCACGCGGATTGGTGTTGTTGACGAATTGGAGGCGGCGACTTGTGAGACGGACAATGGTAGTGTTGAAGGGAAGGAGGGCATCGAAGTTGTTGTTGGTGTGGAGGCGGGTGCCCTGGTAGGAGCTGGTCCCAAGTTCCCGCTACTGCTGTTGGTTGAATTCGTTCCTGAGAAGTATGATAGCTGCGACTGGCTGGAACTAGCGACTTGGGCAGGAGTGAATGTTGTTGTTTGACCGGAGGATGTGTTCATGGCGTTCATGCTCTGTGCTATCCGACGGTGGTGGGGCAGGATCAGGGGCGAGGGCATTTGCAGTCCTGGGGTTATGTACACCGCTGTACGAGTAGCATTGGTGTTGGTGATGCTGTTCGGCTGAAGGAGGGCTCCTGTGGACTGTGATCCTGAATGTGATCGAGAAGAGGCCAATGCACTCAAAGCAGACGAACTCGCCGCCTCTACATTGCCGATTGATCCCCTGCAAAGTCCGTGTTCGTCCGTGTTGCTAGGCATAGAGTCCAGACCATCATCGTTCCTGTCGATCATGTAGCTTGGGACCTTTTTAAGGGCGTGGGAGAGCGCGCCATTGGATGTGGATCCCGATCGACCCTGAAGCACGGCGGAAGAAGAGGCAAGAGACCCTGACGCCTCTTGTTCCGACAGCTGGTGTTCTCTAATCCAAGAAGGTGACAAGAGGGGCTTTTGTCCTGCAAAGATCGATCCTGATATAGTCAACTTGTATGATAATCTCCAGAGTAGAGCATCGTTAGCGATGAGGCTAGAAAACAATATAAGAGACAGTAGAGTTGCATTGGTCAGTACACGGTAAACCTTTGTTTTCCTTAGACTCAGCTTTCTTTTTTTTTTCTGGGCGATCCTCGGGTAGTGGAATTGGGAATACAGCCGTCATTGGAGTATGTCCTCACAACAAACAATGTCAACAGATACAAGACACTCAAGAGCCCGTGCTGCGGCGAACCAACAAATCGCACTGGGATCAAAGGATGGTGTACGTGTGAGAAAAAAAGAATGAGGGTGACTTACTTGTGAAATCGCCGACTGACTTGCATGGCACGTCCGAGATCCTTGCAATCACAGGCAAGGATAAAAAAGACCAACCTCCAGATATCATCGACTAAGTCCACAGCCCTCGGTTCCTCGCCCTTGCTCTCCCCGCTGCAGGCATACAGCCCTCCCGGGGTGGCGAAAGACAGCTGTCCAGAACATCGCAGATATTGCTGGTGTCGTTGCTGTTGCGAGTACATAAGCTGACGCTGCTTCTCCTGCTGTAGTCGCTGTTGCTGCTTGAAGTACGCGACTTGGTGCTGTTTTTGAGTGATGAGGCCATCAATACACTTGAAGGATTGTCCAGCAGCCGCAAGGGTTGCTGCTGTCGCAAGCAGGTTGGTTGCGGCGATTGAGTCCGATGATGCTGCGAGAAAGGAGGAGGAGGAAGAAGAGAGAGATGAGGACACGAGACGGAGCTCGGTGGAAGATGGGAGAACGGCGACGGCGACGGCGACGACACTGGACATCCTTGTTTGCTTGATTGTGTGAATGTTGTTTGTCTCGGTGTCGATGTTGATGGGTGTTGTTGTCAGGAGTGATGATGGATTGGAAAGAGAAGAGAAGAAAGGGAAAAGGAAACGGGTGATATGCGAACACGGGCAACAAAGGAGGCAGAAAGGGGCGAGGGTCAATGCAGCCTGTGGTATGATGACAAAGGGAAAGGGCACGGAGGAATAGAGAAAGGGGGTCAATTAGCTAGTGGAGAACAAGAAGACAAAGAAACATGAAACCAAGGCGTGAGAGTAAAGGACCACTGTCCAATAGTCCTATATACACTGGTGTGATTGTTACCCTTCAGGCCAAACAACTAATGCCGGTAGTCATGCAAACAACCAAATTGAGTTGCCCTGTTGGGCTCAGACAGCCAAAGCACATTGCACATTTACCACCCGTTCAAAATCAAATTCGAAATGGATCCGACTTTTTATACCTGCCACTGGTTGAACAACAGAATGATGGTCGTCGCGCGTCATACCTTGTTCGTTGGAAGCATAGTGTTGTCTATCATCTTGGGTAACACTTCCACATCACTTGTGGCGAAGGTTAAATATCTTAGCCGAATAACAAGCATGCTCCTAACACCATTCAAAAGTGCAAAGGCACATGGACATGGTCCTTAAAAGTCACGCCCCTCAAGTTACAACTGACAGGTCGCGACAAAAAACAACGCGCTCCAACACTCACTAATAAAAGCAATTCCTCACTCACTCCCATCAACAGCGCGTGCGCTCAGTAACGAAATCGTTCCGATCATGGGGAGTAATACAATTGATCTCATGGATCATGGACGAAGAGTTTCGGCCACAAGAGGAGATCCTCCATGGCAAAGTCGATCAGCCAGCGGCCCCTTTGCAAGGTACGGCTTTGATATCCGATGTCAAAACCACATTGGATACTTACCATGGCTTCTGTTACTCAGCGTCAGTTCCAGAGGAATGGGTGGCAGCTGGAAACACTTTTGCTAGGTTGATCACGTCGTGGCTGCTGCAATGAGAAAAGCGTAGAAGGAGAATGGCCGTGAAGTCATTCTCTTGCTGGATAGTTTCTTATTTAAAAAGTTATTTGCTAAAAGAGAGGCAGCCCAACGCCCAAAACCAAGTTGGAGCCTTAGTTCCTTACAATCGAAAAAGATACGATGTGGTTTCTAAAGAATACAAGGTGTGTTTGCTAATGTATTTGTCTCTTACCTCCATCACTACCTGTTTTACACCGCGAAAGAAATAAGTCCTGCGCCGCCTTAATGGTCATGTAGAGGTCATTGAACACGTAGAATGGAAATTTGTCACAATATTGGCCGCTCCTTAGTGTGCTTTCCCTCCCTCACGCATACATAGTTGGAGTCTTCCTAACTTGTATTACAGGTAGTTATGGCCTCCTTCCACTATCACATCTCACCCAGGAAATGACACCACTGAAGTAACAAGACTTTACGATCTCCTCGGTTGTCTATCCCGAAACGAGGTTCAACCCATTTACCTACATTCCGGGTTCTTCATCAAAACAAACAACATCAACTCACCTCGCCCTTCAATTACTAATTGAATTGGTACCCGAGAGAATGAGAGAAAGAAAAAGGAGATGTGAGGTCCAGATCAGGATCACAAAGAAATTTCGCCCAACCGCAATTAGGAGTCCTTCGTTATCCGGTCTGCGTGTTGTTGTTTGTTGACAGACGTCAAGAAAAATAACCCGACAAAAACCACCCGCAAACACGAGCACGTTTTTCATTTATTGTTTACCTCCACGTCCTCCACACACCACTTCGCTCCTCCACTCCATCTCCAATGTTGCTCGTATTTGTTGTTTAGTTAAACCCCGGAACCCATTGGCCGGGTATTTCGTACACATTTCATCCTATCCATCTAATCATCATCACTGCGACAGTGGTCGACCATATAACGTCTTGCATTAACTAGAATGAATAAATTACTGTTGAGGGAAAGATGATGATGATGCTTCTGTGTTGCAAAATGTCGCCATGCGTGGGGAAGAGAAAGCTAACGGTTGAACCCAGGAAGAATCTGTAAACAAAACCTCAAAAAACAATCAGGGACCGGGTGGCGGAATACAAAGAAGGGAAGTACAGTACATAGACAAGGTACACACAGGGGCGTAGTACAAAGAAACAAAGAACGCCCAGTGAAGAATAACCTGCTTTTGGCAAGCAATTGTCCAAACTGGATGAAGAGATGGTGTCCTCATGAATTGAAGATGTCGCGTTATGGTTCCTTCTGTTGTTCAATTGATAGCCACCTTTTGTTGGTTTTCTTCTTTAGTGCAATTCCTGGAACTTTAATACCAAAAGAATAATTTTCTGAACAAATGGCGCGATTCTCTTTGGACATCCGTGCTATCGCCATGTAATTATCAACGGCCATGTGCGGGCACTCAAGACACAACAAAATTAACGTTCACCTTTTTATTGCCCGGTGGACTCTTGATCCCCTTCTTGTCCCTGCATACATAGAGAATGAAGGAGAGAGGGTGCATTCCACCCCAGCAGTCCAGTTGGTTCCCTTCCTCGTTCATGATGAAGTCACTTCAAGGTTTTCGTTCTATCCATCCATTCGTCTTCTCCCTTGTCCAACCTTAGTATCCACTGTCGTCAACATACCAACTGCTCTGATGAACACGCCTTCTTCTCCATCCGCCATCTTCGTCAGATCTCTTCCCAACCGCTGACACCATCGTCCACCAAAACAACTCACTTTTCTCCGGCTAAATACTTCCTTAAGCCCTTCACCTCATACCATCACCATTCACTGAATCCCTTCCTCCAAACGCGTGGCAACATGAGTACGCCATAAACCCTGAAACACCCAAGCCCAAGCTCACCTTTTTCCCAACACCTCCTGCCGGACCTTTTTTTCTCATATATAACGGTTGCATTTCGCCCACATTCCTCTCTACTCTTTTCTAACCGTCTCGTTCACCACCAACCCGACTCTTGTTCCCTTTACTACCGCCTCTTTTCCATCTTTCAAAGATGAAAACCACAACCATCCTGGCCGCAGTCCCTGCTGCCTCCCTCCTCCTCCTTTCCTTCTCCCAAATCGCCACCGCTCAATCCAACCCCGAGGCCGAAGCTGGCGTCCTCCCCGTTGACAACCACAGCCATCGCCCCCCTCACCATGGCGACCAGAAACCCAACTTCTTGGTCTTCCTCACCGACGACCAGGACCGCCGGATCAACTCCTTGGATTACCAACCCCTCGTCCAAAAGTACATCCGTAACCAGGGCACGGAGTTTACCAACTATTTCACGACAACGGCCATGTGTTGCCCCAGTCGTGTTTCGCTTTGGTCGGGCCAGTTTGCGCATAACCATAATGTTACTGATGAGTCCCCTCCTCATGGTAAAGCTTCTTGATTTGAATGTTTGTTTGTTGACACTTGCAGAGAGGTGCACAAAAAGGACACGAGAGAACTACCAACTCACACAATCCCTCCCTCCTCCTTCCATCGCACAACAATAGGCTCATATACCAAATTCGTGTCCCAAAAGCTCGACCAGAACTGGCTCCCGACCTGGTTGCAAGAAGCCGGATACTCCAACAACTACATCGGGAAATTCATCAACGGCGTCTCCCCAACCCTCAAACAAGCCCCCAAGGGTTTCGACACCGCTCATTGGGAACCTCTCGTCGCTCCCAACATCTATACCTTCTACGAGCCGGTCTTTTCTATCAACAATGGACCCTTGACGAACTACAAGGGATTGTACCAGACCGATATTATCTCGGACAAGTCGGTCGAGATTTTGGATACGTTGGCCAAGAACAAGACACAGCCGTTCTTGTTTGTCATCTCGCCTACGGCCCCTCATGACGAGGTCTGGTCGAACGAGAATGGGACTACTTTCACACCCCCCGTCCCCGCGAAACGACACGAGCATCTCTTTAAAGGTGTCAAGGTCCCTCGCCATCCAAACTTCAACCCAAAGAACAACGACAAGCCCTCCTGGGTCGGCACCCTCCCTCGCCTGACCGACGACCAAGTCTCGGCCCTCGACGCGAAATACCGTGCCCGCCTCCAATCCCTCCAAGCAACCGACGAGCTCGTCGAGCGCATCATCAAACGCCTCGAACACAACGGCCAGCTCGACAACACCTACATCGTCTACACCACCGATAACGGCTACCACCTCGGCACCCATCGCATGTACGCGGGCAAGCAAACCGCCTATGAGGAAGACACAAACATCCCCTTCATCATCCGCGGCCCCGGAATCGCAAAGAACAAAAAATCCAACGCCGTCGCAACCCACACCCATTTCCCCGCAACTGTCCTCTCCCTCGCAAACCTCCCCATCCCCGACTCGCTCGACGCCCACTCGATCCCTGTCCTCGAAAACAAATCTGTCTACGGCAAGGACCAACCCACAGAAGCCTTCTCGGTCGAATTCTGGTCCCAGGCCTTCATGGAGAACACCACCGCCCGCTTCGATGCCAACACCTACAAGTCTGTCCGTCTCATCGGCCAAGGCTACAACCTCCTCTACACCGTCTGGTGCACGGGAGAGAAGGAGTACTACGATCTTGTCGAGGACCCCTTCCAGGTCAAGAACATCTACAAGTCGACCAAAGTCACCTTCATCAACCGTCTCGATGCTTTGTTGAACGTCCTTCGCACCTGCAAGGGCCCCACCTGCCGTGACCCCTGGGCCGTCATCCACTCTTCTTCTTCTTCCTCTAACAAGGACCATGGAAAGGTCAAGACTGTGCGCTCGTTGACGGACGCGTTGAACAAAAAGTTTGACAAGTTCTATGCCGAGTTGCCCAAATTCTACTTCAAGGAGTGTCTGCATTACTACAACCCTTCTAACGAGGAGACTGCCCCTCGCCATACCGAGTTGTAAAAAAAAAAAAAAAAGCATTAGACATTGTACCATACCCCCCTTTTCCTTCACTTTCCAGTAGTAGAATAGCATTTCAACCAATACACTTTATTACAACAATGATCCAAGAAACAACCCCCCCCCCCCGATTGCTCCCCTTCCTACTTTCAAAAAAGCGCCATTCATGCCCCCCTCACATATATTCCCACACCCCCTCCTCCACTGGCCCTAATCTTAAAAAAAATATGTACTATTATTAACTCCTCCATATCAATGTTTTTGACCTCCATGTCTTTTTTTTTTTTTTTTTTTTTTTTGACGTGTTAAGAAAACACGTCAAAAATAGGCCTACATCGGGGTGCCAGAAGAGGTTCTACTGCCACCACAAGAACGCCAGCAGCACTGCTTTCCACCCCCCTCCCCCTCATCGCTCACGGTTTCCATGCTAAAATAAAGGTATAATTCAAAATTCGCACCACCTCCATCATATACTCAATTTTCTTGCACGTTAGAAACGATCGCTATGAATCAACACTTTTATTCTTTTCTATTATCTCAACCGCAACACATGAAAACGAGAGAGAGAGAGAGAGAGGAAGAAAAAAAACAACAACAAAAAAGCCTTCTAGACTTGAACAACATCAGAAATCTCAAGGCTGTCATCATCCTCATGGTCGCCTCCTTCCTTACTCTCCTCAGATGTGTTCCCAGCACCAAGAGACTTCTTACGCGACCCACCCGGGGGCGGGATCAGCGTCGACGACGATGATACAGTAGAAGACGAGACAGACCGAGAAGATCGAGTTCTGGTTCGGGAAGACGACAAAGGATTTTCATCCCCCTGCGTCAGCGTCTTTGTCGATTCCGTTAGAGATCGTGACCTGGCCTGTTGTTGCGTCTCATCTTCATCTTCTTCATGATGGTGGCCATTACCGGGTGTTGTCACATCGTCACCATCGTCATTGTCGTGCCTCGTCCCTTCTTCGGTTTCACCATCATTTTCCTGTTCCTCATCTGCCTCTTCCTGGGTCTCTCCATAGTTTCCCAAGCTGCTGCCGTCTTCCGCCCTTTCGGCTGCATGGGGATCATGAGGCATGTATCCGTATCCATACATTTGCTAAACAGAAGAATAAACAGAGAGCAAGTTAGCTACCCAGAGCATGGTATTCGACACACTACACATCCTACAAAGCATAGCAAGTCCAGGTGGTTAAACATTACCTGATGGTATGCTTCTTCAGCAGGAATGTATCCATACGTGAGTCCATCATATCCGATCATGGGCACCATCCCTTCCATTCCATGCACCTCTCCATGCGCACCAGGGATCATCGGTATCGTCGCGGCATGCCCAGAGACCATAGAGGGCCCAGGTAACATCCCACCAGGCATTGGAGGTCCTTGACCAGGGTGCCACGCCATCGCCCCATGCATAAACGGATTGGGGCCCGGAACATACGAGTAGCCCATGTACGGTGGCATCACTGGGTATCCAGGAGGCGGGAACGACGCATAGTGTGCGCCATGAGGTCCTTGTCCTGCATACATTCCTGGATGGGGTGGCATCATTGCACCTCCTGGGTGAGCAGGTCCTTGTCCTCCTCCTGCCATCGGTCCTCCTCCTCTAGCCCCTCCCAAGTGTCCCCCCTGATCGTGTGAACCTGGCTGTCCTGCGATCCCCAGTGCCGGCGATGAACCACCGGGTCCATGCTTGAATATATCTGCCCCAGGCGGCGACACATTGGCTCGATACTGGCCAGGGGAGGTCGCTGGCTGAGGCCCTCCTTGTCGCCGGTTATTGTGGGGTGAATTGAATGGAGGCGCCTCATAGCCTCCTCCTACTCCTGTGCTACCGCCATGAGGCCCAGCGTACTTGACTCCACCTCCAGGTCCTCCTTTCCGATAATTGGTCGATTGTTCCTGAGGATAGTATCCACCTTGCATATGAGGTACGCCTCCATAGGGTGCGGAGCCATATACGCCATGACCGCCTCTGTAGCTCGTCTTGGCGTTCCAGCCAGGCCGTTGGTGCTCTTGCGTCGTGCTAGGATGATCCGAGTACAAACCTTGAGGCGTGTTGCTACTGCCATAGTACTGATGGCGAGGCGACGACCGGTATCCACTAGACGTGGAATGAGGTGACTGATAGCCCTCCGTTCCGAATTGACTGCGATGTGACGAAGGGCGAGGAGAGTGTGCAGACCTTGGACCAGAGCCCTGAGAGCGTGAGGGATCAAGAGAAGGGCGACGGTCTCCACCACCTGTTGAACCTGTCGAGCGCGTACTCATCATGCTTGACCGGCGGGAAGACGCGGTCCGCTGGGCTGAGAGCGGGGCGAGCGAGTTACTGTCGCCGGCAACACTGGATCGACGGCTGTCTCCTGTCTCCGAGTTGCTCCTGCTTGTCGTGCCACTAACGCTGCCCCGTCCCTTGCGATTATTGCTAGTCTTTTTGAACAAACTGACCAATTGCTCGCCCACTGATGGCTCAACCTCTGTTCCATCCTTCGACACTTTGACCTCTCTGTTCTCGTACAATGGATTCAGCATGTGCGTCGTTCTCGCGAATGGAACCTTATGCCTAATGTCGCCCAAAAAATGTAAACTATTAGATCAAAATGAAAAGCTGACATGCAAGTAAACCTGTGTTGCATAGTCAATGAATGTGCCTTCAAAGGACTTACATGTCGATCCACTGAATAGGGAATATGATACCCCACGTCTTGGTGGTTGTTGATGCGAGGGAAATTGCCTCGGCCTCTTCGAAAGTAAGCTGTTTACCTTCCTTCGCCGCTTGCTCAATCTCATCCAGCATCGCCGCCTTCATCTCTGGCGAAAGAGGAATCTCCACTGCAGGCTGCCAAATCCGATCCTCTCTGCCTGCCTTGATCGCTGCCTCGTTCTCTACCGAAATGAGATCCATCATCCTATGATTCGAGACATGACCAAGATATGTAGCTCGTTAGCGTCAGAATTCCCTGGCATCACATCTATCGGATTAGCAAAGGTAGATTAGCTTTACCGAGCATAGCCAAAGAACTCCCCGCTCTTATTGGCACTGAATATAAGGTACACATTCTTGGAGTTCTATTTCACACAAACGATCGAAGAGAAAAGCAACAAATTAGTAGTGAGTACACAGACAATCGAATGTCGCAAATCCAGATCGCATTGATGTCTCTTTTATGCAGTAGCCCCCTTTCAAAAAGCACACATACCGTAAAGGCATCGTTCAAGATGGGGACAATTTGCTCCTGAGTTGCCCAGAGTCCAAATTGCGCACTCAGCTTGAGATCTTCCTCGTTCAAACTCTTCATAATAAAGTACCGCGACTCCGCATACCCTAAGGAGGAAGACGAGCGAAGCTTTTTGTGGCTCGACTTGGGTTTCCGCTTACTGTGTCTGGAGCCCGTCGGGGAGGATCCTTCACCACCACTTGAAGAGCTGTCGAGTAGCGGGCTCCCCTCCAGGCGCATTCTTTCCAGGCGGGACTGCACCTCCGAGAGTTCAGGTTGCGCGATTCCAGAATTCATCCGTTGTGTGAGCAAGGGTGCCTCGTTGGTGATACCGATGGTGTTGTTGTTGAAGTAGCCCATGGGATCCGTCAGATGAGGAGGGTGTAGTTGGTGATGTTGCTGCGGGAATCGACCAGGAGGGCCTCCTGGCTTGTTGGAGTATGGATCCGGGACGGGATCCTTCCTGGGTCGGCATACAAGCCGAGTGCTCTTGAACTCCCTGTCGTGGAAACGTTGAACAGCACGATCGACGGCTTCGTGAGTTGTGTAGTTGACAAAGGCGCAATTGGACTTTGACAGAATGAAAATACTCTGCAAGCAGGGGCGATAGAAGATTAGAATGAAAAACAGAGTTAAGGTTAGAAAGGCGTGGAATGCTTTTGCTTCTGTTCTTCCATAACATTCATTTGATTGCAAAACTTGCCTCTGGAATATCGTGCGGAATGTTTCCCTCCGCTTCGGTCGGTTCAGCCTCAAAGATAGCCTTCAGCTCCGCTACCGTCGTATCGTTCAGCACGTTGCCGACCCACATAGCCTTGTCCAGTTCCTTGGGCTTCTTTTGCAACGTAGGCACAGGTGCTGGCCGCCATCCTTCTGAGGTCTGGTAATATCCCGCATGCTGGTAGTCCTGTGGGTACCCTGGATGCATGAAAGGGCGCTTATATCCTCCTGCTACATGAAACGGAGGTGCAGCTCGATTATCCGTCACAGGAGCTGCATGAGATCCAGGCGACATACCGGACTGTCCTGCTCCGTAGCCGAGAGGACGACGTGAACCAGGCGATGGTGGTACTGACGACGGACTTGACGCGAAAAACGGCGGTGGTGGAGGCATTGCATATCCAGGAGGTCCCTGATGATGCGGGGCCATTACTCCTTGAGGACCAGGTCCTTGGCCTTGTTGTCCAGAGAAAGGTTTGGATGGACCATAGTGAGGGCGGGCTTGATAGTAAGGAGACGAAGGGGTAGATCGATGGAGGGGTTGAGCGTAGGGTGAATGATGCTGTTGCGGTTGAGGGGGGAATGGTCCTGAGTGTGGGCTACCTTGATAAAGGGCTGAAGAGTGGGCAGGGTGTTGTGCAGAGTTAGGAGAGAGGAGCTGCTGCTGTTGCTGCTGCTGTGGTAGTGTTTGAGGACGAGGGGGGGTATTGGTCTTGTAAGGGAAAGGGGTATCGTCTTGAGGATTCCGTTGGTGGGTTTCATTTTCCTGTTGTTGCTGTTGTTGGCCTTGTTCAGAAGAGCCTCCTTTTTGAGCTGGAGTCTGAGCAACTGTTTCGGGAGAAGAGTTCTGTGTCTCCTCGTGGCTGGAAAGAGTTCTGTTGCTGGGAGATAATGCTCCTGCGGTGACCTTGTTGTTGTTGGTGGGCGAGGCTGGTTTGTCAGGCAATGGTGGGACGGAGTCGAAATGGTGTGACGTCTCCTGGGGTAGAGAACGGGAGGACGCTTTGGCCGGTGATTGTGCCAACTCTTGATTGTCTACAGGCGAGCGGGAAATTGGCCCTGAGGGAAGAGTCGGTGGAGAAGAAGACACTGCCTCGTCTGGATTCCTAGTCTCGTCTTCGTCTGCTTCATCCCTGGCTCCTGAAGTGCTGGTTGTGCTGGAGGTTATGCTCTCGAGCGAGGCCGAGGATTCGAGCTGGCGCATGTCTGGTGTTGAGATAGTATCGAGCGTCGAATGTTCGCCCGTGTCAGAAGATTTGGTTGTTGACCCAACAAAAGATAGGGGCGCGCTCGTTGGGCCATGAGGCTGAAACGATGTGCGTGCTTGAGTGTGCTGCTGGGGCGGGTGTCGAGGATGCTGATGCTGGGTTCGATGCTGTGGGTGCTGTTGGTGCTGAGGTTGGGGCTGCTGTTGCTGGATTGGACGCTGTTGTTGCTGTTGTTGTTGAGGCAGTGATAGAGTGTTCTGGTGCTGCTGGTGTAGAATGTGGTTCTGATGCTGATGCGAGTGCGAGTGAGGGTGAGGATGTTGATGTTCAAAGGGGGCAGCCATTGGAGGGGGGTGGTATCCGACGGGGAACTGCTCGCCGTTGGGGCCAATGTAGACAGCGGGATAGTATGGAATCATACTCGTAAGCAACGGGGGTGGCAGGAGTGGAGGAGGGAGTGGAGGGGGAGGAGGAAGTGAAGTTTGGAGCGAGAACAGTTCTGGGTGTGGTTGAGGAGAATAGAGTGAGGGATGAAGCGCATGTGATGGCTCTACTATCAACTGAGACGGAGGATCACAGCTGGTGGAGTAGGATGAAGTAGAGGTGATAGGGAGTGGGGACGAGGATGATGATAGTGATGATGAAGATAACAGCAGAGTTGAGGTCTGCAGAGTGGGAGCGGAGAGCGTGGGAGTTGTTGATGGCTAAGATGCTTGGTAAAGAAGCAGTCTGGTGCTGTTGGTGTTTCTGTCGCACCTGTTGCTTGTGCGAGTGCTTCTGTTCCTGCTGCTGCTTGTGCTCTAGTGATCGAAGCTTCTTTTTGTTTTTCTTTTTCCTTCTTTTCGGACAAGGACTTTGTCGGGGTTATGTTTTGTATGTCACTGGTGTTGTTGGTATTGGTATCGAGAGGGGTTGTTCTTTGTGCTTGTGCTTGTGCCTGTGCTCGTGTAAGCGTTGTTGTTGTTGTTGGTGGTGGTGGTGGTGGTGGTGTTGTTGTTGTTGTTGTTGTTGCTTTGTTGCTGCTGTTGACGTTGGTGCTCTTGTCGTTGTTGACGTTGGTGCTCTTGCCGTTGTAGATGTTGGTGCTTCCGATGGTATGGATATGGCCGTGAGGGTGGAGTGGTTGTGGTGAAGAAGGCAAGAAAGGGTGAAGTGTTGACGTGTGAAAGATGAAGGAGGGGCAGTGCAAGAGGAGGACGAGGAGGGCAGGAAGCAGATTGAGGAGTGGGGAGAGAAAAGAGGGGGAAAAAAAAGAACAAAGAGAAGAAGCAAAAGTGGAAAAAGAAAGAGACGTGGGGAATAGGCATGGGGTAAGAAGAAAGAGAGGAGGAAGGTTGTGGCGGTGGTGGAAGAGGGGGAGACAATGACGGGGGACAGGTGGGACAGAGTTGTTGTCTTTGTTGTTAGTGCCCAGTGGAGGTGAAGGGGAAAACAGGGCCTTGCTCAGAACAGATCTTCCATGTGCTCGAGCTGCAGGAAAAGGTGGTGTTTGTTGTTTATACTGTACTAGTACCTGTTCCTTCTGTTTCTTCTGTTCCTGCCCGCTCCTGTCCCTGTCCCTGGTGCCGTTGTGTGTATCGTAGTGTTTTTTTTTTTTTTTTTTTTTTTTTTTTTTTTTGGAAGGTGGGGCATGAGAGAGAAGGAGAACAGCGCGGGGATAACGCAATGAAGGTGACGACGGAAAAAGAAGTAAGAAAAGTGAAAATGAGAGTTTCAAAGCTTGTTGCGACGAGATAACAAAGGAAAACACATTCGTCTCTTCAATCATTGTCACCATCATTGCTATTATTAATATCGCCAAAAAGGTACCTGCAGTAGATGGCTGCACGGCCATTGTCTTCTTCTCCTGGTCCTGACGTCGTCCAGGACGAGGTCCAGGCTCAGTCTGAGTGGCCTGCTTCAGAGTTGGTGGCGCCAGTCCAGTAGCCGTCACTGTTGCTACTCTTGAGGGCGTCGTCAACGATGTGACAGTTGCAACAGCAGCTGTTGTTGTTGTTGTTCTCGTCTTGGTCGTGTCGATGACCATCCTGTCTGTGCCTGCGGCATGCGTCGTTTTTGCTTCGCTTCCGTCGAGTGGTTCTTGAGAAAGGCGCTGCAGCAGCATGATCCAAGTTTCTTTCCATATTATGCTCCTCCTCGGTGCAAGTAGCCAAAAGCAACATATCCGAACGCTCATTTCTTCGTCTGTCGTACTTTTCACACCGTTTTAGTCATGTCCACGTTGTTGGTGCGACATGAATGCCCTTTCACTCGCACATTTATGAGACTTTTCCTTCCTCAGTCCGCTCACTCACACATAATGTACAAACAATAAAGCGATAAAGCGTCGATTCTGAACAAAAAGTAAGTCAATATGTTGTTGTTTTATATGGAGGTGTTGGCTCATTCAGACAAGAAGTCCCGTATGCCGTTATCGTCGCGACTACTTGTAGGTGTGTGTGTTGTTTTCGAGTGATGTCTGAATGCGCCTGTGCTTTTTGTTCGTTCGGTGCGTAGAAGAGGTAGCGAAGGGAAGTATGGGTGTTGCTATTGTTATTGAGGTTGATGTTGCGATGGAGAAACGGTGTGTGTCGCGGCCTTTTTGATCACTTGGCGTTTGGACCGGATGGCATGCCATGGCATGGCATGGCGTAGCGCGGCACGGCATGCAAAAGGAAGAAAAAAAATAATTGAACAGTACGAGAAGAAAATAATAGTAAAAGAGAAAAAGGAAAGGGAAAAAAAAGGAGAAAGAGAAGTCTTCCAAGCAAATGTGAAAGACGAATCGGCAAACAAACAAAACATGAAAAAAAATTAGAGGCCGTTTGATTTGAACAATGGTCAACACAACGACCCTTGACCGCATAGTCGAGCTCTTTTTTTCCCGGTGACGGACAGCTCAGTCATCAATCCGTGGAGAATGAACCATGGCGACGATTTCTTAAGCGTCCAGTCGGTATTGCCTGTGAATGATAAGAAAAAAAGTCAAAAAGAAAACGAGGAGCCAAAAGAAAGAGAGGTCGAGGAAACGAACACAAAGAGAGTCGGGAAAAGAAAATAAAAAGAGATATGTAAGTACATTATGGAGGATGGTCAAGAATGTGTTCGCGCGATGCATACGCACGGACGTGGGAAATAAAAATAAATAAATATATAAAGTGGTTGTAGATAGTTGTCGTCAGTCCGTCATTCCGGTTCCTTGAACGGTCAACATTGACGGTACTGACAATGGTGATGGTGGTCACTCAGGCTTTGTAAGTTCACTGATGGGAGCGAAGGGTCATGTCCACAAAGGATCGTTATCGAATAACACTTCATTGGTAGAGGCTTCCATGACCCTTTGTCACAGGTGCTGTAGTTGTCAAGTGGTGACCGCGCTCTCTTTTCTGCTATTACATGACCCCTCCTCACCCTCCTTGATGTCCTAGCATCCATCGAATCCAGTTCCGTTTGTTCATGTGTGTTTGTCCATGGTTCGAAAACGATAGGTCGGTCGTACACGCGAGATCCACCTTATTGAAAGTGCCAGCCCATCCCTTGCTGGTCTCCAGAAGCATTGAACCCTTCTTGGCTACGGAGACTAAAGATGTTGCTTTAGATACGCCTCCTCACTAATGTGGATCCTGTATAGCACAACCCATGGACTAATCGATACTAAAAATCTCTCCTCTTATTCCGTTGGTTCATATCGATCAAAACTTACACTCGGTCCGGATTGTTGTTGACGCGGCTATCGGAGGGCATGAAGCGTGATTGGTCTTGAGCAGGTGCGCCTCCATAGTGCGCAGGTGGCATGTTGGTCTTGTCTCCCACGACGTAAGTTCCGTTGTGGCGAGGAACAGTGGGGTTGTGAGGGGTCCGTTGCTGCATGTACTGTGGGTTTACGTCAAAACGGAACCAGCGATCATATACATATAGAAATATAGAAGTGAAAAAAGACGATGCGTATGTTTGTGAGTCAGACAAAGTTCTCCTTGTTCGATTGCGACCATTTGTTGGTATGCTAATAACGTCCATAACAACCACTATAGCCAATCGAGCCGTGTCCACGTATAGCCCTCATGTTCATACATCTTCCTTTTGGGCCTGGTTCATCTGCTGGGCGCGGGTGCTCTCCTTCTCCTGTAAAGGCGTAGGAAGAACAGAGAAAGGATAATATATACAGTCAGAAAAGCAAGTTCCATCGATACCATCACTGAAGCATCGGATTGAATCCAATCAGGCAAATGAAAGGAAGAAAAGAAACTTACGTATTTGTAGATTGTCCAGTCAAAGACATAGTCGTATTGGAATCCTTCGCGGACAAAGAGATCACGGAACAGTTTGCGGAGGTACGAGTAGTCGGGCTTGTCATCGAAGCGGAGAGAGCGGACGTAGTTGAGGTAAATCGCAAACTCCTGGGGGAAACCGCGGCAGAGAATATCGGTTGATGTAGTCATCTTCTTCTCCATGATGCGGTCGTACTTTTGCTTCTTGGTTGCTGCCTTCAATCCCTGCCATGGAAGTGATCCTCTGCAGAAGTACATCATCACATATGACAACGACTCCAAATCGTCTCGGCGAGATTGTTCTATTGACAGAAAAGCGTGGGTGTCATCAGGCGTTAGCCATCCATCCTACAACTGGCGGTACATAGAGAACAGCTGAAGAATGATAGCAGACACCAAGGGCTCTTACCGACTCCCAAATGGGTATTGATACTGGCATAACGGGCGGTTCCTGTCAAGTTTTTGTTCTCCCTGTAAGGAATGTGGAGATGGCTCTTGGGGTCACGGTACTTCTTGGCTAGACCAAAGTCAATCACGTACACCTGGTTGCCGCGCTTTCCGATGCCCATCAAGAAGTTGTCGGGCTTGATATCGCGGTGAATAAAGTTCTTGGAATGGATGTATTCGATGCGCGAGATCTACACAGGACCGAGAAGGAGGACGTAACATTTGCCATGCTGAGGTTAGCATTGCAACTCAAAAAAAAACTCAGAAAGGCATGCTCAGTCTGATGAATATGGGAACGTACCAATTGGTCTGCCAACAAGAGGACAGTCTTGAGAGAGAACTTTCTGCTACAAAAGTTGAAGAGATCCTCCAAACTGGGTCCGAGGAGATCCATGACCATGGCGTTGTAGTCGCATTCTGTTCCAAACCAGCGGATAAAAGGGATGCCGATTCCGCCTGCCAACGTTTTGTAAACTCGTGCCTCGTATTCCAGCTGGGGGTGCTTTGCTTTGATCGACTCCAGTTTGATGGCGACTTCTTCATTGTTGACAATGCTGGTTCCTATTTTAGTTGAAAGAGAGGTTAAACAAAAGGGACACAGTCAGTGAAGTGGTATAACATTGTGAAATATGTGAATAATGTCGGATTTCCAGGAGTAGGCTAGCCGCCGTGAGTATCACGAAAATCGGTTCTCAACCCCAATATGGGATTCGTGTTGTCAACTGGTTTATGCTCTTTGTGAGTGCGAGTGTAAGTGTGTATGAGTTTGCATAGGTGAGGTGTGATCAGTAGGGGGGCAAGAAAAGGACGGGCCAGGAGGTGTGTGTGCGTGAAATGCATTGACGTGCTGTGTATGGTAGTGCCAAGGAGAGAGAGAGAGAGAGAGCCAAGCGTGAAGTGTTGCGTCGTTTGATTTTTCTGTCTCTCTTCGTGTGTGCTGTTCATCATTCAGGAGGTATCTTGCAAAGCAATCATCGATATTAATAACAATACAACTGAAGAACAACAAAAAAAAAGAGCGAAAATATGAAGAGCGCGCCATGGTCCACCACTCGGCTAGGCTAGACTGGGCTGGACAGTACTTTTTTTTGAATTCGTCATCATCCGACAGCAATGATATGGGCGTTATGAGAGGAAGACACACAGGGGAGACAAAAAAAGGGATAAAAAGGCAAGCAGCGAACAAGATGGAGATGGGCGGCTGAGGAAAGAGTGGACGAGGAGTACATTGTGCATATGAGCCAGGACGGGTTCCGAAAGTGAAGTGAGATGAATCGATGAAGTCGACCCATATCAGCAATATTGTTATTTTTGTTCATTTCATGAACACATTGGCGCCGTGCGGATAGGTCAGGTGCCATTCCATTATTTTTTTTCATTTTGTTCAGATATATCAACCGACCGGGCTGTTGCGCAATATTTCTTTCATGGTGTGAAAGGCAGAAAGGGAAGCGAGAAATATGAAAGGTAGAGTAGGAGACGGAAAGAGAGAGAGAGAGGGTAACAGGAGGGTCGACTTACCAAGGTAGATATCACCAAAGGAGCCAGAGCCGATTTTGCGACCTATTCTGTACTTGTTGCCCACGCGCAGTTCCATGGTAATTGTCGAGTTGAGTTGGGTGGGTTGAGTGAAGATGGGGGAAGTAGTTGGGGTGTAGTTGAGATTTGGCACCTGGCAGCTGTCGAGAGAGGTCGGATTGGCTCAGCAAGAGGCTAAAAGGCGGATGGGTGAATAGTGGTGGTGGTGGCGAAAGAGAGAGAGAGGAAGAAAGAAGAGAAAAGGTTTTGTTAGGATGGGAGTATGGGTGTGAGAGGAGGAAAGAATGGTGGCTGGGGACGGGAGGAGGGGGTTGTAAAAGGGGGACAAGTGGAGGAGGAAGAAGAGGAGCTAAAAGTGAGAAAAGGAAGGAAAGAGAAGAGAGGAGGAAAAAGGGAAAAGGTAAGATGAATAATAACAAGGTAAAATAATAATCAGAGAGCATAAAAAAAAGGCGAAAAAAGGGGCGGGGCGGGGATGTGTGTTGTTGCTTTGTATGTGCATGGATGTGTATAGGATGGGAAGGGTGTTGGGATGTGCACGGGAAGAAGAAGCGCAAATTGCAACAAATATAAATACATAACCAATCGAGAACAACGAGGGTGAAAAAACACTTGGTGGGTGGCTGGGCTGAGTAGGGAAGGATGGATATGTGTGTGTGTCCTTGTCCCATGATGGGTATGATAAAAGCTTCCTAAGCAACAGGCCAACTCTCGTTCTACGATGGACACTCCATAGGATACAAGACACACACACACACACACTCACTCTCTTAAAAATAAAGGAGTGGACGTTTCGACATGCAAAAAAACAATAAGAGAGAGAAAGAGAGAGAAAAAAAAAAAAAAAAAAAAAAAAGGAGTCGACATTGCTCCACAGATACACATCCACGCAATTAGACAAACAAAAGGTCCAAGGAACGGATTCACCGCTATTTGTATGTTTGTTTGTTTGTTTGTTTTCCTTCTTCCTTCCATCCTTCCCTCTGCCACAGGATAGCCTTTTTTTGGGGTCTCTTTATTCTTTGTCCTTTCTCCATCCAACCACACGCATATCTCTCTCTCTCTCTTTCATACATCAAGCCCTGATGGACATGGAGACAACAATCAGTCCAAGTGCGTGTGCGTGTAGTGTTGGGCTACCATGTCGTTCTCGTACTTCCATCTTTTTTTTTGCTACACTCCCTTCCTTCCTCTTGTGCTCGTGCCGGTTTCTATGTTTTCGGTCTTTTCCAGCCCCTTGTCTCACTCTCAATCGCCAATTCACCCTGGCTCTCATCCTTCGCTCCCATACGCACACTTTATCTACAAATGCACAACAAGAACCAAAGGGAGGAAGTGAACCAAGAAAAAGTGAGAGAGTAGGGGAAGGAGCAGACGATCAAAGTCAAAAAATAACCATGATTACGATGAGGACGGGACTTGGATTGCCAGGAATATTAAAATATGAAAACCAATTAATGTAGAATGAAATTGAGCATCATGCCATAAACATAAACGCACGCACGCACGCACTCATGTCCCGCCTGTGTTCAAAACAAGGTAACTAGGGCAGTGGGTTGCCGTCCTTCCTCGCTTTGTTGTGAGCATAAATCACTTGGCTCTTTTTTTTTTTTTTTTTTTTTTTTTTTTTTTCCTTCTCTGATCCATTCAACCATGTTGCATATCCCATTCTTTGTACCATTGGGGGACTCATAGGATACCATTGGGGGACTCATAGGATGCCATTCCGATACCATTTTCGTCATACAGGAAAAAACAAACAAAAAAAAGTCGAATGACTCTGTCCAATCTGCAACCTTTTTTTCTTCTTTTTCTTCTTTACCATCCCAGATCCATAGCCCGTATGTGGCTCACAAACAACCATTGAGTAGCTCTACTCGTCCCCTTTAACTGCTATCCGTATCTCATCTCGGTTTGGATGAAATGGCAAGGTAAGGCAAGGGAAGGGTAGGAAAGGGATGAACATACATAAGATATACACACACATTAATAATAAAATGCGGGGAAAGAAGGAGAAAGGTAAAAGAGACGAAGAACAAGGAGAGAGGCGATGATGAAGGGAGACAGAGAGGAGGTTGGCCAAGCTGACAGGGGCGGAAGCAAAGAAGGAGGTTCTGTTTTTCCTCAAGGAATAAGGTAAGGGAGGAAGAAACAAGCATTGTTTCTGTTCGCAAGTATTGTTTCTGTTCGCAAGCACTGTTTCTGTTCGCAAGGAACAAGTATGAGCGGGTGACAACAATAATAAGGAGGCTGGACGAAAGGGGGAGGGGAGTGTGGTGGATCAGCTGATCACCAACCTTGCTTTCATTGCTGCTGAGCAAAGGTTACAACCCACATTCTCTTCCTCTTACTCCATGGGCAAAAAGGAACTGATTTACTGCCGGAGAGTTGGCTGTGTGTGATTGCATGTATGAAGAAAGTGAACAATGAACTCTGTCCTGGTGTACGTTCTTGTGAACATTAAAAGGGTTGTCCGCCCACGGAATAATAAACTACACGCAAATAAACTCGCCTCAAAATCACACACGCGCACACACTCGCAAACACATGTATATGCTCACCGAGGAAGGATAAAGCAAAGGTTTGCGACAGGGTAATAAAGGGAAGAACAAGAGAATGGGAGAAAGAGGCGGAGAGGATAAAGGCGGAGTCGGGATGGTGTGTTTAAATAGGGGTTATGGTGCGCGATGGGTGTGTTGTGCGTGCATGCGAAATAGCAACGTGTGTGATGGACTGATGATGTGTGAGAGTGAGTGGTTGGTGAGAATTGTGTTGTCTGTAGGACCTACTGTTGTTTTGTTGACTGGTCGGGAGAAGGGGTGCTTAAGGAGGATGAAGGTGGTGTTGTTGGTGAAGAGGGAGAAGAAAGGAAAGACGGAGAAAGAGGATGGGAGTGAGGATGATGGGAGCGAGGAAGAGTGAAAGAAAGAAGTGAAGGTCGAGAGAGATGAGCTTGATGAGAAACGCAAGGAATGGTGCAACGCACTGTGAGTGGTCCATCGTGATATTATTGGTGAAGAAAGCAGCGGCAGCGGCCTTGATTATGTCACCGAGAGCGATCCAATCGCATTTCATGCTCATTTCTGCCAATTGAGCTTGTCAAACAGCGATCTAGCATCTAGTGTTGCCACCAATGTGTCGTTTGCAGTCTGGTGTCAGGTTGCGCAAAAAGGGCCTGTATACCTACCGCATTTTGTCAACTCCATAGAACCCAAGAGTGACATTGATACCCCTTCTTCAGTACAGACTTTTACCCAATCGACCGGGAAGTGATAGTACTACAAGTTAGCTAGCAGATATTGTATGTCCTTGTTCATTCGCTTGCAGGCATTGATGTGATCATGTATGCACTAAACCCATGCAACAATAAACAGTCACCAGCCAGGATGTGTAAACATTCATGCGCCACAGATTTTTTTTTTTTTTTTGAGCCTCGCTGTGTGCCAGAACAACAAGACAAACTCACACCAAGGGGAACCCTTTTCTTTTTTTCTTCCTTCCACCCTCACCCCTTCCCCTTTGCCCTTTTTTTTATTGACCCATCGTCAGTCTCTGCTTGGTTATTCGATACTTCCTCCACATCGACTTCAAACCTCACACGAACTGACCGACTCTTCTCCCTCCCCTCTACATAACGGTCAACCTTTTCCCCTTCCTCTTCACACACCATATCATACATTTCATTCATTCCCAACTCATTCATTCACTTCACTTTCACTCACACCCTTTGCATTCAACTCACTTCAACTTTCAACTTTCAACTAATACACTCAACTATTTAACAATAACAATGTCGGCAACAAAAGAATTCAAGGCTCCCGTAACAAAGAGAAAGCAAAAGGAAGAGGAGGACTTCCCTCGTGGTGGCGCTTCAGGACTCACTCCCCTCGAATACAAGGAGATCGCCCACCAAGCTGATACTTCTCTCTTCTCTGTAAGTGCGACTTGCGCTCTCAATCGCATGGTTTTTCTGTAACCAATTGATCAGTTCCGCTGCGCTCTCCTTCTGCTGTTAACTCTTCCAAAACTAATATCCCGTTAAAACCATTCGATTGTCAATCGATATGTTACAGGAACCCGGCTCGAAGACCCCGGCCGCTGCTGGAGCAGAACCCGCAAAGAAGAAGCGCAAGCCCACAAAGAAGACTGCCAACAGCGAAGTCAGCTTTGAAAACACCTTTGACAAGAAGAAGCTCAATGTCGAGATTCTCTCCTTCAAGGTACACCAGCATAACGCATGGAATACATACCTTGGCCGCCTGGACTGAATGGGAAAAAAGAGTCGATCCATTGTTCTCTAACGTTCCTCCTCTCCGTTTTCTCGATGATAGCGTTTGACTGAGGGAACAAAGTTGCTTGGATGCATCAGCGGGATCAGCCACGGGCGTGACTCTGACTTGCCCGAGCTTATTGTCTCTCTCCCCAACAACTTGACAGGATTTGTCAACATCTCAGAGCTTTCGGACGAGTTGATCCAGGCTGCAGGCGACACTCTCCCTGACTTGAAAGAGCAGTACTTCATCGGCCAGTGGGTTCAGTGTGTCATCATCGGATTGCAGTATGGCGCTTCTGGAGGAGCTGCTGCATCAGGAACTGATAAGCAGAGACGCAAGATCATCTTGAGTTTGAAGCCCTTCATTGTCAATGCCGGAGTCAAGCCCGTCGATATCGCTGTCGGAACTGTATGTTTCCGAAAATGACGTTGTTTTTGACATGGCCAGCTTACAACAGTTATCATTTCTAGTTTGTCCACTTGGAACTAATTTCGTTCTGCTTCTTTCGTACATCATGCCATTACGCACACGATAGTTTGTTTCTGGAGCAGTCAAGAGCGTGGAGGACCATGGTTATATTGTCAATCTCGGAATCAGCGGCTTGCATGGATTCCTCAAGAACTCTGAGGCGAAGATGTACCAGCGCATCAAGAACAACGACAAGCCCTTGGCTGTCGGCCAGGTTCTCACTTTCAGCGTTCTCTCTATGGAGTCTAACAAGAAGACTGTTCAGTTGACCGTCGATGCCATGAAGGTCTCCAAAGCCTTGGTGAGTTTTCTTTTTTCTGATACTATTGCTTCACACGCTAGGTTTTGGCACAGTGAATTGGTGGCAAGGAACGTATAATTAACATATCGCGTATGTTTGCAACATTTTAGCTTGGCGACAAGTTTTCGTTCTCGGAGGTCGGATCGATCATGCCTGGAAACGTTGTCGAGACATACATCACGGAGATTCAGGACATTGGAGCTGTTGGCAAGTTCATGGGCCATTTCGACGCAACCATCGACTACTTTCACACATCCAAGGGCATGATCACCTCCAAGAAGGAGATCGAGGAGACCCTCAAGGTCAACGACAAGGTCCGCGCCAGAGTTCTTTACATCGACCTCGCCAGCCAGCCCACCAGAATCGGTCTCTCCAACGCCAAGCACGTCATGGGACTCACCCAGCCTAACACAACAGAGTCCGAGCTCGGCTCCAAGGTCTTCCCTGGAAAGGCCATCCCCATTGGGCGCTCCTTCGAAACCGTGACTGTCAAGCGTATTGATCCTCGCCACGGTCTTTTGTGCTCAATCGGTGGTGTCGACATCCCCGCCTACGTCCATATTTCTCGTGTCGCTGACGAGCATCTCGCCAACGTCTCCGCCACTGGAAAGTTCCGCGTCGACTCGACCCACCGCGGTGTTGTTCTCGGATACGATCCCGTCGATGGTCTTTTCCAGATGAGCTTGCAGGAATCCATGGTCGATCAGCCTTTCCTCCGTATTGAGGATATCGTCGTTGGATCCGTTGTCAAGGGAACTGTCGCCAAAGTCAGCGACAAGGGTGTGATTGTCAGCCTTGCCAAGAACATCAGGGGTTTCGTCCCCCTCCTCCACTGCGTCGACTCTGCTGTCACCAGCAGTACCAAGAAGCATGTCGATGAGAAGTTCAAGGAGGGCAAGTCGATCAAGTGCAGAGTCCTCTCTACTGATGCAACTGAGGGCAGAGTCATTCTGACATGCAAAGACTCGCTCATTTCGAGCAAGCACCCCATCTTTACTTCTCTCGATAACATCACTCCAGGCTCTCTCTCTGACGGTGTGATCGTGAAGGTCAACGCGCACGGATGCATCGTGTCGTTCTTCAACAACGTCAAGGCCTTTGCCCACATTTCGGAGCTCCAGGAGACTCACGTCAACAACCTGAGCATCTTCCAGCCCGGTCAGGTCAAGACTTGCAGAGTCCTGGACGTCAACCCAGCTGAGCAGAACATGAAGGTTTCGTTCAAGAAGTCCTCCGAGGTTGACTTGGGCTCCGTCGAGGTTGGATCTATCCACAAGGCCAAGATCATCACCATTAAGAAAGACCTCATCCATTTGACTCTCAAGCCTTCCGAGACCAAGGCCGTTATCCACGCTACCCATCTCTCGGATCACATCGGCGAACAGGCGGATCGTATCTTTGCCAATCTCAAGGAGGGCATGATCATCTCAGACTTGGTTGTCCTCAGCAAGGATGAGACCCGCGGTTCTGTTATGGTCACCAAGAAGCCTATTTTGGTGCTGGCTGCCAAGGAGAAGAAGCTGATCACCGAACGCGCAGCACTCAAGCAGGGTCACGTGTATCCCGCCTTTGTTCGCCAGGTCGCCAATTTTGGTGTCTTTGTCGAGTTTGCCAACGGTATCGAGGCCCTTGCCTTCCGTCACTCGCTCTCTGACGCCTCCGAGGCCGCCTTTGTGAGGAACCAGTCTGTTCTCGCCAAGGTCTTGAGAGTCGACCCCACTGACGGAAGGACCGAGGTCTCCCTGAAGCCATCTGATGTCTCTTCTTCCGAGTCTGTCTTGTTCCAGGGCGAGTTCTTGGCTGCCTTCTTCAAGCAGCTCGAGCGTCTTGCCAAGAAGGCCGACTCTACTGTTTCGGTTGGTGCCTGCACTTTGGCTGACGTCAAGATTGTCGGGAACGACGAGTGGACCATCTCTTACAGCGGCAACAAGACCGCTTCCGTCGCTGCCAACCAGGTCAAGGAGGGCAAGACCAAGGCTGGTGTCAAGTGCGCCGCCAAGGTTCTGGACGTTGATTTTGAGCAGGACTCTATCGACTTTACTTTGAAGGATTCGCTTATCTCTGCTGAGGAGACCAAGGAGGCCAAGGCCAACAAGTTCTCGACCGCCAACATGTCCAAGAATCTCATCAGCCTTGCCGCCCTTCAAAAGGCACAGGGAACTGTTGAGGCCGTCGTCGAGCTCGTCAAGGACGACTACCTCGTTTTGTCCATCCCCGAGGTCAACAACATGATCGCCTTTGCTGCCACCCGCTCCCTTAACAACCGCAAGGATCGTTTCATCGGATACAAGACTGGCGAGAAGGTCAAGGCTATTGTCGCATACGTCCCCAAGTCCCAGGGTAAGGGCCAGGCTGCTGAGCGCGTTATTCTCTCGATCGAGCAGGCTTCCGTTTCCCCTCGCAACGGTGCTGCCAAGGAGGCCAAGAAGGGCACCAGCGGCATTGCCGAGTTTGAGGACGTCAAGGAGGGCTCTATCGTCAGCGCTCGTGTTGCCAATATTCAGCTCACCGGAATGGATGTTCATCTTGGCGGAAAAGTCTTTGGTCGTATTCATCTTACCAACCTTGCCGATACATATGCTCCCTCGGAGACTCTCCTGAAGAATTTCAAGAAGGGCCAGCTCCTCAAGTGCTTCGTCCTCCAAGTCGACACGAGCAACAAGAAGATTGATCTCTCCCTCCGCCCCTCGCGTCTGGCTCCCGAGAACCATGCTGTCGTCCACGACCCTGAGGTCAAGGGCTTCTCCGACTTGGCTGCCGGTGGAATCCTTCAGGGCTATGTCAGCAACGTCGCCGATAAGGGTCTCTTTGTTGCCCTGAGCCACAAGCTGAGCGGACGTGTCAAGATTGCCGAGCTTTCGGACGATTACTTGAAGGACTGGAAGAGCCACTTCACAGTTGGCCAGGTGGTCAAGGCCAAGATTGTCAACGTCAGTGAGGCCCATCACCAGATCGAGTTGACCTTGAAGGCCAGTCAGATTGACCCCAGCATCAAGGCCATCCAGACCCTTGCCGACTTTACCAAGGGCGAGAAGGTGAAGGGTACTATCAAGGCTGTCAAGGACATTGGTGTCTTCATCAAGATCGACAACAGTACCGTAAGCGGTCTCTGCCACATTTCCGAGATCTCCGAGAACCACGTGCCCGATGTCTCCAAGTTGTACGCTGTCGGTGATCCCGTCAAGGCCAAGATTCTCGACATTGACATGGAGAAGAAGCGTATCTCGTTCGGTCTTAAGTCTTCTTACTTTGAGGAGGGCGATGCTGAGATTGGTGAGGACGAGGATGATGAGGATGCCGAGGGCTCTGAGGAGTTGGAGGGAGCTAGTGATGATGAGGATGTTGAGATGGGTGAGGATGACTCTGATGCTGAGGACGTGGAGGAGTCCGATGAAGAGGTTGACAACATTTTTGCAGGACACGATAACAGCGACTCGGAGGATGCCGAGGAGGAAGAGGTTGAGGAGGAGACCAAGATCGCAGACGATGATAGCGACGTTGAGATGACCGACGCTGCACCTTTGGCCGTTGCCTCTGGATTCAACTGGGACGGCAAGGACGATGCTGAGGAAGATACCAAGAGCGGCGACTCTGATTCAGATGATGGCTCAGATGATGAGCGGTCAAGCAAGAAGAAGAAGGCCAAGAAGCAGGCGGTCGTTGTTCAGGACGACACTGCCGATTTGGAGTCTCAAGCACCACAGGTCGCAACCGATTACGAGCGTCTGTTGTTGGGTTCGCCCAACTCCTCGTACCTCTGGATCAACTACATGGCCTTCCAGCTCCAGCTTTCGGAAATTAGCAAGGCCCGTGAGATTGGTCAGCGTGCGTTGAAGTCGATCAGCTTCAGGGAGGAGCAGGAGAAGATGAACGTCTGGGTCGCACTGATGAACTTGGAGAACACTTTTGGTAGCGCCGATACCTTGGAGGAGGTATTCAAAAACGCTGTCCAGACCTGCGAACCCAAGAAGATCTATCTCCAGCTAGTCAAGATCTATGAGCGTTCCAGCAAGATCGAGGTAAGCCTTTTGTTTCCCTTTTGTTTGTTTTGCAAGCAAGACCTGCCCATGCTTTGAACAGAGTCACTGACTGTCTATTTATTTTTCTTTTCTTTTTTCTCATTTAGCTTGCTACGGAGTTGTACAAGACGATGACCAAGAAGTTCGGCCAGAGCTCCAAGGTGTGGACTGGGTTCGGTCACTTCCAGTTGCACCACGGCAACCTCGAGGCCGGCCGCGAGCTGCTCCAACGCAGTTTGAAGTCATTGCCCAAGCGCAAGCACATCAAGACCATCTCCAAGTTTGCCCAACTCGAATTCAAGTATGGCGAGCCCGAGCGTGGTCGTACGATCTTTGAGGGAGTGATGAGCAATTACCCCAAGAGGATCGATCTCTGGTCGGTGTATATCGATATGGAAGTCCGGAACGGAGAACAGGATGCTGTCCGTCGCTTGTTCGCTCGTGTTGTGTCTTTGAAGCTTTCGTCCAAGAAGATGAAGTTCTTCTTCAAGAAGTGGTTGGCTTATGAGAAGGATAACGGAGATGAGGAGTCGGTTGAGGAGGTTAAGAGGAGGGCTTTGGCCTATGTCGAGTCATTATCGGCATAAGTCAGTCGAAGAGTTTATTTTGCCGCAGTTAGTTTAGAATCACACACATATGCATTTTATTAGTATTTCATTTTTTCACCATCACATCTCGCTGTCTTCCAATATTGAATGCCAATTTTTGTTTGTCGGCGTGTGTGTTTTTCTACGCACTCTACAGGGTCTTCGCCACCATTTTCGCTTGTACACATGGTTTATGGTTTGGTGTACTCTTGGAATGGTCGACCCTTGCTCAAAAACCCCATATATCTCTCAAAAACCATCGTGATGGGCGGCGATCGAAATCATCACGTCTAATCCCCCTCTGCCTACTGTCAACGAGTTCAGCTGCGCTCCTCAGCTAGAATAGACCTGTCCCGAGCGTCGTTTCATTGAAGATTTCCTTCGACCTCAAGCCCACCTTCCCTGTTGGCGTAATTGAACTTGTTGCAACTGTAGAAGTAACCGTTTTTTTGGCGTTTGAACGTTCTTCTGAGGAGGTGTTATTCACTTTCACCCCATTCTTCCAACTGCTTTTTCTTCTCATCCAGAGCCCCGTTAATATGAAGTTTGCGACAAGCAATGTGTGGGGCGGCAAATGCACCTTCTGCCAGTCCAGTAAGTTCGAAAAGTCAAGTCCGATTTTTTTAGTAGATGGCACACGGCACGTTATACTGTATGGTGCATCGTAACATGAACATTAACAATCACTTTCGTTATTTTCGAAATCTCTAAACTTATGTTTAGCCCCCGGTTACCCTCCCCCACTAGCAACCAAACGGCTGCCATTTCTTGACCTGCTCTCCACTCATCCAAAAAGTATAAACCTCCACAGCGGATAGGTGCCATCCTAATGCGTGGCTCGCTCACCTTTCCCTACTATTTACCTTCGACGCATTCATACTTTTTGCTAGACTTGGCAGTGTGGGGTCTAACTCAGTGCATCAATGGGTACCGTTACTATCTTGATTTTTTTTTAGTAACGCATAAATAAAAGTATATCGTGATTACCATCCTTTTACTGATCCGTGTGATTGGTTTGTATTGGTGGTAGGTACCTTTCTGCAGAATGGGTCAGAGAGGGACAAGAAAAGAAAATCAAGGGTCAGGTATGGATGATATTTTCTCTCGCGTTCAGCGAGGAGAAAATATGTACCATATGCATTTCTTTGCGACATTGTCGCAGACACTTTTCTTGGACTACGAGGAGCAGCTTCGCAACTGATTCCCACGAAACTCTGAAAGCGTAGGAGGACCAATTGGATCACATCCTGAATGTATATATGGGATAGGATGCAGTAGTTGAATCAACGTCGCGTCGTGGGAGGAAGGAGGGGGTTTTGGCCGGGGTATATTTCAACCCGCTCCGTATGCATCGTCTCCTCGGAACGGTTGCCGCCGATTTTCATTCCTTATTCGCATTCTATGCCACGAGCTATAGGCCCATGTTTGACGCGACTATTGTAGGACCGACGATTCAGACGTGTAGAAAGCGAGAGAAATCAAATGGCCTGCTGCGCAAATGCGACACACGCATTTTTTTTTTCTCTTTCGTCGTCCCGCCAATTTCATTTTCCGCCATTTCTCCGCAACTCATTCACAACCTGGACCATGAACTCAGGCACACCCTTCGCACTCTCTTCGATCCAACCACTTGGGTCGATGTAGTGGTATCCAACCGTTGGCGCAAAAAGGCACACCTTTTTTTTTCTTCTAGGGAAAGTGACGCCACTTTTCTATGGCGCTCTCTTTTTTCTTCTTTTTCCAAGGATCGGCCATTGAACTTCCACAGACACATGCAACCAACCTTCACTTCCTAGAATGGAAACCAACTCGATTGTTCTCCCACGCTCGCCCCTTCTCGCACTACTATTCTTTAACATGAGTGGACCAGGTGTTTGTGGGTCAACAAACACAAACTTTGCGCCTAATTGCCTTTGTACCTGTTCCACACCCGTTGGCTCGTGCATTGTTGATTTGCCACGAACGCAACCGCCATGGCACATGGACAAGGTGGTGAGAACATACAACCCGAGCAATTCCCCTCTTTGGATGTTCGTTGCTGAGATCCTTTCCTTTGACATGTTATTTTTCGCGCACGACGCTCTTACAAGCACAATGTCGTACGATTGGTATCTTTTGCGAGGGATGGCATGCTGTGACCCGACTCGCGGTGCTATATGCAATGCACGAAGGAGTCTCATTTTGAGAACTTTCCCAGATTTTTTTTTTACTGTATCCGCGCAGTGCCGCTCGTTCGACTATTCAAACTCAACCCGGCACGCTCTACACCTTCTGAAGTACAAGCATATCGTTTGCAGCATAACATCTTTTTCTTCTCAGTACTCTATGTCCATTACATCTAGGAGGTCGTTCCTCCCTCTATTCATTCATGCTCGCTGTCATTCGATCTCCTACGACTGACTACCTTGCGATCGGATGCACTAGATTCGACCATGACCCGCTTTATTGTTGGCCTGTTGTGTTATATTGGAGCCATGTATTGTACCTATGATTATTTTCCGTTCAGTTGGCGTTCAATGATACCATTGGTACGCCAGTTTCGAAAACGTGTTCGCGTCATTTTTTTCGACGAAAAAAGTATAAAAGGGGCCATACGGTTTTGATGTTTATTTCTTCATTCCTCAGTTCACCACTTCACATCTAAACAAGCACTCCTCTCCCAGGCCCCATCAAAAGCATCCCTTCCCAAACAACACTCAACAGCCATGCAGTTCACCGCAGTCCTCGCCGCCATCGCCCTCGCCGCCATCTCGACCGTCTCTGCCCAGTCCGGCACCTACACCAAGTTCACCGACTGCGCCGCCGGCAAGCCCTCGGACCTGGCCATCAGCTCCCTTACCCTGAGCCCCTCGCCCATGTGTCTCGGTGAGGACTATTGCCTCACCGCCACCGGTGCCCTCTCGGCACCCATCACCAAGGGTGCCAAACTTGGCGTCTGGGGCAAGTACCTCAACCGTATTGTTTACCGCGATAGCGTTGATCTCTGTGATGTCTTGGCTGCTAATGGCCAGGAGTGCCCCATCCCCGAGACCACGACCGAGTTGAAGATTTGCCTCAAGCTGAAGCCTGATTTCTGGGAGGGTGTAAGTGATGCGATGCTATTTTTGTTGTTGTTCTTTGCAATCTTTTGCTGCTGGCAGAGGTGATTAAAAAATAATATAACGCGCCTGGTTTCTAATTCCTGATTTGTTCCCACTTTTATTTTTATCTTTTGTGTGCTATAGGTCACCACCCAGTTCGACTTTATCGCTACCAACGCGAACGACGACACCATCTTCTGTCAGCGTGGTATGAAAATCTCGAGTTCTTCACTTTGACCAGAAATGAGGTACCCTCATTTTTTCCTGACTCAACTTTAATGAAAAGCTAACAATACTTCCTCTTTTTTTTCTCTGATTCCGTTTGTCGTAGCTCTTGACCGTGGCCTCGAAGGCGCCACTTGCTAAATCTGCTCACCCTCGCTCTTACTTGGCCACAATGCATTCCTTGGTCATTCATTCATTCATTCATTCTTCAAGGCTATGCTCGCAATTTATAAGAGATTCTTGTCTCTATAGCATTCCAATAAAAAAAAAGGGCTATAAACACCTCCTCTTCTAAGGGGGAATGTAGCCCAAACAAGAAAAGAACTCAATGAAAAAAGAAGCGTGGGGGAAGGTGAGCGTGAGCGTGGAGCACAGAGGAAACGAAAAAGGGTTGGGATGATACAACAACAAGTACCAGAAATGCAGAAGAGAGGAAGGCATTGAAGACGAAGGGTACATAAGCACTCTTCGTCCCTGAATTAAACAAACCTCTCTCTTTGCTTCGTTATTCCATTTTCATAACCCTCATTACTATCACAATACTAGTTACAATTCCCCACAACACATGGAGGTTCAAGGACTTGATGAGCTGCAGGGGTAAGGGCACTGAAGAGGAACAGTCAACTTGAACTGCATTGACAGCAGTCGACAGCCACTCGATCGAGTTGACACCGTCGAGCTTGACCTCGAAACCAGTGGCAATAGTGTCGGTGACCACGTTGCCAACGTAGCGTGACATCATCTTGGACGTAATAGCAAGACCCTTGAGGGTGGACTGGGGACGAGTAAGCCCTCGGGCCATAATCAGGTTAGAGGAGGCGACGTATCCCATGAGAGTGCCCTTGTAGGAGATGGCGAGGGTGAGGGCGTCCATGTACATCTGGATGGCGAGAGAAAGGGCGAGCTTAGAAACGAGAAAGAAAAAGGAAAGAGGAGAATGAAATGTCTTTTGAGTAGACACAAGCACTCGAAACCTCAGGTGAACAAACAAACACAGAAAGTACAATCAAGCACAGAAAGTACAATCAAACATAGGAAGTACAAATTACGGAAAGTACAAATTACGGAAAGTGCAAACCATAGAAAGTACAAACGAACAAACAAATAAACAAGGGAAGGGGAAGTTCGCCGGAGAATACATTCATGTATTATGCCTTTCTGACAAAAAGGGAGGTAGCTTAATCAAATTTTAAAATAGATAGAGAGAACAGCATAAAAGGAATAGGATGCCATGAAATAATATGGTGAAGGTACCAATCGTGGCAGACAACGAGAGGACAGATTGGAGCGAGAAGCAGAGTTGAATTCCTCTTCTTTGATTTTCTGGGAGGCACATCGTGCAATGAAGCAGGTCGAATGTGGAGACTCGCACCCTCAAAGAATAAGGTTCTGCCCTTTGTTGTTTCCCTTGAGGAGATTTCGAATGCATTGCGTGTTAGAAAAAGGGAGTGCCTCTTCTTAGTCAAGTAAGTATATTCTTGCCATTTAACAGGTGTATTATATGTTGGACAGGATTCTTTCCCCTCTCCTTCACTCGTATCTCTACTTCGTCTTCAACGGCCTTCACCAAGTCATACATTTTTGCCACTCCATTTTGAGCGCGCATGTCACCCTGTCACAACTTGCTGCTCTATTACAGTACCAGCAGCAAAACTTGAGAGCAACAATACCAACAAAACCAACAAATAAACAACAGCCGCAAAGAAAAAACAACAACAGCACATGCACACAGAACAAACATGCTAGCACTCGCAGATACACAAAAAGGCAAACACAACACAGCAACATAGCACAGCACAACATGCACCTTTCTCTACGCCCCCGTTCTTAAAAACAGTGGCACCCACGTTCAATGGCAATGCACGGATGGGGAATAAGGAACTGCTGTCACTCCTATAGACTTTTCTTTTTTATGCTCGTATGATGATAGCGCGGCCAATTCGCGTAGTTAATTTATGCGTAAAGATTTATTTCGGTGACGTCTACAAAACGGCAGTTTCGCCGCTGCAGATCTCTTTCTGTACATTGCTCTTTTGGAACTCTTCTCCGCCACCAATCGCGCCATTCTAAACCGTCGTCTGCACCTCCGTCGTTCTCATCCTTCCCATTCTTTTTCTCCTTCGCCAGCACCTCACGCATACACAACACCAAAGTCAATTCCTCGCCATGGACCCACAAGATCTTAAACGCTGGGTCTCCGACACTTCCATCAAGGTTCGTTCACAGAGTTCAAACCTTTTCCGTCCTTCTCTCGCTCTTTGTCCTATAGTCGTCAAAGTATCTATTCAGTCAACCTTTTCCTAATACTTACAGCCGTTCCCCAATTACTTTATAGGTGCTTGGAATGTCGGACAACACAACTCGAGACTTTTTGATTGCCTGCGCACAAACCGCAAAATCGCCTGCAGATCTTCTAAAGTCCTTTGGGGCTATGGATATCCCCACTAACAGCAGGACCCAATCCTTCGCACAGGAACTCTTCCAACGTACGCCTCGAACCCAGTCCTCACGATCCTTCACAAAGTCGGTTACTGCAGGGGCTGGTGGCACAGGCACTACTACTGTCTTGTCGGCGTCGGAGGTCAAGAAGAAGCGCAAGGAGGAGAGCGCTAATTTGAGGCTTCTGGAGATGAATGATGCGTATGGACTGATCATGGACGAGGACGATAATGAGGAAAGCCGGAAGAAGTCGAAAAAGTCAAAGAAGAGTTCCAAGGACAAGGAGAAAGAGAAGGATTCGTCTGAAAGTAGTAGAAAACGGGATAAGAAGATCAGGAGGAAAGAAGGCGGAGATGATGCGTGGGAGAGTGATGAGGAAGAAAAGGAGTACAGGCGGAGAAGGCTGGAGGAACTCGATCGGGAATCCAGACCCGCCAAGACTGAGGGTAAGACGCAGGAATAGGATCCTGTATCATGCAGCTGTGTTTTTATATCTTGCATGGTTAGCTCGTTTCTATGCACTACTGTATCTAACGCAGGTATTTACGTTTATATTATGATATTATTTAGAGGAAATCGAAGAAGAACGACTGGAAAAGTTACGGGAAGAAGACATCAGGGAGCGCGACGAGTTTGCCAACCGACTCAAGAACAAGGACGAGGGCAAGACCAAGAAACTGGTGGAAGACAGGTCGTCAAAGTCTGACACTCGCAGGAATCTCGCTGACGATCCCGACGCCAGGAAGGCAGCACTCCCCACATTGCGCGAACGCGCTCGTCAGGAATACTTGGCCAAGCGTGAGGGGCTCCAGATCGACAAGCTCCGGTTACAGATCCGAGATGATGAGGAGTTGTTTGATTCCAAGGATCTTACCAAGAAGGAGCGGGAGGAATTGGCGTATAAGAAGGAGCTGCTTAGGCTGGCAGAGGAGCGAATGAATGTTGACGACCGCTATGATGGATACCATATGCCGGAGGATTATATTACAGAGAAGGGCAAGCTGGACAAGAAGAAGAAGCATGATGCTTTGTACAAGCGGTATGAGGAAGAACCCGGCGAGAAGTTTGTCTCGGAGCAGGATCAGTGGGAAGAGCAGCAGGTGCGCGCAACACGACAGCATGCCACACGGAAATCGGATGTCAAGGAGGGAGAGGAGATGGACTATGAGTATGTCTTTGACGAGGACAACATCGAGTTCATCATGGATCAGCAAGAAGAGACCAAGGAGCGACAAGCTGAGGAACTGCTGGAGAAGATCAATGAGCTTGAGCGCAAGGAGATGTCGATCAAGGAGGTCCGAGAGTCGTTGCCGATCTACAAGTTCCGCCAGCCATTTTTGGATGCCATTGCCCAGTATCAGGTCATGGTTGTGGTGGGACAGACCGGTTCAGGAAAGACGACTCAGCTGCCGCAGTATCTCCATGAAGCAGGATATTCCAGCAAGGGGCTCAAGATTGGATGCACTCAACCTCGTCGTGTTGCTGCTATGAGTGTCGCTGCCCGAGTCGCCGAGGAGATGGGAGTCAAGCTTGGATACGAGGTCGGGTACTCGATTCGATTTGAGGACTGTACGAGCGAGAAGACGGTGGTCAAGTATATGACGGACGGAATGTTGTTGCGCGAGTTTATGAGCGAGCCCGATCTGGCTGGTTACAGTTGTCTCATTATCGATGAGGCTCACGAACGGACGCTGCACACGGATATTTTGCTGGGGCTGATCAAGGATATTGCGCGATTCCGACCAGACCTCAAGGTGTTGATCTCCAGTGCCACAGTCGATGCCGATAAGTTTTCAGACTACTTTGATGGTGCGCCTATCTTTAATATCCCCGGACGGACATTCCCGGTCGAGGTCCACTACACGACATCGCCCGAGGCCAACTACCTTGCGGCGGCGATCACCACCGTCATGCAGATCCATATCTCACAGGGACCCGGCGACATCTTGGTCTTCCTGACAGGTCAGGACGAGATTGACAGTGCGGCCGAGAACCTACAGCAGACATGTCGAGTTCTGGGAGACCGGATTCAGGAACTTATTGTCTGTCCGATTTACTCTTCGCTGCCGTCGGATATGCAGAGCAAGATCTTTGAACCGACTCCGGAGGGATCGAGGAAGGTTGTCTTAGCGACTAATATTGCTGAGACTTCGATTACGATTGACGGTGTCAAGTTTGTGATCGACCCCGGGTTCTCCAAGATGCTGAGTTACAACCCCAAGACTGGCATGGAGTCGTTGGTGGTGACGCCTTGTTCGCGTGCGTCGGCGAACCAGAGGAAGGGCCGTGCGGGTCGTGTGGGGCCTGGAAAGTGTTTCCGACTGTATACAAAGTGGGCTTACGACAACGAACTGGAGGAGCATACGGCACCTGAGATTCAGCGGATCAACCTCAACTCTGTGGTTCTGACGCTCAAGTCTCTGGGTATCAACGATATCATTGGATTCGAGTTCATGGACCCACCACCAGCGGAGACGTTGATGCGAGCGCTGGAGCAGCTGTATGCGTTGGGGGCTCTGAACGATAAGGGCCAGTTGACGAAACTGGGACGACGTATGGCCGAGTTCCCTGGAGACCCGATGTTGGCCAAGACGATGATCATGGCGGAGAAGTATCAATGCACGGAAGAGATTGCCTCGATTGTGGCGATGCTCTCGGTCCAGAACGCGATCTTTTATCGACCCAAGGACAAGAAGCTACATGCGGACAAGGCTCGGCAGAACCTGACAAAGCCCGGAGGCGACCATCTGACGCTGCTGAATATCTGGGACCAGTGGGTGGAATCGAACTACTCGATCCAATGGTGTTTCGAGAACTATTTGCAGCACCGGTCGATGACGAGGGCGCGGGATATCCGGGACCAAATGGTGGGGCTGATGGAGCGGACGGAAGTCGCGATGGTGTCGAACCCGAACCCGAACGACACGTCGCCGATCCGCAAGGCGATCACGTCCGGGTTCTTTTATAACGCGGCTAAGTTGACAAAGTCGGGGGATTCCTATAGGACGGTCAAAAGTCAGCAGACGGTCATGATCCATCCGAGTAGTTCCTTGTACCAGGTCAATCCCAAGTGGGTCGTCTACTTTGAACTGGTCCTTACCAGTAAAGAGTTTATGCGAGTTGTCATGGAGATTGATAGCGCCTGGCTCACCGAAGGTATGTTCTCGCTTCACTTTCTTTTTGTTGTTAATGACATTTTTTAGTGTGCAAGTTGTTGTTGAATGCGGTTCTTTGAAAACATAATACTAACATTCAAGTCCTCGTTTCTTGTTGCTTCGTCCCGTTTGACAAATAGTCGCCCCGCATTACTACAAGGACAAGGACCTGGATGACGAAAGCAAGAAAAAGATGCCCAAAGGTCAAGGCATGGCCCGCATCGCTCCTCCACCATAGTCCCTTCGCCCCCTCATCCGTCTTCTCCAACTTCCCATTAAGTTGGACTAATTATTTGCTTCTATGTAAACCTACTCCCACCTCCCACCATTGCAAAGTAAACACTGTAAATCAAAAATAGCATACAAAGCAAAATGTACCGTCTGATTTATTTTTGTAGATGCTGAAAGCTGAATCTAGGGGTTGTCGGAAGAAAGAGATCTCTGCCTCACAAAAGCTTCATCCGCGTTCTGGAACTGATGATGCTGTTGGTGCTGGTGTTGGTGTGATGGGTGCTGTTGGCGCGGGCTGTTGGCATCATGGTGTTCTGAAGCACCACCCGACATCAACAGTGGACCGCCCCGATCGAGGGTATGAGGATGGTGAAGATCCTGAGGTCCAGGACTCAGATCTGGTGTCCGCTGTTGAGGGAGCAACTGCTGCTGCTGCTGAAGATATTGATGATGCGGTGAGGAAGGATGTGGGTGCTGGGCGGTCATATTGGACGTTGAGCGGATCCCCTGTGGAAACTGCTGTTGTTGATGGTGGTGACCCCCCGCAGGTGTTGGCGAAGATCCCGCGATCCCTCCAGAAGAGCTGCCAAGGCTCCCGACAGAAGGCGAACGACCATTGAACAATTGACTGGTGGTTGTCGAAGAAGATGCCAAAGTCGGGTAAGGCTGTGATCTCTGTAGCGACTGAACCGCAGAGATGGTTGATCGATCCACCAATGGGTTATTGTTGGATCCTCGGGAGGACAGACTTCCTGTTGATGACGCTGCCGCTACATCTGGCACGGACGATACCGACGACGAGGTCATGGGTCCGGCATGAGAGTCCGCAAAAGGCGTTGATGCCTCGGACAAAGAACTGGGCAAGGATCCCGTCGAATGAAACTGCGGTGGCAGATTAGATCCATTCACCTGCTGGACGATGGCGTGATCTACATTGACGGAGTTCGACGGGAAGGTGTAGGGCTGTTGTTGTTGTTGCTGTTGTTGTTCTGTTGAGGTTTTTGATTCTAGTGCTACTGGGCCACTATCAACGATCATTGCCTCTGTGGAGCTACTACCGTCATTGACTCCGTTCCTGTTGTTGCTGCTGTTGCTTAGGGGTTCCTGAAGATCCAGCATGTAGTTTGGTGGGTCCAATGGAGGAAGGGCCTTGATCCGCCGTTCGATCTCCAAGAAGAGTGTGTTGTACAGCCGTGGAAGCGACTCTGACAATCTTTCCGATGGTCGACCTAAAGCAAATGAAATAAAATCACGAAGCATATATTGGTCAATATTTTTGAGCAGAAAAAAACACGGCGTGACATATGAAAAGGATGATAGTTCTTACCAGATCGGACAATGTTTCCGGTCCTGTTGCTCATCTTCTGGTTGACCCGTTCCCAGACAGGGTGATCGTCCGCAACAACCACAAACGAATGGTCCATGTACCAATTTGCCAGCCTCCTGGTCACCATCGGAACAGCCTCATCTCCTCCGGGGACCACAACTGCGCAAGAGACATACCGCGCAACATCCTTCTGCCTCTCATTCATGAACGAGATCATACTGTAGCATCCAAACCCAGTTGCCAACAGCACGATCCGGCGTGTGTCTCCCGTCATGTACACAAAGTTGTCCCAGATATCACACAAAAGCTCTGTCAGTTTATCCTTGAGTGGCTCCTTGTCATCCTCGGTTGCAGGCTGGTATGGTACCACAATGTCGATCAACTCGTTTCCTGATTGAACAATCCTTTCTACGTAATGTGCGACAGTGTCCAGCATCTTGGACTTGTCCGGCCGAAGAATGTTGTTTGCGCCCATCGTCCGGGCACGGAACTCACCACTATTCGACGGACAGACAAAAAGCTATCAGGTTAGCGTCTCATATGAATGATATGAACGACACACTATTCTCTAGCAGCACACCCGATAACAACTTACACGTTATGAATAAAGATATATAATGGCTTGGTAGAATACAATTGTTGGCTATGTGAAGTGGAAATAATGATATATATTAGCGCCGTCGACATTTTTGAATGAATTTAGGTTCAATTGCAAAGAAAGAAGTATCACTTACGTGCAATGGACGTTGTCAAGAAAATCTGCGCCGTAAGATGCATTCGAGATGGGTAATTTGAGCATGCGATGCTCCTTGTACAAAAAGTCCGATCTGTACACTCCCAGGACCTTTGACAACTCGACCACATTCCAGCCTTCTTGTTTTTCTACATGACACGAAAAAGATAAAGAGAGGTGTTAAAAACCATGTTGCCAGTAACCAAAGTAAACGGCCACGAGCAAGTATCGTGTCCTGCCAAGATGTTGTACCTTCAGTAGGGTCAATAAAAGTGGGAGTGATGCTCCTCCAGTAGCGCGACTGAACTTCCAGAACCTCGTGAATCGTCTGAATGCAGGCGGGATTGGGGATGATGCTTCCGAGAGCAGGGATAGGGTCGCTGAGAAGGGCCTTAGTACAGGCGAGTCCTGACACAGCGATCGATTCCAGGTTGTATCCGCCCTCGAGCGCCAACACAATCTTGCCTCCTGCCAATGACTTTAACATATGTGTCATGTGTCCATAAGCAGCCGGTGATACCAGGTTCTCTCCAATGTGATCGCCTACAGATGTTTGACAAAGGTAAGAATAAAGCAAGTATTAGGATGAGACCCTTAGCGGACTAAACAACGGCAGTGATTATTTTTTTGATTTTTATGTCCATACCTGCGGCGGCGTCAAATCCTGCACTGACGAGAACAAAATCTGGTGCGAACTCGTACACAATCGGCATGACGACCTTGTGGAATGCATAAATGTACTCAGCGTCGCCCATCCCGCTACATGGCCAAGGGATATTGATGTTCCTATGCGAGATTTCAGGTAACAGATGTCAGCGCCAATGATAAACGTACTATAAATGTCTGAAATATCATGCCACGAATACATGTAAAAGGGAACTTACTTTCCGCGACCTTTTCCAACACCAATCATATCCAGCGCAGCGGCAACAGGATCGCCAGGATAGAACGTGCCGTCGTCGTAACGATGGATCGAGCAATACACCACGTCAGGGTCGTCAAGAAAAGCTTTTTGAGTTCCGTTGCCGTGATGAACATCCCTGGTCGTACATAAAAAGAACGCGACGGTTAGGCATGAAGTACCACATCATTACATACCGTCACAGTCCGTATATCATAAAATTGGCGAATGACACTCACCAATCCAAGATAAAGATCTTTTTCAGTCCATGTTCTTTCTGCAAGAACCGTGCAGCAATGGCGACGTTATTGAAGAGACAGAATCCTCCCGCTTCATCAGGTTCAGCATGATGTCCTGGGGGTCTGACAATCGCAACACCGTTCAAGACCTTCCCGGTGGCGACTGCTGAGCACAGTTCCAACAAGTTTCCACAGGAGAGGCGGGCACAGATGGCTGATTCTGCACTGAGATAGATACTGTTGTAACTGTTGGCGACATCTAGTAGCTGCTCCCTGTCCATCTCTATGGGAAGGTTCATATTACATAGAAAGCAAATCGGACTATGTTAATTATTGCTCATTATTCGTTAAAAAACGCATAGAATCCAATTAGGAGAACACATACTGGCAGTGTCGGTGATGGTTTGAATATGCTCTTCTGTGTGGACAAGCCCCAATTCTGCCTGTGTAGCCTCGCGTGAAGGGAGTTTGACCATCCGAGTCAAGCACCCTGCATTCTTCAGCGCCTCATAGATCTTCCAGATGCGCCTTGGGTCCTCGGGGTGATCATTATCTCCGTGGATGTTTTGATGAAATCTAATAAAAAGGCAAAGGGAATAATTAAACATTTGAGATTGCCGACCCATGTTATGTATGATCACGACAAGGTCTTGTGACAACAACGAACACCTTTTTGTTATTATTTCTCTGTACCTCATTCTGACGTCGTAGACGTATCCAGTTTTGGTGCTCCTGCCGTCAATGGTGTCTGGCTGAGGTCTGGGTGTTGCAGTGGCAACAACGGCAGACTGTCCAGACATAGGGGTCGAGGGTCCATCGTCTCCAGTCTCGCTGGATGTGGGTACTCCTGCAGCAGTGTATCCTGGCGACAATCCATTCTCAGCTGTCTGCGGCGATGGCGATAATCCTGTGGCAGTAGTAGTAGCAATGATAGCTGGTGGGTCGGCATTATCCGCAACGGCGTCCGTGACGATGGTGGTGTTAATGGGCTCCGTAGTGTCTACGTCTGTCATGACTTGTTCTGTGGTTGAGGGTTCGGTGTCTGCGGGTTCAGTATCAGCGAGTTCGACATCAGCAGGCTCAGCATGGTTGAGCTCGGCGTTGGTGAGTTCAGCGTCAGTGGGTCCATTATCTGTGGGCTCGGTAGCGATGGGCTCGGCGTTGGTAGACTCAGAAGCTGCTGCTGATGGTTCGTTGGCATCAACGACGGTGTCCATGGTGTTGGTGGCAGCGGGTTCCTCTGGTGAGATATCCATGGACATTTCGATAGAGGTAATAACTCCCGATGACTCTTCCCTATCGCTTCCAGTTGTGTCCATCATTTCCTCGGTGACCCCTCCGTTTGTTGGTGCCAGTTCTAAAAATAATACACAGGAGGATGGAATAAAGGTGAGTGATGGTAGTCCGTAGGTTGTAGGTGCGCGCGTGAGTCTAATTGATAATAGTAAAAGTTATAGGCAGTAGCCACGTTGTGTGTGTGTGTGTATGTGAGCTTCGGAGAATAACAATAAAAGGAACGTGAAGAGAGCGACCCTTGGCTTACGCCTACGCCTACGCGTGTTGAGTCAGTTATCGTAATGATCAGTATTGGACTCGACAGAGGCGCGAGGTTTGAGTCTGGGCGTGTGATGGTTGATTACCATGGCTGTCAGAATAAGAGATTTCTTGCATCAGAAGTTGCTGTTCTCGCTGGGGTGTAATCCTGTGTTGAGTCCTTGGTGTGTGAGGAAAGAGATGGAAGCGATGCCACTACGCGGAGGATGGCGCAGATCTGGGGAGGGCGAGAAGGGCGATGTTGCGAGGGTATGAATGCAGCGTTTGGAGATGGCAGAGTCGATGAAGGAAAAGAGCGATAGTTGTAAAAAAAAAGCACCCTGAAGGAGATGTTGAGGTGGGAAGAAGGAAGGAGTGAGTGAAGGGACTAAAGGAAAAGAAAGAAAGAAAGAAAGAAGAAATGGAACAAAAGGTGGTCAAGGAATGGGAAGGGGTACAGTTTTCCCAGCGGGAACAAACGACCGACGACGACGCCATTGGAACCCCGCTTTGGTGCAGGGGCAGAGAAGGATATCTACGATCGCTACACAGCGATAGCACAGGAAATCATCCTTGTCGCACATCTAATTATTTTGATCAAATGTATTTCTGATCCCTCACTGACAGATAGAGCGATCAGTGATGGTGCCTGGATGGCAGCCTTGATATGTAGGAATCGACCTTCTATTGGTTGTCGTTCTTCTTTTGGGAGAGAGAGGGATAGATGGAACGGCCCTTTCTCGCACTCTCACATTCAAAACACTCCAATCCACTGCAAGGAACACAAGCTACGCCCACACAGAGACATTCCTTTTTTACTTTCAAAGAGTGAGAACAGGATTGACAGACTTGACAAGATCCAGCCAGGCAGCCTCAATCATCGGCAGCTTGACCCGCTCAAAATTCGACACAAACTTGTTCAAAAAGTTCACCATCGCAAGCCGCAACCGAATCTCCGCCGCCGACGACTTGTCCCCCACCGAACCTGCCACCTTCTCCTCTCCACCCTTCTCGACGTCCTTCTTATTGTTCTTAATATTGTTGCTGTCATTGGCCTTGTCAAGCGTGTCGCTCCCTTGGACCCCCTTCTCCTTCCTGTCAGACGGCACACCCACATTCATATCAACATCCTCAGCAAGAAGAACAAAATGCTCAACCAACGCCAAACACCCGGCCAACATCCCCAACCATCCGGGGACCAACGGTCTCATAGCCTCCAACTGCTTCCTCGACCGCGACGATAACTGCCGTTGCCTCTGTAACTCCAAAAAGGTCCTCATTTTGGTCGTCACTTTTTCGGCCGCTGCTTGGATACTCTGCACAATCAGGATCCATGCTTGCATGTTACTCGCCATTCCTTGTATATCCCCTTCCTCGTTATTGATATTGTTGTTGAGCGGCGGTAGTTGTGCGATGGGGTTGGTTCGAGTTGCCCAGGCAGAAAGACATATCCGGATCCGGTCCTGAACAGTAAAAAGGTTCACATCTGCCTTGTCAAAATTTGCCTCGCTCGAGAACACGACTGACAACTTGGGCTTCAATCGCAAAATGATCCACTCTGTCTTCTCGTTCGTTTCCACGGTAGCAGCAAACCCCTCGGTAATGTCATCACCAACAACCCCAGCCTCTGCTTCACCCTCCTTGCTCTCTGTATCCTGCAGAACGGCACCGGGGTACTCCAAAAGTACACAAAACGCACGAGCAGTCTCCTTCCTGATCGCCGACCACTCATCAAACCGCCGTTCAGTATACATCCGCATCCATTCCCGAGTCTCCTCCGCCACAGCCTCACACTTCCCAGGAACAGCTGTCAAATCCAGCGTCAAAAGGAAGACAACCACCCCAAGGTAATAGCCGAACCACGGTTCACTCCTGATGTCGGCTGTGAAGTATACGTTGTTCTCTCCATGGCTCGTCCTGTCCCGAAGTCGGGGTCCTAGCGCCGCCAAGAACAGATCCTGCAGCAAGTTCTATTTTGTATAAAAGAAAGCAAAGGAGTTGTTGGTGATCAGAGTCTGATAATACAACCTTGAAATAGATCGATCATCCATCTGATCATGTAAATGCTTGTTACCGTGGCTTGAGGCCCAAGTTCAGAAAACAGCCGATTCGGGATCGCGTCCGGCGAGTACTCCTTCAAAGCCTCCGCATCAGATTCAAAATACTCTGCAGGGACGAATTCTTCCAGGATCACATCCAGTGTCAAGTAATACTCTCCGGCAACAAGTGCACACGTCCGATCCTGTTTGCACCTATTCGCACGCACATATATCAACCGCAGCCCATGTTCCAGAAGTGGCAGACTCGCCATCACAAACATGAACGACGATCTCTGTCCTGCTGTTGCTGCTCCTATGGTAGCCGGCTTCAGATGTCGCAGAGCAGAGATCCACTGTTCAACAGTTCCAATCGTCACAAACGAACTCTCGCGCACAACCGCCTCCAGCACCAACCTCACTTGATCCCAATCCTGATCCTGTCTTGCAATTTCTCCATTTCCTGACGAATCCGATATTAGCAACGGCAACTTCCCACCCCTGAAAGCCACTCGCTCATACATCGCATCAAATCCATCCAGTCCTGTCTCCGCTTCCTGCTGAAAATAATAACTGGTCCTGGGTACTCCAACTCCTCCATGTCGAATCTGCAACCCTGTTGCCAGTTTCTGTCGGACCCCCACAGCAATCGACATGGTTGTCACGATCAGCATGGCTCCATAGGCATCCAAAGGTATTTGATCCCTTGGTGTAATAAATCCATGCCAGAGTAGGTTCCGGATGTTGAGTGTTAATGGCGATCCCATCAAAGTCTTTATCACCCGGATCTACAAACGTTTGTTTCAAAAACAACAGGAACTATTAGGCCAAGGGGTATGAATGTGTGTTAAGGTATGAACATGCCAGCTAGAAGGCAGTGTAAGAACTGGAGTTCTTACCAGGGTGCGATCGACAGGTTTGGCGAGACAGGGCACAGCGACTAGATCCCGCACCAAGAATGGGATGAACTTGTCCGGTCCCTGCAACGTATAAATAATCTAAGGCAAAACAAATTAAACAGGTATATGTCAATGCTAAATATTTGCATCGTTCGCTTACACTGCATTAACAATAATACCAAGTATAATACACGCTTACATTGACGATCAATTGCTCGAGGACGGTAGACCCAACGAGCCACGCCTGATCATACTCCCCTCTCACAAAAGCCTCAAACCAAACCTCTGTCGCCTGCCTTCCTGTCGCCCCCAGCCAAGGTTCTAGCCCATCCACGTCATACAGATCCAACAACGCCCTCGTCGTTTTAGCAACACCATCACCTCCTCCTTGGATCTGCTGTAGGGTGAGTCGAGTGAGCTTCGACAACACGGACACACAGCTCCGCTGGAAGAGATCAAAATCCCTGGGTTGCGAGGCGGTTGGGATATGTGCCTGGACAACTGCAGGGGGTAGAGAAATATGCATGGCGTCCAGCAATATCAGTCCTTCGTCTGAGATGTATTCTGTTGGTATTGTTGATGCATAGTGGGTATTGGGGTCGTCTGAAGAGGAGGAGGGTTGGTGTTGGGTTGTGTCAAAGTAGACCAGGTCCCGCACGAAGGGAGGAATGAATGAGCTCTGCTGTTGTTGTTGTTGCATCTCCGCGTCCGAATGAATCCGTGAAAGTGAGTGGTAGTAGAAGTAATGAAATCACGTTAGGTGTCAAGTGCACCTAATGAGGGTAGAAGGTAGTGCGAATGAACAAACACTGAAAGGAGCGGAATTGAAAGTCATGATGGTACTCTTCTGTGGAGGCGCGGTTGGGGGATAGAAGTTGAAAGAAGGAAGACTAGCACGAGTCCCTGGAAACTCAATTGAATATCACGCATCTCATGTCCGCAGCAACTGCCTTTCGAGCTCAACGCCACGTGCAGATCCTTTTGTTTGTTAAAGACATGATCTCTGGTATTCGTTCCTCATGCCCTCGTCTTCTCGTTTTTTCGTCCGTTTCTTCTCTCCTTTCCCTGTTCCGGACTCGTTGCAAGCGGTAGGGGTGCGAAAAGGTAGAACGAAAGAAAGAAAGAAAGGAAGGAGGGAGGAAAGAAGAAGTGAATTCTTAGCGCCAGAAGGGCTACTTCATCTTGTTCTTCATTTTGGCTCCGTGGATATCCGGAGGTAAATGTTCCTTGACCATTGCGCGAACACCGGTAGCCGTAGCCATGGTGTTCCCTCTACCATCCACAAAACCATACGAAGGGCTTATTATTATTATTTTCCTTCTCATCAAGACAACAAACAACGACAACAACAAAAACACGGCCAGTCTTCACAACCTTTCTCACTTTTCTTAACGATCAATGAGACACACACTCATAGAAGGATGGGAACAAAAATAAAAAAGAAAGAAAATAAACGGCACTGACACCGCTACATCAATGTGCAGGCAGAGAAGGAAGAAAGAGAGAAACACAACAAGAAACAAGGTTAGGAAATCTTCCAATGTGAGGATGACTGGAAGTAGGTCTGTACTACGTTACATCAAAGTGAGTAACTCCTTGATACGATTCAAATATGATGACTATGAACAAAATATATATATACATACAAAAAAACACTCACAAACGCACGCGTGTGACTACTCGATAGACCACCGCTCAACCATCGCAGGAACAACAACAACCGGTTCACAATACAAAAGACTCCTCCTCGAAACCCGCTTCGGACCCTTTCCTCCCCCAGCTCCACCTCCATTGACTCCTCCAATTATACTTCCAGAGCTACCGCTAGATCTCAATTCAACCATCCCACTCATTCTATTACTTTGATGGTGATTGCTCAAACGCCTTCCTCCCGCTCCAACAACGCCCACATCACCACCAAGTCCGTGCTGAGAGTGCTGAAGACCTGTCGCCGGGACACCGTACCCTCCATTGACAGACGTCCGATGAATCGACGGAGTCACTGACCGAATCGTTCCCGATCTCCTCACGCGGTACTGTTGCACTAAGAAAAAAACAACAAATGCGCGAGGATACACAAACATTAGCATTTGTCCCTCTGCCTCGGGCCTAATATTTTCACTTCAAAAAAAGTTTCAACATTTCAACAGAGTCATTTTGTGTCGGGGGAAAAATGGAGGGGATAGCTTACTGGCTTCCTTGAGACCCTTGTTGAAGTTGTACAACATTACGACCGCATACACCAACGCCAGCACCGTCACGAACAATGTCAACGTAGCTATTGAGTCAGCAGAAGACGGAACGTTAGTCACTTTCCGCAGAAGTAGCAAAAAAAAACACAAAGCAAAAAAATAACAAATTACCGATCTGTGTGTCACTCACCAAAGACGGTCATGGTCTTGCGGCTAAAAAAATACGGATCCGTCGATGCATTGCCCGTCAAGGTCTGGTACAACGCCACTAGGCGGTATATCATGTAGGCAATCAAGAGCCCCAAACAACTAATGAACCCTCCCATCGTTACCTTATTCTCATTCCTCAACTATTCACCAAACAAAAAAGAGACTGTTAGAAATGAAAGTACAATAAGAATTGCGTCAACTTCCTATCGCAGAGGGGGTGAGACTTACGGCACAGAAGCCAAGGAGGATGATGATGCAGGAGAGAGGAATCGCAAAGGCAATTTCTGCCAGACCCTTCTGCCAGTGCATATCCGTCAATGCTGCGACTTGAATCGCATACCCGAGAAAGAAGAATGCGTCCAGTTTCAGCAGCGTAAACAACAACCTATACTCCTTCATCATTTCTACCAATTACAAAAACCAAAAAAAAAAATGCACCTATTAGCTTTACGACCAACATATAAACTAAAACACTGACCAAAGAAGCCACCCATGAAAGAAGAATAACGCTTACTTCTCAGAGAAACATCCGCGCCAAGTTTCTGGAAGACCAGCCAACCAAACTCAGAATACAACCTCCACGTCAACAGCGTTATCCCTAAACAGGCCGCAATCTGGACTCCGAGTTGCGAAAACAAAATCATCTGGGTCGTCCTGTCGCCCAGACCCTTTAACACCTCGGCAGGGATCCTGATATCTTTAATCAATTGGTCGTGTTGCCAGATCTGGAGTCCCGAGTAGGAGACCATGCACCATTCGAATAGTGTGAACGCTACCAGCTGTAACGAGTTCTTGTGTATCGCCTATGTTTTGTATTTGTGAAGGGGCGGTTAGTAAAAAAAAGGGGGGGGGGGGGAAATAGGGAAGAGAAACACGAAGTGGGGGTCGATAATTGACCAAGAACAATGAAAGATGGTTGACTTACGGCGTCCCAGAGGAGTCCAACAGCAAAGATCTCCGCCAAGATAAAGATGGAGTAATAAACAGTCAACGGTCGGAAGAACGAGATCTCATACGACATCCTTCCTTCTCCTGAACTTGCTGTAGGAGGAGCTGAACTAGTGAGACTAACAGTCATGACTTTATGACGGTGCAGCAGCACAGCCTCCAATGCGATCGTGATCAGCGCCAATATTATGGTCGCCATCAACGCGTCCCTTGCTGGCTTGGACGTTGGCAGCAACTATTGTAAATAACATATATAGAAAAGGCAGGTGGTAGAGAAAGCAAGCAAAAAATTAGGAAGATAACCCTAGTCGATCGACATAACGAAAGCACGCACGCACCAAATGTGCATGGCCCAAAATAACAAGCCTTGTTTTTGTTGTGAAATTCGAACTGAAAGAAAAAAGGAACTCACCCCTGCCTTGACGGTCTCCCAGTGTGGAACTGAGAACACATAACGTGGCTCCGTATCCTCATCATCGCCATCATCCTCAGCATTCAACATCCCTCCAAACTCCATCGTTCTATCCTCACCTCCACCAGCACCCTCTCCTCCTGCTCCAGTAAGGGAATTATTCAAATGAGCCGCCATAGGTCTAGACACCTGATACTCTTGCCGACACAGCTGCAGACTCATTGGTCGTGGTGGAGAGTTGAAAATCGACAAAGGCGAGGACGGAGATGGAGGAGAAGACGCCTTTTTGTTGAAATTCACATCCCCCTCAAAAGCCTTCGTCTTCATCGTCAACATCGAGGAGGAAGAAGACGAAGGGGACCCACTTCCAGGAAGTGAGTGGAAGCTATGACGGTTGTTCAGTGTCGATGGTGAAGATGTTGAAGAGGAAGGTGACGACAGTGTGTTGGAGGTAGCGACAGTAGAAGTCGGGGAAGTAGTAGCGGTGCTCGTCGTTGGGGACTCCAAAGCTCCTGTGGAAGCGCTCAAAGCCGTCGTTGTGTTGATAACAGTGGTTGTGTTATATCTACCACCACTGCTTCCTTGAGTCGAGGGTGAGGGTAATGACAAGAAAGGGGTGGCCGCAGAGGACGACATTCTCGAACGAGGCACCTGTGATGTCTTTGATGTCTGTGGTGTCTTTGGAGAAGGTGAAGGCGAGGGGGAAGGCGAAAGTTGGACGGGTGAAGTCGTTGTCGATACAACCGTGGAAGAAGAGGTGGAAGAGGAGGAAGAAGACAAGATGGAAGATGTGGTTGAAGAGGCGAGGGATCCAGAATAGGTGTGGTGGCGGGCTTGGTGAGTTAATTTCGCAAGTGTCTTATTAATGATCATGTCCGTCGGACTATTATTATCACAATTGCTGACCGTGCGCTGTTGCTGTTGCGTGGGGGATGCACTTGTTCCTGTTCCTGGCATCGCTGTTGTAGTTGTAAGAGAAGTCGAGGCTGCTCCGGTAACAGAACGAGAGGGGGGAGGTGGACTGCACTGGCCTTCACTCTCATCCATCAGATCATCCGTCGATGTCCGGTTCACAACCACCTTGCGTTCCCAGTCTCGATCCAGGGTACGAGGACTCTGCATATATCCATGATACCCTTCTCCCGAAGTAGCCGTCAGATCCAGATGGTACTCCCCCGTCGAGTAATACTGAATCGAGCTATGATCCTCGCTCCTCCGGTACTCATGCAAATGATAGAACTGCTGCATCGACTGCACCGAATCGTGCTGCTGGTGCCCGTAGCGACCATAGTTACTGTTACTGTTCTGCAGGTGCGAGTACCGTTGACTACTCCGATTACTCCTGCTCTGGCCATGCTCGTTCCCTGCTTGCCCGTTGCTATTGCTTTGGCTATTGCTGGTGTTGTACCGTGACGCGTTGGTAGGGTGGAAGGAGGATACGTTGTTGCTCAGTCGACGGGAGTGGTTATTGTTGTAATGGATCTCCTTCATAGCTCCAAGGATATCATCTTCGTCGTACTTGTTGTTGATGTATGTCCTGTCATGGTCTTGCTGATGGTGATGCAGACCATCGCCTCCTGCTGCTTGACTTGCAGATCCTCTTCGACTCCAGGGAAACATGGATCGTCAGCCGCTTATGTGTCGTAGGAGACGCTATTGCTGTTGTTGTCTGTTGTTATTGTTGTTGGTGGTATTATTGTAGATAAGCTTTGTTGTTTAGAGAAGTGCGATGCTATTTGCTAATGTTTGTTGTTTGTTGATTTGTTTTGTCAGAGGGTTGTGTAACGGTTCGTGCGTTGCAGCTGTGAGAGAGAAAGAAAAGTTATGTAAGGGCAAGCGAGAAGAAGAGTCGAGTGAGAGGAAGTAACAAGAGAAGAGAGGAAGTAACAAGAGAAGAGAAAAGAGAAAAGAGAAAAGAGAAAAGAGTTCAGTCAAGGGTCGTTGTTTGTTCCTGAATCAAAACGCTGTGTGGGGGAATGGGTTGGTCTCATTGGGCATCCAGGGTCCATCTTTTGTGGCAAGGGTGCAGTCGCGCGTTTGAGAGTGTGTGAGCACACAGGGACATGCAGGATAGGGTCAAGGTTCATAAGTAAGGAAACGCACCCTTGTTTTGGTATACTGACACTGTCCAGAAGAATTCGTTGTTTGTTGTTTATTGTTGTTCCTGGTGGCTCGAGCAAAAGGACGGAAAGAGAGCGGCGACGAATGGAGGGAGGTGAATGTGAATGAATGAATGAAAGTGAGAGAAAGTAAGAAAAAGGAATGAACCATCCCTCTTCCATGCTCACCTCATTGCAGCAATTGGCTACCACAAAACCTGCTCCTTTAACATTCACCTTGGCATTTGCCCTTTGGTTCTATCGCCCCCGTTTCCTTTTGTGTTTCCTTCTGTGCTTCATTGTTTTCATATTACACATTACACATTATTTCTGTATCATTTCGCCCATTGTTCTCTCCTACATCTCCTAACTCTCATTTCTTGACGTTCGTTCTTTTGAATTGTGTCTTTCGCGCCATATTCTCTACTCCTCTTTTTTCAACCCCTCTGTCCATCTGTTTCTCTATCTTACTTTATTTTCTCCTATTATTCGCCTGGTGCATCCTTTCCTCCCCCTCTCTAGTGTGTGAAAAAGACGAACATCCATTACAAGCCAATCACTCTGTTCACGCCGCCTTTCATCCCCACTGGAGAGCGCAATGGACCCCACCCACTTGGCCACCAAAGAACACAAGAAAATGGGGCAAAAAATTGATCGTATCTCGTGCAGACAAGGCACATAAGCTACAAGAAGGACTTTGTGTTTGAGCTCCATATGTCACATAGTCCTCCTGGTTTTTTCTTTTTTCAAGTAAAGATCCAGGAGCCACTTTTTTTTTTGTTGATGGCAAAACAGTACAGAGAGAGCGAGAAAAAAATATAGGAGGCAGGTAAAGAGTAAAGAATGGTACACCGTTTATCATACCATACTACACCACCCCTCAAAATTGCCAAAACCATTCGGAAGGACTCTCTTGTTCATCATGAAATATCTCGTTTTCGTTTTATGTAAAGGATAAGCGAATAGTTGCAAAATATGACAGGGCAGCATAGAAGATGGCCAAATATCTAACCCCAGAACTACTTCCTCCTTACATCCTGCATTCCCCCTCAGAATCAGACATAGGTAGAGACATCAAAGGCGCTCTTGCCGCCCATCCTCTCAACCAACTCCCTATCGATCCGATTCACAAGATCCTGCCGCCACCGCTTCATCTCTGCATTTCCTCCACACAACTTCCACCACCACACACTGACCTGCATCTTCAGATCAATCTGCCATTCCCAGATCCACACCGTCCCATATGCGATCGTCGGGAACACCACAAACGTCGAAAGCAGCCAGAACAAAACAATCCGGCCCATCGTCCAGTACTCCTTGAGCCATTCCCAGTGACTGACCCATGCGGTAAGGATTGAAGAGTAGACGATAAAACAGACCGGCATCAATGCCAACGAGACCACAATCTTCCATGTAGCAATCACATCTCGTCCTGGCCATCTCGATACTGGGAGGTACGACTGGAACGCCAACATTGCCTGCTGGCCCTTCTGGTTCGCAGCCCATGTCGCCAAAAGTCCGACGGGTCCAAAGAGCAGTGTTCCGGGGAGCGACAGCAAGAACAGGGCCGGTAAGAGGAACAATGCGGGCATGGTGAACAACAGCGCAACCGCAATGTGGGGCTCTGCTGTCAGTTGCCAATCCCGAACGCCGCTGTTGGTCAGGTGTTTGTCGTAGGCGTTGATGTCGCGCTTCAGCGCACCCATTGAGGGAGTCAAAGACAGTTGGGCGTATCCCTTGGCGAACCGGCGAGTGAGCTCCAGCTTTTGGGGTACCGTCAGCTTCTTTCCTGAGCCATAGAGTCGTCGTGTCGCCTTGTACAGGCGCAGCTCGTCATAGTTGGGGGCGTTGAGTGTCAATCCTTCAACTGCCGTATGAATCATCTGAAGCAGTTCCGTGCATGCTGTTTTTGACATATAAAAAAAAACCCCCCCCACACAAACACGTGTTAGTAAAAGCGCTGTAGAAAAGTTTCAACAAGCATCACAAAAATGATCCACGTGTACCTTGCTTTTTTGCCTCTCCGCCTTCACGGTACATGGCAACAAGATGGTCGGGGACAGTCATGGGGGATCCATAGTCTGCATAGAATCGGGATCGGAATCGATGGCGGTTGAAAAAGTTGAGGCCACAGGGTACTATCCGAAGAGTCTTGGACGGGTTCTGGGCAAGGTAGCCCAGGACCATGATGGTGCATCCGTACTTGAAGTCGAGCAGGTGATAGTCGTCGCTGGAGATACCCTCGGGAAAGACGGCGACGGTTCGTCGGTCTTCAAAATTCTGCCAGACGCTCTCGTAAATGACGGAATGATCGATAGGGTGAGAAAACGTGAATGTGCAGGGCAGGGCTGGGAAACGAATAGGCTGGGAGGAGGAGGAGACTACGGATGTCGAGGTGTCGTTGGTAGTGTTGGACGATCCTGAGGTACCGGAAGTACCAGAGGTGGTGTTCTCCCTCGAGTTGGAAAACGATGGTCCTGAGCCATAGTTGGTTGGGATTGGCGTACCGTTTCCTGTAGTTATCAGTTCGTGCGACAAAGCAGAGCCGTTGTTTCCGTGATTCAGCAGGTAGTCGTCCTCGCCGACATCGCCTATGACACTGGAACTGTGTGTTGTCGAGAATGAGGACAGTCTTGCGTTCATGTCGACGGGTCTTGTCGCAGCATAGACGGGACTGTGTCGTGTCGAGTTCATGGACAGGGATTTCTTCAGAAGCGGAGTTGCCTCGGTAGTCTTGAAGTTGGGCGGTGCCTTGACAGATCCTGGAATATCGGCTCCTGTATATGTCCCATTCTCAATCATATGGGCCAGATCGGTCGAGCCAAGAGCAGGATCTGGCGACTTTGAAAAGATCTTTTGGACAAACTTGCCGATGGTTCCCGTCGCACTGCTGGCCATGACGCCTCCGTTCTGTTGTTGTTCCTGAGCCTTGAGGGCCTCGTTGATGCCGACCCAGGTGTTGCCGCGCTCGACTCTGATCTTGAGGGATCCATGGCGGACAATCTTGCGCGATTTGATGTAGGCGATATCCCGTTCGGAGGTGAGGGTGGCGGGAACCCATTTGAGACCGGGCGCTTTGAAGGCGACCTTGTTGTCACTGACGATGGACTGGACGACGGCATAGCATTGGGTGATGCGGTTGTCCTTGTTGGCGTCCTCGAACAGGCCGGTTTCGATGTAGACTGTGTCACCTTCATTCAATTGCCATCCGATGCCGTGTCCCTCGATCGAGTTTCCGTCCTGGGATATAGTCACTGTGCTTGTTCCGCCGAATCTTTCTGCGTCCTGTGGCCTATTTTTGTCATTGAACAAGTCCAAAGTTCAGTGTCGTTAGTGCGTGGCGTCGTCCTGTGTGTGTATCAGTAGAGGTGGTGGACTGGTATGTATTCAAAAAGGGAGGCCCATGTCACCCCATGTGGGCACAGTCTCAGTCACGCCATTCTTGGCGCACTGAGTGTATCGAGCTCAGCCGGACATTGTCTTAATCTGCTTATGTCAAGGCGGCTAACCGTGGGGAAAAAATGACATCTTCAGTTCTCCACGGACAAAAACGACAAAGGGCCTGGACAATCCTCTCCTCTCCTCTTGGTCTGTACTCACATGAGCACAGTGCTGTCGTCTTGAGATCAAACACCTACTTCCTTTCTCTCTCTTTCACAAGAGCAAACACCAAAAAAAATAAAACTTTTTTCCGCTTATCGTTACATCTCAGCTAAGCCAACCCTCCAACCCTAACTCTCCAGCTCCAAAAAAAAAAAAAAAAAAAAAAAAAAAAAAAGAGAAAAAGAGACGAACCTTAGAACAGGAATGGCGCCAATCTTCCTCGCGATTCCACCGATGGCAGTTTTAAAATTCGGTTGCGCCATCAAGAACGAAATCTGCCCCGGGTAAGTAGCAAGGAGAGCTAGCCCATCGAGGAGGTAGTTTCCGTGGTTGGAGATGACGAGGATGGGTTCGTCTTGGGGGATGAGGTTTGAGTGAAAGGCGTCATAGTCCCTGAAAAAGATGTGGAAGAGAGTTCGGCAGAGGAGTTTGACGAATGAGTATAGGCCGGGTATCTTTCTGTGGACCATTCTTGCTCCCTTCTACTGCTGTGTCTTTTTTGGGTATAGATGGTTGTTATTATGGCGTTGGTGGCTGGTCGACTGGTTATCGTTATATATGATAGGTGAGAAAGAAGGAAAGTCGTGAGAGGGGTGCAGGGTTGGATAAATGTTGGAATGAGTGTTGAAACCAGGAAGCAAGACGAAGATGAAAAAGAAGTGAGGTTGCGAGTGAAAACAAAGATAGGGTAAAGAAAGGAAGAAAAGAACAAAGGTCGTTAAAAGGAAGGAAGGATGTGAAGGAAGGAAAGGAAGAAAAGAAGAGGACAAGTCGAACAGCTCAGCCTCGAGAAGAATAAAAAAGGGAAAGAGGGATGATGGAACTAAAAAGGAGAAGGTGGAGAACGTAATAAACCAAAGAACAAAAGGCAGGCATTTTTCTTCCGACCTAATCCCTTTGCTTATTACTTTCCTGTCTGCATTTTCTTTTACTTTTGTTGCCAATTACCTTCGCCAGTCGCTATCAAGACGACCGTTTTTATCTCTGATCCTTCAGTCACTGAGACAGACAAAGTCATCAGTGATAGTGTCTGGATGAGGAAAGGGATCAACCTTCTGCTGGCCGTTCACTGATGATACAAAGCGAGAAAGAACAAATCATCTTTCTCAGAATCCACTTCTCTTTCTACACCAGCAAGGAAGTAGAAAAAGAGAGGGCAGCAGAAGCTGAGCTGAATAAAAGAAGGCCACCAAGACCATGGCAAGCGTGTGAGAGCAATGTAAAACAAGAGTCCCTAATCCTTTTTTGCGGTGTACCTGTCTGTTCGCTCAGCCCATTGATGGACAGACAGCACAAACACAAACAAACAGGGCGCACCCACATGCATACACTACCCTCATCGTCACAGACACACCTAACACCCAACAGACATACAATTCAAACAGAGTTTCACCCACTAGCCCTCTTCTCGCTTCATTTTTTCTCCTTACCTTACCCTCTTTGGCATACATATCGACTACGACTCTCCTCTCTTGCTCCCACGATCTCACCCAAACTTCAATTGCATCATGTACCTATGGCGCTTTTCTGGTATCCACTTCTCCCTTCATTGAAAATGTTTAAATAGCTGCTGTCTCCGTCTTCCTAAGGATGTTTTATTATGTATTATTATTACTTTCGCATATTGGCAACATAATGGCCATGGTGTTAAAGCAAAGACGACAAGAAGGAGAAAAAAGAAACAATATTAGAGCTATAGGGAGGACAAAGACGTACACCTCCCCATGTTGCCTCATCATCAAATTAAATAACACTAAACGCTGCCCGCATCTGCGGCGTTTCGACTCTGTGTGTGCTGTTGTGTGTGTTGTGTGTAACAAAGACTATGTAAGAATTGTGGAGGAGGAAGAATGAAAAAGAAAAAAAATGGACAAAGATATGATGTGGAGAAGGAGAAAGATGTGCATGGTAAAGTAAACAACGTCCAAACTACTGGCCACTCCAGGCACCTGGATGGTGCAACATGAGCTCTCGCCCAAAGGTCTTGTCTTGAGGAAGTGTCATAGTTGTCGATGACAGATCGGCCATGCTGTTGCTGCCCCTCCGCTGCTGATACAATGCCACATCACTCTGTCGTCGTCCTCCGTAGTAGTAGGGAGATGACCCATTACTTGCTCCAGAACCGGTCATCATTATCACATTGCCATTTCCGTACTGACCAACCAACGCTTGGGTTTGCAGACTGGTCGCCTTCCGCGAAATCGTCATTGCCGTCGTCGGTGACATGGGCATCGACATCCCGGACATCGACATCCCAAACCCCTTGGCCATGCTCGAAGAAGGTGACAATGGCGACATCCCACCAAGACCATACCCACTTCCTCCAGGAGAGTGCAGACCGCCGCCGATTCCAGCCCCTCCGAAACCCGTACCACCGATCTTGGAATACGACCGCTGACGGACAAGGTGGAAATGGCTTCGTAGGGCGGGGACTTGACTGTTCGAGGGTTGGGGTCCAATATCGGTCATGATGTATTGGCGCAAGTCCGAGGTCCATTGGAAAGGGTTCAGGATGGGCGATATCGCGCCGCCGCCAGGAGATGACATGGCTGATGACGAGGAGGAGTAGGATGCCGAAGGCGGGGAGGATGATGATGCGGACGAGCAGGAGGCGGAGGAAGGGGATGATGGAGAGAGGAAAGATAGGTTGATTGACAGTCGGTTTGAGCGACCTCCAGCCTTCGTCATTGCCGCTTCTGTTGCTGTTGTTGCTGCTGTTGAAGACGGCGATGGTAGTGATGGTGATTCGGTATTATCGCCGTATGTCCACGACATGCTCTGCGTCTCGTCTTCAAAGCACCGCCCGTCGCTTTTGATATTTCTCTCATCATCGTCGTCGGCTCCGCTCCTAGTGATCAGGATATTCCTCCTCTCTTGCAGTGACAATGTTGATGCAAGCTGCTGTTGTGAGGAAGTCACTCCCTGAGAGATATCCTCGAACTCATCTTCGTCGGGGAACTCGGGGATGGTGTGGAGGGGCATGTTAGGCGACATCAGTGACATCGAGGCGTCCAGATCCATATCTGTTGCAATCGTCAAGGTGTTGTTGTGTGCCATGTTGGTGTATGTGGGTTGGATGTGGCCGTGCAAAAAAATTGGGTTTCTTGATGTGTCTGTTTGTGCCTGTTTGTCTTTGTCGCGCTCAGGCCAGGTGTGAGATATAAGAATCGGGTGAAAGGAAAAATGAGAACCTGTTTCGGATGCAACTGGCAAGAAAAGGAAAGAAAAGAGGGAAAGAAGAGAGGGAAAAAAGAGACGGGAAGGGAAAGAAGAATAGGGAGGACGAGGAAGGAAGGAGAGGGGGACTAGGAAGGAAGGATGATGTTTTGAGGGTCAGAGGGAGTGAGAGAGGAAAGTAGTGGGATGATGGATACAGTGGCGGATCTGGGGCGCAGAGGACGGATGGCGAAAGGAGTGGTCTGGTGAGTGACTGGATGACAAGGACCAATGATCTCTTTGGAGCAAATGACAACGGTAAGAGAAATAAAAGGGATGCGAGATGAGGGAAGGTGACAGTTGATATGCAAGAAGAAGAGAGAGAGAGAGAGAGAGAGAAAGAATGACAAAGGGACTAATGAATGGATGATATCGAGCACGAGAACGAAATGGATGAAAGAGAAGAGAAGTGAAGAAGGAAGGGGAACAAAAAGCACGAGCGGTCCTTTTATATGTTTGTAAGGATAACAAGGTATATGGATGGGGCATGGTTAAAATGTGATCTGACCTCGTGAAATGTCTCCAGGGCGATTGACCAGTACTTCTCCAGCTGTTTCCTTCTAAATGCTCATCCAAGCAGTCAACGTAGGTCCCATGGTACAGAGTACCATCTACCAGATCCTGATCGGTCTGCTGCTCCAAGAGAGAGAGAGAGAGTCCAATTGGTCTCACTTTCTCCATCCATATGCCCATGGACATGGGACCATGAAGAAGGTCGGGCTATCCTTCTCACTTTGAACAAGAGCGCCCGCCATCGACGAGCAAGAGAATCATGCAGAAACCAATAGAGGTAACAAGCGGGGATAGAGCAAATGAACACCACCCATCACTGCACCAAGGGTGAATCAGTAGCACGTCTTTGAGGGATCCATTGGTGTCTTCTCATCCTCTCTTTTTTTATCTCAGGTACACATTCACTCTTACACACCCATTTTCATCGCGCTTGATCCCAAGTGGCACCCATCATAGCTCCCAGATCGCTCAATTTGGCGTACTTTTTTTTGTTTCTGGTAAGCGCTCAACAAAAACTCAGGCTTGGACCACATCTCGTACTCATTCATATTCTCTCTCAATGCCTCCTTCCTCCTTCTTCATTGTCCTCAGTTTTAGTTATTGTTCCTTTGAAAACATAAAATAAGGATCAGCGCGTCTCCTTACTTCTTCCAAAGGCGAAATCAAACAAAAGCAAAAGAAAGGGCTCTACCATTGACACTGAATGAGCGAGCAAGCTTTGCACAAGCGAGGAGTGAAAAATAAATTCCAAAAAATCGGGCACCTATTGACTTTTAGGTCGTAATCCTGGTATGGGTTTATTGGGCATACCTAGGGAGATAGAAAGGCGAAAGAAAGGAGGAGGTAGATACACACCGTCCACCATGCTTCCTCTTCCCTTCAGACTCCTATAGTATTTCCGTGTCTCTGATCAAATATCACTCTTTACTCTCTACTCCTCACCGAACACCGCCATAAAGGTCCAGTTTTACTCAGCAGGAGAGAACAAACAAACCAAAGCTGACATCTTATTGACAGGAAACACTCCTGTCATCACCATGCCTGCAGTAAGCAAAGGGATGGTGGCTATTCTAAATCAATTGAAAAAAAAGGAAAGAATAGTACCAAGGGACCGACAAAGTGTTTGAAAATAATGAGCATCAGGACGACGAAATAGTGAGGCAGCCAGGCCGGCATTTTAGATATTTTGGGTAGGATAACATTAGACATACTGCAACGGTTGGCCGAGGCGTGGTTCCTAATATTAGCTGCCGTCTCTCATTCCTTTGCTTGAGATGGATGGAGAGAAAAGCAAGGAAGGTATATCAAATAGCAAACAGAAAGAAGAGGAGAATATATTCTTTGAGCGCTGCTGCGATTACGGTCGGGGTCAGGTGCGAAAAAGAAGTGTGCATGTGCATGAAGTAGCGCGCCCATTCACATTAAACGCAAGGCGGTCGATGCATTGATAAATGGGAAGATCGTGGTTCAAGCAGCGAAGGAGAGCTGAAAGTGTTATGAGCTAGAGGACCGGATGGCTGGACGGGATCCGTTTTTTATGTTTACCCATAAAATATTAAAATATCCGATGTGATCGCAAGCCATCAAACGAGCTACACAATTAACAATGAACATTGAGGAAGAGGATAGAGTAGGGAGGGAGTAAGAGGAAAAAGGGATACAAGCAAGAGATAAAAAATAAGGAGTTCCCGCGTGTAAGGAGGTACAACAACAGGAACTGTCCTCCCTCCAACCGTCTTTTGTTTCTCTTCGGTATGTGTATTACTACGCTCACATTAACTTTCAGCGACAAGGATAGCCAATGCAAACGATGGGAACAAGGACGGTGAACAAAAAGGATAGGAAAGGGGGGACAGAACTCCTCTGTTTCTTATTGAAGGAGGTTAAATGACCTTACAGAAGTTGGAGACAAATAGAACATGATTTGATATGTACCGGGCGGAGTGCATAGATTACACATGCAACTTGTTATTTGCATTGTCTGATACACTTCCAATGCTTCATATTTTCCCGTAGGAGAACATATCAGGGAGTAAGAAAGGACAAAACAAAGGAGACATACATGCCTTGAAGTTATGTTCGTTTTAGACGCGATATTGTCTAAGGTCAGGAAAAGAAGGCAAGCCACAATAATGCTAGGATGTTTGCCACCAAGTTGAGGACTCATCAGTGACCGCCAATGGTCGAAACGTCGTTCCTCTTTGACGCGATAGCTGATCGATCGATGAGTGGGTGATACGGCCCGAACAGATTGTTTGACGCAAATAAGTGAGAGAAAGAGAGGGTTAGCTATTGCCTGACGATCAGTGCATATTCTTATATCTCTTATGGCGCGCGAAGGAACGCTCTACCTTTTCGCAGATGTGAACATCGAGAACGCGACCCAACGGAACCCTCACACCACGTCTTCCTTATTCGCTCCTGCTCCATCCAATCCCTGCCTATCTGTTTCTCCACAAACATCTTCTATTGCTCACTTTTTTGATGCACGCTGACTTTTTCTTTTTCTTTTTCTTTCTCTTTCTTAGCCACCTTTTGCTCTTTCCTCGCTCCCTTCTTTCCTTCTTTCCTTCTTTCCTTCTTTTTCTGTCACCCTTCCTCCACCCCTTGCTTCACCCCTTGGTGCCCGACTCCCAACCAACACCACCCCCTCCCATACCTTGGTGTCATTCACCCTTCTCTTTCTGTCTCTTTCTCATACTCATTCACCTCTCTCCTCAGCAACCACACCTCACGTCACTCATTCTCCATTCCATCCTTGTCCTCTTACACACACAAAGAATGAAGCCAACCACCCTCCTGGCACCCATCCTCTTCCTCTCCACAGCAATGGCCTGGGGGAGAGAAGCCCCTCCTAAAGCTAACCCTGACGACTTTGTCCTTCCTGCCGAGGGGCGTCGTTTCGACTACAAGCAGTCGTTGAAGAAGCCCTTTACGTATAATAACGAGGTGCCTTTCTGGAAAAACCATGGAAGTAAGTCTTCTTTTCTCCTATGACTCGTGTTTTAGTTGCCATCCTGTGGAAACTAGCGTGAATAAGAAATAAGGGGGAGGAGATTCTAGCCAACGACTTTTAAACACACGAGCGGTTCCAAGGGCCTCTTGTTTGCTAATGAGACCTATTTCACGTCCAACGATACCACTTTCCCAATGAACAATAGATGCATTTGTAGCGTTGGACTTTGTTAGGTTGGCGCCATCGGTGCCTCGTCTTCGAGGATCAATGTGGAGATTGACAGCGAACGAGTACAAGGACTGGGAGGTTGACTTTGCGTTCAAGGCCATGGGACAGGGTGGTGTGGGAGGCGGTCGAGGTCTTGCGTTTTGGTATGCTGAGGAACGGGCCGCCGATGGACCTGTGTTTGGAAACAAGGACAAATGGAAGGGACTGGGCGTCTTTATGGATTCTGCTGATCCAGCCAATCAGGTACTTGCACACACTTGACTTCTCTTCTGTGGTTCTCACATATCGCCCTGCGCACGTACACACACACTCACGGAAACACTCGCACTCACACGAAAAGCAGCATGCAAGGAGGATGTAGCATTGTCGATTATGCTACAAGGGAAAGGGGCGTATCTTTTGTTGTTCTCTTGGTTACAGGGGAACAATATGTCAGTCATGTTACGCCTGTTGGTCCAACCAAATCATGCCAACTCAATTTGATGCCGAACTTTCTTGTCGCCACTTTCAGATTTCGTGTGAACACGAACAAACAAAAAAAAGCACCACACGAATGTATATCTAACGATACCTCTATCTTTTGTGATGCGCGTGCGATTGACGGGAATGGCAATAGAGAACACACCCAGTTATCTATGGCCTCACAAACGATGGGACAAAGGAATTCCCCTCAAACCCTCCTGCCAACAGCATTGGTGGTTGTCTTCGGGATTACAAGAACTCGCCTGTTCCCGTCGTCATCCGGGTCTCGTACATTGACAAGACGCTGAAGGTCTCGGTCGATACCCTCAACGCGGGCAAGAAGTTGATCTCGTGCTTCGAGCAAAAGAACATAGATCTCCCTACTGGATACCACTTTGGTTTCTCTGTAAGTGATCACGATACGTGTCATTGCGGGAACTACGAAAACAGTTGATACCTTACGATGTGCTGCTGACGCGAGTTTGCTTAATGTATACATTGAAAATAGGCAATGTCGTCAGAGACTGGTATGCCCGATGACCACGACTTATATTCATTCGAGGTGTTCGAGGTTAACCCTCCTCCAAGGAAAGGCGTAAGTGAGAAGTAATAACTGGCGTTTGTGCAAAGTGAGTTTGGATACGAATTTTTTTTTACTAATACCCGGTTCTTCATCCCACCTTCATAGGAACACTTGAGACCTCATGAGGCAGAAATGCTCAAGAAGGGACAGGAGGCCAAGGTCGACGAACAGGATAAGGCTACCTTCGAAGAAGTCCAAAAGATTGTGGCGGAGCAGGAACAAAAGCTCAAGGAATGGACCGATGGTCCCACATCTCTCTCTGCCGTAAGTTTTTCGATTGAGCACCCACTACCTGTTTCAAACGGAGTAAATTGCTATTGTTTCTGTGACATGGTATTAACGTGAGCGATGCATCTTCACTTGACAAATAGGCACAATTGGCGTCAACGATTGGAGATACGCAGCACAGGATTGTAGAGTCACTGAATATTATTCACAAAAGGCTGGAGTCATTGGGAGCACCAGTGCAGCCTGTAGAGACGACAGCCCAGAGTCTGGAGGAGATATACCAAAAGATCAGCACCATGGCGGCGTCGTTGCAGGCGATGGAGAGCGTTGTTGAAGGCCTGGTCAGTCATATCAGGACCCAGTCTGGGCAACAAAACTCGCCTGAGGTGACCAAGGTCTTGCATGAGGAGCTGAAGAACCTCAACAACAAGATGGATTACATGGATGTAAGTATTTGTCACATTTGTTTCATATTGATGTTGGTACGAGATCAATTGCTAAAATGTTATCGTTTTGTTTTCTGTGAATAGGTGCGTCAATCGACGCAGCATAGGGTGACACAGGAACGACTTTCGAGCTCTAGGTCGTGGGTGACCTATGTTGTGTTTTTGATTCTTCTCCAGGCGGGAGCAGCAGCGGCGTATTCCTGGTACAAGAAGCGCATTGAATTGAGCGACAAGAAGTTTATCTAGATGCTTGGTGGCAAAATCGAGCGCAAAGGAATAAAAGAAAGATCATGATCACGTGCAAGAATACGCGCTGGTTGTGTTTGTTGACAGATGGGTTTTTTCTCTTTGGGTCTCCTCCCCTCCTTCTCGCCTTTCTCGCGGTGACTCTTGTTTCCACTCTCCTCCTTTTTTTGTTCCTCTTCTCTCTCCCTCTCGCTCTCTCTCTTCCACACCAACACCCACGTTAAAATATTATTCAGCTTGCCTTCCCAAAACGGTACGTCTGCTAGCCCTCATGTCCATAAGTAGATGACAATTGTCTTCTCTTCTTGGGTCAACTCTCTCTCTCTTTACTTTCATTACACTCCCAGCACTCTCTTTTGTTACTCTCCCACACTACTCCTACAGGAAACACACACACTCTCTTCTTTTTTGCTCTTTCATTTCTCGCTTACATTGTCGAGCCTCTTAACAAAAGGGTAGCTCATCCTGGAAAACAATACAAAACGTACGCAGTTCACAACAACAACAACTCACCACAACAACCAAACAACAATGAGGACGAAACAGCAGGAAGGTTGCAGCAGGGAGTCTGCCTCACAGCAGCCTCATCACCTTGCTTCCAACAACAATAAGCAACAACAACAGGCTTGTTTTTTTTGTTACAAAGAATGAAGCCCTCGCAGCGATCGGCCTTTTCATGACGATCAAAAGCACTACGACGCTGGAGGTGCATCACAGTTCACGGTCAAACGATAACAAGAGAGGGAGACAAACAACAATCAATGAATTCAAAGCAGCAAACAAAAAAGAGTCGATGGCTCAGTGAATGACTTTGGGCTCGTTTTTCTTTCTTGACTGGGGGTCGCTCTTTTGTTTTGTGGCTGTACTTGGCACCATGACCTCACTATGAAAAGAGAAAAGCGAGAGTGCAGGAATGAGCAGAAGGAGAGTGGATGGATCTGCAGCGAACAAAAGAAAGAACTTGTTTTTATTGTCCTTTTTGTTTCCCTTTTATTGACCACGAGTATGCGGTATGAGTGGTGTGGCACTGGCGGGCGTGAACAAAGGTGGGTGAGAAAGTGGGTTGGGGATTTGATGTGGGAGGGAAGGCAGAAGCTCCTTCTGGATTTTCTTTTTGTTCAATCAAATGAAAAGTAGAAAAGCGGGCGCGGCTTTATTCATTCATACCCCTGCCTGCGGACTGGGCGATGAAGCTGTTGTTACTGGCAACTGCGTGTGGTTGTGGTGATTGTGGATGAGAGTATCCAGATCGCCTGTTGTTAATGTTGAATAGACTTTTTACTGTTTTCAGTTGCTTTGGTGTTTCCACCCTCCGTCAACCCTCATTCTTCCTTTTTGACAACTTTTTTTTATTCTCACACTCTGTTATCCTCCGAGCAAACATGGTGATGAAGAGTGAGGAGGACAAAAAAAAGTTCAGAAACAAAGGTCTTGTTTACATTGTCGCAGGTTATTTTGCTGGGCCAAAAAAATATATTCTCCTAACCATTTCTCACAGAGCCAAGATAAGAGGAAACAACTTTTGGGTGTGTGGGTGGGAGGGACTCTTCTTGACAAGAATGGAATCTCGTGCCCGATGGCACAGCTCAAAGAAGATGCAATGAAATGGGGTCGCCAGTTCATATATCCGTACTTCGCTCAATTCTCCCTAACCATGTATTATTCTTGTTCATTTCTCTTCATTTTGCTCATGTTTCTTTGTCTTTTTCTCTTTCTGTTCTTTCTAGACTATCCCATAACAAGCAAGCAAAAAAGAGCACGCAAAAGGAACAACCGATCCCCTACACCAACCCTTTTTCTTTCGACAACTTTTCGACTCTTTCATTTGCACCATGAGCGCAAAGAGGAGTCAAGCCCAGTCCATCGGTAGCCCCACCTCCAGCACAGGAAACGGAGAGGGCAATTCGAACGGAAGCGATCAGCACCTCGACAAAAAGTTCAAGCAGGTTCACGGCGACGGCGACGGCGACGATGACGAGGATGATGATGATGACGAGGATGCACCCAAGAGCGGAAAACGCGCCGGTCGCCGCAAGATCAAGATTGAGTACATCGAAGACAAGAGCAGACGCCACATCACCTTTTCCAAGCGAAAGTCCGGCATCATGAAGAAGGTAATTTGCAAACACCGGCAAGGATATCTCCGTTGTGTTTTGGTTTTGATATTCTTCAGGAGATGAAGATCAAGAGTGTAGATACATGGGGGAAGGAAAGTAAACTCTTTTTCTATGTGGCGCTGAACAGTCAAAGGCAGGAAGGCGGGATGGGCGAGACAAACGATATATTATATTGTGGTCTTTATTATATTGCATGCTGGCAGTTTGCACGGAAGTGTTCGGTGCACGCTTTCCATTGGTCCTGACGCTTCCGAACTACGCACCAAACAAATTTTGCTCACGTCATGCCACATTTTGTTGTTCTTTTTTTTCACTTGGTAGGCGTTTGAACTGAGCACCCTCACAGGAACCCAGGTCCTCTTGCTTGTTGTCTCAGAAACAGGACTCGTGTACACCTTCACGACGCCCAAGCTGCAACCTCTTGTCACAAAGGCCGAAGGAAAGAATCTTATCCAGGCCTGTCTACATGCCCCCGACAAGGAAGCCTCACCTGTAGGTTCCTCTTATTTCACTATTTGTGTGCTCTATGCAACCCTGTGTTCTCTGTTCTATTGCAAGGGCTGACATCCTATGCGATTATCGTCATTATATAGGAGGCTCCCGATCAAGCATCTCCAGAGGCAACACCAGCACCCGAATATGAAGATCCTCAGGCGGCGACCCCTCAGAGTGCACCAGGAGCTTCCCAGGGGCAATCTTCGCCCCCTCAGCCTTCACCCCAACAGCAGCAGCAGCAATATCAACAACAACAGCAGCAACAGCAGCAGCAACAACAACAGCAGGCACAGCAGGGACACCCTCCACCTCCACTTCAAGGGCAGCCTTCGGGAGGATATGGAAGTTCGTCAGCGATGAGTGTGCCCAGCTATCCTCACCCATACAGCCATATCCCCTTCCCCTCGCAGTACAACTACCCAACAGTGGGATTGCATTATCAGAACGCGCCACCTAATGCACCACCCAACTATGGCGGCAACCAGTACTGGTCAGGACCTCCACCTCAGCAACAACAACAGGCACCCCCACAGCAGACTCAACAACAGCAGCAGCCTGCAGCGAACACGGGACCTTCTCAAACGACGGCACAACTGAAGGGAGGACGTAAATCCGGGAAATAAGGCGCCTCGGTACGTGTGGTTCGGAAGTGTTGTACTACGCACGGGCGAATTATCATCGTCTATGTGTATGTCAATGCGTCGGTCATCACATCAACAATCGACAGCAACATCAAAAGTAACAAAAAGACAACAAAACAAGGACAAAGCAAGACAATCTGCAACAACCAGCAAAACCAGAAACGTATGTGTGTGTATCGCATTCTCACCATGCGTGTGTAATAACAAGCAAATCAAGAACAGTTTTCCATTGCAAAATAAAAAATTCACGGCAAAGATACAAAACGATGAGGCGGTGGTAAAAGAAGTTGGCGAATCCTTTTTAGTTTTGAGACGTGGGCTGACAGGGTGGTTTGAGTCGGACTTTTTTTTTTGTTGGGATGTTTCATTCTTTTGGTTGACAGGGAGGGAATGTGGCAGCGATCGATGGATGACCGATGGTTGCTCTCGCGTTGGTGTCAATTGCAGTAGGTAAGAGGGTGAGGTTCTTGGAGATTTCGGATGTCAGGCTGTTTTTTTTGTATATACAGGGAAGAATCGGCAATTGGTTTTTGTGAGCCAAATTGACCAATAGTCGTTTTTCCCATGGCGTAGGAGGAGAACAGTACAGTACAATATGTGTTTGTTGTTTATTTGTCTGGACATGTGCGGCTCAAAAGGGAACAAGGTTTATTTTCTTTAGGTGTTGCCACAAGGGGAAGAGAAAGAAGTGGATTCTAGAGGCAGGGCAGCTATTCGATTGGTGGGTTGTGATAAGGTATTGGTGTCCAGGGCTAGTGGAGTGTTCAGTACTTTTGTTTGCTGACATGCGTACAAGGGCTCATCAGTCCAGGATAGTTCTTACATTATGTTATGTGAAGAGACCTGGAGCCAGGTATGAATCAGGGATTATTATTATCATTATTACTATTATTATTATTATTTTCGTGCGTTGAGAAAAAGGAGGTGGAATTCTTTCGTTGTGGTTTAGTTGGTGGCAACGAACAGTAGATAAGATGTGGTCAAATCATTTGGAGTGGATGCATGATGCTGGGTGTGAGGGCATTCTTTTTCGAGGCCAGTATTTGCGTCAGGCAGGACAATAAGGCAAGGCAGGCTGCAGTTGTATCTGAAAAGAAAATCGCTCAAGGCAAACAACAGCAAGGAGAGCACGACGATATGAGGATGAGGTGAGGTATGAAGGTATTGTGTGTATGAGTGCGGCATTAATGTAAAAAAAAAACCTCATTTCGCAGGAGTCATTTCCGTTTGGTGAACCTGTAAAGAAGAAAGGGGGAAAAAAAAGGAACAAAGAAAAAGAGCTCATCCTTCCTAAACCCCGCTTACTATCCCTGTCGTTTTTTGCGCACTGTTCAGTTCTCATATGCAACCATTTTAGGGGGGGGGGGGGGGGGGGGGGAGGGAATAGAAAGTAAGGAAAACGACGAGAAAAGAAGGGAAGGCGTGTCAACAAAAGCACGCAATGGTCTTCGTGTGGTGCGCTACAGGAACGGCATGAATAGTAAATAACAAAGCGCTCTCACACTCCAAAGATGAAAATATGTAAAGATCGATGCCGTGCGCGATAATCTTTTTTTTTTTTTTTGTCGCGAAGCTTTCTTTCGCTTGTGCCGTGGTGCACGTTGTGTGTGTGTCTGTGTGGAAAAGGTTCAAATAGGCCCATCGTCCTTTCTTGTCTTGCTTCCTACTTTTCACTCACACTTCTTCTTCCTCATTCATCTTCCTAAGAACTCCACCTTCTCAACAAAAAAAAAGAGCACGCGCACTTACCTTCACTCCTTCTCATTCCTCAGCAACTCCCATTCCTTTTTTTTTCGTGCAACACTTTTTGTTAGCAATGCCGGCGACCATAGACCAAAAGCCGTCACACAGTGTAACCTCCGCTGGTCCTTTGCGGATATCGAGTCCTCAGGGATTAGAAGAGTCTCAATTCAACTACACCGACATCGAGCAACGGATACCCAGGTCTCTGGCGCCGTCGCCGTCGTCGTCGATCATATCAGCACCAGCCATGAAAAGAACCCTCGAGATCCCTGAGATCGTCCTCTTAATCCAGGAGCAGCTCGACCGTCCTTCCCTCCTGACCTCCCTCCGTGTCGCCTCTCTGTGGCACCAGGTTGGTCAGCATCTCGTCTGGCAGACCGTCGACTGGGACAATGCCACCTCCAACAACGCCGCTGTCGCAGGTGCCGGTGCTGACGCCAGGACGATCGAGGGGATGATGGTCGATAACAGTCATCGGATACGGACCTTGCGGTGTATGTTTCACTCCCAGGCTGGAACTAGCTTTGTTGACTCGTCGATTCTGTTGAGGTCCCTGTTGACGACGAGGGGTGGTGGAAGACGAGGAGGAGGAGATGAAGGGGGAGATTGGCTCAGGACGAGGAACCTCAGGACATTGTCACTCCGTGGCCACTTCAGTCTCCAGTCCATTGGTTATTGTGTCGTCAGCAGTATCGACACAGCGACTCCTCCTCCCTCTGCCCCAAGATACATCCCCTTTCGTATCCCAACCCTGGCTCACCTCGACATCCGGCCCTTCGTCAACTCTGCGGTTGACCTGCATCTTATCCTAGATACTGCTATTGGTCTCCGGACGCTGGTTGTCGATTCTCACGGATCCTTTGCCGACAGTAGCTCTGACCATCATACTCCTCAGGGTTCAGAGGCTATTATACCCGAGCACCATGTACACCAAGTTCATGAGTCGTTGGTGTCGCTCAAGATCCAGCACCTCAAGATGAGTCGTCAGGAACTAGAGGGTGTTGCTGCCCGGTGTCCGAATCTGGTCGAGCTCCAGTCCCTCTGTAGTCCGGCCACACTTTGGAGGTCTCCGCCTGGCTCTCAGCCACAGCAGCACCAACAGGACATGGAGTCTTTACATACGACACAACAGCAAAAAGGGCAACTCAACAGCAGGAGGAGTTTGGTTGGAACACTGGCGAAATCATGTCCCAAGATACAAAGATTTCACGTGGGTCTACAACAGGGAGGGTTCCACACAGACCTTGTCCATGATGCTCTGACCTGCTTTCCGAGCCTGGTTTCCTTTGGATTGCCGACCGCGGATTGTACGAGGGCCACTATGGATGTCATTAAGGCTTCCCAGCTCCGGTACCACTCATCTGCCACAACAGCGTCGCCACTGGGATCATGGATAGGCGGAATGAAGGAGTTGCCAGCAATGAGGGAAGGGGCGTTCCTGACGAGCCTGACGATCATGAATGTGAGCTCGAGCGAGAAAATCAGCCTGGCGTTACACGAGTTCTTGTGCTGGACACCCTACCTGAAGGAGTTTTATGCATATAATACGACACTTTATCTGGAGCATATGCAGTCAGCTGGAGCAAGTGAAGGAGAGGCTGTGGAGATGCTGGAGCCCCGTCCTGTTGTTGTAACAGCACAACCTGTTACCACAATGCCCTGTCAGCAGGAGCAGTATTCGTCAAGGAGACGAAGCAGTAGCAGCAGCAGTGAGCATATGGATGTCTACGTCCGTGCGTCTGAGCATGAGTCTGGATCCGATGAAGGCGTCGCCAATAGTCGCACAGGCGTGACTGTGTCTAATCCAAGTCTCGTCGATTCGCTTGTTGAGGCAACGACTGCAACACCTTCCTCCTCGGTTTTGTCGTCTACTCCAGTGGCAACTCCAACCAGTTCTACTTCAAGTAGTCGACAACAGCACAAGCAACAACAGCCGCAACGATGGGCGTGTACAGGACTGGAAACACTTGTCGTCCGATTCGCCCACCTCCCCTGGCGGAACAGCACCGAGCCCCCGAAACGATCCAAAGACACCTTTGCTTTCTTGACGGGTCTCCATAAGCTCAAGAAGCTGTGTATCAAGGAAGGGCTGATGTTGGAGGCTGGACGAGAGTATGATGCGTTGGTGCAGTTGCAGGGGTTGGAGGAGGTTGTGTTTACGACTTGTTATCCGATTCCTATCAAGCCTTCTGATTTAGAGTGGGTTGTTGCTGCAGGTCCTTTTTCGTCGTCGTCGTCGTTGCTGAAGAAGGTTGTTGTGAGGCGACAGAAGACGAATACGGTGCTGGATAAGGAGTTGATGAGGTGGTTTGAAGAGCGAGAGCGTGAGGGGTGTGGAGTCAAGTTGTCGCTTCAGTTGACGGATTGTTGTGAGGAAGAGTACCACTTTCCGTAGTTTATTTTTTGTTTTCGACTTTATTCTTCTGTTTGTTCTTTTGTTAGAGCAGCATTGCCAACTATGAAGGAAGACGATGCAAAATAAAAGGCTTTTGTCGAACAAGTTGGCCTGGAAGCTGTTTGTTTGTTTGTTTGTCAAACGAACTATGTACCCCCATCCACTAACTGCTTTGCCTTTTCCTTGTCACTCTATGTGTGTGAAGCTACTTTGTTCGTTTGACCCTCTGTTGGAGATGGAAGACGGCTTTGCCACCACGACCATCCATATCAACTTTTAAGCCTCGTGATATGTTCATCTCCGCTGCCTTTTGCATTTTAGCATAAAAGGACCTCGTGGACCTATTGTCATTCGTTGTTCATTCTTCCTTTTCCAATTGATCCATTGCCTCCTTCACCTCCACCAGACACATACGCAACACACCCGCACATACAACAAAACAATAACCAGTGTCGTCAACGACCTCCACACACTCAACCTCGCCAAGAACAACAGGCGAACGATGGGCATCCTCAGCTCCATCCTCAGGGTCCTCCCTGGGTTCGTGACCACTCCTCCCAAACCTAATACAACTCCTACTCCGCTCCTTCAAGTCACAGACACAGACGCGACTGCGACCACTTCACACGCTGCTGCTTCTACTTCTGCTGCTGCCAACGACACAACAACCAGTGCTTCCAGCGCGTCTTCCTCTTCCACAAGTGGACAAGAGATGACTGACTACAACATGGAGGCTGCCACAACTGCGGCAACAAGAACAGCCGATGCTGGCATGTCGCTCGCCCGCATTGTTTCGCCATTCGTTCACAAGACCCCACATTCAACCACCGCCAAGACCATGCACTCTACCCATCTTGCCTCACAACAAGACGGAACCACTTCTAAGGTCTTGACAACAGTCGTCGCAGTGTCAGGAGGCCTGCCCAGCAACAAGCGGCAGGAGAGCGACTTGACGACCCCTAATATCGAGTCCACGGTCCTTTCGATGGATTTGGATAAGGACTCGCGAACCACCACCACGAACAGTCACGAGGGCGGTGCCAAGAATACATCCATCACTACCGAGAATGGCGTCATGATGGTCTACAACACCAACAACAATAAGACTGCTCCATCGAGCGAAAAGGAGGAGGCGAAGTACCCCTTGGTCCAGAATCGCATGTTTGACGTCCCCGAGATCATCCGGTCAGTGGCCGAGTTCCTAGACAAGCCTTCGCTGGCAAAGTGCTGTCGAGTTTCGAAATTCTGGTCGACCCACTGTACGCCTCTTCTCTGGCGCCACATTGTCGACAAGCATTGGCGGTTCGGTCGGTTCTGCTCTTCGATTCAATCCCAGTCGCACTACATTCGGTCGATCAAATGCGAGGACTGGACCGACTATGAGGAGATGCTGCTCTGTCAGTTCCCTCGACTCAAAGGGATCGCCTTTCATGGGAGCAAGGAGTCGATGGCAGTTCGGGAAAAGATCCTGGCAAAGGTCTCCAATACGCTCATGTCTCTGGTCCTCAGCTCGGTCGCTTCGGAATTGTCTGCTGACAGTTCCAAGGCTATCCAGATCATGCATCAGCTCACGACCCTCAAGATCATCAACATGACGGTCAACCAACATCACCTCGCTGATATCTTGCGCCAATGCGAGAACCTCGACTTTTTGTCCCTCTCGCGCGTCCATCTGGATAACAGCGCCGCCATGCCGGCTCATGGCGCAGTCGTTGGCGGAGAATCAGGGCCAGGACTGGTGGTGGCAAGGAAGCCTGACCTCGAGGTTGTCCCTACGCGGATCAAATACCTGGCGATGAAAGAGGTCACCGTCTCAGCAGAGTATCTTACAGGAATGATCAGGAACTGTCCCAACTTGCTGGAGCTTTCCTTTGCCCGGAACGAGACCCTGGTGATCACGTCAGAGATGATTCGGGTTATGCAGAAGAGCTGTCCACGACTGTATGCGATCGACATTGGGTCCTGCAAGCAGCTCGAGCGGGAAACATTCACGCCACTTTTCACGACCTTGACCCAGATGACGATCCTCAACCTGTCGGGCACACGAGTTGGAGACGAAGACCTGTTGATTCTGGCGCAAAAGTGCAGGAGCCTTATCCGACTCGATATCCAGTACTGCACACAGATCTCGTCCAAGGGCCTGCACCGGTTCTTGTCACGCTGCAGCTCTACGTTGCGACATTTGGAGGCTTCAGGAGTGACGATCGAGCCAGAGTCGTTTGATGGTCGGGCTTGGACGTGTTCGAATCTGGAGATAATGTTTGTACACGTTGGACTGATTGGATCTTATGAGCCCTATATCCCGTCGACGGCGAAGGCTCGTGCTGCAGAGGCGGGGACAAACGAGCAACAGTCACAGGAAGATATCGAGAGCAAGAAGCGGTCATTGCCGATCGAGGTTGTCAACAAGGTCGACACTCCTGTCTCTCTTCTTACCAGGATGCTGACCGGTGTTACCACTGCCACCATGTCTGTATCCACACCCACATCTACATCTACATCCACATCCACATCCACGACTACCGCTACGAGCACTGCAACGTCAACGGACCATCATGGTCAGCGACACTGCAGGACAGCCGGTAGTAACAGCAGCGCAAGCGCCAACATCCATACCAGCGCAAGTACTGGCTGCAGTATCAGCCCCTCCAACATCAAATCATCAAAAGAAGCCGGAATTGGATCCAGATCTGCAACAAAGTCATCTGTTTCTCGACCAGGACGAGAACAAGACGGGGATGTCGACATGAAACACGCCCTTCACCCAATCCAGGATGTCAGCAACGTCCAGTACCTTGGACTGATGGGATGTGGACCCAAACTGAACCGCCACACGCCTTGTCCGCTGTTGAGCGGGTTCCGAACGATCAAGCGACTGCATGTACTTGGCCTGTACCAGTCGTTCAAGCAAGAGGATCTGGAGTGGTTGGTCGAGAGCTTGCCAGAGCTTTGTCGGATCGATGCTGAAAAGTATAACATTTCGGACGAGATCTTGGGATGGTTCCATTCTACCTACCCTCATGTGCGGATCTATCGCCAGGAATGAGCTGGGAGGAATGAGGGCGTTTGGGGGGGGGGGTGAATGGTGGAGGAATGTTTGGCCGGTCTCTGGGATATTGGAGCGTGTTTTGGCGAACCTCTTTGTATAAAAAAACAATAACATAACATCATCGTAGTATCTTTCATTTTCAATTGAACTCTGAAAAAATATAAGAAAAAAACGACCAGAAAATATGGCTTTGTTGTGTTGAGTGTAAAGGTGTCTGACGCGTTACAAAATCAATGCGCGATGCTGAGACTGAGAAGAAACATCAGAGCTAGGTATGCGATGCGACATTGACGCGTTGGTTTAGAAACGCTAATATAGATTATGTAGCACGAAAAGAATGTCTAAAACAGAGTGTGGCGAAGCAATCGAGGGAAGGAAATGTATACACATGAGGGGGTTGTTGCCTGATGGAAGTATAGGTGCTTGATGGAAAAGGGAATGAATGGCAATTTGCCTTGACTTTAGAGAGAGAATTACTTTACTACTCTTTTATTTGTTTGGCATGGGACCTGTAGGCAACCATACCAGAAGGGAGGAAGGCGGGGACCGGTGGTGGCAAAGGCAAGCATGGCGGTAGAAGAGTAGTTTCGAAGGCGCCTATTTTGAGCAAGCACACAAAGATGCATAACCAGCAATTGAAAATTCATCCATCCCACGACTCTTCTTACATCTGGTTGCGCCCTTTGTGTCTACGTTTACGTGGAGAGAAACTGGAAGACGAAGGGAGAACAGGAACGCTAGTATCAAAGGTCTTCTCTCAGTCCCGTGTAAAGGTGAGGAACAGATAAAACAGAGGCGAAAAAGGAATGACCGCGCCCTCTCAATTTATCGGGGTGAAGCATGTTAAGGATAGAGGCGTACCCTTTTTTTGTGTACACAAGCGTGTGTGGAGTAACAAAATTCGTGGAGCTCAGAGGGGTAAACCCGCGACTACCTCCAGGTTGCAGCAAAGAAAAGCGTGTGGGGATGCCTTCATGTTAAGCTCAACAATGACATTGATGTTGATGAGTGGGTCATCACATGTTGAAAACGAGTGGAAAGAGTACCTCTTTTCGTTTTGTTTACACAACATGAATGCTGGATAGAAAGAAGTGGGGCTGTTGTGTTTCTTCTCGTGTACTTACCCAGATGGTAGGAATCACTCACGCCTTGGCGATCAAATTCTTAGGTTCCAAAAAACACACGCACACAAGAAGAAGAATAAAACGATCATTCGTCAATTGCCGGAGTATGATGGGAGGGCTGAGAGCAACATCGTGAAAAACTGAGGGTATATGTTTCCAAAATCCAATACGTTTATTTTGACACTAAAGATAATTGTCCAGTGTTTCCAAGAGGTAAAAGGCTAACATGAAAAAGGGTATGAGGGAATTAGGGTGTTACTGCTTTAAAAGATTGTTTAAGCAGCTGGTGCTGCCTCGGGTGAAGGAGACACGACGGGTGAAGGAGAAACAACGGGCGAAGGTGATACACTGGGGCTGGGGCTGGGGTTTGGTGTGGAGCTGGGGATAACGACTGGAGGCGATGGAGGCAAAGGCGTGGACGTAGGCGAAGGAAGAACTGTCTCTGTTGGTGAGGGGGGAAGAGGGAGGACGGCAGGGCTAGTGGTGATGTTGAACTGTTTGTAGAACCAGTCCTTGATCATGGGGAAGTCGGATCCGACCTTGAGTGTCAAATGGCCCGTTTCTGGATAGACTGAAGCGGTGACAAAGTCTGGATACAGGAAGCCACTCATGGTGGACAGGGTCGCCTTGGGAGTCCAGTTGACGTACGCCGTCTTGAAGGATCCAGAGGCGCCTAGATTGATAAGAGTATTCATGCGGTCCACAAGCGTAGGCGCACTGAGACTCTTTGTCCGGAGCTGCATCTTGAAGGTGATAGGGAGTGACTGGCCCGCTTTGACGGTGAACGAGAAGTCCGGCAGGAACATCAACTGTGTGAACTCGAAACCGGTCCCAGTTGAGATTCCCAAGTAGGATGGGTCACTGGCAAAGATTGTCTCTGATATCTTGGCGTCGCCGACAACGGTCATATCGACATAGTAAGGGTTGCCGAGAACGGTGGAAACCTCGACCAGGCCATCGTCCACAGTAGTAGGCAGGACCGTGAGGGACCATTCGTTGGCGTAGGCCTTGGGAGTGTCGGTCATGAGGAATAGAGGCAAAAGGACGCTTTGGCGGAGCGACGCCAATCCAGCGTTCAGGGCGGGGTTGCTTGTCGACTTGTCATCTGCCCACATGTTGAGAGTGACTTCTCGCATATTGACGTCTGTTGCGAACTTGCCGGTTCTGGGATCAAGACTGGGAGCGGTGACAACGTTGACAAGAATGTTGTCACCGGGGACGAGGCGGAGACCCTTGACGAACGCGACCCCGAATCTCTCGTTATCAGTGAAACCCTCTTGACCCGCAATCAAATGGAGATCGCCAATGTTGAGGGTGAGCTGACTTGGGTTGTAGATGTTGACGGAGCTGCTGACTTCCAGAACACTATCCCCAGAGAAGAAGTTGATCAGCGACAAGAACTTGACGTTGTTGAGTCCCTGGAGACCAGCAATCGAAGTCGTAACGTCGATGGGGATTCCCTTGATCTCGACCAGACCAAATGGGCCAAGATCCAACATCGAGTCAGCAGAACCGCGGAGGCCGAGTTTGTAGTCAGTGGCCAAGTTCAAGGCGCCGACAAAGGCCGTGTAGATGTCGTGAGATCCGTCAGCAACGACCAAAGGAGCAGCAGGGGTGTTGGCCGACACCTTGGAGCCGACTGTGGTGGCATCAGTGTACTCAGTCTTGAGGGTACCAACAACTTGACCATTTTCATCCAAGATCTGAACATTCTGAGCAAGCTGCTTAATGGGAACATCCATCGCAAAGGGGAGTTTGGTGTCGGCCGTGATGCTCGATTTGGCCATAGGAGCCCAGATACAGGACTCGCCGCAGGCAAAGTCCATCTCCATCGAGTTGATAGTCACCGACGAGATTGGGGGTTCCTTGAGAGGAGGAAGGGCTGTGTCGAGGAGAAGACTCTTGATAGCAGCATCCAGCCATGAAATACCGGGAGCGCCGACACCTTGGGCCTTGAGAGGAGTGGAAGCGCCAGTCAACGCGTTGTGGAAGATACCCTTGATGTAGGGAGTCTTGTCAGTGCCGTCGGCAGCGATGGTGGCGTTCAAGGCGAAGCTCGAGCTGCTGTGTGGAACCAAGGCCATGTTGTAGGCAAAGGCTGGTCCAAGGGTGTGGCCACCGAACTGAGTGTCGAACTGCGAGACAGGGATGGTCATACCAATGGTCGAGGGGTTCGACAGCGACGCGCTGATAGTCATGTGCATACCCGCCGAGTCGATGGCGCTGATCTTATAGTCCAACAGCTGCAGGCCAGGTAGTTTGTTGAATCCATCGAGGGTCACAGTCTTGGTCATCGACACACCGGGAAGAGAGGCACCCATGGCGTTGACAACAATACCCGTGGTCGAGATCGTCCAGTCAAACTTCTCGTTGTTCAGAGCAAACGTGGTGAAATCGGCAAATGCGGCGCCATCGGTAATGGTGAAGGGGACACCGGCCAGGTTCAAAGTAGCACCCTGGTTGGCAATGGCCTTGACAGTGGGCATCAGCATCGATCCGAGCGCCTTGCCATTGTACGAGACTGTGAGAGGGTTAGGGAACATAATCTCGGCATCCAAGGGTCCAGTCTTGGTGATGGCGCCGACAATGTCTGTCGAGAAGGCGGTCTCGGTGGGGTTGATGAGCGTGATGGCATCAAAGGCGAGAACAGAGCCGTTGACAAGGATCTGAGCAATGGGAGTACCGACGACGGGGATCAACTTGAGAATTGTCTGATCAGTGCCAGTGGGGACTCCGGTCTGGGTGTAGGGAATCGTCACTTGGTAGTCGCCGACCTTGACGGTGGTGGTCATGGTGATGTCGACAGCGAGTCCAGCCATAGCCTTAGTCACAAAGTCAGCGACGTTAAAACCTACAAACAGATCAGGCGAAGGGGTGCCACCAGCCTGAAGCTCGAGCAAACCGTCAAAGGCAGCAGTGTTCAAACCGTTAGAGACAGCCTGAGCGCGGATCAAAGTGACAAGATCGTGAGGGTTGGTGTTCATGGTAAGAGCGGCCGTGATGGTACCAACGCCAGCTCCAGGAATGACTGGAGGGGTGCCAAAGGTCGACACAACAGTTCCTAGAGCGACGCCGTTGTAGGTAATGGTAGAGTCAATCGACAAAATGGTCATGGGAGGGACAAAGGGGTTGTTGACAGAGACAACAGTCTGAGCAAGACCATCAACAAGAGTGGTGTCGAGAACAACAAGCGAGGCACCAGCGAGCAGCTTGGTAGGGAGACCAGGCATCTGGGTCTCAATGGTCAATGCGCCAAAGGCAAGATTGAGCGAATCGACAGTTGTACTGGTGGGAGTACCGACAATACTGACAGTGGCACCGGCACCACTGGTATACAGCGTCAACAGCTCCATACCCTCAGGAGAAGCAGCAGGGTTGATTGATGACGAAGCCTGGATGGTGTTGGCACCAGGGACAATGGCGAGGTTAGGCATGGTCACAGTGCCAAGGGCGACACCCTTGTAGACAAGACTGAGCACAATATCGCCGGCGCTGAGCGAGATCGACGAGGGGTTGACAATGACAACAGTGATGGCCATGGTCAACTCAGTGGCGGTACCAGAGACAACTTGAAGAGCGGCGATCGAGGGAGCGGGGTTGGCGAGGCTCTGAAGACCACTAAGAGCAGTTGAGGCGTTGAACGGGATGTTGACCAAGTTGACTATACCGATGGAGGTGTTGGCATAGACCGAGGCCTGACCGACAACACTGAAGGGGAGATCGGCACCAATAGTCAAGTCGCGGTTGAACTCCTGGAAGGCTATCTGCGAGGCCTGGTCAACAACAAGAGGGGTCTGCAACAAATCAAAGGTCAGAGTACCAGCTGCCATGTTGGAGGTCGAAGGGTTGTAGCTCGAGTTCAAGCTAGCAACG